TCTATGCGGACCCCAACGTTTACTTCAGAATCCGGCGGTCCATTGATTCAATATCCGTCTTCGCTGAACTATCCATTAAGGCGATTGAAAGGCAGCCGCTTAACTCCAGGCTGCTCACCGTCTGGCGGGAAGCGAAGAAATGTAGGTACATAATGTCATAGCATGGGAAAAGATTCTCTAAAGCCTTCAGTCTTTCATTCAGTGTTCGACATACCTAGTCCGGGCCGGACGGACTGCCAAGATACAGCCCAGTCCGGCCCGAACCAACCTACCGTACCGTCTTCCTTCACCAAGCAGATACGATCCACGCACTGCCAACTTCACCTGACTAGCTAGGAGCGAGTCCATAACCTTCGACGTGTGGTGGGGCTTCATGAATTTAAGCACGGGTGGAGTCTACGATTCCCCTCGCCAGCCAACATGATTCTGAGTTTTCGTTGCATGGGCGGTCAATCGTAGCGCCATCAATAATGGTCCGGTGTGTTGGCGGGGAAAACAATTGATGAGCCAAAAGTACTTTCCACTCGGAGACCAAATAGAACAGCAAATTGGTTACGAGGGATCGCAGCATGAGGCATATCACGTGATACTACCGAGTGATATCTAATTAGTGCTTCCTTCAGAAACAAAAAACAAAAACCATCACCACCCCCGGTGGGTGGCTTGGAAACCCCAAGAGCTGAGTCTTGCACCCGGCTTTGAACCAGGAGCTTTCCCTCAACTCCCCTCGCCGATTGCGTGGCCTATACCACTAGACCACGCGGAGGTTTTTTCCGTGCTGGAAACATGAATTCGATGTCTATAAAGTGGTGGGTGCCACCCCCGTGACGGACAAGCTCACCGCACCGCCTGCATCGAGCTGGATCTGATCTGATATGAGTATTTGGTAACCATGGCTCGTACTTGCCTACCTAGGCAGGTAGGGGACCGATCAACCTTTATGTAGGTAGTCGATTCTATTCCCGGATAACCCATACTGGATCTATGCCAACTGAGGCAGCTCCTCTCCGGACTCCGGAGTGGCGATCAGCCGAGGCTCAAAAACAGCATGTGTCATGGGGAGACACCAGAGAGCGGCCGTTGAAATAGAGTTATCAGCGTAGCAATCTAACCCAGACGGGGTTCAATATGATCCGCGCGGTCGTCGGAGTTTCAAGTCGTGTACCAATGCTTCGGACTTCCAGACGCTTCTCACGGCAGGAGACTCGCGCTTAAAGAGCATACCGTACCGTAGGTACTAGGGACCATTCCTCCGCCAACAATCACTGCACGGTACACACATCCGCAACCGGCATACCTGGGCACAACCACAGTCCACTACCGGTTCCTAGCAATACAGTGAGAACCTGCCAGACGTATCTCTTCATATAAAGCACAGCTAATCCTCGTCGGATATAACAGCTCTTCGCCTGATACACCAGCTCCTCGCTGGCTACAACCGCTCACCGCCGTCGTAATCATTTATCCTCCTTCATCTCGCCAGCCTGGACAACATCCGTCTCTCCACCGCGCGCCTCTTCGCTGAGCGGTTCATCGAACCAACGAGCCAACGAGTCCTCGCCCCACCTGCAAGTTTCCTCTCAAGCCCAGATTCCCTCCTTGACTGGAGCCACGGGTTTCCATGATTCGCTTAGCCAGAGATGGTGTGTGACTTTTGAGGGGGTGGTAAACGCTTTCGGTCAGCCTAATACCTATCATAGGGAGAACGAGGGATCGATGTCGACCTGGAAAGAAAACGTTTGGGGCCGCTGCTCGCCAACCATGTTACGGTATGACCGACAACACGGGTTCAATGTGTAGCCATATTGATGACGTGATACTTCCGGCCACTCTGGCTGCGGACGCTGCAAGCATGAAAGAGAAAAAAAAATCTTCCTCTCGAGAGTGGGCTGGGCTGTTCCCGACAGAATCCTGCATCAGCCTACATAGCCGGTAGCCACGACCTGTGTACTCCGAATCGTACATACATAGGACCAAACAGATTTGCTGGCTGCCTTGCCTTGCCTTGCCTTGCATGATGAGCGTGCAGGGATGTGTTGGCGAAACGTGCGCACACGCGCAGCGGGTTTCCGACCGAGACTAGCCGGACATGGTTAGTTACGGCAGCTACCGGCCTGCCAGCGAGTGATTTTGAATGTAGCAGAGTGCCCAGTCCTGCACACGCGACCAGTGACCTGCAGTTCCTGCGGCCAGTTCAGCGGGTCAAGCAAGAGGTCCATGGTATCTAGTTACGGCTAGGATGTCCTTCCGCTCGCTGGACGTGGGTACAATGTATGCCGTTGAGTTGCTAGCCCCTACCCACTGCTATTCCCAACAAAAACAACACTTTACAACGGCGGTCCCATCATGCTTGATGTGCTTGAACATGTGCAATCTTGGAGCCCCCGGCCATCCCCGCGCCTTCGCCAGGCGCCTCGGGGGCTCCCGATCCCCCGCTCATGCAGGGGTAGTTGATATGAACGGCGATCGTCGCGACGCCAGGTTGTAGTGCACGTGGCAGACAATGCACGTATGTACCCTACATGGTAGGTACGTATGTCCTGCGAGCCGGAACGACTGAGGGCGAGATGTTGTGTTGGCGACTGCGGCTGCGCGTGGTGCGGCAAACAGTCCGGTTGCCAGGGGTAGGTAGGCCACTGGCGGATTGTAGAAGCACAGCGCTGTGAATTTTAAGTAGCGAATCGACGGTAGCGAATCGGGAACGGGCCAGAAGTAGGTGGGAGAAACGGTGATATGTTTATCTTGACCACACGCTACCTACCGTGCGACATCATTCCCGATCCATGAACGGCTACTCCGCACCGGTATCAGTGCCTCCGGTAGCCCAGTCCAGTCCGTCTTTCGGCAAAAGTCGGGCTGGACTGAGAGGTTCAGTCCGGCAGGAGGCGTGGGTTGGACCGGGTAGTCGGCGCAACTGGTAGGGCTGGACTGACTGCAGTCGACTGGATGGACTGGTACTTTGAATGGAAAATGTTTGAAATCAGTAATGAACTTTTTGTACACGTCTATAGTACATACAGCTATTGCAGGTTCTCCTCGCAAAGTGGATTGAGCATAGTCTCCATCTCCTTGATATCGCCCTTTGTAGCAGCTACAAGACCATCTCGTTGCCAGCTTTTGTGACATTCCAGGGCCTTCGGTGCGTCCTCACCCATGCTGCAGCGGCGATGAGAGAGTGTGAATTTAGTCCCACTAAAAACTCGTTCCGGCTCTGCTCTCATGGCGGGAATGCCCAAATACTCGAGGGCCATTCTGGCGAGATCTTTCCAGCGAGGTTCGTGTGATTTAATATTCGCCCAGTACTGTACCACATTGTCGATGGAATCGCATAGAGGCGGTTCCTGCTGGAAGACCTCCACCATATATTTATTCAGACGACAGTGGAGTAAGAGATAGAGAGCCGGCATGATAGGAAAAGAGAACATGTGATACGTTGAAAGAATGATGCCCGCTAGCCACATACCTAGTTCAACCCAAAGTTTTAGAAAGTGTCAGTCTGTCAGTCGACTGCAGTCCGAGGCGGCAAATCTTGGGGACGGACTGAATTCAAACCGTCCTCCAATTTTATGGACTGGACTATCAGGAGCACCGACCGCGGCGGGAATCCGCCGCCACCGCCGAGCGGGCCGTCCATCGCAAGTGCCGCGCGGTTTGCCGTCCAGACCAGATCAGACCGCTACTCTGGATGCCTTAATCGCATTCCTGGTTGCAGATTGAACCAGCCGCCATCCCAGGCCCCGGGGCAGTCAGTCACCGGTCACCGCCGTGCGGGGGTGGGCGGCCGGGGGTTTCTGTGTGCCACAACGGTTTCTGTGTGCCACAACGCATAGTCAGGGCTGTGTGACCCCTTTGCCCGCCACCATCCGCCGTCATGACAAGCATGGAATGCCGTGGGTCGGACCGTACGCACGTGTGCGGCGCCGACTGACCGACATCCCTCCCTGCCGCGGCTTGCTCTCGATCAAACATCCACGAGCCTGGCTCGGACGGGGTTGTAACTTGTTGCTTGAGGCTAACTACCGGTACGTACTCTACTCTACCAGTGACAGACTTCGCGGCCTGCAACTTGAGCTAGGTACCATGAGCTACCGTGAGCTAGCTATGTACCGCGGGACGGGCCGTCGTTACATGTTTCATAAGTAGATCACAGTTCCCTGTAACTACACTCTACTTCGGAACTTGGAAACTTGTTTTGAAAGTTGAAACACCGTCTGTCAGCGTAACACCCGAGGTAGTCCGTACACCAGGAGTTTGAAGTTTCCGGGTGCTATGTAGACGGTTGGACACTCACTGCATCAGATTGGATGATCGAAGCCTCCACCGCAGCAAGAGATGCGAGCACAGTGTTCACCAGTATTCGCCAGGAACGGACTTCACAACGACCCGTCACGGTGCCAAATGCTCGGTGGTGGGATGCACCTCGTGATTTGTGATGAGTAGTATTTTGCCTAGCACGGCCCAGCAAGGCCCAGCTTTAGTTATCGATTCATACCAGCCTTATCAGGAAACGGGTCCGGAGTGTTGTCTTAGGCCTGCAGTGGTACCTATCGGTATCGGGGCCTGAACCTGGTCCACTGATCCATGCTCCCGTGACCGTGCATTGTCCTTCTAGGTTCAAAGTTCCGAAGTCATAACCGTGAGGGGCGGGTGTTCTAGATAGTCACTAAAGTCTCATTGAACGGTATTTACATGGTACATTCTAGCTACGGATGACTTTTGCGTACCGTACCCTACTTGGCTGTGACTATAACACAATCACACGATGTCACCCGCATAGTGAGGATTCAGAGTCAGAATCGCGGAGGACCCAGGGAATAGGTATGTACCAGTGAGGTAGTGCTACTACCTAGTAGAGTACTTGAGGACGACATATGTGGGGAAGAAAATCCTAACGATAGAAGCCCAACTAAAATATGAAATAATCTGGAAAGGTCGAATGCATTATTATGAAACAAAAAAGTAAATATATACCCGCACACCAGCCCCTATGTATCTCGTATCTACGCCCGCTTGATGCCCTTCTGCTTTCTCTTTTCCGCCTCAATTTTCGCCAGCTTTATCAATCCGAACACTTCACTCATGGAGTAATCCTATTATTGCACGCACACATCAGCCGCCGTCGTCCTGCTCGCCAAACCCCGAAACAAAGACTTACTGTGAACCCCTTCCAGAGGAAAGTCTGGATGGCCCAAGCGGACCAAGAATAGTAGCCATCCCAGAACAACGGCTTGCTGCCACCACGGATGATCCTGGCCACCACGCTCTTCGCGTACACGGCGGTGTCCATGGGACATGCCTGGCTGAGCTCCACCCGCTGGAGCCAGTAATCGTTGATCGGGGTGTACAGCGAGTTCTCTGGCAGCTGTGTGTTTGCCGACCTGACGATCGAGGAGCGGACGCCGCCGGTGATTATTGTCAACACCTTGACGCTACACACATACCATCGTCAGCAGCGATCGCGATCGCGAGTGCGCGTGTGTGAGGGGTGGACGGTTAGTTACTTGAACGGTTTCAACTCCATCCTGAGGCAGTCCGCATACGCATGCATAGCGGCCTTTGAGGCGTTATACGCGCCGCCGAAGACGAGGGGGATGATGGGTGCGATGCTGCCGATGTTGACGACGGTCGCGGCGCCGTCGGCGATGAGCAGGTCCACGAACGCCTGCACCACCCGCATCACGCCGAAGACGTTCACGTCGAACGTCTCCTTGACGACACCCTCGACGTCGAGGTCTGTGCAGGGGCGCGGCGTGCCCTGTCCCGCATTGTTGACGAGCACGGAGAGCTTGCCGTTGGTGAGCGCCGAGATGGTCGCGTGCGCCGCCGCGATGGATAGGGGCGAGGTCACGTCTAGCTCGACGGTCTCGATGCCGAGCGCGGCGAGCGGGGCGACGGTTTCGATACGCCGGTAGGCGGCGAATACTCGGTAGCCTGTGGGCGGGTAGGATGCTTAGTGAGTGCGGGGTGAGCGGGAGGGAGATGAACATACCCTTCGCTTGAAACTCTTTCGCAAGTTCTCCGCCGATGCCGCCGACGCCGGCTCTGTGGGTTTGTTAGCTTGCCCGCTCCTATACATCACGCTTTGTGTCGGTACCTACCCAGTGATGAGAACAGTCTTTCGTGTATCCGGTGAGGTGGCCATGTTTTTGTTTGGAGTATTGAGGTGGTGCTGCAAGGGCGATGTTGAGGGAAGATATGGAGTGATTCCGGGGATGTCATATATGGCCTCAGCATGTTGGGTTGGGGACCCTGTAACCCCGAAGCATGTGCTGGATACAGAAAATACAATCAGGAACACGGGGACCATCCAGCACAGCCGAGGGCCGATCCATGTAGGTCGGCGTATGTAGGTACCTATCGGTATCAAATTGTCGTCCGAACCATTCCAAGGTGCGTGATGCCTGATCACCGGGCAGGTTGTGGATTGAATCTTCAGCTTTAGTGATCGCTCATGCAGGGCAGAGATGAAACTCAGCTGGATTCCGAGAAGCAGATTGCGGAAGTCCATGTACCGATGTTCTCCGCCTCCGGAGCGGACGGTTTGTACTTGGGTGTTTATCTGATGTACCGGTGTCCCGCGCCTCCGCAGCGGACGGTTTGTCCTAGGGCATGAATATGAGGTATCGACAGACCGTCCATGCCCAACTACCACCGGCCTTGGCATGCATTTGGGGAATCGACACACCGTCCATGCCCACCACCGGAGTTCAGTATACATTTGAGGTATCGACAGACCGTCGCTATGTACCTTGGGCATATATTTAAGGCATCGGCAAACCATCCCTGCCTACAATCGCCCGGGACAGCAGCTGAGAGGCTGAATCTGGGTGGGCCCCATCTTGGCGGCACGTCCTCAAGCATAAATATCTACGCAAGTCCGGCCGGTCCTAGGCCCTAGGCGGCTAGGTACTCTACTCTGTTACGGCGGCTTTCGGTGTTCGCCAATTTGCCGGTATCATAACTGTCGGTTTGAAAATTGACATAGCGATGGACGGAACGGACGGAACGGACGATTAGGAAACCTAGGCTGAAGTTACCAGAGATAATGGAAGAATACCTAATGCAGAAAGCATCAGTCCTTGCCCGTCACCGCCTGATTTGACAGAAACAAGTGAGCCCATCCACTGATCCCACCATCGTCAGCAATCCCTGTGGTGATCCATTTACCCCAGTCAACCCATGTTTTTACCGTTAGTCAGCGGGGTCATTGACTTGCACCCCCACCAACCAACCAACCCCACCTCCTACTACCTTCACGACGTCCACGCGCCCACCGACACTCCAACCATGGGTAAATCCTCCAAAGACAAACGCGACTCCTACTACCGCCTCGCCAAAGAGAGCGGCTACCGGGCTCGTTCAGCGTACAAGCTCCTGCAACTACACTCACACTTCAACCTCCTCACGTTCCCCACCGCGAACCCACGGGTCATCGACCTCTGCGCCGCGCCCGGCTCCTGGTCGCAAGTCCTCAGCCGGCACCTCCCGCCCAGCAGCACGATCATCGCACTGGACCTGCAGCCGATGACGCCGATTCCGGGGGTGACGACACTGCAGGCGGACATCACACACCCGTCCACACTACCACTGATCGCCGCGCACCTTGGCGGGTCGGGGCCGGAGTCGGGTGCGGCAAAGGTGGACATGGTGATCTCCGACGGGGCGCCAGACGTGACGGGCCTGCACGACCTAGACGAGTACGTGCAGTCGTCGCTGCTCCTGGCGGCGCTGAACCTGGCGGTGTGCGTGCTCACGCCCGGCGGCTCGTTCGTCGCGAAGATATTCCGCGGCCGGGATGTCGACGTGCTGTTCGCGCAGCTGCGGTGCTTCTTTGAGCGCGTGGTGTGCGCGAAGCCGCGCAGCAGTAGGGGCAGCTCGATTGAGGCGTTCGTCGTCTGTCAGGGTTTCGCGCCGCCGGAGGGATTCGTCGGCAGCTTGGAGAGACCCATGACCCTAGGAGTCGGGGTTGGAGAGGGATGGGGGGAATGTAGGGCCGTGGTCGAGTTTGTCGCCTGTGGCGATCTGGATGAGCCCGACTCTGATGCGACGCAGAGACTACCGGGGAGAGAGGGGAGTATCGATCCTGTGCAGCCGCCCACCGCGCCGCCGTACAAGAGGGCGGTCGAATTGAGGAAGCAATTGGGGGGTGGGGGGAAGTAGCCTGAACAGGAGGAGGAGGGGAGGGGAGAGGGAGAGAGATATATACCTAGGCAGGAGCACGATGTATAAATAGTAGGGTGTGGGATGAATAAGGCGTTCTGGTTGGTTTAGATCTTAGAGGCTGGTTGGGAATAGATATCACAGCGGTCCATTCATTCATGGCATGGCACTCGTCCTTTCCTCAGATTAAATGCAACATGACGGAAAATAGTTTAGCATGCAGTATCTCAACACTACGGCACATGTAGCTCATTCCACCGTTCTATCTCTCCCCTCCAACTATACTCACCACTATTCCAACTTTCCACAGCAACGACGGCGGCAAAAGTGGTCACTACTTTCAGACATTGGCTGAACCACTTGTACGTCGTCGTACCTATTACCTTGGTGGCCATATCCTTTCTGTTTTCATCCTTGGGGTACTGGGTGTGTAAGGAAGAAGAGGAAGGAAGTCGTACATCGGTGAATTTACCTGGATTGAAGGCCGAAAGACACTACTTGGTGATTCCAACACTGGTAGCTGGTGGGAAACTGAGAGTCTTCGTGATCTATGAGAGTGGAACTTGATAAAGAATGAGGGATTTCTAGTCAAGAAAGACGGATGGAGGGATACAGTAGGTAGAATACATGAACGCACAGGAACGAACGCCGCGAAAGCAACATTTTGAACGGAATAGATATCCAGGTTATATCCACAACTACAACAAAACGGAGAAAGCAAAGCAAAGCAAAGCACAGTAGCGCAAGCAAAAGAAAGAAGGAACAAAAAAAAATCATTGCGGCACAGGTCTCTGCTTCACAAGTAACAAATATACACTCTCGGCGACCCTCTCCTTCCACTGGGCAGCCTTGCGCACCTCGTCCTCCTCCACCATCCGTCCCGGTGTCTCTCCACTAAGGGTGTCCAAGTCCCGCTTCTGAGAGCTGACCCAGCGCTTGACGAACTCGGCCGGGTCCTCGGCAAGACTTCTCCAGAAATCGCGCTTGGCCTTGCTGTGGTTGATGGCTTGCACCAGCATGGCGATGTGGTCGTCAATGGTGGAGATCTCGCGCAGCATCCCGATGTAGGATGGCGATTGCATCACTGCGTGCATCTTCTGTCGGATGGGGTCGTCGATGAAGATGGTGACGTCGTGGATCTGTGGCGACATCGATGCGGCGACGTCGCAGCGGACGAGGTATTTGATGACGATGGGCTCCAATGGATGGATATGCGAGAGCGTCAGTTCTGGTATTTGCGGAAAGTACAGGCGGTCGACATTAAAGATCTGTGGGCAATTAGCTTGGGTAGTCTGAAAGCATGGTAGGTAAGCGTACCGCCCGCAACTGGGGGTTGCAATTGATGGTTCTCTTCTCGTCGGGATCCTGTAAACCATGTGCGCGCACGTACTCCCAGACCTTCATTACGATGCCGGCACGGGTATCCTCTTTGGTATCCAGCAAGTCCGCGAGGGCGGGCGAAAGGCGGAACCGATCCGGCGATTCATCACGGATCAACTTGATGGTGCAGTTGATATTGTCGTCTCCTTTCCTCTCAAACTCGAAGCCGTCAAACTCGGCAGGCCCGTTGAGACCGAGAGCGGAGGTGGCGGGCTGGGTGGCGGGCGACTGCTTCCTCCACTCGATGGTGTTACCTTCCGGGTGCAGTTCTCTCGACCGGTCAAGCTCTATTACTATCGACTTGAAGAAGTGCGAAAACTTGCGCTTCTGCAAAGGCGGAGCATTATCAGGGCGTGGTGTGAGTCCTAAGTCAGAGTCGGGATCCAATTCCGCCGCATCGCTCTCCTCATCGTCAAGGAGTCGGCCCTCAATTTTCACACGGAACGTAGGGATTTGGCCAGTATCGAAATCGAACGCGTTCTCGTCAAGTGGACGATCCGACACCTGCCATAGCTGGTCCTTGGCCGTGTTGGATACGAAGATGCGCAAAGTCCGGGTATTCTATTGTCATCAGCGCCTACCCCCACCATAGGAAACATTCACAATATCGCTCTCACACCTTGATATTACGATTCACAGCATCCTGTATATCCAACCTCTTGCGCATAATGGCAGCATCGTACCGTCTCTCCATCTCCCTGAGATCCCTATAGACGCGCGCATTGGCCACAATCTCCTCGACGCCCTCGGGGATGGTCTTGTCGGTCGGTTTCCTCGCGCGGCGCTTGGCAAGCTCGCGCTCGGCGACTGCCGCCTGATGCTGCGCTGCCATCTGCTGTTGGGACATCTGTTGATGGGGCTGTTGCGGAGGACGGATCATGGGGCCGGGGCCGCGACTGGCTGGCGCTGGTGACGGCACCGGTCCAGGGACGTACCCAGCTGGGACGCGCATTTGGACGGGGGACGGACGCATCTGGTCCATGTTGTTTCGATTCATAAGCGGGGTGGCGTGGGGGTGAGCGATGGTCGTGATGGGTGATTGTCGCGGCCGAAGGAGGTGTTGCAAGACGAGAGAGAGACGAGACGGTCGCGTTGCGCTAGGTACCGGAGGCGCTAGCTCGTGTAGATTCATTGAGACAGTCATGTGATCGAATGCTCATCTAGTGTGGTGAATGGCCCTCAGAATCTAGAGAATCAACAGACGGCCGTACATAGACAACAGAGATTCTGGGACTGACAGAAAGCTGACCACGAAAGAGACCTTGTGGATCGCATTTCCTGCTGGTACAAAAATAGTAAAAAATTGGACCAACGTTTGGCCAACCCAAACACAGCAAGCTCGCTATTAGCAGCTACATACGACAATTGCAGATATAATAGGCACATAAATCTCCAACCGTGGAGTACGGACACAAAGAAAATATACAGGTATCTCAGGCAATTCTCCCACAGTATAATCTGCCTGTGCCACATACCGGTACGGCATTATGTCACCATGCGCATTATCTCTGGTCCCTTCTGCCATGGAGGTGCCTCATCTGGCTCCTCCTTCACCCCTCCAACCTCTTCCTTCCCCTCCTCCAGCTCGTGAATCCCTTTATAGACGATCATCGTCAAGATGAAAGGGTATTTGGAAGTCATGAACACAGCCTTATCCGGTGGGATGGCAAGCATCGGAAACATATAGGCGGTACGGTCATCGAATCCCCACTCCTCGCTGCGAACTATCGTGAAGTTCACTTCGAAGAAAGACCCGCTGTTGCCGTTGACGCCAGTAACCATCGGTACATGTGTCGCTATGGCGATGCCGCTGCAATCCCGCAGCAAAGCGTGGATTGTTCCGTCAAACATGTACACCTTTTTCGGCAACTCGCGAATTCCCTTGAACCACAGATGTTGATACATGATGCGGCATGCGCGGCTGTCGAATATGGTGGCGTGGGTAGAAATTCCATCCTCCGAGTTGCCAGCACCGGCCCATCTCTGGGGATGTCCCCACAGATGGCCGATGATGTGGAGGTTTTCCGCGCAACGTCCCCCTCTGTGCACCGGAATGGCTCCTTGATCAACTGGCTCACGAAACCATCCGCTGATCTCTTGAAGAAGCTCGCCAGTAACAATCGAGTATGTTTTAATTGATGGCAGATGATTATTCAGAAGACTGACTTTTTGGGTACGTGCGTCGATGTAAACAGCATCACAGTTTTCTGAGTCGCCCAGGCTGACCATGTTCCGGGTGGGAGCATCGTACAGCAACATCCCACCACGCCATGCGAAGACAGCGAGATTTCCGTCGGCCTCCACAATGCGCTCAGCGTTGGGTAGTCGGAACATGTGACTCTCAAAATTCCCAATCTGCCAGACCCAAATCTGGGCCGCATCGTCCCCCGAGACCATGACATAGTCATCCAACAGCCGGACCCAGTTCAATGTGGTACGTGCCGGCACAGCCAAACCGCCCACAATTCGATGGCCTAACCCCGGGCCGAGTTGCCATATCTCGAATGACCGATGGTCTGTTGCGAGGAGCGCCAATCGCTGGCCCATGACTGACGCGACCTTTGCGAACGGATTGACATGCTCGAGTGGCATCTGGATGCGCTCGCACAAGTGTGGGCTGCGGACTGCCCGTTCGCGCGACACCTCGTTCTCGAACATTCGCCTCCAGGACCTCTGATCCTCCTCCTCGCACACGGTGGCCTCTTTGGGGTACCACTTCCTAAGCAACGCACTACACACCGAGTCCGCCGTGAGGAGGCCGTGCCATCGTCTGCCGACGCGCCGGTAGGGAATTATTTCGCGCGGCTCAAGATAGGAGAGCACTTGGGTGGCGAGCTCGATAGGTAGATTCCCGACGATGTCGAAATAACTGTTTTGCGAATAGAGGATCTGCTGAAGCTGCCATCGATCCGAGGGACAGAATCGCTCCGAAAGCTTCGTCAAAAATGTCAGACGACTCCTCCCGTCGAGCATTTCGAATGCCATGAGAGCCTCATCAAGTGGCGACACGCAAGACATCGCAGGGTGATATGATGGGGGTAGTCGTAGTTGTAGAGTCGTGGTTGTAGGGCCGTAGTTGCGGAGTCGTAGTTGTGGTTATGGTCGAGTTGGTGCGGGGGTGGGCTTGTCATGAACACACCTGTCAACTCACTGACACATCTGCTGCGAGCCGAACCTTAAGTATTCTGCTCTATGATAGTAGGTACATAGACGAATCGTTGCTCCGTCACTGATGCTCACTCATCCCCCGACGAGTTACTTTCTGTAGCTGCGTCCTATTGCTCCGTCAGTCTAGTAAGGCCGTATGCGACAATAAATTGATTATCTCTCTCTCAATCGTTCCGTCCCAGGAGGAGAGGAGGCGAGAGGAGGGGGAGGGGGAGGGCGCTGAGGTTGAGGAGCTGGCGTCACCCCCCATTATTCCTCCGAACGGGGTCAGCGAAAGCCACGATGGGCTGCCTGACGAAGAGGCAGGGGACGAGACGGACTGCGGAGCGGACTTTTTTTCCTAGCTTTACTTCCTCGGTGCGCTCTACATGTATATCTGGGGCAGGTCAGGGCGGGGGCATGGGAAGCCATGATGGGCCGCCAGACGAAAGCTGGGTTGGATAGTGGGACAAGGAAACGCCGTGTGTACCACCATATACCTAGTATTTCCATGATCCAGGTAGGTCACGAGCCATCATTGATGGTTACAGTCAGAGAAGAAGGATTAGATTGGGCTGGGCACTTTGCAAACGCCAACCTACCTATCCACCGCCCGTGTGAAACACCCAAGTCACAGTAACCATCATTTGTCGGAAGCTAGGTGAAATTTCATGAGACTCCGGTCTTTCTTTCTTTAGGGGACGAGGAGAAGGAGGATTATGTAAGTTGTACATAAAAGTGCCAGTTTCAAGCCGTGATCTAGATGGGCCGTGAGGAGCATTGCATTTAAGAGGATTCAGACAGCGCCTTGAAAACTTCATCGAAGGCTAAAGTATAGGCACAGTTCCATTCCCCTTGGGCTGATACTCATGTTGCAGATAGCCATCCTGAACTTGGATCATTCATTGATAGGATCTTCCAGCTTGGAATGTAACTTCAAATCAAAGAAAAATCAAGCTAGCCATACAATCCGGAGATAAAACCAAAAAGGCACGACTTCGTTAAAACCAACCATCCTTTGTTATAGCCCCCTCATTTTGTTGGGCGAGGTTTAGCCTAGGTAATACATAATCTAGATTATATTTTCAGGTGAAAATACATTTCATACTGGGTGATCTTGTCTGAATGGCAAAATAGATGTCGGTGGCTTGAGTAGTCTGAATGCTGTCGAAAATGCTAGAGCATGTATGACTGCGAAGTTTGAAAACGCCCTACACCGTACATTGAATTGAACTGCTAGACCAAGCTAAAACTCCCCGTGTTGAAAATCTAATGAGAATATGTCAAAACACCTCCATGTTGAAAATTGAAAGAAAACTCAGCAAGTCCCCCCATGAACATCATGAACTCCATGCAGAATCTTGAAAGAAAAAAAACGAAAGAAAAAAAAATCACAACCACACAATACCCCAGATCACACCAGATCACACAAGAAGAATCCTCGACCTGAACATGACAGCCCCAACCCTTTCTGTTCTTTTTTCTTCAAAAGATCCCTCTGCTCTATCCCATCGACTCGGTCCTAAGGTTCAGCTTCCCTCTACTGAGGTAGGAAATCCCACATCCTCTCATGAAGTTCACAAGCTTCATCTCTAGAATCCTCTGCAAGTTGCCTCTCATGAAACTGCTTCTCCAAAGCTTCAATCTTCCTGTTGACAGAACTGTTTCAAATCAGTCTTGTTTTCTAGTGCTTATGTGAAGTACCTATCCATAAAAAGGGTATAATGATAGGTCTCTTCAGGCCAATGGGGGGTTAAGATGAGTGGTAAATACACATACATGTCTGTCTTGTAGTTGCGAGCCATAGGCTCGATGCCAGCGGCCTCCATGATTTTCCAGGCCTTCCTCTGGTGCCAGATGTAATGCTCGAGGATATCTCTGGCTCCTTCAGCCGTATGGGCATCAAGTATTCCATGCCCACAGTCTCTGTAAGGACACCCCCAGATGCCATTATCTTGACCCCTTGTGGGCAAAAGGGGTGTCCTTATGATAGTTGGAGTATGAATATTTCCCAAAGATGGTGAAATAGAAGGAGATAATGGAAGCAAGGGGGTGGTTTGAGGTAAGGGGGTGGTTTGAGGTAGGGGGAGTGACCCAGCGGAGGCCGTGAGCCCATCTACCCCAAAACCAAGTGTCTCTACCCATGGGTGATGGGGCCATGGCTTCAGATGACGAGCTTCTTCTCCCCTGAATCTTCTAGCGCTTGCGTGAGGATCGTAGAAGTCGTATGAGTCTGATTCATATCCCTCAAGGCTGCCATTTGGATTGAGGGGACCAGCCTCAGGACTGAAGGACCGGGCCCTTGGAAGGGGGATTTCAGCCTTTTTATCTTCGGGCTCGTCCCAGTAGGGACTGTGGTATCCATGGTCACTTTCATCCCCAGGATAATTGCCTTCATGACCACCCAAGGAACAAGCGTCTCCAACTGAACTAGTATGCCCTACCATGGCGGTGGTGGCAGGCTTTAGCTCTTGGTGGATTTGAGACTGGTTTAAAGTCAACTTTTCGCCAGTCCTATACCGGCTCAACCTACGTCCATCCGACTTTCGGTCCTTTGCCTTACGCTTGATACCACTAGAATTTGGAGTCTGACTGACAGATGGCCCACCGTCGCTTTCCTTGCGCTTGATGCTAGAGCTTTGAATCTGACTGACTAACGAGTCACCATCGCTTGACTCGCGCTTGATGCCGGGGCTAGCCAAACTAACAGTGTTACGGGCGGTACCAGCGACAAGATCGGCTCCCTCGCTCGGAGGCGCCGGTGCGATCTTCCGTCTCTTGGGTTTCGGCGTCCCCTCCCCCTCATCCTCCTTCTTTTGTACTACCGCATCCCAAATGGCGGTCACCAGAGCGGTGACCGCGGCGACTTCCAGCGGGTACTTTTTAGAGTACCACCGGTAGAGACAATGGCTTCTCCACCGTTGTGCCTCCGTACCCCACGAATTTATCATCTTCAGCAAAACGAAGCGCCTGTGGGTCTCCACATGCGCTGCTTGGCCGCCCGGCACCTCCCTGCAGTAATCCCCTAGGAACTTGTTGTATAGGTTCTCCTTCTTCATCTTTCCTGGGGGTTCGAACGTTTCAATGAACAGCCACAGTCTCGCCTTTTCTTCGATGCCCACGAAGATTTGGGCGTACTCCGCAGAAGGCTTGATGGAATACCATCCCGCTTTCCCGAGAACCCAAATCTTGAGATCGCAGCTGTCCGTGATTTCAATGGCGTAGTTTTTTATGTCGCTGACGAGAAGCTCGTGATCAAACACCGACTGCGTGCGAACTACGGAAGTCAGTCTCAGCCCAACCATCCCTAGGCACTTGCGAGTGACCACTTACTGATGCTTTTCGCGACACTCTTTCGTAAGAGTTTTCCCGTCATCCTGAAAGGTCCGTCCTCGAACACCGTGAGGAGATCCACTTCTTTGTACTTCCCGGTTGCTTTATCCTTCTTGCTCACAGTGGCGTTGCGTAGCTCCATCTGCGGTATTTGATCTTCCGTGAGCCCCCGGTTGTACTGTAGCAGTCCGCTCAACTCGTACATCTTGACGGTTGCAATAGGCGTTCTGATTGTGTGGGGGTGTGAGGGGTCGTTGCGAAGAATCGATGGTTGTGCGCTGCGTGAACTCAAACTACGAACGTATCGAGACAGAAGCAATTGCGACGGTTTGTGATTGCGGTAATTGTGGTTGCGGTGGGTGTTGTTGTTGCTGTCACTGTCGCAGTTATTGGTAGTAGGGAGGGAGAAGGTTGTGCTGTCGCGGCCGTTGGTAGTGGGGTGGGAGAAGGTTGTACTGTCGCGGTCGTTCGTAGTGGGGAGGGAGAAAGTTGTTGTTGTTGTGGTGGTGGTGGTGTTGCTTGGAAAGGTACAAGAGTAGAGTGTCACCGGAAGCATCGAGTTGTCGCTTACACGGCAGTTGCCGATAGCATGTGACCGAGTACGCACGCCCGCAACAACCGATGGAATGATAAATACATGCATCCATACCTGATATCTACATACCTAAGAAGTATACACCTTATGTGTATGAGTTTAGAGTATTCAGGTACATATGGAATGTCATGTCAACCAGTCTCGAGCTCAAAGACCATAGAAACGTGGAATACGATTGCTCGAGGTGTTTGTGGAAGCATGTTTCCAACCAGGTACGCGTGGGAACGATTGCCGCGTGCTCGACGCGATACCACGTGACGTTGCGCTGCTGCGAAATGATGTTTGTTCAAAGGCAGCACCGCGATACAGCAACACCAGAAATAGAGCAGATAACCCAGTCAATCAGTCATTAACTACGCCTCATTGACTACCAAAAAGCCGTCCGGCAGTCCGGCCAACTGAAAGACCAGCTCGGCGACTTCAACAAGATCACAGACTGTAACTTCAATTCAGTAACATACATACGAAGAAGCAATTGGTGTATAATTTGAGCTATGCGGGAAAAAAGACTCATCTAACAGCCGTAGTTGTACACAAAAGAGATATAGAGTAAACCATCCAAAACCAATCCCACCAATCCACCCCTCCAAAAAACTCCAAAAGGAAAGTCGTGAAGCAAACACCAAAGAAAAGCACACAAAAAGTTGGCATACAGTACTCCCCCCAAATTAGTGAGCCTGTAGCAATATTAAGTAAGTACTCTAGCAAAACACCTACGTTTAAGCGCAGGTGAGATCCACCACCGGAACGGCCTCCAAAACTGTACACCCCTCTGTGACCTTATCACTCTCACCAGCCACCTCCCATCCAGCCTCAATCCACTCCTTGATGACAACTCTGACAGTCTCGGGTCCCTCCTTCACCGCCCAGGGCTCCTGCCTAACCACATTGCCAGCATGTGCCATAATGACGGACGGGCTCACCGATTCCTCAACAGGCTCTGACGACCCATCACTTCCACCCTCCCTACTCGGTGGCTTCTTCGATCCGCGACGACGGACCACGACGTGCGGGCTGTTCTGCACAACTTCAGGGGCCAACGGGTCACTAACAACTCTGATAGGAGTCGCAGCAGCAACCGGCTTGGTGGTTGCCTTGTTCGCAGAAGTATCGACAAAATACGGCTTGCTAGTAACTTTGATTGGAGTTGCCGGTGCGGATCCGCAAGGGCCTGGGGAGGGTGATATAACAATGGTCTCGAAATTGCGGAGGAGGGCGGCGACAGAGCCCGAGGCCACTTTACCGATGCCGGGAGACGGTCGCCGTTTTGGTGGCGGCGTCTTCGTTCGAGTCTTCGGCCTCGGCTCGAGGGATGCCGTGGCGATACGTACGCCTTCCATCCATTTCGACAAACCCTCCGTTGCTGGGATTTGGTCGATCTCTTCGAGTGGCAGATGCGTCGACGTTGTGGATGGACGAATAGGGGAAGGCGATGTCAAATCAATGACCTCCATCGCCTTTATTACGCGTTCGATAGGGGTCTGGGGTGGGAAGCGATTCACCGGGCGCCCACGTATCGGGGAGGCGTCGCGGGCCACTTCTGGCTCTTTGGTGGCGACCACGGAAGTTTCCACAATAGGAGACTCCGCCGCAAAAGTCTCCGCTGGTTCCTCTGCCACCAAGGGGGCGAATTGAGGTTCTTGCGTCAACGGGGACGTAGGAGTTTGTCGAGCTGACTTGCTAGTACTTGCTCCAATTCTCCGGGTATCGATCGCCACAGCCTTTCGGGGATCACTTGTAGTCGATGCAGAGAGTTTGGACTGCGATGACGCGATCATCGACTTGGGTCGAACGGGTCGAACAGGCGCTTTGCTCTGCGATAATCCCGCAGCAGAAGTAGTGCGTGGTGCTCTGGTTGGGGAAGCGACCGAAGACGCGCGTGAAGCCGGAACCTTGGTGGGCGAAGCAGTGAGGCGTAGAGGCTCACTACGTTTGGTCTGCGTGGTTTGAGTGCGTGGAGGCGCCGACGCCTTTTTCGTTGGTGATGGAGGAATAGGAGCCTTCTTCACTGGTGATGAGGGGATCGGGGCCTTCTTCGTTGGTGAGGGAGGAATCGGGGCTTTCTTGATTGGCGAAGTGGAAGTCTTGTTGACGGCCGGAGGGGCTGCTCGGCTACCTGCCCTGCTAGTGACCGTACTGATGACGGGACGAGATGGTCCTTTTGATGTCGGCGACGAATTTCCACTATTCTTTGTCTGCTTGAGATGGCGGGTAATAGGAGGCTGTACCAGGCCATCTTTGGCCGTCGCTGTAGTGGGCGTCTTGGTCGCGACTCTGGTTGTTATGGTCCTGGTAGCGGTGGTGGTATTGATCGCTGGCGGCTTCTTAGCCTTTGGGGCTGGCTTTGATGCTTGGGTGCTATTGTACTCGTCGAGCCTGTCCTGCATGCCTCGCGACAAGAAGGATTCCAGTATCCAGATTCTCTCCGCGACGAGAGGATTCCAGTTCTTCCCGCCCTCGCCATCGTTCATCAATGCCGAATCGTCGTCATCGAGTACGCCAGCTTGCTCGCGTCGTTCTTCCTGGTCGTCCTCTTCCTCGAGTTCTTTGTTGATCGGGATGACTGCGACCGGTGTATATGAGATTCGCATCTCCACAAGCCCGTCGGTCGAAGAATGATTGCGCCTCCCGTGCATGGCTTCAATCAACTTGCACATCTCCGTATTCCGGTCCCATACGTGCTGCGCCAATACAACCGGCGCCAGAGTTCTCACGAACTTGTTTGCACCGCCAGGACCTCTCCACTCGAAGGTATCTCTGGTATACTCCCTCAGCGCAACCACATCCACCTGCTCATCCCACACGATGGCCTCCCTCAGCCTCTCCACCGTCTCGGCGTCAGACACCATAGGCTCGGCATACCACCCCAATATCTCCTTATTCGGAAACCCGGCGGGGACGTTGGCCTTCCCATTCCTGCGTTTAAACCACCCACTCTCATTGCTGGCCATCTCATGCTGCAATCGTTCTCTCCACTCCTTGAGCCCCTTATCATCGGCTCTCACCTCATACAAATCTTTACCAAACCCTGCTCTGGCCGCCTCGACAGCCGTCTTGATGCCACACCCTGGCACGCCCTCGGGAAGATAATCGCCGCCGCGCATGAGAGCAACCAGCACCAGGCCTTCCCGGGTTAGCTTCGACCTAGCCTCGATCGCGTCGGCGTGGTGCACCGTCACATGCGTGGCCGCGGTGGACTTCCCTTCGCCGGACCACTTGCGCAGGATCGTTTTCGCGCCGAACATCAGCGTGTCAACGTCCTCGCTGAGAACGGCGTCGACGATGCCTTCGCGATTGAGGAGCGCGCATTCGGCTTCGGCTTCGCCTGGCGCGGTGTGGAAGGGCACCCCGAAGAGTTTGAGGAGCTTCTTGGAGAGGCGGATTAACGACGGCGTGAGCTTCGTGTTCGTCTTTTGCCCCCGTTTGAATGCGGGGCGGTGTGGGCCGTCGAATACAAAGAGCGGCGTGATATTGTGCGAGAGGAGACGGAGAATGCGATAATACACGGTGCGAAGCGCGGGGTTCGAGCCACCTAGAAAGGAGGGAGGAGTCAGATCTCAATCGCTGTCCAAATACCCGCAATAAGTATATACCTTTGCCCGACTGCACCTGGAAAGACCAGATGGAAGCATCCACAGCTATGCGAAGGCGCCGTCCGATGCGTGTATGGTGATCGGCTGCATATTTGGCCAGAGAAACGCGTTCGCCAGGGCCGAGTTCAGCGAAGAGTCTGTCGCGATGAGATCAGTTTCTTACGCATCCGGATAGAGAGGAAAGAATTATGCGCATACCCTGGAATACCCATATCCGGTGATTTTCTTGAAGAGCGAGTTCGATCTCGTGCGAAATATTTCTCCTGTAAGGTACCGATATGGCGTACGAGAAGAGCAGTGGACGTTGCTGCAGGAAATGGGCCACGTTTTACGGGGGCAGGACACGCTTTGTTTATAGACAATGGCCGGAATGTTCCGTTTCAGGCTGGGCGACGACGGTTGCTATGCCGAGGGCTTGTGCTTGGGCCTCCAAACGGATTCGATGCTTCTGCGAGAATTTGTTGGGCGGTAAACTGAGATCGTGAACGGATGCGACGAGTCGACGACAGACTTTCGGATGATGGCAGGAAATACCGAGAAAAGACACCTGCGCTGTGCGATGAGGGAGCTTTATGATACCCAGCACCTCTGTAGTATTATTATTCTCGCTAGCTCTAATTCTAACACCAAGCTCCAGCTCCTCACCGCGTCAGGAGGTCATAGTGGACATTGCACCCACTCGAGAGACATGCGTTCAAATGCATTCGGCACGCGGGATATAGTTGCACTGCACATCTACCGGAATCATTTTGACGTGATGCTGGAGTGTGTAATTTGCTTCCGCAAGCCTCCCGAGATTCCATCGACAGATAGGAATGTAGTACGGAATGCAGCGCAAATTGTGGTTGAAACTCGGCGTGTAAGTTCGACGGTTTGGGGCATATCCACAAGGGCGTCCCTCCATCCAATTTCCGGGCTGGTGGTGTGGTCATGGTGTGGTCATGGTGTGGAGGAGATCCGGAGACCTGGCTGTTTCTTATACGGCGGCTCATTTCGCTTGGGGCATTGTGGACGCGCGCCTGTTGATTATGACTCCAATTTTCATAGGTATTCTTTCCGTTTCCATTCTTCTCTGCATTCTTCCACAGCTAGATCAGGAAGCTGGGAAAATAATTGAGGAATTCTGTGAAGGGATTGGGGGACTTTTAATTGGGTTCGCGATGTCACGTGCAGTTAACTATGGCACAGCAGCCGTCCCGACTGCTGCGGCGAGCCTGACCCGTACCTCTCACAACTCGACATCTCCACCTTGCCACAGCTTCAAGTCCACCCAACGCAACCTAACTCAACCCCGCACCCGCCCCACCACCATCGCAACCATGGCCGAGAAAGATAAATTCAAGTTCAGACTCGAAATCCAGCAAATGATGTTCGTCTCCGGGGAGACGGGCGAGCCGTCGCCGGAGACGACGGGGATAATCGAGGAGATGGTTCGGGGACAAGTCGTAGAGATGGTGTGCACCACCTCCCCGCTACCACCTTTCGCAACATTTCTGACCGTGAAATAGCTCCTGCAGTGTACCCAACTCGCCGCGCGCCGCGGTTCCCGCTCGATTTCCACCGACGACCTGATCTTCCTTATCCGCCATGACAAAGCCAAAGTCTCGCGCCTACGCACATATCTCTCGTGGAAAGACGTTCGGAAGACCGCGCGCGAGCAGGATCCTGTGGGGGGTGGCGCGGGCGCCGAGCCCGGCGACCTGATGGAGGAGGCAGCAGCGGGCGTAGGGAGCTCCGGCCCTACGGCGCAGGTCATCAAGCAGAAGAAGACGAAAGTCGGCCTGCCGTGGGAAGTGAACTCTTTCTTCTCCGAGACGGTTCCGGAGCGCGAGGACGATGAGGATGAGGACGAGCTCGAGGCGAACCAGGCGACTCTCCAGAGACTGAAGAATGCGGATGAACGCACCCGCGGGATGACCCGTGATGAGTATGTTCACTGGTCTGAGTGCAGACAGGCATCTTTCACGTTCCGGAAGGGAAAAAGATTCCGTGAATGGGCGGGTTTTGGTACCGTCACTGAGGCGAAGCCGCATGATGATATTGTCGACATTCTAGGGTTCCTGACGTTCGAAATCGTACAGACGTTGACGGAGGAGGCGCTCAAGGTCAAGGAACAGGAGGATGCCGTCGCAAAGCAGAGTATGCGTACCAATAAGAAGAGGAAGAGGGAGGAGTTTTTGTTTCACGCGCAGGAAGGGAGGACTCCGGTTGAGGCCCGCCACGTGACCGAGGCGTTCAGGCGGCTGCAGACGCCAAAGCCGAAGATGAGAGCCATGAGGAACTTCTCCGGAGGTGCTGTGAAGAGCAGATTGACTCTGGTGTAGTTTCGAATCCCTGGTTACTTGGTTTTATTATCGGCTTGGAGTTAATGGAGTTATTGGGCATCTGTGTAGCGATTTTTTTGGAGAGAGAGGGGAGGACGGGAAAACTGTTTTGATCGGCTCCGTCCATCTCAGCGTGTCCTATATGAATAGCAAAGCGCGGCATGGTCAATAGGTTACCTACATTGCCTCCAGCTTGCATGTTCGATCCAAACAAGTGGAGCGCAGGAGCGTTACGCGCCTATGATTCACTGTTGTCTCGATCCCTCATCCAACCATCGTTGCTCCACCAGTCCCAATCCCTCAAAACCAGTCCGCTACCGGTAGTCAATTTCCTGTCACCAATACCGTCCGATAGAAACAATGAGAGCCTGTTCGGTACCGTACCGTATCTGGTAGCTACCACACAAATTTGAGCTTACGTCGGTTCACAAGTACACTGAGCGTTCGGTACAACGTATTTTAGAAAATACGATCGTTAAAACTCAGCCACATCGTATTTCTTGCGTATTTCTCTGAGCCTCCACCAAAAAATAGATTATGCTGGCATTCGTCACCAGATCCCCCTGAAGCCGTACAACAACATCCACAATGTCCGCCGGTCCCAGTCTCCTCACCCCGGAAAATATCAATCACGACTACCTCCAACTAACGCGGTATATGTCAGTGAAAGAGCAGCTTGAAATATTTCTCAAAATTGGCAGCGATAACGCGTCCAACATCCGGCACAAGAACATTTTAATGAAGCGGCGACACGATCAGCCGTACCTTTAACAACGTTCTCGACGCGATGGTAGAGCTTTGCACTGTAATTGAGTAGGCGACACAGTGTGGACTGGGCACTGCTGCGAGCTGTAGGATAGTTATATACAAGCTGCTCACTGCCTGCCATCTTCCCCCATTGTCTATCTCTCATTTCCGACCCCCTATCTCCTCCTATTGCTATCCCTTAATGTTTGTCACCTGTACGGTATCTCTGTCTCTGCCTTAACATTTTCACCCACCAGGACGCGATGCAGTAGAGAGGACAGACTTGGGAACGGGAGAAGGATTAAGTCATAGCGCTATAAACGGTAGTTACTTCTACTTGAAGGACACCAAAATTAATAGTTCGAAGGTCTTGACGGTAATATTGAATATCCACCTCCTTCGTGGGCTCCAATGTTCTCCAGAGGAGATGCAATCCCCCCAAAATAAAAACCGGATAATGTGACAAAAGGCGGCATTTGATGCTAAGTTCTAGATGGTCCGATTTTGTTGGCACACATTATGGATGCTCTCCGAGAGTAAAGTTGATTACTCTTGAATAGATTGGCTGCCGGTCACTGCCAAGCCCTCGTCACGTGGCTGATCGAGGTTGAGGTCCAAGCTGAACTGCAGTCCGGGACTCAGCAACAATCACAATTCTCCCATGGCAGACAAGAAAACGAATTCCGCTCCTGGTGGCGACACAGTACGCATCTCTCTCTCTCTCTCCTCAAAGTCTCCTAATCTTGCCGCTGACACTTCTCACAGGGATTCCGTCGCACATGGGACCGCGACGAATGGGCGTCGAAAGCCAAAGAGCGTGAAACCAAAGAACGCGCCGAAGGCAAACTGCGCGCTGAAGCCAAAGCCCAAGGCAAGAAGTATTATGCGCCAGCCGCCGACGATGCGGAGATGATCAGCGCGCGCCGCGGTCGCATCAACTTCGAGGAGAATCTCAATAAAGTACAGCTTGTGCCTGGCGGTGCGGCGGTGGGGAAGAAGGGACGCAGCGCGGGTTTTTACTGTGAAGTCTGCGACCTTACCTATAAGGACTCGTTGCAATGGGTGGACCATTTGAACTCCAAGCAGCATTTGGTCGCTACGGGAAAGACGGGGGAGGTTGAGAGGGCGACGCTGGAGGATGTGCTCAAGAGACTTGAGTGGCTGAAGAAGCAGAGGGAACAGAGGGAGAAGGTGGAAGACCTGGATATCAGGAAAAGGATGGAGGAGAGGGCTATGATTGAGGAGGAGGAGAGGCTGGCGAAGAGGGAGAAGCGGAAGGAGGCAAAGAAACGGAGGAGAGCGGTCGAGATCAAGCTGGAAGAGGGAGCTGCTGCGCGGGCGAAGGCTGGTGAGGCTGCTGCCGCTGTCTCCGAGGAGGCCGAGATGGATGACGATGCCGCGATAATGGCCAGAATGATGGGCTTCAGCGGCGGATTCGGGACGACCAAGAAGAAGAACTAATTTTGCCCGCCGTTCATCGGGTCCTATGGAGTTATGCAGGCGTTTCTGTTGTTTTCTTCTTCGAGCATGTATAATAGAGGCACGCACCAAGCCACTCAGCATCAGCGCCGTCGTCGTCGTCATCGCCGCATGTCCCCCACCCCCGCCTCCATCGCTCCATGGTGAATTCTTCACAGTTCTTCACGAACCAAAGAAAAACGTGCGCAGTCTTAGCTACCTCATCCCACATCTCACTCTAGTCCCCATCTGTCGAGCCAAAATAATATTGTGGTGATCATCCCTGCCACGTCCCAACCAAAGTGCTTGCTGTAACTCTAGTGTCACCAAGTACCGAACAACAACGAACTTGCTCCTCGTCCGCTCCTCTCCTCCGTGCCATCCAACATCTACATGCTCCCAATACCGCTATAGATTCGGGCGAACTGGCCCTTCATCCGTCAACGACCTGGTCAGGAAGATCCAAGTTCTTCCATGACTTTAGCTTTTGATGCGGCCTCTGTGAGTAAACCCGAGAAGCCAAGTTCCGCCTCCTCTGCCTGCTTCTGCCTGCCCTTTCACCCCCGAAACCCCAATACGCCCCCAACCCAACAAAAAACTGCCACTAATCAACCGTCCGACGTCGGGACGAAACGAACAGGTTGTTTGCGATCATAGTCTTCATTGCCGGTTATATCACAGCTCGCTACGCTGTCATCACGCAGGCGGTAGAACTTGCAAAGTTTGCTTGGGAACACGGAGTTGTGGTTCGTGGATCCCTTCGCGCGCCCTCATGAGCGTGCCCCCTGGAATAAGAAGACAGGTCGTCGGTCTCATCGGTCTTGTCGCGCACACTCCGCCGCCGCCTTCTCCGCGGGCAATGACACCTCCGAAACGACGCCGAAACGTTTCAAGATTTCACCAGAGACATCGGCTGACTGGGTGCGGAAAATAAATAGGGCCGGGCAACGAAAGGCTTCTTGATCTTATCGATATTCTTCTTCCTGTTCTGTATACCTATCGAACGAATCGTCGCCCGCGAGGCAGCCAACGAGGTTCGTTCCGTCCGTCTGCCAGCGCCTCGTCATCACCCCTTCATCCTACTCCTCCTGCTTCTACACCAGTCCGCTCGATCAGCGCAGACGGCGAAAGCTAACCTATCGGCGCTACTACCCACAGAACTCTCGAGGCGGCAACATCTCAGCCCGCGAACAGCTACGGAGAAGGGGCAGTTTCTAGTGCGCATACACAAGAGGAGGGATATTCAATGGGGGGGTCCAAAAATGACGTGTTGATGCGAATATTCTGGCCGCTGGACTTCCCGCGCAACGATCAAGCGGGAATACTAGTTGGCTGGCGGAATTCGGAGACGGATATCTTTGTGGTTGCGATTCTTAACGGGGTTAATGTGCGATGAAATTCTTCTTTGATTTTTATGGGGGTTTCTTACTTTTCTTTTCTTTTTGGAAGCGTCATCGTTCTTTGTGTAGTATATGGGAAAGTGCAATTGGCTGACTGAAGACGCTCCGATTTGTGTTGGTGTTGGGTTTACAGAGCACAAGAATAGACAACGAATTACGAACGCAATCTCTGTTCCGGAAATCGCGACACTCGGTGGAACGCATCTTTGATGTCTGTGGGCAGTCGGCGCTGCATGTGCTGGGCGAGGTCAATGGCAATACTACTCCCGATACCGTGTTCCGTCGGGACCATATCTATGCCTTCACGCACAAGTCGAGTCGCTACCCGCAGATCTTTTGTCCGCCGTCCAGTGGGGTGACGTTACAAGTCATTCTGTTCGAAGAGCCAAATCCTTACAAGATGGAATATCACTCGTTGACGCCCATCTCGCTGGCATTGGAAGACAAGGCGGGAAGCAAGCCGAGCGATGGTGACGACATGGAGGAAATCACGGAGAGCAAGAAGCAAGTTGAGCTCGTGGAGAAGCTGAAGCTACACACTGTTACGAAGCACGCTCCGACGGAGAAGGAGCGCGGTCTGCCGACTATCATCCATCAGATCAATTGCGCGCACGAAACCAAGGAGCTGCTCAGGATCAATGTGGAACTCTTGAATTCCCGAAGGCTGCGGAGGGCGCTCTCGGTCAGTGAGCGTGTGGTTGAGTCGGCCACCTCGGCGTGGAGAACTACGCTTCACATGTGTGTGGAGACAGCGAAGTTCTTATGGCCATTCGTCAAGAATACCCTTGTCGCAATCATCCTGTTCTGGCGCTCGTTGGCGAATTTGATTTTGAAGGTCCTAGAGTGGAGGGCGAAACCGGATTTTGCGGCGCTGAAGGATATTTCTGCTACAGGTAGATATCACTAGCTATCCGTTCAAGGCACGTGGATGCAGTAGCTAACTTGTGGTCATAGCTCAACAGTTTGATATCCGCCTGCAGCAGTTTTGCTATTGGCCGTTACAGTATATCACCGTACGTCGGCGCAAAGATGATTGGGGTGGAGCAACGAATTCTCATCCGGATTACATCCGGTTCTACAACAGCCTGTGGCTGGTGGCAAACGATATCATCATCGGTATCGCCTTAGGGTCGTACATCATCGAAAATGCCAATGTCGTTGCACAGAGTATTGATTACTACCTAAAAGTAAAACTCCCCAGGCCGCGCTGCGTGAGGATGGTGGACGAGTGCTAACTAGTTCTTCAGACATACACCATCGAAGGGATGGGCCGCACAATAGAATGGCTCTTAATAGATCCGGGAGGATTGAAGCTGAACGAAGAGCTAGACAAGTTCCTCGGTGATTTCTTCAGATGGGTTCTCAACTATTGGGCCGAGATCACCGCTTCGATCAGTCCCTACCTCCCCCAAATCATCTACGCCATCGGCATCTCCTCCTTCGCCGGCGCCTCGATGCCAATTGCCCTCTTCTCCGACCTCCTCTCCATCCTAACCCTCCATATCTACAGCTTCTACATTTCCTCAGCCCGTATATACAATTGGCAACTCAGCATAATCTACTCCCTCTTCCACCTCTTCCGCGGCAAAAAAATCAACGTCCTGCGCAAACGCATTGACTCCTGCGACTACGAGCTGGATCAACTCCTGATCGGCACCATTCTCTTCACCCTCCTAATCTTCCTCCTCCCCACAGTCTTCGTCTACTACTGCCTCTTCGCATCCGCGCGCATGGCCATAATAATCCTTAAAGCCGGCCTCGAAACCCTCCTCGCATGTCTAAACCACTTCCCGCTCTTCGCCCTCATGCTCCGCGTCAAAGACTCCAAGCGACTGCCCGGCGGAATAAAATTTGAGCTCATGGACACTCCCGACGTGTCCAGTCGTTTCCGGCACGACCTGGGAGACACGGCTCCAACAGCTTACATCCGCTTGCGCAGCACGCCACTCCCGCTGGGCGCCATGTTTAGACAGTACTCGCAGCTCGGGAGTAGACTCCAAGGCCATTACGTCTCGGCCAGAGTCATACTCTGCTTGCTCACCGGGAAGGCCGTCCCGCCGATTCATAGGAGGAATCTATATTCTATGCAGTATAGTATGTTGCCGACTAAGAGGGCGGGGGTTATGGAGGTGTGGAATAAGTTGACGGGGGGAGGGAGAGGATGAGAGGGAGGATGCGGCCTGTGGATACTATGTGCTTAATGTTCTTTCTTTTCCTTACTTTATGAACGATGACTACAGACGATGTTTGGCTCGTGGTGATTTGGACTTCATAGCAGATACTTAATGAGTTGTTCTCCATCATTGAAACGAACCAATAATGCTACCCATCTGGTCCGCCTGATCTCCAATGCCCGCAGAAAAACCACTCATTTGCCAGCACCTAATAGGTACTCAGACAACCACCCCCGAGAACGTCTGAGGGGACGGACTCGCCGTTTCGAAACGTCTGTAGATATTATAGAATTTTTAGAAAGACCCCAGTTTTTTACGGATAGCATGCGCGGGCTACAACTCGGAATTACAGAGTTTTGGTATGCGTATGCTTCCGGAAGCGTCCTTTTCTGTTATGAAGATAGAAATCATAGCCGTGGATCGGCCTTATTTTTATTTTGGTTCCATCATTGATTGCATGCGACCTATTACTAGGTATGGCAATATGTCGGAGTCGATCATTTCAATGGAAGTGAAGGCCAGCTCTTGATACCACGAGTGATTTGACGTGACGTCAATGTATAACCACAGTTACAAAGTATGCTTCTCAAGCGTCGTCTTCCTTCTCATCCAACTTTAAAGCCTTGACACACTTCCTCCATGCCTCCGCTCCTCTCTTTGCATGGCTCTCGGGAATACCCGGAGAAGGATCAGACATGGACCTGTTGAACAGCTCCATCGATACCCAACCTCTGTAGCCCCAATCAAAGATCCAGGCCTCCAACATTTCCAGGACGGGCATGTAACCCCCGAGGTTCTCCTCGAAGGGGAACAATCTCGCATTTCTCGACCAGATCTTCCGCATGTTAGCCGTGGTACCTAACTAAGCCGCGAAGAAAGAACTCGCCATATTGGGCTTCATCTTCGGATCCCACCACTCATGTGCGGCATTGATCGGCTTTTCCTGCCTCTGGGCGTCCGAAAGCTGTATATAGTACACCTTATCCAGCGGCAGGGTGTCGACGAGCTCCTTCAAGTCGACCCTCATCCTCTCGTCCGCATTCTCGCGCCGCCCGCCTTCCGCCGTCACGTCCGCCCACGTCTGCGCCAGGATCTGGTACGTATCCAGACACATACCAAAGTTCGGCCGGTCGACCTTGCGCGCGATCCGCCAGCCGTCCTGCCAGGTATCGCTGTGCGCGCCCCACGCCATCGTCTCGTACGCGAACCGGATGCCCGCCTCGGCGCCGATATCGGCGACCTCCCGCAGGTCCGCGACGATCTTGTCCTCGGAGCCAGTGGCAACCGTGGGGTCTTGGTGGAACATGCTCGGGATCTGGATCGTGTCGGTGCGCAGGACCTTGGCCATCTTCAGCCAGTGCCGAAGCTTGGCGAGCTTCTCGGCGTGTCGCTGCGGTGACAGCAGGCCGTCGTAGTTCTTGAACGGCTGCAGAACGAAGATCTCGAGGAAGTACTTGTCGCAGAGGTCGCGGAACGTCTGTGCTGACTTGAGGAGGTTCTCTTCGAAGGTACCAGTGCTCATCGCCCGCGCGGGGAGCTTGATGTCTTCGTAGAACACCTCGATACCTTTGAAGCCCGCCGCGGCCGCGGCGGAGAGCTTGGTCTCGAGGTCGTGGTGCGCCGCACGGCCCAAGCTCATGGACGCAATCGCGAGTGGGAAGCGGTCAACTAGTTTTCCGGTCATGGTTGCTTGCGTTCTTTGTGTATTATTCGACGACTGTCTGAAGATGGCACAATGCGATGTTTATGGCATTTTTCTTGGTATGCATAGTGGGGTACAGTGTTGCTCATTAGCATGTGGGGCTGTAGTTAGCTGGGTAAGACTTTTCCCGGATCTTCACTATTCTGGCAACGACGTGGAACGAACACAACCGATCCTGGACAACGGATCGCCCGTTGCCCGTTCCCCGCTCGCGCTCCCCACGGTGTCAGACTCCGCAATACCCTGATAGCCGACCCCGCGAAGTTGACGCGGTGGGGACGGCTAAGCAAAAAGCAACGGGATTTGGAATAATCCGGGGGCGGCGCTGGCGCCGGCAACGTTTTGGCCGAGCTTCACCGAAAATGTATATCTCCATCTATCACCGTAGCTGGAGATTCAGAAATCCGGTCAAGCAAACAGACAAACAGACAACGACAAAAGCCAGCCTGAATTCTTTCCTTACCGCAGAATTATCCTCCAGTTTACTCTTCCACTCCATACACCGCCAATATGTCCGAAGCACCCAGATCACCCAAGCTCCTCCTCCTCAACGGCCCTAACCTTAACCTCCTCGGCGTATGTTAACCTTCTTCCAGCTCTTACGTTCCACCTCCGCTAACCTTGCGCCGTCTAGACCCGCGAGCCCAACATCTACGGGCACACGACGCTCTCCGACGTCGAGAACTCATGCAACGCACTAGTGACCGCGCACGGGGCGACACTGAGCACGTTCCAATCGAACCACGAGGGCGCGCTTATCGACCGCCTGCACCAAGCGCGGCTGGACAAGGTCGACTTCGTGATCATCAACCCCGGCGGGTTTACGCACACCTCTGTGGCGCTGCGCGATGCCATCGCCGGTGTCGATATCCCGTTCATCGAGCTGCACATCTCAAATGTCCATGGCCGCGAGCCGTTCAGACATCACTCCTACTTCAGTGATAAGGCCGTCGCTGTCATCGCTGGCTTGGGCACCTATGGCTACGAGGCCGCGATCGGTTACGTCTTCCAGCTGCCGAGGTTTAAGGGCGCGAAGATCGGTGAGGCTCATAAATGGGGTGAGGCTGTGGGCATGGAGACGGAGGAACTCAGAGGCTAGATTGTGATGGGGAGCGAGGAAGGGAAGGAATTTCATTAGCTGTATATATCTTTGTACCACCATTTCATACTGCGTGGCAGGCTGGTCCTATATAGTAGTATTGTGGTAGGGAATCGAATCGAGCAAACAATTGCAACCACAAAAGTCGGTGTCTTGAAAGTAAAGTGAAGCCCTGCTGTGTGGAAGAACAAGACAAAACCCAAAACGCACCATAGAAGTAAACGCCAAACACCAGTCCATCCATCCATCACTGCCTAATAGTCCAACAATCATCGCACATAACCCAGAAACCAGGCGAGCCCAAAAATAGTATACCTTACAGAACGGATCATCCATTTCCTCCGTTCCCATTCCCACCCCCATTCCCACTCCCATTCCCACTCCCACTCCCATTGCCATTCCCAGCCCCCAACATCTCACCCAAGTATTGCTCTAGCACCGTGTTCAATCCCCGCCCAGCATATATATTGCTGTTGTGACCGGACGTGTCGTCTTCGCCCACACCACCCATGCTAACGTTCTGCCCTTCCACAAGGCCCTGGCCCTGACCTTGTCCATGGGGGGTGGATTGTTGATGTTGCATATCCATACTGGTCTCTGGGCTAAATCCTATGTACCCAAGGTTCTGCATGAATTCGGGAATGCCATTGTGGGCCCTGTGTACGAGTGTGGTCAGCAAGTGAGTCGTGAGTAATGGGAGCAATATCAGTGCGAACTCACCATGGCAGGTCAAACATTCCAAACTCATCGTCCAGCGTGCCCGGACTCGGCTTGGAGAAGAACATGCTGGTCGAGTTTTGTGTCGCGATGTTGCTGGCGTTCAGGTCTTCTTCGCGGAGCGACATCGCGAGCGTTTGCCGCTGGATCGGTCGCTCTTGGAGCTCGGCGGTTCGGATTGGCGCTGAAGGAGAGTACATGTCTTGCATCATGCTACCGGTGGAAGGATTGACCGGATTGTTTTCTGGCAGATACGGTGATTGGATTGACATTGGCCGCGAAATAATCCGCTCGTCCATGCGTGACATCGCGATGTGGGAAGTGTGGATGGCCGATCCCTCCGTGTTGAACGCTCTCAGCAACGCTTTCCCTGGTGTAAAACCTTCCACTGTGCAAAATTTCAAGAGATCCTCGTTGAAGATCTTTGCAACTCGAGCGGTGGGATTCTCGCCGGGGATCCTGCTGTCGTCCCTGGCCATGGGGTCGTTGGATATGAATGCCGCACAATGGATGAATGTGCACGGAGCAGATGCAAAGGACCGGTGAGACTTGTAGGCCTCGAAGATACTTGCAGCGGAAGAAATCGCAGCTTGCTTGACCGCCCGGATAGGCTCGTCATCGAACATCCCACGGAGGTCGATTAGTGGAGGTTGGTGAAGTCGCAAAAGCGCCTGTAAGTACAGGAGGTGCAGATTCGAGACATGCGGTATCGATGTCTTCGAGGGTTGCATGTCGGAGTAACTTGCTCTGAGCGAACATGATGACGGCAATTCTCGGGCCCAAACACGGAGTCGCTGTAGCAAGTCTGTTTGTCGGCCGTCCGCGTCCAAATACTGTTGTGCAGTCTGACTCGACAGACTGGCTATTAGCCGTACAATCTGGACCAGTTTGACGAGCTGGTTGAAGACCGATGTGATGTGGGCCGGCTCATGCTCGACGTGGCCCGCGGTCCGGACCTCAAACAGTGAAGAACCATTCCACAAATCCCACTCCTCCCATCCGTCTTCGGACACCGGTAAAACTCGCCAGTCATCGTCGGTGATCTGCGGCTCCCTGCCCAACCAAAAAGCTATCAACGACTCCAACACCAAAAACCCGAGCCAAGTCCGCCGGCCGAAAGGTTGGTCTGTTAGATTCAAGCCAATATCTTGCGAGACCCGTCCTGCATGTCCGACGAGCAGCCATGCCGTGCTAAGATGAAGCTGGGAGATGTTTAGGAGAGCAAGTATCAGAAGACACTGGACATGCTCCATGCCGTATTCCCGAGATTCAAATAGCAGCTTCTGCGAGGAAGCATACAACCTTGCAGAGGTTGTAGCGATCATCTCGTCAGGCGAAGTTGCTTCCCCACCATGCCTGGCAAGGCCCTCCATCTGGGAGGATGCCAGTGACAGCACCGCATAAAGCAAGGCCCGTTTCCCGGAATCAACTTGCGAGGGGGCGCAGGGATCCAGACTCTTCGGAGGTGGAGGTGCGTTGATATGATGAAGAAGCCGGACAATGTCGTATTTATCCAGGATCGGATACCAGCAATGGCAGTAGGAGAAATACACGTCCAACAGTATGCGGGAATTCGGCGGGATATGAGTAGGTTCGGGCAGCTGGTTCTGGAGCATCAAATCCTCCGTATACATGTCGCTGCTGACCGCGGGACTAGCCATGACCGAGGGACAGTGATGGGAGGGAGACTGATCGTATCCATGGGGCCGGAAGTTGGTATTGTTGTGGAAGTGATTGGCGGCGGCGGCGGCTGTCGTTGCGGGAGACGGTGAGGGGGGGACCGGTGAGAGATGCTGATCCGGCGGAGGCTCGTATCCGTCGTTGGGAGTCGAGCCGGCGTAGGAGTGAGCGAGCTGCTCGTTCTCGTTCTCGTTCGACCGAAACATGGTGCCTTCCCCGCCAGTTCCCTCCACATCCATACTTGGCCCCACGAATTGTCGTTCCATTGTCTCGTTTCTGGGGGCCGGCGGCGCCTGGGACCGTCCTCCGTCGTAAGCTGTCGGTCCATCGGCTGTGGGGGTGCAGTCCACACGGAAGCGCGCAGTCCTCAGATCCAAGTCCGCCCGTAGAGGCTCTACTTCGGATGGCAAGTCTGGAGCCTCCGAGTGGCCGAAGCCGGTGGCCTGAAACGAGTCCAATGCAGCTAGGACAATGCCCTCCTTCCACGCGACGGTTAATCGTTTTCCATTATCATCATCGCTAAATAAATGCGCGCTGTGCTGCTGTGCCAACGCGACGAGAGCGTGATCGGCGCCCTTCACCGTCACCACCAGCAGGCCCAGCACCCGTTGCAGCAGCTTCACCGTCCTCTCCAGCGCCGAAACACTACCCGGCGCCAGGCCCCGCTTCTTGGGCGAGGCGCCATACGTGCACCGCAGCGACAGCAGTGTGCACGGCGAGCAGATGGGCTGGGTGCCGTCGCATTTGATCTTCTTCGATCGGCACTGTTCGCAGGCGCGGGAAACCCGAAGTCGTTTCTGAGCCGGACCTGTGTCGGAGGTGCTCATCGATATCTCTGTGCCCCGAGCTCAGCTGTCGTCGATAGTCATAAATCGGAAGTCCCGGATAACGAGAATTGGAGGCGACCGGCAACAACCGCACATGGGACTGGAGGCCGTGGCCCTTGAGGGATACCAAGTAGGCACTGGGCCGAGGAACCACCAATCACATCGTTGCCTTGCCAGCCAATCCTGACTACTGCTGGGTGTCAGTAGCGAGCCCGCTCTCATTTCCCCGCAAACCGAGTCCCACCTACAGGAGCACACAGGGCGGGCCGGGGTCGGTCGAGCATTTATCCGTAGTGGTGTGGCCGCGGTCACAACGAACTATCTTCGCCTCCACCGTAGACCAACACGATATGGCGGCGCGACACCAGCAACACCACCGACCACGTCGACCTCACAGACAGTCCTCCGATGAAGCGAAAGGCTGCCGATGTTCACGACTTCGAGATCGGACCGAGTCCGGCGCGACCTTCTCCGCCGCACTGGCAGGCAGCCGATTTCCCGCATGGCCCGTGTCCGCGCACCGACGCCTTCTCGCCAAACGCCTCCATAGCCCTCGTGGGGCTGCGTGGCGTCGGGAAGTCGACGATCGGTGTCATTCTGTCGTCGATGCTACGCCGGCGCCTCATCGATGGCGACGTCTACTTTGTCGGCTCGACGGGAATGTCAATCGCGCAGTACGTCAACATCCACGGATGGCCGGGCTTTCGCGCGAAAGAGGCCGAGCTCATGGATGAGATCTTGCGAGAAAACGGAACCGACACCGTGATCGTCTGTCCCAGCGGCTGCGTGGAAACGGCGAGTACGAGATCGCGGCTACAGGAGTGGATGAATCACCGGCCTGTCGTGCATATCATTCGCAACGAAGACGAGATTCGGGATTACCTCCAGCCGCAGTCGCCAGCGTCCTCCCCTTCGCAGCGACCCAACCCCCCAGGGAACACTCTACGCCGCTTAGTGGCGCGACGGGAGCCTATGTATTCGAGCTGTTCAAACCTTGTGTTCTACAACATGTGGGACAAGCAACAACACCCGACAGTTTCCTCGGGCCGGTATTCGCCCTCGGCACCCACACTGAAGAATGTCGAACAAGATTTCCTGCGCTTGCTCAATTTCGTGTTTCGGCGAGAAATGGCCCCGGTCTGGGATTGGCACGGACCCCACCCGTCATCAGCACCGGTAGCAACCGCTGTCGAGGAGAGGTCGTATACGTATGCTCTCAGGATGCCTCCAAATCCTTCCTTCGGGACCATCGTCCGTGCCCCGGTGATGCTCGAGGAATTGGGCGAGACTGTCGATGCGTTCGATCTGAGGATTGATTTCTTATTGCATCCCACGATAAGCCCCGCAGTGGACCGCCGAAGCTTCTCGACACTATGCTTCATAGCGGAACAGTTCGCTTGCATCAGGAGGCGTACTTCGGTACCCGTTGTCTACCATGTCAAAACCGAGCACCAGGGAGGATGTTTCCCAGCACACCCCGGAAACATCAACCAGGAGAAAGCATACTTCCATCTTCTGTATCACGGCATTCGGCTCGGTGCCGAATACGTCATCGTGGAGCTAAACTACAATGCCCAGATGATCTCCGATTTGGTGGCTCGGAAGGGTGCAACAAAGATTATTGGAGCCCACTTCGAAAGACAAGGCACGAATTTCGACTGGGACAGTCCGGAGCGGCTGCAGCTGTATGAACGAGGAGCACGGTTGGGATGTGATATCGTCAAGCTGGGCCAGAAAGCAAACAGCATGCAGGACAACTTTGCCGCAATCGCGTTTACCCACGCCGTGGAGAAGCGGCGAAGCGCTGGTGACAGAATCCTCCCGGGGTTGATGGCTTTCAACACGGGAAGTTTGGGCAAACTCTCGCGTTCTCTCAACAAGACGTTGTCGCCGGTGACACATACACTACTACTTCAACGCCAGCAGCTTGCGGGAGTCACGGGCGATGAGGACAAGATCGACGGCAAGCCAGAAGATGAGGAGGATATGACCCCACAAGAAGCCATATCGGCCATTCACGCCTGCGGCATCCTGCCTCGCCTCAATTTCTGCATTCTGGGCTCAGCTATCCGCCACTCCCTATCGCCGGCTATGCACAACGCCGCCTACAAAGTCTACGGGATGCCGCATAGCTACCGTATTTGCGAGACACCCACCATCAATCAACTACTAACGGTGGTGCAAGACCCAGCATTCGGTGGAGCGAGTGTAACACTTCCTTTCAAGCTCGAAATCATCCCGTTGATCCACACGCTGTCGGATCATGCTCGTGCCATCGGCGCAGTGAACACCATCATCCCAATACGGCCCACGGACAACAAAACTCCGGTGGCGTTGCACGGCGATAACACGGACTGGATCGGAATCCGCACGTGTGTGCTGCGATACCTGACGCCAGTGAATGCCATCACGAGCAGCACAACATCGCTCGTTATCGGCGCTGGAGGAATGGCAAGGGCTGCCATCTATGCGCTGCAGAAGATCGGGGTGGAGAACATCTTCCTCTGCAACCGGACAGCATCGCGCGCGATGGAGATTGCCGAGTACTTCAACAGCAAACGAGTCGGCGACCGAACACCGGAGAGGGCCAGTCCGAGTTCGCCCAGCATCGTCCGATACCTGTCATACTCGGAAGTTTCGTGGCCGACCGGATACCGGCTGCCGACAATTGTGGTTTGCTGCATCCCCGCACACTCGATCCAGGGTGCGCCGCCGGCAAACTTTACGCTGCCGAACAAGTGGCTCGAGAGTCCCACGGGTGGCGTATGCGTCGAGGTACATACTGCTTTTCCCCATCTGCCCAATCCCAAGGGGTCTTTTAGCTAACGGTCGGGTTCGGTTCCTTTTAGCTTGCATACAAACCCCGGGTTACACCACTGTTGCACCAGATCCGCACGCTGGCGCAAAAGGGCTGGATCGGAGTCGATGGCCTAGAAGTCTTGCCAGAGCAGGGTTTTGCACAGTTCGAGTTGTTTTTGGGTAGGAAGGCGCCGAGGAGAGTGATGCGAGATGCGGTCGAGCAGGCTTATGTACAAGAGCGGAAGTAGGGTTTTGCCGTAATTTGGGGGCAGGTGGTGTTTGTTTTGCGATTCCTCTTCTTGCTCTCCGCGTGGCGTTGGTTAGTCCATATATCATACACAGTACATTGTGGTTCTTTGGGTGTATCTGTGCGGGGCTTGAGGTCAGCGATAACGAATGAGCTCGGTGTGGAAAGGAGCGGGGTGGCGGGGCACCGGTAGGCGTGGAGTCGCGGCAAAAAGCGTCTCGCTTGATTAGCCTCTGAGACCGGGCCATTCCCGGCCAAGGGACCGATGGACCGATGGACCCTTTACTGACGTATGTACCCATCCACGCTATTTCATCCAGATTGTCAACTGCAGGCAACTACTCACGTGGACCGATGAGCGAGAAACGTGTCCCAACGCCCGTAGCCCTGTTTGCTTCTTCGGAGGACGGTGAATGCTGCGGGAGCCCATTTTGACAGGCACCGGGATGACGCCATGACGTGCATGTCCATGTCCATGTGGTGCCCACTTCTATCATACATAGCAGCTTGCAATTATCCGGAACCCTCTCCCTCCCGGCTCTTTACTGCGCTTCCCCGCAACGACAGGCCTGAAGCCACACCCTATATGTTCCTGTCCCAGTAGCCCACTCGGCCCTTCTCCAGTCCTCGAATTTCCATAGAATTACCATATCGGAGGCAGCAACACACACCAGTTACAATGAACGTCGCCCAGTTCATCCCCGAAGTCCAAGGCGTCGAGGACGTCTATCCCGCCGAGTCGCATGCCCACCAGAAGGAGCGCTGGGACCACCTGCTCGCGAAGTTCGAGGAGAAGTATGGCAAGCGCGCGTCTTTCATCTCGCGGGCACCGGGGCGGGTCAATATCATTGGCGAGGTAAGTCAAGCACCGGTGCGCACCGCATGGGCGAGCGAGCGTTGCGATGGCTGACGGGCAATCCGGTGTAGCACATCGACTACATGCTCTTCTCGGTGCTCCCCATGGCAGTCGAGGCCGATCTCCTCCTCGCCGTCCGCGTTACGCCCGAAAACTCCACCATCAAGATCGGCAACGTCCTTGCCTCCAAGTTCCCCGACCGCGAGTTTGTGATCCCCGCGGCGGGAGAGGGAAACTTGGAGATCGACTCGACGCAGCTGGAATGGTCCAACTACTTCAAGGCCGGGTACCGCGGAGCGGTCGAGTTTCTGCGGCGCAACAGCGTCTCTGCCGCCGAGAAGCCGCCCGGAATGGAGATTCTAGTTGACGGCAACGTCCCCTCTGGCGGCGGACTCTCGTCGTCCGCGGCATTCGTGTGCGCCAGCGCTCTGGCGGGCATGGCAAGCATGGGAGTCGCCACCGTCGACAAGAAGGAGCTGGTGAGCTTGGCAATCGTGTCGGAGCGGTACGTGGGCGTGAACTCGGGCGGGATGGACCAGTCGGCGTCGGTATTGGGGTCCGCGGGAAGTGCGCTGTTCATCTCGTTCGACCCTGAGTTGTCGGCGGAAGCGGTGGCGTTCCCAAAGACGAAACCGGAGCCGGTGTTTTTGATCGCGAATACATACAAGACGGTCGAGAAGCATGTTACCGGACCTATACACTACAACCTCCGTGTCGTCGAGACGACGCTGGCGGCGGAAATGTTGGCTAAGAAACTCGAGCTAGCGTTGCCGCAGGATACTGGCCCGCTGGGAACCACGCTCAAGGGCCTCATGGATGTCTACTTCACCAAAAACCCATCCGACCAGTCTCTTGAGCAGAAATTCGAAGAGATCGCGCAGATCACCGAGGGTGTACTGTTCAAGGAAGAGGGCTACACCCGCGAGGAAATAGCGGAAGTACTGGGAATCTCCGTCGACTCTCTCGTGGAGCGGTACATGACCAAATTTCCCATCCGCGCCGAAAAGTTCCAGCTACGTTCAAGAGCCCTGCACGTGTTTGGAGAAGCTGCCAGGGTGGTCCAGATGTACTGGCTTCTGGAGAAGTCCTCGAAGAAGGACGATCCGAAGGAGGAATCACTTGTGGTACTGGGCGAGCTCATGAATGCAAGCCAGAAGTCGTGTAAGGAGCTGTACGACTGCTCGTGCGAGGAATTGGATGAGCTATGCAGACTGGCGAGAGAGGCGGGCTCGTATGGAAGCCGCTTGACGGGTGCGGGTTGGGGCGGCTGCAGTGTCCACTTGGTGCCGAAGGACAAGGCCGAGGCGATCAAAAAGGTGTGGATGGAGGAGTACTATGCAAAGATGGACCTGAGCGAGGAGCAATTGTTGGAGGCCATCGTAGAGACAGAACCGAGCTCGGGCGCTGTTCTGCTTAGGCTGTAGATGGCGAAATGGGAACTTGGGGTGTTTACGTTTCCAGGCAGAGAATAATGAATACTACCACGTGTCTGTGACAAAGCATCTAAGAAACAACTACCCATGATATCCCATTCCTGCATAAATATATGTACAATCTGACCATACAGAATCCCAAGTACCATCCCGTCTATTTGTTGATAAACCGGTTTTTGTCCGCCGCAGTATACAGCGCCGCCCACGCCGCCTCATGCGGGATCTCTTTCACCCTGTCCTTACCAGCCCAGTTCTCATACTGCTGATCCAGCTGCCAGCCAATAATATTGATCCCCTCGACAACCGGCCACCCACTCGCCTTTGCCGCCTTGAGATACCTCGTACTCCTCGGGTTGAAGCACATCTCCAAGAAAACCCCCTTCTCCCCCGTACTAAAGAAATACTTCAACATCTCCGCCGCCGCCACCTCCGTCTCCGTCTTCGGCTCGAAATCCGGCACCGTGCCGACAACATAGTACGGCCTCTCCTCGGGCTTCAGCGCCCTCGCCTGCTCCACGCTCTCTAGGTGTACGATATCCGGGCCGCCGGTCGCCGCATACTTCGCCGCGTCCTTACGCAGCGCCTCAACCTCGCCCGCCAGGCGGTTGATGACATAGATAGTCGAGCAGTTGAGATGGGCAAACAGGGCGTAGACAGCGGCTCTAGCCGCGCCGCCGGCACCAACCACAAGCGCGGGCCTACCCACGCCCGCGGTCGACGCAGACTTCAGACACTGCAGGATCCCGATCCAGTCGGTGTTGGAGCCGACGAGCTCGCCGGTGGGTGAGAGGTACACGTTGTTGCAGGCGTTGAGGGTCGATGCGTAGGCGTCCAGCCGGTCGAGATAAGGCATTATCGTCTGCTTGAAGGGCATGGTCACCACGCCGCCCGCGAAGTCGGGCTGCCGGAAGGTCGAGATCACCGCAGATACGGAGGGCGCTTCGTACAGTTGGAATTCCCAGGGAAGACCCAGGGCGTCCGCGACGGTTTGGTGGATTGTTGGGGAGATCGAGTGAGATACACCTTGTCCGGCCAGGTAGTAGAACTTCTTTTCGGGGGTGGAAATGCTCATGGTGAGGGCGGTGGTGAGGATGGTGAGGATGGGGGAGTGTGGGCTTGGCTTCGAGATGGCTTCCGTCGAGCGCAGACAGGAGATATTTCTGTATTTTTGTATCTCCCTCTTACATGACATGATGCCGTTCACCCCTCCGGAGAAAGACTTATCCGCCCAGGTCCCCATGTCCCGCACATCCCCACATGGGCTGCGTACGCTCGCCCAGCAGCGAAATGTTGTGACTCGCTCACAGAGCTAGAGAGGTATAATTATCGGCAGCTAGAGGTCGGTCCTTTGGTAGCCGTTTACAGGACAGGACCTACTTTCCAAACCCCATCTCGAGCTCCACCAAGCACACAAGCAATGGCAACAAACGGCACACCAGCTCAGTACAGAGATCTGCTCCGCCAGAACTACGCCGCCGGGGAAAAGACCTACATCCTTACCCTCACCTTCCCGTCCATCGAAGATTCCCTACCGCACCTTACACGGCTGAGCTATGGTACCGACATGTGGGAGCTCCGCGCCGACCTCCTCAGCTCTACCTCGCCGGCGTTTGTCTCGCAGCAGATCAGTTTGCTGAGGGCAAACTCGGAGCTGCCGATACTGTTCACCGTGCGGACGGTTAGCCAAGGAGGGAAATTCCCGGATGAGATGGCTGTGGAGGCCCTGGAGCTGCTACAGCTAGCTGTGGAGGCTGGGTGCGACTATGTCGATGTCGAGACGAGCTGGCCGGTAGAGGCCGTCGATAAGCTGCGGCAGAACAAGGCGGATACAATCCTCGTGGCGAGTTGGACGGACCCCACCGGGGCCATCAGGTTGGAGGATGCAGTCCTGCAGGAGAAATACATCCAGGCGGAGAAGATTGGAGGTACGTAAAACACTTGTATTCCACCGAGCTTTATACAGTACTAATGAACGATCAGACATAGTGATGCTCAGCATCCTAGCCACAACCGAATACGACTCCCACGAGCTGGCACTATTCCTCCGCGACCACCGACAAAAGCACCACAAGCCACTGATCGCCATGGGATTGGGCACGCACGGGCAACTCTCACGAGTAGTCAGCCCAGTCTCATTCATTACGCACGCGCTCCTTCCGGGCGCCGGCGCCCCGGGGCAGATGAGTCTCGCGCAGATCCAGCAGAGCATGCACCTTCTGGGGCAGCTGCCGGCACGGAATTTTTTCATATTCGGCAACAACATAGCGCACTCGCTTTCACCAACACTTCACAACACGGCCTTCACGGAGCTGGGGCTTCCGCACCACTACAGCATCCACGAGACCTTCGCCGTGGACGAGGGCGTGCGCGAGATCATGAGCCGCCCGGACTTCGGCGGTGCATCCGTCACCTTCCCGCACAAGCTGCAGATCGGCCAGTTCCTGCAGACCGAGTCAGCCGTTGCGCGTCTCATCGGCGCGGTCAACACCGTGCTGGTGCGCACGGGGAAAGACGGGTCCCGCCAGCTCGTCGGCGACAACACCGACTGGCTGGGGATCAAGTCCTGCATCGAGGTGAACTGGCCGGACGGTGGAACGGTCACCGCGCGCGCCGCAATCGTGATCGGCGCTGGCGGCGCCTCCCGCGCTGCGTGCTACGCCGTCCAACAACTCGGCGTAAAGACGCTCTACATGATCAACCGCACGCGCGCCAAGGCCGAAGCGCTGGCGGAGGACTTCCCCGCGCTCACGTTCGTGCACTACAGCAGCTTTGCGGAGTTCCCTGCGGCGGGCGCGGACCCCGCACCGAGTATCATTGTTGGCTGTGTTCCCGCCGATGACTTCGTCGAGGAGGATATTCCGTCCGCGATGTTTGCCGCGGTCGAGAACGGCGTGCTGGTCGAAATGGCGTATCGCCCCCTGGAAACGGCCCTGATGAAACGGGGAAAGAGGTTCAACGGGTGGAAGATCACCCGTGGCGTCGATGTCCTCAAGGAACAGGCTTATCATCAGTTCCACATGTGGACCGGACGTAGGGCACCCAAGAGGGTTATGGCGCAGGCGGTGGATGCGAAGGTTGGATAACTAAGCTTTAGATAGAGGGATCACGTGTGTATTTGTATATATGTAGCTCTGCGGCCGGAAATCAAGCTCGTCGTTGAATTCATCACGTTACGTGTGTGGTCGTGGTTGTGGAGTATGTATGTGGCGTAGCGGGGTTGACAGGCGGGAAGTTCTTAGCGCCCGCTGTACCGGGGGATGCGCAGCCCGGAGTTGAGTAGATCCACCACTAAGAAGCAGCGTTGCTCCGAAGAAGGCCGCCAGGCCGCACAGCCGTTGCCTACCAATTCACCAGCCTTTTCTTTACACATGTCTATAACGTAGCCTCGTAGCCTCACTATATTCTCCATCTAATTAACCACGATCGAGTGTTCTGGATGAATCATGGATGGATGGCTATTGACCGTTTGTTTGAGATGCCGTCGATGCATGCAGCGATGGCATCAACTAGTGTAAAAACAGTGCTGCCGTCTTCAGCCGTTTTGACGATGTTGCCACCCCAAGGGATGCGTAACCTACGAGCGATGGGAGATGGGAGATGGTCATCGCTACTTAGGCATCAGATGCATCGTTTCACTACATGGAACCGTGGATTTGGTTCGTCATTCGTGTGTGCGAGTGATATCTTGTGCCTACATGTAATAGCGTCGTCCTTCCGTGCAGTCATTTACGGAACTACATCCAGTAAACGACATGATGTACATACCGACTGGTCATTTCATAATTGCAAGACATCGTCAGCCCGAGGAAACGGATTTTCTCTACCTACTCTGCGGTATCGTACCTTATGTACTCTACGCACTTTTCGACTTGATGATAGAGTTAGCTTTCGTTCTCAGGAGCTATGTACCGGTACTCTACAGCCGGATACCCGCTGCCTATCTTTACAGAGAGCTTGAAGCTAGGTAGACAGTCGAGCTTTCCGTGGAGGACCAATCTCGAGCACGACAAGGAAATGTCCAGGAAAGACCAAACCGAATGCTGCTAACGTAACTGCCCCGCGTCCCCAGCTTACCCACAGCTTCCGTTTGTACGACCGGCGATCGGCGGCGCCGGGAACAAAGTTAATCCTTCACGCTCCTTGCCACTTGGATAGCCGTGGGTAGGATTTCATTGACGGAGTGTGTTCTCGCGCTCGGATTGGCCTGCCGGGCGTGGCGTGGCGGGGTGATGGGTAGTGGGTGGTGGTATCGATTATCCCTAGCGTCTCACTGTCTCCATCTACACACTCTACCCCGCATTACGCACACGCCAAACTCGGATAATATTTTTCGCAGCCAGCGTGGGATCCACCACTGAGGTGGGAGCCTCTGCGAGATTCTGCGAGGTTACACCGGGGTTTTGACGGAGAAACATCATCGCGACACTTAGGTGAGGTGCTGACGAAGAAGCCCTTCAAATACCCTGAGTCTGATAACTAGTAGCGTTCTCGGCCTTTTCTGATCGAACTACTTCCTATACGAACCGCAGTACTCATACACATACCAAATACCAAGCACTTACGCACGCATTCCCTTCCACACTTCGGACAAAAAAAAGCATCGAACGAACGAACGAACACAATGGCCCCGAGCACCACGAACACCGTTGGCGGCGATGACATCCTCACCAGCTCGTACGAGCACGGCACATCGATGCTCCCGCTCGGCGTCCTGACCAAACCTTTGAAGACCTACCTCTTCGGCAACCCGATCTCGCACTCGATGGCGCCGCTTCTGCACAACACACTCTTCGAGGAGCACGGGGTGCCATGGAACTACAGTCTCTTCGAGTCACTCGACGACGCGGCATTCCTGCAGCTCCTCAAAGCCGACAACTGCATCGGCAGCGCAGTGACGATGCCGCACAAGATCAACTTCATGAGCCACGTCGACCACCTGACGGAAGAGGGGCGAATCATCGGCTCGATCAACACGGTGTTCATCCGGCTGGACGCGGCGGGGAACAAGCGGTACATCGGCACGAACACGGACTGCATCGGCGTGCGCGAGGCGTTCCTGCAAAACATTCCGGGGGTCCTCGAGATGAGCCGCGGGAAGCCCGCGCTCGTCATTGGTGGCGGCGGCGCCTGCAGATCCTCTGTCTATGCCGTCTGGAAGTGGCTCGGCGCGTCAAAGGTCTACCTCATCAACCGCGTGCGCTCGGAGGTCGACGAGGTCATTGCCGCGTTCAAGGCCGCGGGGTTCATGGGCGAGCTGCTGTGGATCGGCAGTGTGGAGGAGGCGAAGGCGCTCGAGACCCCCGGGTGCATCGTCGGGACTATTCCCGACTACCCGCCAAAGGCTGAGGGAGAGCTGGTGTGCCGCGCTATCGCGGAGGAGTTCTTGGGTAGGCCCGAAAAGGGCGCGATGCTCGAGATGTGCTACCACCCCAAGCCAGTCACGGCGCTGTACAGGCTAGCGGAGGAGGCAGGGTGGAAGTTGGTTGGTGGTACCGAGGCGATGGTGCACCAGGGCATTGCGCAGCAGATCCTGTGGAAGGAGAGCCCGCTCGAGGACTTCAGGCTGGAGAGGGCACAGAAGGTCGTGCAGGCGGAGTTGGAGACTAGGTGGACACACTAGAGGAGGGTGGACGGGCGTTATGCGATGGTTTCTTTGTTTATATGTATCATTTCAGGGCTGTCTTCTATAAATATTGAACTGCTGGTTACTCAAACGTCTTGTCCGACCGCATAAACTTGGGCGACATGAGGCTGTAGTTATTTGATCGTAGCTGTGAAACGCGACTCCTGTCTTGATCCACAACCAGCAGAGATATCTGACGCTGAGCATAATACTCGGGACACATTGTTCATCCCCCACAAAGTCATGAGTACCAACCCCCACACAGATCCCGCTAGACTTGGTATATCCGCCGTGTCCAAACCCAAGTCCCAGTCCCGCTGTGACCCAGTATCGAACCACATTTTCACCCCGCCTTGCAACGGAGGCTTTTGTCGCCGCAATCCCCACCACCCGAGCCGGCGGCCACGTACGCGGACTCCTCGCACCGTCGAAACCGAGGCGGCGGCAATTGCAAACCAGTGGTCTTCCTGTCTGCCTTGCTGAATGGGTAAACAAAGACCCGGAAGAGCGAGCTTTGTAGTATCCAACTGTCAACAGACACCGAGCCGCGCCGAACGTAACCCAAACGCGCAGTGAACGTGTGGCTTCGATGATCGTCTGCGGGGCTGTAACGGTGGGGTCGTCGGACGTCGGCTAAGACCTCCCTGCCGCTGGCAAATTGTTTTCCCGGCGCGCCGTACCGAGGAAGTGGTGGACACAACGATCACGAATTTCGTGACGATACAAAACGAAGGGTGATGGCCTGCTGTAAATAGAAGGCATCATCAACGTCCTCTGACATTCCTACCGCAGAAACAATTCTTCAGCTTCATCATTCATCATCATGCCTGATTTGCACTCCCTCCCCGCCGGCTCCCGCCCCGATAATGCGATCCGCAACAACGGACCCGACGACTTAGCGCTGGAGCGGTATAAGATCCGCGAGCTGGCCGAGGGCTGGCCGTGCTACCGGTAAGTAACCCGTCTCGCATCCACTCTCGGTAACGGCAACCAACTAACGTCCCGCAGCGACGCCTGCGAATGGGAGAACTTCAAGTCAATCTTCCACTACCCAGACGCATTCGTGTACACGACGTGGACCGGGCGGACACCTATCGCGGACTTCATCGCGGCGTCGCAGGGCGGGATGGACCGTGGCGCATTCATCATGCACCGGATCCACGGGACGACGACGGACATCCAGGGCTCTCGGGCCGTGACGAAGATGAAGGCGACGATTACGCAGCGGTTCACGCTGGACGGCTGCGAGGTCGACGCTGAGAGCGACTGCAGGTTTTGCTTCCTGTTCGAGAAGCGCGAGGGCCGCTGGGGCGCCGTCTTCGTTCGCCACTGGTACGAGAAGGATAAGCTCATCCCGGTCGACCCGAGGAAGATCCCAAAGCTCGACGATGAGAAGCTTAAGGGCTTCCCGAAGGGATATAGGTACCTGGCCTACTGTCAGGAGGCTACAATGGGGAATATCAAGGTCAAGCTGGATATGCCTGGCCACCGGAACGAGGCGGATTCGGTCACCGGGAAGGCTCACGACAAGCTGTACTGGCAGGCGAAACAGTGGCTGGAGGGCGAGGAGGTTGATATTTAGAGCGCCGGATAGCTTGGGTTTTTCTTTTTGTTGTCGGTGAAAATTGCATGTATGTACTTGTTGGGATACCATCGGATTGAAACCAACGAACGGAACGGAAGACCTCGCGTGATATATAACCCCACCACCATCAGTGATAACCCCACCATCAGCGGCGCCAGCATCAGCATGAGCATGAGCATGAGACATACTTCTTATCCATCCCACTTCGAAAAGCCCATCCCATCCATAGGCATGGGCATCATCGGCATCACAGCCACGCACTCGCGCTACCACACCATGCCCGGTTCGGACGTTTGTTTGTTTATCTATCAGGCTTATCTGTGTGCATATGTATGGAAATCACCCCAGATTGCCGACATATTGCGCGCACATCACCATGTAGAGTATGTAACTACTATTGTTCACTGCACACTGCACAGCTGCACGCCGCATGCGGCCTCACCAACCACAGCACTTGTGCTCATGCAATTTCATGCAATGTGACGGCAGAACATTGATTGCGTGCGGAGTGGGCGGAGTAGAGTGCCGTGTTGTCAGGCAATCTGCGGAGCGGGGGGGAGAGGTCTGCGGGATGCCCCGGGTGGAATACGCACGAAGAGGTATATCTATCGAGCACACACCCATCTCCCGCCGACCCCCCCTCTTCCCCGCAAAATACCACCACACACCCACACCCACAGACACAGACACACACACGCACCCACGCACCCACGCACTCACGCACACCCACGATGGCCGCCGACATCCCCACCGAAATGCGGGCGCTCACGGTGCCGTTCCACGCGACGCCGGACAAGCTGGAAGTGTCCACGCTGGCGGTGCCATCGATATTCGCGGCGACAGACGTGCTGATCCGCGTGCACGCGGCCTCGATCAACCCCATCGACGTCAAGAAGGCCGCGGGAATGACCAAGCTGCTGGAGACAGTCAGCTTCCCGTTCGTGCTGGGCCAGGACGTTAGCGGCGTGATCGTCCAGCGCGGCGATGACGCAGGTGACTTCAATATCGGCGATGAAGTGTACTCGCCGCTGCTTAAAGGAGGTGAGCTCGCTCGCACTTACTTCCCCCGTGCGTAAGAGGTGGGCGCTGACGGATTGATTCCCCCCCCTCCAGCCGCAGCCGCAGACTACGTCGTCACGTCGTCCAAGCACCTATGCCGCAAGCCCGTAACGATCTCCCACAGCCTCGCCGCAGCACTGCCGACGGTAGCCACAACAGCGCTGCAAGCGCTCGCTCGGGCGGCCTCCCTACAGCCCTCCGGCGACCTGACAGGAAAAACGGTGTTCATCCCCGGCGCGCTCAGCGGGACAGGGCACATCGCGCTGCAGCTCGCGAAGCGGGTGTTCAACGCAGGGCACGTGATAACGACCGCGTCGCCGGAAAAGATCGCGCGGATCCCCGAGCTGCTGGGCGAGGGGACGGTGGACCAGGTCATCGACTACACCACTCAGGACGTGCATAAGGAGATCGAACGGGGGTCGGTCGATTTCGTGTTTGATACCATGGGCGATGCGTTGAGTTATTTCTCGCTGGTCAGGCCGGAGACGGGTGTCGTGATCAGTCTGGCCACTATGCCGAGTGGTGAGCAGGCGCTGAAGGCGTACCCGGAAACGCCCTGGGCCGCGAAGGTTATGCTCAATCTGGTCGATGCGTGGTATCAGTGGAGGGCGAGGCGCTGGGCGGTGGGGACCTACGAGTTTTTCTTTCCGGATCCGGACATCTACGCGAAGGATTTGGAGAAGGTGGCGTGGTGGGTAGGTGAGGGGAAGCTTAGGCCGGTGATTGGAAGGACGGCGAGGCTGGAGGATCTGGAGGGGGTTATTGCAGGGTGCACTGAGGTGAAAAGCGGGAAGGGCGGTACGGGGAAGTTTGTTATCGAGCTTGTTTAATAGTGCGAGTGTTTTGTTATGTGGGGCATAGCTGGCGTTTGTTTTCGGGCAGTTGCAATTTTACTCGACTTTATGTCTGATGCCGCATCGAACGAAAAACGAAAACTATTACTTCACTCGGATATCGTGGTGAATGGTAAAAATGTGGGAGAGTAATCTGTACATACAGTTCAACCAATAGTTATACACAAGACCCAACTGATCCCACGATCCAGAAGCCCCAGCTTCACTCGGATATCGTGGTGAATAGTGACGACGTGGGGGATCAATCTATACATACAATTCGATTAATACAATACACAGGACGCAACTGATCCCACAATCCAGAATCCCCACCTGGCACCTACAGCCTCGACTTCACCCCGCTCACATGGTCCGTAATTGCCAGAGCCCGCCTTCTAAGCTCCTCGCCATGCTCCCCCAAATTCACATCATAGTTCCTCACCGTTTCGAGCATCCTATCATAAACCCTACCATCCCTCGCCGCCACCACACCGGGAAGCTCCCAATCATCGAACTCAAACGCATCAGTAAGCGCCACTACATCAGCAATACTCAGTTTCTCGACTGCGGCCTCCTGGGCCTTCCGAATATCCTTCGCCTCCTGCGGCGTGGTAATGACGCCGGCCTCGAGAAGCTCGGGCAACGCCAGAACGAGCGTGCTGAGCGTGTGCAGCTCCGTCACGGGAGTCGCCGGCATCGAGGCGACAACAAACACATCGGCGTGAGCAGCCGCAAGACGGGCGGCCATCCAGCTGTGCGCGGTCCACGGAGCGCTGGGATCATTCGCCACAGTGGTAGCCAGATCCGCCAGGAGGTGAGCTGCGCGGGCGTGGAGGAGGCGGAGGTGTTTGTTTCCTGCCGAGGTATCAATGTTTTTGTCGAGAGCGAGGCGGATGTACGAGAAGCTTTCCGGAACGACAGCTCCGGGGTTCTTCTGCAGAAGGAACAGCGTTTTGACGAGCGACCGCGCAATCTGCTGCGAGATCACGTAGTTGTCGCCCTCGTATGTCTGCGACGGCGTGTTCGTGGCGAAAATGGCGCCGCCGCCAGACATGTGCGAGAAGCCGTGGCCGCCCATGGCTTTCCTGCTCTCCTCGAAGCCTTGGACACAGTCCCAGGTAGACTTTACTTTCAGCGCGGAGGAGAGCGCGTGCACTTCTGGCAGCAGCGTGACGTCCTCCCGATCGACGAGGTCGCGGAGCATGCGGTGATAGAGTGTCTGTAGTTCTCGTCCAGCGAAAATGTAGGCATACGCACGGGCAAGTAGTGGGTATAACCGCATCTTCGTGGACGCGTAATCGAGCACCTGCAGCTCCACCTGTTTTCCCTGCTCCCCGCCGAATTGACGGCGATTGACACAGTAGCGGATAGCGATCGTCACCGCGCGCGCGAGGTTCCATCCCATAGCCGTGGGTATCCCCGCGCGCAACGCCACCATAGACCCATACGAGAGCTTATCGTGCTTTGCAGGGTGGTAAGTACCATCGACATCCACCTTTGCGAACCGCTGCAGCATATTTTCGCGTGGAATACGGATGGAGGTGAGGTGGAGGTAGCCGTTGTCCATGTATCCGAAGCCAGCGTAGGCCTTGGGGCCGATATCGCCGACCGTGACGCCCGGGAGCGGGAGATGCGTTTTCGGCGATCGGATGGGGACTATGAAGAGGTGGGGACCTTTGCGGCCCGACGGGAGCTCGAGAATCGCCTGAACGAGGGCGTGGTTCGCGAGCACTCCCATCCCGCCAACCCACCACTTCGTACTCTCCTTCCGGGGCATGAACACCTCGAACTCCTGCGTGGCGGGATCATATTTCGCGATGGTCTCGAGGCCCTGGACATTGCTCCCGTGCGCGAGCTCAGTCTGCGCGTAACACCCGAGAACTTCGTAGCTGTGGCATCGGGGAACCCAGAATTTCTTCTGAGCGTCGGTGCCTTGCGCTTCGATCACTGCGATGAATGCAGTCTCATGCAACTGGATGGGCAAAGGCTCATCGTGAAGGTAAATCGCGAACCGTAGTTCTTCCGACGTCCAACTGTTTTCGTTTCGTAGTTCCAGTAGACGCTTCGATATGGCGAGGGCGAGGAGGAGGTTCTCGGCGTGGTTATTGAAGGGGCTGCAATACTGTCAGCCCTACTCGACATTACGTCGGCACATGATGGTGTGCACACCGGCCAGTCTTCGATAATAAAGGGTCTTTAGCAAGCACTGGAAGTATCTTTGCGCGTAACGCCCGTTCTTGGGGAGTACGGAGGAGGGCAGTGATGGAAGCAGTCTCTAAGGCGGAGGACTGCCGAGCGAGCTGCAGATCGGTAGGTGTTGCCATTGCTTCGACGTTCGTTGGCCGTACGATGGTTAGAGGATGGGAACAGGACTTATATTAGCTGGGTCCGGATGGCACCTTCCCGCGGCCTTGAACTGAGTGACCAGCTCATGGTACATGTAGTAGAGTTGATTGTGCAGGCAAGGTCAAGGGGACTCGGTTGAACGGCACCCCCGCCATGATGGAGAGAGTCCAGTGTAAACGAAGTGTGGGGATGGCTGTTGGCGAGGCGAGAGGGCCGGCCCATGCGCGTCGCGGTCCTCGGCACGAGCTGAAGTGGTCAAGCGCAGAGCTTCGCGTTCGCATGTGAGACCAACGTCAGACTCGAAACAGTATGGAACATAAAAGACGACGATGATATTTCTCTTCTCTGTTGAGTTTGTGCGGTGCTTGTGAAGACAATCAAACATAGCCTCTCACTGCAGCGGTAATTCGACTTGGATTCCGTCGCCTCCACGCCGTAGCTGGAGACTGCCATGATCCAATTTAAAGGTCGAACACAATGATGATTAAACAAAAATTCGTGGCTAGACATCACAGTGTATCACTCGGTCCAGATTCTACTCTAGTCAAAAGTAACATTCAGTTTCTTTTCCTATTCTAAAAAATGCCTCTTTTGTACAGATGCTTAATCATGAAACAATAAAACTAGAAAATGCAAATAGAAAATAGAAATTGGGACGCCTATTACAGTTTGAACTGACTAACATTTATGGACATTGGATGTACCTTTAGCCCAAAGCTCTGGACAACTCTCGTCTCCGCAGCTGTCACAGTATTCTACTTCACCATAATATCTCCTAGCCCCAACCCCCGTGTTGAAGCACAACATCTCACCTAACCCACCCTCGAGTTCGTCTCCCACCCCGCCCCCCTTCCACCCAGTAGTCGGGAAATCTTACCTAACGACACCAGCGACAGGCAACATGCCGAAAGCTAAACCCAAGAAGTCGAAGAAGGCCTCGGTGTCGAAGCCCTACGACAGCAGCACCGGCATCAGCAGAGGGCCTCTAACCCGCGCTCGCACTCGTGCAGCTCAGTTGGAGAAGGCCCACAAGAAGACTGGCATAACGATCGCAAGCAATCCCGCCCACCCCGTCCCACCCCCTCCTCCCCGTACGACGTTCGAGAACATCCCCCTCGATTTGCACCTGTGCATCGCCGACCACCTCGATTCCTTTACGGACCTCGCCTCGCTGTCCGTGGTGAGCAGGAAGTTCTACCACCACTTCCAGGACGCCTTCTGGAAGTGTCTGTCCGAAACCGAGTTCGAGGAGCGTCGGGGTCGTTACATCTCGGCCGCCGAGTGGGCCGCCCAGATGGGGTACCCGAACACTCTGCGGCGCCTCTTGGATATTGCGGGCGAGGAAGCGTTCAAGATGCCGCCAAAGAGGGAGGATGGAAAGGTCTGTGGCCGCACAATGCTGGAGAGGGCGGTCGAGTCTGGTAATGATCGTTGTGTCGTGTTGATCATCGCCAGGAGCAGGGACTTTGACATTCCGGATGAATATTTCACCTGGAGAGGTGCGTTCTATCTTGCCAAGAGCCACAAGATCTTTTCGCTGTTGGCGGAGGAGGCGTCTTCAAGATTGGCGATGCGTGGGTTTCGGTAATGGTTGGAGCATCGATCTAGGTACTTTGACCAGAAGTGGAAACTTCATGGATTTTCTCACGTGTTTCGGGAATGGGAAGTGTTAAGTGCAATAATGCTTGCTACTTGCCTGATTAGATAGCTATAGAATCAATTCAGGGCGCTCAGCCATCTCAGGGAAAGCTCCGCTTTCTCCAGTACCTAGATTCCTATACGTATGTCAATCGGCCATTCGAACTTCCTCTCTCACTCGTTCTCTCGTACCTTCGACACACGCACCCTGATCCCAAACAAAATCCACTTGAACAGACTTACGTGACATCCACATGGCAACAAGAACTTATGGCGACTCCCCTGCATGATAACAACCCTTGAGTTCCCGGTCCTAAGCGCACATTCAAAATGTATTGGATGTCTATCCGGGCACGTGGACAATACGCACCGACGGTTCAACAAAAAGCAGGGGCGCAAGGGGTCAGGACTCGGGATAGGACTCTTACAAGAGCAGGTAGTCTGTATCGACAGCATGGTTATTTCCGGCAGTAGTGGGTTCTCGCGGGTGGTGGATGAGAAGACGGCAATCTTAAGCAAACAAATGGCGTGGGTATTTATATTGAGAGCTGTCGCCAGTCCAACTTGCAACTTGGAGCAATTCAACCTGAATGTTGGCTTCAGCTTCCGTTATGTCTCAAAGGAAATAGCCGTGAATCTCAACCAATCGGTAAACACCGCCACAGACGGAATACCTACAGTCATACATGAGCCATCACTCACGCCACCCCGGACAGGAAGGTCGCTGTCTCCACCCGGACCACACACCCAAGCGAGAGACGGACAGGACAGGACAGGGAGTGCCCCACTCTCGCTAAATCATAACTAGCCGTCAAGCCAGACCAAGCAACAAATGCGATGAGCGGAGAGATGAGCTCTCGAAAACGTTTGGTAGTAACTTGGTACCCCAATCCGGGAGAAGAATCGGCCCACACAGGTCCTATCTGATTTATATATACGCGTGCGTCCGTCTCTCCTTTCTTGCTCTCTATCTCTCCGTTGGACGCGAACGTGTCATTCGAACTCCATCATGTCGAGTAATCCCCCCGCCCGTCTCCCAGAGCTCACAGCTGTGGAAGAAAGCTCGCTAACGCGTCTTTCACAGAAAAGCACTTCATCTCCTCCGACGCCAGCGCGCTCATCATCGCCTCGCTGTGCGGCGTGGCAGCCTGCCACCCGGGGCTCGTCATCTCCGAATCCGACAAAAGTCCCCCCTCCGCATCCCTCCCGCAATTCCCCGCGCTGACACAATACACGCAGTTATCTACCGCCCGCCCACCGTCCAAAAAGTCACCCTTCTCTCCGGTGGCGGTAGCGGCCACGAGCCCGCGCACGCAGGATATGTAGGTGAGGGAATGCTCGACGCCGCCGTCTGCGGCGAGGTCTTTGCGTCGCCGAACGCACGGCAGATAACGACGGGGTTGGAGGCGGTGGCTTCCGACAAAGGGTTTGTCCCTGCTCTCCCCTCAACGATGGATCCGGGCGCTGACGTGTGGCGGGTGTTAGGACGCTGGTCATCGTGAAGAACTATACTGGTGACAGGCTTAATTTTGCGTTGGCTGTGGAGAGGGCGAGGGCCCAGGGGAGGAAGATTGAGACTGTTACCGTCGGGGATGATGTGGCGGTGGGGAGGGAGAAGGGGAGTCTGGTGGGGAGACGTGGACTTGCCGGGACGGTGTTAGTGCATAAAGTTGCGGGGGCGGCGGCAGAGAAGGGGTACACTTCACATGTGACTGGGGCGGTGGTGGTAGTGATGCTAATTGTGGATACAGACGGGATCTCAAAAACGTCACCGAGTTGGCGCTGCATGTCGCCAACAATCTTGCGACGGCGGGCGCGAGTCTGGGACACTGCACTATCCCCGGGCGTGAAGCCGCCAAAGAAGGGAAGGAAGTCGAAGAGGTCGCTGGCCTTGAGATCGGAACGGGAATCCACAACGAGCCCGGGTACAAGCGTATCAATCCTATCCCACCGCACCCCGTTCTCATCGCAGAACTGCTATCCCTCTGCCTGGACACGACCGACACCGACCGTTCCTACCTCTTGCGCAAGCCACAAGACAAAGTTGTGCTCCTGGTCAACAATCTGGGTGGGCTGAGTAACCTCGAACTCAACGTTCTCGTAGGGGAGACTCTTTCGCAGCTGAACTCCACTTATGGCATCACTCCGGCGAGAGTATTCGCCGGGGCTTATGTAACCAGTCTGGATATGCCGGGGTTCAGCATTACGCTGTTGAATCTCCCGGTGGAGGGGGACATCACCCCACAAACGGTGCTCGAACTCCTCGACGCGTATACCTCCGCGGTTGGCTGGAATGGGAGTATCAAGTCCGCAGTCTGGACGGCCCCACCGACGGTTGTCAAAACACCCACTTCTCCCTCCAAAGCGGCGAAACACAAAAAGAAAGATCTGCCGACTATAACATGTACCCACCCCCGCCCTCCCCCACCCCCACCTCACCCCACCCCATGCAGCCCTACCTACCCCACATATCCAAATCGGGCCGCTAACACCCCCACAGCGGACCCAACCCTAACGTTCCGGATCCTTGCCTCCATCCACTCCCAAGTCAGCTCCGCCGAGCCATCGATGACCCACTTCGACACGCTCGTCGGCGACGGAGACTGCGGCACGACCCTCTTCGCCGGCGCCGAGTCCCTCCTAACCGCACTGATCAACACCTTCAACCTAGTCGAATGCGCGCTCCAAATCGCCACGACGATCGAGACGTCCATGGGCGGCACCTCGGGTGCGCTCTACGGGATTTTCTTCTCGGCCTTCGCAACCGGGCTCAAGCTGCAAGCACAAGCCGCGAACCAAGCGCAAGCCGCGGACGAAGACCTCTCCTCGCCGCCCACCTCGCCCATCGCCACCAGCATGCCCGCCATAAACGCCATAACCTCAGCCACGGTCAGCTTTGCGGCCATCGCCACCGCGAGCAGGCACGCGCTGGACACGCTGATGAAATATACCCCCGCCCGCGTCGGCGATCGCACGCTGATGGACGCGCTGATCCCGTTCGTGGAGGCGATCCAGGCGCACCACGATGAGGGCGCGAAGGAGGCCCTGAGACGCGGACTCGAGGCCGCAGAGAAGGGATATGAAGCGACCCGTAAGATGAAGGCAAAGCTGGGACGGGCTAGTTACGTCAATGCTGTGGCGTTTGAGGGCGAGGGCGTGCCCGATCCGGGTGCGTTGGGGGTGGTGGCTGTGATTAGAGGGATTTTGGAGGGCGTGGAGAAGGAGGAGCGCGGTGGTGAGTCGGATGAATGATTTTTTGTGGGGAGGGTGGGGAAGGTGGGGGACGAAGAATGGAGAGGTGGAGAGGGTGATTAGGGCATTGCTGATTTCGTCCAACTATTCTATACCCGTTTTAATGAATCAAAGTCTTATTGAACCCTACATAAAACTCATTGGAAATCGTTATCGTGACATTAGTTGGGCAAAGGAAAGCAGTGAGCATCGCCCATAGCTAGCTAAAAGTACAACACCAATCGCACGCAACAAAGAACCCCCCTTCCCCCATCCATCCATCCTACAGTACAGTACATACTAAACAAAAACCACCGCCCGATCGATAGTAATACAACCTCATCCCCCATCACTTCTTCGCAACCAACTCCCTCCTCCTCCCGGCAATCTTGATCCCAGCCGTCCGTCTGACCACCTCGACGAGCGACCACTCCTTCCCCTTCGTCCTCTCGCGCTTCATAAACCTATCAACAGCGGCACTCTCCTTCCTGCTCAGGACGAGGAATCCCTTCTCGTCCAGAGCCAGGGACGACACCACCTCCTTGGCCAGTATCCGCTCCGGCCGGTCGAGCAGGACTTTATAGCACTTTGTGGCCTGCGACGGGGAGGTCGAGGATGAGGAAAGCACCAGGTCCAGGTGACGGTACTCCGCCTTTGACCATACCAGCCCCGAGGGCGCGGTGGAAACCGTCGTTATCTCGTCGAGGAGCGAGTCGATCAGGGTTTCCTCTCGCGCTTGGGGGGGAGGGGGGGAGGGGCGACTGGATGATGCAGTGGCAGTGGCGGCTTGCTTCTCAAGCATTCGGGGTGTGGTGCCGGCTGCTGTAGCAGTAGAAGTGGAAGTGCGACTGGACGACGCAACAGTCGCGGGCTTCTTAAACTTCAGTGTGGCAGGAGGCGGCGAGGTCTCGCGCGCCGAGCGTTCATTGAGTGCGGACTCGGTCTCATCGTCTATTGTGATTGCGCCGACCACTTCAGCCTGGCGACGGACATCGGAGCGCTGGCGGTCCCACTCCTCCAGCAGCGCTTTGGTGGCGTCGCCTACCAACTGCGAAGTGCTGCTGCCGACTTCCGTTGCGTTCTTGCCAGTCGCTTCGGATTCGACTAGTGCTGTGCGGTCGGCCGCCCGCTGCCGTGCGTCGATGCTGGTTTCGTCCTCGAAGTGGACGGAGCGGCCGCCGGGGGTGCGGGGGAGCCCAGAGGAGGTCTGTGCCGATGAAGGAGCATGAACAGGGGCGGGAATCACGGGTTTGCTGGGAGTCCACTTGAACGGGGAGAAGATACGCGCGAGGTAACCTGTCGGTGCTGGGGGTGACACCTGTGGAAGACTCGACGTCGGACTTGGAATACCCGTAGTGTCAACCGTAGTGTCAACCGTCGGGTATGAAATCTCCTCCTGTCCCGGCTCCACATAGCTCTGAGGAAGAGTAGGGTAGGGTCGGGAATCGTCTTGCATCTCGTTGGTCTTATCTTCCTCTTCCTGGCTTTCGGGTGTCGGCGGACCATCGAAGTCGTTGCCGAACTCTTCTTCGATCATCTGCATGGACTCCTCAACCTCTAGTGCGTCGCTCATGATCTCGCTCGCTTCACGGACGAGAGTGAGATTGGGTGTTTCACGGTTAGTACGACGTTTGGAGGCGGGGGCATCGGGAATGTCGTCTTCGTGCTCGCGCTTATTGCCCTGCGCTGGGGTGACGATGCTCTGCGCCTTCTGCGGAGAAGGTATAACGACTCTGAGTGGCGGTGATGACGGGTAGAAACTCTCCTTCTGCGTCGTAGTCTCATCCCCCTGCTTTTGCTTGCCCTTGCCCTTGTCTCTGGATGTTGAGGAATCCGGCAGCCCGTAGAATGACTCCTGGGTAACAGGATCGTCTTCGAACAGCGGGCTCGCTGCCCTATTCGACGACCGATGCTCAGCCTGAGGAGTAAATGATCTTCCAGTCGAGATATAAGAAAAATCGGCTTCGATGGGTTGGAGTAGCTCGTCTGAACGTAATGAAGATACTTCGTCCATATCCACATCTTCCTCTTCCTCTTCACCCCCCTCCTCCTCATCTGCGCCGTCGTGCAAACCAGTGCCCTCCTGTAGTGTTTTGGATGTATGTAAAGTTGCGGTAGAGATATACGTCATATCGAGATCGGCCTCCGGTGTATTTCCCGACTGCCACACTGAAGCCGTAGACAAATCTGCCAGCGCCTCTTCTTCGGACATGTCCACATCCCCATCCTGTTCCTCCACGGTCCCAAACTGCGCTGTCAAGTCCGTACCATCATCTAGGAATCCGGACCGATCCTCTGGTAGGGCCATTGAACCCCCCTCACTGACGAGAAAACTCTCCCCAGCCGGGTTGGCAATGTTATCTCCAATGGGCCGATTCGAACCGGCCGATGCAACACTTTCGCCACGTCTAGAAATCCTACTGCCTTGCACCGACGCCACAGGGGTATTCGATTTCGCGGGCGACGGGGATGCCACCGAGTTCGGATCCCTTCCGGACAGAGCGTGCCTCTCGCCATTCGACATCGCCGAGGCTGACCTGGTGCTTCTCCTGGGTGTGGATGCCGGGGCCTCGATGTAGGATACGGGTGCAAGAGAAGATCTACGGGAGCGTGTTGACGCAAGGGTGGGAACCAGGGAAGTTCGTGGGGTCCTCGACTTGCGCCGCTTGCCGGGGGATTTGGAGGCGGATGTTTTCACGGCGGTGGTGTCCGCTGATAGTGATGAAGCCTTGGATAGAGATGTCAGCTTGAATAATATACGGCAGTGCAAATGCAGTTCTTCCATGTACACCGGTAGCCAGCCCTTGGATGCATCCAGCTCCATGGTACGCAGTTCGTGGCTGCTGAGTGGGTCGCCTCGGTATCATGAATCAAGGATGCAAGGGGCAGGAATGTTCCAAGATCCAACTTGATCATACCCAGCTGAAAGCGGTGATACAAGCAGACATACGGTAACTGCCGAGTCGCAAGATGTGGTCATCGGGATTATGAGACACCCGTCCAGCCGTCCAGCCGTCCTCTGCGCAAGACAAAAAGCAAGAAAGGTCTTACCTCATGTTTCTCCCCATCGTCCTCCTCATCCACCTCCGCAGCTGTCGCTTTCGCCTTCACCAGTGACGCCCTCTTCCATCTAGGGGTAGTGGCCGGTTTCGGTGTGACCGCCGCCTTTCTCGGGGATGTTCCAGCCGTCGATTTCACCACGGGAGTCAACCGTCGCGGAGCCGTAGGTGTCGCACGCCTCCCCTTCGGTTTCATCGTCTCACTAGGGGACGAATCCAGCCCCTTGACCGGCACTTTTGTGGTGCGCGTCCGCGTAATTACACCCACCGAGCGATCGCGACTCTTTCTCTGGCGCGGGCTCGGCACCACCTCGACGTCCATGCCCTCGCCGGCAAAGCCCAGCGTGAAGCTCGGTGGTGCCATTCTGCCGCGCTCATCGCCGGAGCCGTCGGAGCCGGAGCCGTCGTCGCGCTCGGCTTCGACCATCACCTTGATTCGCCACGGGGAGAGGTGCGAGTTGGTGGTGGCCGTCATCTTGGTGGGTGAGTGCACCTGTACGGCGGATGTGCTTCGGGGTTGCGGCGTGCGGAGTGGCTTGGACGGGGAGCGTGACCGGGAGCGGCGCGAGGGTTCGGCGATGAAGGGGCCCGAAGATAGTGAGAGGGGATCGGGGGAGGAGTTGAACGGCATTGTGTTTTTGGATAGCGGTGGTGGTGGTGTGTTGGCACACGACTAAGCTCGGGTTAAGCTCGAAGGCGACGGCTCTTTGACCCTGTCTGCGATAGTAAAGTATTGACGCGAACCAGGCGCGTTAATATGGTGCGTATTTTACAGTAGAGGCGTATGTCGAGACTCGCGTATGTCGAGTAATTGTAGCGCGCAGTTAAGTCAGAATCATGTGGTGTGTAGTGGTGAAGGTTAGGTGGTGGTGGTGGGGGCGTCATACCTTGATTTATTTTGCTTTAGTTGTTGACAGCGCGAGCACAGGGGGGAGCAACTGTTGTCAAGGCAACGAGTCATGATGAACGATTAGAGTGGTGTTGACAGGGTCGCACACATGCAGGAACCACACTGGTCGAATGGCAATCCCTGCCGAGTTATGGACAGCATAAGAAATGGTTCTCTTTACATCTCTTGATCTCTTCTTCCCAGTACATGGTCAACAGAATAGTACTCCATATTCTTGCATTCTGAAGCTGGGGCTTCGTTTGTGTTTGTCACAATAGTAGGCGATTATGATACCTAAGTACCTATCACCAACAACGCATATTTCGATCTCGAGTTTACGCCGGCCCCGACGTTTCAGCTTGGGCGATACCGTACGTGGTGGATCTTTGCTTCTATGTGTGGATCTTTGCTTTCACATGTGGATCTACACACATATTGAACGGAGGGTACTTTGGACTTCGTGTATGTAGACGTTGAGAGCTTGGACCGACATCTCACGCTTTTGTGGGTTGTAATTCGTCGATCTACCGAGTGACGGCACGTGAAGGCCTATATGTGGAAGGCGATGGATGAGTACTATTCTGAATACTAGCATCATCTCCAGCAGAGATAATATTGATTGGATGACGAGGAATTCGATAGCCGGAAAAAGAACCTGGAATCGAGGCTGGAGTCAGCCTGGGGGTTCGGATGAGTCACTGAAAATCAAGACTCGAGCAGGTGACTAGTACCCAGCGCCGAATGATATATAAACGATGAGTCCCACTTGAAATACCAGCTAGTTTAGAATCGCCATGGCCTTGAATGTGAGAGGAGGAGGAGCAGGAGGGCCATGGGCCCTGTGCTTATATTCACCCTCTCCCCCACCACCTTCCCCACAACCCCCAACTTCCAGCAAGTACATAGAACTATACACTGCAATACCCAACAGATAACCACTTCCATCCAAAACCACACATTACATCACATCACATCACCACAGCCGCTATGGACCAGCTCACAAACCTTACTGCCACAGTCACCACAGCGATCCAGGACGCCGCCGCGATCATCCATAACACCGTCCCCAGCAGCAGCAGCATCAAGGCGGCGATCAGCAGCACTGCCACCGCGGTGCACTCCGCCGTCGCCGACACCACCGGCGCCATCCACACCGCCATCGCCGACACCACCATAGCCATCCACACGGCCGTGCATGACGCCACCAGCGGGCTGCACCCCGCATCCCCCAGCACCGCGGCGCCCTCGCCGACCACACGCACGCCCGAGCAGCTCCGCGAGCGGGTAGGCACGTACAAGTACACGCACACATTACAGCAACGACTATCAGAGTACCACGTATTCCGGCGGCTGAATGCGGCGGGGCACGTGCAGGTGATGCTTGAGACGTCGATCGTGCCGCAGAAGAAGCTGTCGGTGCGCGCGGACCTGCGGTTCGGCGAGTTCGTGTTCCTGGTGCGCAAGCGACAGCTGCCGAAGGTCCCTGCGTCGACGGCCCTTTGGTGTATGGTCGGCGTGGAACATGAACTGCCACATGTTGCGATGACGATGGCGCAGATTCATGCGAGACATGCGGACTTTGATGGGTGGTTGTATGTCGTTGTGAGGGAGGAGACGACGTTCGGGATGGCGTCGGGGGATGAGGGCGGTGACTAACTGGTGCTACTGATGGAACGGACAGTGAATACCTAGCTCAATGACCGAGTACAGTTGGTTGTGGGTACGTACTTACATCCTACCTGAAGCTGCCACTCACCCATGAGCCATCAATGAATAATGCACCGTCGTCCATGGAACACTGCGTTCATAGCTCTTTTTTTTACCACTTCTGCTATCCCCCACGTGCAAGTTTTTGCTATTTAACACCTGCAACCTGTTTACTCGAATTTCGAAGAGCGAGTGAGAGAAAGAGAGAGAGAGAGCGCGCGAGAAACCATCAATTTACCGCCACATACGGTACGGCCATACTACCTATTCCACATCAGCCCCGTACCTCCCATCATCCATATGCCATTCCCACCAAGCCCACAGGGGGTGATATCCAAGAGGAAGAATTCCATCGCCCCCGGTCCGTTGCGATCGAATCGCGCGAGTACCTACATCTTGTGCATACATCGTCGGACTGCAAGAAACGAAGCTTCGACCAGCGCAGCTGCGCAGATGGCCCGAGAAGACATTTGATCGCCGACGGGTTCGTTTCTTCAACGGCGGTCCCCCGTTCATGTGTCTGGGTCATTCACGATCGCCGGCTACCGGGCTAGTTGGGCCTTGGTGGTGATCAGTGATGATCCAGGCGGGTTGCCGACGGATGCCGACGGGACATGCGTGCAAGGGCTCAGGTAGTAGCGATTACTAGGCCGCTGTGTATGTGGAGTGCCGTTCAGCGTTGCGGTGACCGGCGAGCGGCGGTATGGTGGGACCAAAGTGCGATGGCGGGCAGACCCGATGAGGTCGCTTCAACGTTGGAATGTTCTCCGTTGCTTTTTTGTATGTTCGTCTAGTCGGTCGGTCGGTCTCTTGTTCAACACATCAGACCTTATCCACCACCGCAGACATTATTATCAATATGTTCAGTCTGGAGATCACAGGCTGCTTTTCTTTCTTGTTGCTTTTAGCCAATTGAATCAGTCTCATCAGTCGTCCACACCAGTCAAGGGTCTCTCACTAGGTACTCGGCGTAAAGCTTGAGCCGTGGATATTTCGCAGTGGACACTGGAGGGGCGCTCACACCCAGCCTGTGCACGACGATAGTTACATATCGGAGTGAGTGCCCGTGACCCACGACCCACGACCCATGCCACCCGCCCACCCGGTAACACTGATCGTGAGGCTCGGACTGCTCTACAACTAGCACTGTGCTCAGCCCGGCATCTGACTCTTCTCGAAATTGCCTCCGAGGCACTGTTTGCCAGCGGCATTGTTTCAATATCCTACATATAGGTATGTCGGCGCAGTTTAGACTTCAGCGTAGAGGATTCCACAGCCCCACTGTTAGTTGTCGTCGCCGCCCTGTACGTAGTTGTCCGTGGAAGACGGCGCGGCGGCGTCTCCGTTGCAGTGCAGCGTTCCACATGGCTTCGGGGCATGCGCAGTGCACATGTTCAGCAGAAGCACCGAACCACCGCTTACTCTATGTCGTGCGCATCGCAGACTCGTACGACTCGTGCATACCGGCAGTTACATATGTAACTACCCCTGCCACATCTTGCTCGGCGAGTGCGCACTGGAGGTTTGGAGAGAGGGTGACTAAGCTGATCACCAGCATCCGGCATGGGATGGAAGGATGTTCCTCCGCGCCCGATGCATAGAATCGGAGATATGTGCGACGAACAAACGGATATCTTTCCGCTCCAGTCTCCAGCAATGTCAGCACCTACCGCTGCAGTGGATGCTTTCGCTGCGGGGGAGGCGACGAATCACACATCGCAGTTGCTGGTGTGAGGGATGGATGGTGGTTTGGTAATGGTAATGGTAACGGTAGATAATCCTTCGAGAAGCGTATGCAGATACTTTCTTGGTTATGTGCGACATCTACCGTACTTCCCCGTGGTCGTATTGTTTGCTGCTGCCTGATGAAATTCCGCAAGGTGTGTATGTAGGCAACATCACCTCTCCAGGGTCTGTGCCTTATGTTGCTTCTATATAGCACATCCCGTACACACTGTCGACGCCACTAACTACTAGATAACTAGTATTTGTGCATGGATACCGTAGATGGTTCAGGGCTGACGAAATCGCACGGTGGGGTTTCCCCACACTGCCCGGTCGAGCAACGGCAATCTTCTGCAGACGCCCGTATCGCCGCATCGGAAGGGAAGCCATCAGCACTCCACATTTCGTACATAGGTGGCACATATCAGCGACAACTCTGAGGACCGGGCGAGCGTGAAACAGCCTCCCAGCCTGCCTACCACGACGAACCGTCCCACTTCCTGCGTAACTACAGATCGTCACCTTCGACGTGTGGCCCTCTAGGGGGGACCCCGGAATCTGTTGCTTGTGGCTGTGCAGAATCCCCCGACTTCCTCGCCTCGTGCATGGAATCGAAGCCATAGCCTGCCACCCTGCCACCCTGCCACCCCACATCCCTCCCCCGCCTCAGCTCCCCGGCCTCCTAAGACGGAGTGGTCGGCGCCCAGCCGCATGGGCTTTGTGATCCCTCCTCAATGAGCCGTCTGTCTGATCCCCACCTGCAATATTCCATCACTGTCAGACTCGATTCGACATCCCAACGACAAGCCGAAAAGAAGAAGAAGACGGAGAAAAGGAAGGACTGACTCGAATTCAGCACAGCGACTTCTGTAACCACTGTAACCAACAAAAATACCCATACAACGACGATCCTGCTAGTACATCCGCAGCCCAGCCCCTCAAACTGGATCCACTGCACCAGATACATGGACGGTCCGGTCCGCCTCGCCAGCAGGTGCCTCGCCAACTAACCGAATCGTGACCGCGACTCGCAAAACAGCATACCAAAGCTAAAAATCAATATCTCGGCGGCGACCACCCGACGACGTCGTCTGCAGCAAGACGAACCTGATTTCCCCCGAACCCTTGCCCCGATTCGGCCTGTGCTTGGCGCCGCTATGATATTCGAGAGTGTGATGCCCGTGGTCGGGGGAGGACGCGCCGGACGACTGCCATCCCCCCCGCGCTCGACGGGCAATCAGTTTCTGAGCGCTCCCCGCTCGTCGGGCTCGAGCAACTTCTTCAACGAGTGGGCAAGCCCCTTCAAAGGCTTGCGTGATGCTGTCGAGGAGGACGATGGCGACGGGAGCACGTCGTCGTCGCCTGCCGTGTCTTCGGTATTCGATGATCCGATGTCGCCCACTACGATGGTTACCTTCGGGGCAAAAGAAGATGCGGCGGCAGCCTGGGCGATTCCAAGCCCCAGCTTGGCGAGGGTCGATTCGTTGGGCCTGATTGGGCTCGAGGACATCCGTCTGAGGGACGGCTCGCTGAGTCCTCTGCCGCCGGGATTGATTCTAACTATGGACCTAATTGATCCGTTGGGAATCGTGGGGATGGACCAGAATACTCAGGCTCCCTGGACTAGCTCGGGGGAAGATACCACGATGTCGGACATCGCTTTCTATTCTTCCTGTCGGTTCATAACCACTCACGTGTATGGTCTCAAGACTGACTGCTTCTAGTGCCTGACCCTATGGAGTCGAATTCCTTGCCAAATGACGTATTCTCGCACTCGCTGCCAACCGGGAGCTGTGTAGGCCGTAGTAATACGGTTCCTAGCCGCAAAAGCTTTCCTATGACGCCCGGCGACGTAACAGGACGCAAACGTACCCGAGACCAACGGTCATCGCCCCAGCGGAGGCCATCCTCCTGCGATTGCATCCTACCGGACCGCCCAACACCTGGCCAGAAGGCTAAAGGCCTGCTTCTGACCGATCTTCCAACCGAGATACTGGTGGAGATATTTCGATATGCCATCCTATGGTCTCCGCCCCGGCCGCCGCAGTACAAGCACAGACTGGTGCCCCACCGACCTTATTCCCGGCGGGCAACTACTGGGGACGTACACGTGCGGCCGCGCCTAGTCCAACACGCCGGACCGTCCTCAGCATCCGCATCGATTCTCACCGAGCCAAAACCGAACGAGAATCCTCGGGAAAAGAAATTATTCGGTGTCAACACGTTACTCAGAATAGAACACACGTGCAAGCACTTCCGGGAGATACTGAAACGGGGCGATCAGTTCACTGACGAAATATTCTGGATGGTGGCCGCACGCAGCTGCTGGAAATGGCTACCGGAGAAACTTTCGGATGTGCAGGGTCACGATGAGGCATCACAGACCTCGTGGCGCAATCTCGTCGAGGTGTTCGGGAGGTCGGAGAACAGTCAGTTTGGAACGGGAGAGAAGGGGAAAGGAGGGGTCGATTGCTTCGGCGCAAAGAGGGTTTGTCCGCCGGCGTCAACATGGGAAATGGAGAAAACTCGGCGGAAGGAGATCGGGAGGAATGGTCGGAGGCCGAGGAGGTTGTTGATTGCTTGTGCTCAACCGGGGCCAGACATGTTTGCCGTTACACCGGACGAGGGTTCTAGGAGCTGGACCATATCGCTGTCGGCACGTTACGGCGAAGAATATATGGTGCGGCTTGATGAGTACGGGCGCTTCGGTAAAGCTGGCAAGGTTCCCGAAGGCCTCAAGAGGAGCACCAACGTGGGATTCTTTGCGCCGGGGATCTTTAAACATACAACGAACCGACTCCTACTTGTCAAAGCACGGGTACTTCAAGGCCTACAGTCGACACAACTTCAGGCTCGCTCTCCCGGAATGACTCAAGCGGCTGTTACATGGGACCTATCCACCATCCCGGAATACGTCGCCGATGAGAAAGCCCATGTGGCAAGGTGTACCAGTCACGAGGGGGTATTACTGTGCAGCTTCTTCACCCATCGAAACCCGAGTGACCTGGATGAATACCTCGACCCACCCGAGGACCCTCGGTTGTTTTGTGTCGAGGCACCGATGTATAATTTCGACTCGGCCATGAGCGAGGACACCAATGGCATGAGTTCGAAGATGCGCGGCAAACTCCCCGAGAAAGCCGCGCCAGCCGGGGAAGGGATGAATTTTCGCTGGCGCCGCGACTTCGAGTACCGCGATCAAACCGCGGCCGGCCGGGCAAGGGCATTGCATCCGGTCGTGTGCAATATTCAGATCAATGCGAGGCATGCGGTTGCGCTAATTCGGTGGAATGAAACCACGTCTCAGTCGATGCAGCAATTGTTTGATCGCGAGTTCCATGTGTTAGACGCCATGACGGGAGAAACAGTGAAATTGCTCGAGTTTCCCAATCTTTGTACGTCTTTCTCTTCTTTTTCTCCATCGTTTGATATTTCCTATCGCACTCGGCCGCCCATGGCCATTGCATATATAAATCCTTTGCCCCATGCATTGTCCATGAAAAATGAGAACACCTGCTTTATGGACACCAGTCTTCTAAATTAGATGTTGTAGGGAAAGTCTGGTTTGACTTTCTACTCCCTTCTTCCAGAAAAACACCTGGGACATCTCTGCATTTGTCCCGGCCTGCCGACCTCTCCCTGCCTTCTTTCGTTCAAATCCCTTACAACCCCTGCTAACACTGCCCAGTCTGGGACTTTCGGCATCACGACATGCACCGCGAATACAACCTCATGCGAGTAGACAAACTCAAAAATCTCTACAACCCGCGTCCCAGCTCAGCCATGGGGCCCTCAGGCAACCGCGCAACCCGCGTCCACCAAGACGCCTTCTTCCTGACCTCGGAGAACATAATCTCCGGCTCACACGACTACTGCAACTGGGTGTGGCCGCTCGAGCGGCCCACACCTCCATGGGGCTCGTACACAGCGGAACACAACGACGGCGGCCGGATCCCCGAGCCCTTCGACGTACTCGATGACTACTACTGGAACGTCCCCTCATCCACCTCCAACCCGGGCACGAGCAAGACGCTCTGGGAGCCCACCAACGAGCGCGCCGGATGGTGGGTGCGCACCCCAAACCAGGTTCTGTGCTTCTGGCACGGCGCCGCGCTCTCCCACGACCAACAATCGTTCGCCGTCTGCCGCCCGGGGAAAATGTTTGTCTGGAACCTGGCCGCCGCCGACTCCAACCGCGAAGTCGTGGGGTTTACATGTCTCACCCCCGCCGCTAACACAACCACAACTACAGACCATTGCCAGCGCCAGCGCTGGCTCGGCCGCCCAAAAAAGGAAGTCGAGAAGGCCGTGCTCGAGAGTTGGAATCTGTGCGAGAACGTTGTGCCCGAGCAGGGGTTGTGGCTGCTCTACGAGGGCGAGGGCGACGGTGACGGCGACGGCGGGGGCAGAGGCGGTAACGACGCAGTGTTTATCGGCCGCGACGAGATCCTGCAGGCGTGTGGGCTCGCTGCGGACGGAGTGCAGTGGGGGTTCCAGCAAGAAGATTTTGGGTGGGACGATGAGAAGATGGTGCTCGTGGGGGAGGATGAGCGCGAGGGAAAGATGGGGAAGAAACGGAGGATTAGTAGTGATAGTGATAACAAAGTTTCCTTTATTTCACGACGAGGACGACGATAATGACGGTTGACGATGGACGGACTGGACGGACCGGCGCTGAAATCTAGGCCATTTGGGTTTCTTTCTTTTTCCTTCTTTTTCTTTTCTTTCCTTTTTTCGGTGGGGGAAGGGGCGGTGTTTATGTTATTCACTCTACTCGTATAGACAATTTTTATGCAATAGTTTATGTGAGTGTGTAGGCGGTGGGGCTGGCGAACATTTATCATGATCATGATCTGTCAATATGCACGCGTACATAATGCTTATGCTTTCGTTTCTTTTTCCTCGTAAGGCAAGGCAAGGCAAGGCTGAGGAATGCATTGCCAACGGTTATGCATACCGTAGGTACTCTAAGTAGGTGCTAGCTGCATCTAATCCGCTCACGCGATGCGATGTTTTCTACCTATATGCATAAGTTATGTAGTCGGCATTAGCTAACCACCGATACCAACGAGTGAGATCGCGTGTGTATATACGAGTCCCCCTCCCGAAGAACTCACTCGCTAGCTGGGAACGGAGTCGCGAGCGGTAAAATAGTCCTCCGAAGCCACCCCTCGGACCCCTAAGTCCCCGGCCGAGTACCAATGCAAACGCCTGCGAGACAATTTCTACTTGGCTGGGGCATCCGGGACCCTGGAACCGACAGGGGGTCAGTCGTGGACGGGTGAGACTCCCGGCACGGACCGGCGACGGTGGGCAGTATGTGAGTAGGTAGGATCAGAGTATCGAGAATCGAGCCATACACACATAACTACATCCCACACATCCACACATCCATATATCCGCACTTACATGCGTGCGTCGGGACGGATGCGTGTGTTTGTATAGATATGTGTAATACCTACCTCCATACTCGGCCAGCTCTCCGATCCGGGCTGGGAGTCCGTGCTGCTGCGCGCTTTGTCGGTGTTCCGAGTGATCATGGGTGCTACCTATGTCTCAGCGCGCGGCATAAAGAAAGAAATGCCTCGTACGTACATCCCCCCTCTCCCCCCCGCGCGCGCCCGCGCCCCCTCCCTCCCCTCGGAGGGGCGAAAGCCCGCAAAACCATGTGGGGGCGGGACCCGTTCGCTGGAATTTCGCTCCGCTCAAGTTCGTTGTGGGTTACTCATCCGCTACCGCCGAAACACTGAGGGATTACCTACCTGCCTGTGCAGCCACCGGCCAGTGCGTGAGTGAGTGAGTGATGGACCGTGACCGGTGTCGAACAGATTAGGTACCTAGTACCTAGGCATCCATCACGCCACCGACCGCCGTGTCCGGCGGTAGAAAACAAAACCCGGAATTTGCTTGCTCCGATCTGCAGTTGCTGGTAGTTGTCCCCTCGATCTTGGAATCCATCGCCCCCACACGAGCGTAGGTAGCGAAAACGAACGAAAATCACCACCCCTTCCCCCCCGCTTGGAACGTTTTGTGCTTGTGGGTATTGGTAGGGTAAGGAAGAGTAGAGTAGAGTAGAGTGCACCGTGTATGCGTCGGATCTAGTTCTCGACCGTAGGAGGCAGGAAGGCCACGCCCTTCACCTACGAAAAAGTTCTGGCACACGGACGGTTGGCTCACAGAGCTGAAGGAGTGTTCGAGCGTGCGTGCGTGCGTAGCAGATATGATATATCAATCCCACGGCATGCTCGATATCTATCGAACCGTCCAGCCAGTTAGGTCAGCTCCTCTCAGATCAAGAGAAACATGCAAACGTTCTCGCCGTCGGTGGCTATTATTGCTCTGGACTAGTTATAACGTTCGGTGCGGTGGTGCGGCGGTACGAGCGGTCGCTTCCAGACTGGCGGGTCGATATGGAACTATTGCCAACGAGGGAAGGAAAGGAGCTGACGAAGAAAGATGGGTGGCTAAAGACCGATGAAGAGCAAGGAATAAATCTCGATGCCCAGGCCCCTCCCCCCCAACCACCCTATATCGATCCCTCCCCCCCACCATATCCACCACTACCACCACCATTGCAACCACCACCACCACTACTCATCCTACCCCCCCGGCCATTCCATTGGATTATCCACCCATCAATCTGCTTTTCGTCCGGTGTAGGCAATGGGGCTAGGAAGCGATGTCGATCACAATGCAACATCCCATTGTGAGGGATGATGACTGCTCGTGTTTCGTGTTTCGTGTTTCGTGGGCGGGATACTCCGCCTGGACAACGACCGACGACCAGCTTCGATTTTGCAGACGGGGAGAGCGAGGGCACTGGCCGTCAGCCTGCGGCCGCCACGTTTTTTTGGAAAAATGTTCGTCGCCGGCCACCGTTGCTGTGTACTTATGTACGGTTTTGGCCAACTGCATGGCTTTGTGGATGTGGGTGGACGAGAGCGGAGGGAGGGAGGGAGAAATGTGAGATATCACATCATATTCTCAGCACTATCTTACCTCTTCCCTCCCTCTCTTCCCTCTCTTCCCCTCCCCCCATGCCACCACCACCATGGATGGCCACACACACACATGTTTTTCCTTAGATGCGAGCGGTACGGAAAGCATTGTCTGCGCTTCAGGCATTGCCGGCCAAACAGGCAGTGCACAGCAAGTGAGAAGTGTTCGTGGCAACCACCACCTCCACCACCAACACGAGAGAGACACCGTCGAACCAACAGCTGCACTGGTCCAAATGACCTGCCGCGGCACGGTGTCGATGCTCGTTCTTCGGGGAGGCCGTTCTACAGGCCACCGTCAGCAACATGATACGGTGGCAACAGCAGCAGCCAGAGCAGAGCAAAAGGTTATCAACCTTCGCTATATATAGCCCTTCATGCATCGTGAGAGCGAGGTAGCAACTCGAGAGTAGTCGATGAGACACCGCCACGCCTAGTGAACGGAGCGGAATGAGATGTAAGGCGCTGTTGGAGTGCAACGGGAAAGAGCTGATCGAATTGAAGGTAAGATATTGGTATCCCAAAGCGGGGACGTCGAGGAACTCAGAAGCAGGCGCACAAACATGCGTGGCTGCACACACTACAACTCGCAGCACCCAGGCACCCAGGATCAGCAACCATGTTTCAAAAGTCAAGCCAAAACAGCTCTCCCGCCGGTCTACCCTGTCTGCATGCCATCACGATCATGTGGAAGTGGCGCTGCCAGCAAGCACTGAATGAGCTGTACATACTGATGGTGTACGTGGGGATTAAAACATCTACCTACAAGGACCAGTTTGGAATCATAAATGTGTAGAGTATACGTACTTTAGGTAGGAAGGTACATAAGTACCAATCAAATAGGGAGGCGAAATATAGCCCCCATCTTAGCCGTACTCTGCTGTCGGGTAATTCCCACGGCAGAGGGGATTCTTCTGACTACCTGCCACCATCGCCGTGAGCAGGTGGCGCACTCGGTGAGCACTGTGCTCCGCTAGGGAATTTCGGTAGATGCTGTACCCGGAGCCCGTGTGTGGCGCTATCTGCACGAGCACACGTCCTCTCGGTCCGAACGATCTGCCGAAGAAGTGCCTCTGTTCATCAGCGCCAGGCGTGGGTAGTTATGGGCGGCAATGCTGCACCAATTGCCACGGACCGTGCCTCAAGGATCACAGCGAGGTGAGATGTGACTGGCCATCGTGCCGGTTGATGATTATTCATACAGTATGGAACCCTAGGGTTATGGCCGACATCGTGCTGGGGTAGGGAGGATCCTGACCACCACCACCGGGAGGGATGAGCTTCCAGCAACTACCATTCCTCATAGTGGTAGTAGTACCAGTAGTGCCCCCGACACCGCAGATGGGATGAGGTCCAAAACCCGTGTCGCATGTGAGTGAGTGCCGTACCGTTGCCAGACTGCGCGGCCCGAGACGACAGAGTCCTGGGATGCACCATCCTATCCCCATGCGAGGCATTTAGCTTTCTTTTCCGGTGGAGTACGGTACGGTAACTACCAGCTGCCGAAACACACACCTGTAGGTAATCAAGTGGCGAGTCCTTTTCCTTCCGCGCGTGTGTGGAGCCCTGGATCGCCGTCGTCGACGGACGTCGTCGAAACCGCAGATACACGCTCTCTCGCGCGCAAGATCCGTGTCTACCGCGAACCCCGGCCGCCCCACCCCACCCGTCTGCTAAACGTCGACGCCCGCATGGCGCGATGGTAGTGGTAGTGGTGGTATGTGGTAGCGGCGATGGTGGTGGAGGTGCCCAAGAGACGGATCGGATCCACTGCGATTGCCATCTGCCCTCTGCCCTCTGCTCTGTTCGTGTCGGACAATCGGACTGTTCCAGGACCGCGGCCAGCGTGTATAGGTACCGTAGTACATAGTCCGTCCGCGAACACCCAAACATCAAATGCCGCTTTTCCCTCCCCTCCCCATCTAAAGAAAATACTCGCATCCGATGGGTTGTTCATACCCCACGCTGAAGTCGCTGGCCTGTCACAGAGAATTTCTTCGTGAGAGTGTGAGTGTGTGAAACGTGGACGTCCGGGCAGGAGCCCTCAATGGTGGCCCGAGTCAGCCAGCCAGCCAGGTAGTTAAGGTTCTGTATGCGCTTCTTCTGCTTGCTTGGTTCGCGTCCCTCCCTTTTCCCTATACGCATGTAGGGGGGGGGAGGGAGAGGGAATATTGATCGGCAGCGAGTGATGGTCGACACCGCCGGTCCGCCGCGGCCTCCCCATCCCATCCCATGCCATCCCATCCTATCCCAGCGAACAGGAAAGAAGGAAATAAAAGAAAAATCTGGAGAAACTCAGGACCGATCGAGAGAAAAAAACAACAGGGAATAATAACAATATTGCCAAAATGGCGAATACTTTAATTATCAGCAGGTCAACATTCATGTCCCTGCATATCCGCTGCAGGAAAAAAAAAGCAGCTCGGGATTCGAAGTTGAAGAAATCTCGTCCAGTCGTGTTTGCAATTCTTGGCTGGAGTGGTGAGTGCAAGGGAGGGAGGGGGAGAGGGAGATGAAGAGAGGGAAGAGAGGACGAGAGAGGGAGAGGAAGAGGGAGAGAGAAAGAGAGAGGGGGGGGGGGGGGAGAGATAGAGAGGGAGAGGGCGTTTTAGGCAAACAGGAGCCTCTGACGGACGGAATGGCATGCTCTCTGTCTCCACCGAACAGCGGGCATCTGCGAAGTTTCCCTTTTTGCTTCCGTTAGAGAGAGTCAACTAGACGGCCATGTTCCGAAGTGTCAGGTCTCGCTCGGATGGGCCTTCTACCTGCCGATACAACGAAAGACCAAAGGCCAACGACAAAGGCCAATGCTCCTCCACCACTGTACTCCCATTGCACTGCAGTCCACTGCAGTGCACTCCACTCCACTCCACTCCACTCCACTCCACTCCACTCCACTCCACTCCACTCCACTCCACTCCGAAGCCTATCACCACATATCTCACCTACTCTACGGGAAGATACCGAAACACAGAACAAGTACCTACCTCAGGGAGTACAAAGAGAGCGGGTGCAGGTGCCACTACCAGGAACCAAGTCTCAAGAAAGAGAGTTGGAAGTTCAAAGCCGTGCGATTCGAAACACTGCAGTGATTGCTTTTTTCTTCTTCTTCTTTCATTTCTTTCTTTCCGGCAGAAAACTGCAAGATGCGAGATGCCATTTCCAGCCGGCGATGCAGCTTGGGGGCAAGCCGTGCAACGCCGGAGCCGGACGAGCCGGAATGGAACTTCCCGAGCAGGCCGGCAGTGGGGTAGGTATCCTGAGTGAAGCAATGCGAGGAAGTTTCAAGCAGGCAGTGTGCTAAGTCATCGCGATACGTGAGTAGATCGATATCCTCCGAGAGCGTCGACGAGGTGCTGGCGGAGTGGATCTCACAGAATGGATCTCACGGAGAGAGAGCTTGGGGGGAGGGGAGGGGAGGGGTCTGGAGACGAGGGGGACGTCCGGATTCCGACGAGCTGCAGTTGGAAGAATCGGAAGGGGTTTTGCTCATGTCATGTCATGCCTTGCAGGAAGGAAGGAAAGAAGGAAAGAAAAAAAGCGCCGAGACGTTCGCGGCAACAGCAATAACAACGATAACAGCAACAGACACGGTAGATGGTGAAGTGCAGAAGAGACTCTGCCTACATACATACCTGCTTCCTCATGTATGAAGCATGTATGGTAGTTACCGCTCTCGCGCAGGATTGACTCTAGATATCATACATACGGTAGAGTAGTTGCCTGCTTCTCTACCGTTCTCGCGAGCTCTCGGTTCTTCTACTGTAAGTTCTCCCTGCTAGTTTAGAGTACAGCAGCGGCAGCAGCGTAACGACTCCACTATCTGCTTAAAGTAAGTAGAGCACATGGTAACTTAAAGCAGATATTGTGCATCTCTCCTTCAACCTACCGGCAACTATTCGGAGTTGTGACGGGGAAGCAGTTACGACCCACGAGATAGTTGGTTGGTTGGTTAGTTACCGTAGTTAGCGGGGTAGTTTAGGCAGTCTCCACCAAGGAACCGGAGTCGTTCGTGATCCCGTTTCGATCGGAGGGGACCACTATTTACATAAGTTCTACACTAGGTATGGTAAGCACTCTAGTTACCTTGGGACACAGCTGCAGAAGTCAGCGGCCCCATCGAGTTTGCGGAAAACCCATTGGCATCGTGGGTTCTGTTCGATTAACCATATGTACCTACTCTACTGGGGGTGACAGCCAGAGGCCTAGACTGATGTGCTAGGAAGTAGTTAGAGTAGGTAGAGTGGTACACAGTTAACTACATACTCTAGATATCCTGAAGAATACGGCAGTTACCATGGTGCAGTGGTGGTGTGGTGGCTCTGCAGCTGGTGCCCAGTGGCGGGGCCAATCAAACATGTCAATATGTCGGTTCTTGATCACATTTCACGATGCAGCACATTTCTCCATGGTATGTAGTGGTGGTCGTGGTGGTGGTGGTCCTGCCGATGTCGATTTCCGGTTGAGATGGGATTGCTGGTTTGCGATGGGAAAAGGCCTGCTCACTGCTCAGATGGGCACCAGGCAGTGTGCGCGGTGTTCCTGGCCGCGGATGCAAGGGAGTTGGTCACTGGTGAGGAGACACGGGCATTTTTCTTTTCTTTTCAGCTGGTGAAGCCTGTACTCTACCTACTCCACAGTACAGTATAGGAAGAAGGCACATATGTGAAGACGGAACCACAGTCTCCCATGTCGAGATCTCAAACATACATACGCACACGCACACGCAGTGGATATTTCCTTAAAGGGCTTGTCCTTCCTACAATGTAGGCACGGCTGTCTGGCTGGATATTCATCGTACGGTACCGTACCGTAGATGGTACTCTAGATACTCTAGATGTTGCACTTCCGACTTCCGAGTCCCAACCCAAGCCTCAAGATCCAAGGCGTAGGTATCCATCTTTGCTCGTTAGTAACCAAGTACCTCACCTAAGGTACTCTACCTCCTCTACCTCCTCTACCCCCTCTACCTCCTCTGCCTCCTCTGCCTCCTCTGCCTCCTCTGCCTCCTCTGCCTCCTCTGCCTCCTCTACCTCCTCCACCTACGGTACTCTAACCATATACCTAGCTGAAGTCTATCGATCCACCCGAGGCGGGGTCGGGAGGGAGGGGAGGGGCGGTCAGTTAAACTTCCTTTCCTACACGCACACGATCGCCATTCGCCAACGACCACGGTCCAGTGTCCCCGGGCGCCGGGCGTTGGGCGTCGGGCGGCTGGGATCCCATGGTTCCATCGGTGGATCCGGAGTGCATGCGGCGCGGTACGGTGTGCATGCGGCGCGGTACGGTGTGCATGCGGCGCGGTACGGTGCGGTGTGGTATCTTAAGGTAAATAACCCATGCCATGCCATGCCATTGCCCATGGCCCATGGGCAGCCGCAGCTCCCGCTCCTTCCTTCCATCCATGATCTGACAAAGAGAAGGCTCGAGAAAGAAAAAAAGAAAGGGCGTTGGATGCGATGCCCGCGGAGGCGTTAGGTAAGTGAGGTAAGTGGGAGTTTCCGTGGGCGTCTTGGGGCGTCTTGGGGCGTGGATGCTCTATCCTACTCTGGGTGAGTACTTGCTCACCTGCTTACTTGCTTGGTTACATACTCACATACATACCCCCCGGGTAGAGCCAAGGACGGCGACTGCTGCTGCGTGGGGATCGGTATGGCTAGTACCTAGAGTACCGTAGATGAGGTGAGTGGAGTGGAGTGCCCAGACGTCCTTTAGGCTTCCGTATGTACATAAACAGAGCTTATGCTGATTGCCGTGGTGCATTGGTATTGGCATTGGCATTGGCAAAGGCTTGGGGTGGGTGGGTGGAAGCGGTCAAAGTGAACGGTGAAGCCCCGTATGCATAGAGTGCCTACCTAGATATCTCCAAATTCCGCACCGATCGTGCATCGTGGACGGTTGCAGGAGGCACTGCACGGCGGATACTTACTCTACAATACCTACAGTGCTGCCTTCCTGATTCATTTCCGAATCCGCACCTGCTGCTGATGCTGCTGCTGCTGCACAGGCAAGACTGCCTTCCTCCGCACACATGGCCATTGCTCTGTGGTTTGCTTTTTGTTTTTGGTCTGGTCTGGCTGGTCCCCGTGTTGGTTGGTATCTAGCCTCTTCCGCTCTTTCTTCTTTGCTTCTTTGCTTCTTTCCTCTGGCGTCTCTCCACCGTGATGGCTATTGCAGCCGCGCTAACCGGTCCATACTTGATCCCCGCTTAGAGATCCACGCCCCTCCCTGTGTGCTCTGCTTCGCTCGCCGCTCGCCGCTCGCAGGAAGGTACTCGAGGTACATGGGATGAGTCCGTCGGCTCGGCCCTCCCTTTACTCTGCGCTGCTCTGCGCCGATCTGGTCTCCCGCGCACCTATGCTGTGCGCTGCTTTTCCCGCCCTTGCTCTTGCAGCTCCTGCTGCTGCTCCTGCTCCTGATCTTCATCCGTCCTCCCTAACTCGCACACACACCCCTCCCCCCCCCCCCGAGAGAGAGAGAGACTCTCTTTCTCATCGCCCGTGCACCCGCATCGCACCCCCGTCTCCCCGTCTCACAACCTTCACCCACCTCCACCTCCACCTCCGCTCGCCGCAACCCGAACTGCATAAAAGTCACGTTCGTCTGTGCATCCCGGCCCACCACCGAAACTCCACATCGCATAAACTCCAAAACACTCAACCAACACCTTCAACAACCATAATAACCCCCAATCACCAATCCCCATTCCTAACCGACCGGCCGCCGCCAGCAGCAGCAGTAGCAGCATAAATCCCACTGCCACGAGCAGCCGCAGAAAGAACAGAGAAATAACGAAAGAAAGAAAGAGAGAAAGAAAGAGAGAAAGAAAAAAACACCAACAGCCACCCCCAGCCCAGCTGCAACACCTGCAGAGCTCACTGGTGACTGGACAAACGAACCCCCCTAGTTGTGTCGAGTACCAATCAGCTGGCTTCCCCCTCCCAAGCCCACATCCATCCTGTCAAGCCGTTCCGAGCGGCCCGACCAGGGGTGTGCTTATCGTAACTAAGGCCGATCGTAGTGGCAGTGGTGGTTATATGTATGTGTGCAGAGTGTGGTTCGAGATCCAGCTCTGTCAACTATGAACTACGGACTACGGACGAAAGCGAAGTTTGCGCTGCAGCCACATTATTCCCACTTGCTTGCATTCGCTTTGCTCTGCTTTGTGTGCGCCTCTGGAGTCTGCATAGAGTATCATTCTACTCCCCCCACCCCGTAGTGTAGGTACACAGTACACTACAGCCAAAATAATATTATCTGCCGCAAAATCCACTCAGTGCTCACCACTCAACAGTCACCTCTCACCACTCACCATCCATAGCAGCAGTAACATCCTACCACCCCCCATAAAAAAATTAAAATTAAAAAACATCCCTCCCCCCATAGGCCATCGTCCCTAAACGATCATCCCGTGGAGCTCTTCCCTACCCCCCCCCCCCCCCCCCCGACGCTAAACGCCGCCGTCGCCAGAGCACAGTGGTTACCGTAAATTCATTCGCATTTTCTTCTCGGGCCCATCCAATCCATCCACTCCATCAGACAGCCATCAGACAGCCATCAGCCATACAGCTGCCATCCATCAGGCATCCATCCAAACTGCTTCCCGTTGCATGCCGGTTGGATCTTGGACCTTTGACGCCAATCAATAGCTGCCATACATAACTGCTGCTGCTGTTGGTAACTTGGTAGCAAAGTAAGGAACTATCACACATACTTTCATGGAGTAGCTACTTCGCTACTTGACTACCACTACCTACTATTACTTCTACTATCATCACTTTCTACTATTACTCCCTAAGTAACTATCGTCTACCGAGAAAGCAAGAAGGAAAGCAAGAAGGAAAGCAAGAAGGAAAGCAAGAAGGAGAGCAAGAAGGAGAGCAAGAAGGAAAGCAAGAAGGAAAGCAAGAAAGCAAGAAAGCAAGAACAAAAACAGTCTTTACCTTCTCGCTTGAGCACCTAAAGGCCTGTGGACAGTGGCGGACCAAAGCTTGCCGTCTTACGGACCGGAGCACATCTCACGCTCTGGCATAGCACCTACATAAGTCCAGTTCTTTTTCTTTTTGGCAACAGAAAGTGGTTATTCTTCTTTGGTCCGCGTGTTGCCCGAATCGAATCGAACAGGGTTGACTAAGTACCGTATCGGCCATCGGCCTTTCTGAGGGTGTGGAAGGAGTGGAGAGAGAGGGAGAAGGAGACGGTTGGAAAGACTTGACAGCCACCACCACCACCTGCTCGGCGCTCATCCTCCGTTATTCATTCGTACATCACTCACCGCCACGGATACACATCTTGGTACATACACACGCACCCTCTCTTCCTGTCTGTCTGTCGCCATTCGATTTTGCTCGCTCGATAAGGCGTCAACACCGTGGCTTTCGTTGTGGGTCCCCGGACTTCAGTCCAGGCAAGTTCTGCAGCTATCATATCTATCTGTAGTTGCAAAGCATACATACGGAAGGGAGTGGGGCGGGGGCGCGGGGGGGCATATCATATCATACCTATCGAGTTGAAGCGCTGACTTGCTAGAGTAACTACCACCACCACCGCGCCTGACAGTTTGATCGTCGTCTTCCCCCATTCATCTCGCGGCCTCTCCTCTTCTCCTCACCCCTTCTGCCCACCGTATTAAAGTTAAGGTATGCATTTCTATTTCATTTCTATTTCATTTTTCCTCTCGTGTGAAGCTTCTTCTTTCTTTCTTGTTCGGGAGAGGCGAGGAACAGTACCTACCGAAGTACCTAAGGTGGCGACGGGGTCAGAGCTGTGGATCTACAGAGGCGATGTGCGTGAAATGTCACCGTGTCAGGTCATGCTCAAGATCAACATCGCCTGCCGGCTGGTCGCTCTCGCTGCTGCCGCTGCTGCTGCTGCTGCTTACGCATGATTGATTCACTTTGTTCCCATTCCCATCCCCCATTCCCATCCCTATTCCCATTCCAATTCCAATTTCAATCCGTCCCCCTCCCCACCCCCATTTAGAACTCTCGTTCTGATATCTGCTCCATCTCCATTGCCGTTCCCATCACCACCTCCCCATTCATTACACACGCGATTAGACGAGTCCTCGGACGGGCGTCGGTGAAAACTAACCGACCTATAGGGCTGTCAGCCAAAACTGAAGCTTCGGCTCGATTTACCGGGCTGTGAAGATAAACAAACAAGCAAGCCCCGATAGCTGAAAGCCCGAAACTGATACGCCGGTAAAAATAATAATAAAATAATAATAATAATATAAAAAAAAAGGTGATACACACTTCTCTTCCGGGGTTCCAGATAAAAAATGGCTCACGGCCTGTGCCTTCAGGGATCCGGATCTCACGCTCTTCACCTCCCCAGTGTTCACTCCAGTCAAAGTGTTCCTCGACATCTACCGTCCGTCCCGACCACCGTATGTTCTCAATAGGCCCGTCGTCTTCCAAACGGGAACAACGACAAGATAATCAACAACAGCAACGGCCTCCGTCGCCATCGCCGCCACTGCCACCTCCTCCTTCGAATCCCCAGCCCGATCCCCTACCTACTACGTTGTTTGGCCGTAAGCGAGCACGATCCACCTTACCGAGACTCTCGCCTTCGCTTTCCTGTCCGCATCTCCCCCTCTTCGCGACGGGGACATCGTCACCACCGGCCGTCACGTCGGCCGTCGCGTTCGGAGCTACCACACCCACCACCGAATTCCGGGGCAGGTCGCGAGACGAAGACACAACGCCTTCGGGAAGCACATCCTCCAGGAGACTCTCAATGACGGGATTTCCATGGGATGGTCGGGTTACCGGTTCGTCGGGGAGGATGAGTCCGGCTGCTGAATTGACTGGAAACATCGCTAGGCGCTCCCGTCCCGCGACACCTCCTGCACAGCTACTCGTTCACGAACCGGTAAACGGATTCAAGGATAGGATCTCGCCGAAATCAAACTTGCGGTTGGAGCTGCCAGCTCCAGGAATCAGCGGCATGCAACAGCGACGGCACACGATAGACCCGAACGCCTGTAATCGTCACCGAGGTGGATTCGTGGGGCAGCCGCTGTTGGGATTGGCTTATCCGACAACTCCCGACATCGGCCTAAACAATTCGCCCATCATATGCGGAGCTTGCAAGGAGAGCGTAAACGGACACCACAATGGAGTCGACGGAATAGGAGGAGGAGGAGGACGAGGAGCAGGAGGACGAGGAGGGATGCATAATGGGGGAGGAGGAATTTTGGGAGGTGCTGCTACTGCTGCTCAACACGCGTTACTGGCCGCCGGACCGCACATGGTGAGGGGTGGACTCGCACTTCTGACCCCTCCTGACGATAATGGGATATTGGATTGGCAGCAGGACGGAATACAACGAACACAAGCCGATCGAGAGGCCACGGTGCGGATGATGACCGGGATGAGAGAGTTCACGCCATCTCAAGCTCGGGAACCTGCAGCGACAGAACAGGTCAGAGTCGGTCCGCATGAGAGAAGCGAACGCGCAGACACCAATGTCGATAGCGGTTCGTTACCGAATACTTCGCATGCCGTCGACCTGACGGTGAAAACGGAGCACGAGGCCTTCGGAGACGATTCGGCGGCGCCCACGGACGGCGATTGGATAGGAAACGCAATGGAAACACTCGGTTCGTTTCAGCCATTCTCCTCATCCTACTCTCCCCCCCCCCCCCCCCCCCCCTTTCCAACCCTACTTACTGACCATCTCAAGTTGGATCCGCGTTTCCCGTGTGCATGGCAACCGAAGCTGTGCGGGTATTATCCTACACTCTGCCGTGTCCACTGCCCGATGCACCCGGCCCCGATGCTCCATCGAGCAGTAGTAACCCGACAAATCCTGACCGCTTGCCCATCTCGGCGGTTTCGGCTCCAGCAGTTGCTGCCGCCGCTGGACAGCAACTGTCGCCAATGGTTCTCGCTCGGTGCACTACCGGGAACGTTGGGGTTTCGGTTCCCGTCAAGAGCGTGGATTGGGGCACTACAACCGCGCTGCACCACATGACAGCAGCGATCCAACAGCGTTATCAAAGAGAGGGAACAAGGAGAGTATACATCCACGTCTCGCACGCTATCGATCCCCAGATCCCGCTGTCAAGACTTCCATCCACTCCACCCATCACGGGTTCCCTCACCGGTAACGAAAGCGATGTTGGCTACTTTACACCGACGGTGTTTAGCAGTATCGTGATCGCACCAAACAGCCTCGCATCGACGCCTGTTCCAGGAACCCCACTACTGACCCACCCGCCACCTCCATTGTCCAACCCAATACTCCCTCCGAGCAGTCTTCATCTGACACTACTTGAACGCTATATCCCTCCAGCAACACAGGCGGAAGACACGGCGATGTTCTCGACGCGCTCCTCGCTCCTGGTCGACCGGCTCTTTGAGCTCTCGTCGCAGGGTGGCAGCCTCCTCTTCATCTACCCGACAAAAACCGGCGCCATGGACTTTGACCGCGACTATCTAGGCCCCGTATTGGACCCGCTACTACGCAAGTTTATGGTTCTGTACCATCTCCGCGAAGACCTGCTCTGGGGAGTCCGAAACATGTCGTCGATGCCACACATGGCCGAGTTCGACGTGCTGCGCTCACGCATCGAAGCCTTCTGCGCCGCACTCACGAACGGCGAAGGTGGTCTCCCACGCATGCCGACGACGATGGTGTTCAGTGCCAAAGCGAAGGTGTCGTTGAACGAACTCAGTTGGCGGGAGTGGTGGACACAGCAGGAGCAGGTGCGGGTACGCGAGATCGTCAAGAAGCACGGAAACAGCCAGGCTGCCGCCGCCGCCGCCGCCACCGCCTCGAACAAGGGGAAGGAGACGGAGAATAGCAAGAGTGGGTTCTGGCAGGGATACGGAGTGCCCGGCGATCTGGCTAGGGAGATTTTGGATGGTGTTCGCGCGCCAACTGTCAGGCCGAGTAGTCGGGGAATGGGAGAGGCGGTGCTCGCGAGCAGCATGTCGGGCAGTGGCTGTGGTGTTGGCAGTGTTGCACCCGTGGGCGTTGGACGGATCGCGGGCGGCATCAGACGGCTCGAAACTATCAAGAATAGAGGTGTTGAAGTGGGCATATTTATCCTTCGAAGAGGAAGTTGATCGATTGGCTCATCTTTGGCCCGAGCATACAAGGGGGGAATGGGATGGGATGGGATGGGATGGGATGGGATGGGATGGGGTGGGTTTGTGAAGGGAATTTTTGGGTGTCGTTATTGTTTTTTTGTTTTTTGTTTTTTTTTGATTATCGTTTTTGTCCTTTCAAAATACGGATGTTTGTGTTTTTTTTTATGTTTTTTTTTTTGCATTTTTATTGTTATATGGGGTATCTGTGTTTTTTTTTCGTCATTTCAATTCGTAAATCTGTTGGGAAGTCTTTTTTTCTACTTTTTTTTTTCGTTTGTTTTCTCCCTGATTTCTCCTGATTCTGTACGTGCAACGATAAGAACTGCGGGTGGTGAGGGGAGGTGGGACGGGGTGGACCGTGGGTTGTGGGTTGTGGGTCTGGGTGTGATATTCTTTCTGTCTTTTTCCTTTTGTGTTTTTTTGGGATCTTCGGAAGGTGTAGTCGTTATTTAAGTATTCTATTTTTTTTCTCTTTCTTTCTGCCTCGCCTCCCGCGGTTTATGTATGCGTGTGTTTTGTGTTGCTGTTTTGTATTTTGTGTTTTGTGTTGCTGTTTTGTGTTTTGTGTTTTGTGTTTTGTGTTTTGTGGTTTTCCGATCTTATTACTTCTTTCAACTTTCAACTTTCTAAGTTTGTAACTGAGGGGATGGAGGATGGAGATGGGGGGGGTTTGAAAGATATACAGTGGTGGAGTATGAGAATGCAGATGCATACTGATGCGGATTATCAGGTCTCGTTGTGAACGTAGGAAGTATGTGAAATGTGAATGGGAAATGGGAAATGGGAAATGGGAAATGGGAAATGGGAAGGGTGAATGGGAAGGGTGAATGGGAATGGTGAATGGGGTATGTGAATGGATTGGGTTTGAGGGAGGTCTTTTATAGGCAATACTGAGTGTCTGGTAATCACTAGTAATCACTGGCCGCTTTCTCCATGCTGAGCGTCCAGTACTACGGTAGAATTTGGCGGGGATATGTACATCCGCAGAATACATATGCAGGTACAGACAGTTTCTTTTTCTTTCTGTTTCATCATTCTGTAGGTACTATCTAAGTACATGATCTATTCCACCAAGTCGGCCCATGATAGGTTTAGTACCGTACCTACTCTAGGTACTATACACACTCTGTTTTCCGATCTCACCAGGTGTCTAAGGACGTGGGTTTCTCGTATGTACATATGTAAGTACGTATGTGCATAAGTACGTAGGAACGACAAGGAAACGACAAAAGAGTACATAATCGCAAAAATTCCACTCGTACATATTCCAACTCCTCCTTCTCCTACCTACCATACTCCTCCCCTAACCACGGCCTCGCCAATAGGTACTTATCTGTGGCTCCACAGGGAGTCCGGCACGGCTAGGCTGCAGACCTCTGCAGTAAAGAGCTCAAATACCTGTCTGCACCTATGCTTCCTGTCCTGGACTGGTGGACTGGTGGACTGGTGGACTGGTGGACTGGTGGACTGGTGGACTGGTGGACTGGTGGACTGGTGGACTGGTGGACTGGTGGACTGGTGGACTGGTGGACTGGTGGACTGGTGGACTGGTGGACTGGTGGACTGGTGGACTGGTGGACTGGTGGACTGGTGGACTGGTGGACTGGTGGACTGGTGGAGTCCGGCGAGTGAAAGCCGTTCATGGTGAATCACTCGGTATGTCTCGGAGAGAGAAGGGCCGGGCATATGCATTGGGTGCCGCTTTTTAGCGCTGTCCAGGTATTCACTGTGCTGGGGATAAGGGTATTGTGATATATCTGGCATTATACGGTAGATACAGGCTTACCGCTTGTTTGTTGATATGTGCATAAGTAGGAATATCCGTTAGGTGGTTTATCGAAGAGAGTGAATGGTTGGGTTTTTAAGATAACATTTCCACCGCGAAGCCTCACCCTACCTACCCGATCGTATTTACCACGGAAGAAAATGATAGTAGTATTGTACATAGCACATTCTCTCAACCTCATGAGTCCACTCGCTCGCTCGTTCGCAGAATGCCATGCATCACATCATACAATATCACTCGATTATTCCGAGTGCGCTCGTATGATTTAGTGCGAGCAGGGCTCGGGAAAACCGATTTTCCACTCGGGATGACCTCTCCCGGCAGAGTTTGTGTCGATACATCCTGGTCTAGTATATAGATACAACAGTCATGGATTGTTCCAACTTCCACCATTACGCAGACCCTCAATCAAGATTACGCTCCATAGGTAACTATGAGGAAGCAGGTGCATGTGTGCGTGAAAAGTTACAATAGACCCCGGCTGTCAATTTCGTTATCGCTCAGAGTCCTGTGCCGCAGGTGAGTGGGACAGAAAGCACATGCTAGAGCTCGGCGGCAAGCCCACCTGGTGGAGGAAGGGGAGGTGGTGCGACATCGTGAGCAGTCGTATATGTAGCTTTCTACTTTTCTAAGCCATGGCGGCAAGTTTCCGACCTACCTACTACAGTGCTAACACTTCTCCGGAGTCTGCATTAGGAATCCTTCCATATACCATGGCACATATAATTCACCATTTCGGACTTTTGTGGCATCCTATTTTCTCCAGCCTCCAGGAGTCGCTTTCCACGAGTGCGGCTCGTGTTTGTCTGGAATCATAGGCACAGTAGGTAGCAAGAACCACCCTTGTGTCTTTAGATGGGCGTTTCGTCTGTCGCCCACTCAGCTGGAAGATCCGACGTATGTCATGAACGTGTCAGGTATCTTAGCAAGCGCCGTATTGCTCATGGTGCTATCTACCTTCGGTACTCCACTGCTAGATCTTTCCGCTGTTCGTAGGATCGGGGTGGTATGTATGATGCTGAATTCACGGATCAAATCTGAAGGACGGATTTCCTACGTAGTTTGCTTGCGTTCCGCGCAGTTCCAAGGCTCTTGAGCTCATAGGGGCGCATCTCTGGTATTCGTGTTCGTGTTTCCGCTTACTGGGCTTCTGCTTCTTACGTGTTTTTCTGGGCGAACCGGGAGGACGTGGAGGAGGAGGAGGAGGAAGAGGAGGAGGAGGAAGAAGAAGAGTAGGAATGGAGCAGATGTATGCAGCGGATATGGGTGTCAGAGGTTCTGCGGGGTTGCTACCTAGCCAGCGGCACGGTACGGCCCAAGGGAGCAATCACGCCAAGCTCATGTATCGGTGGCGAGGATGTCATTAAGGGGTGAAAGGGGATGGTACATAAGAGTGAGAGGAAGGCATGTAGAAGCGCCGATCGAAGAGGGCGACTACGGTACATATGAGCGTGGGCGAGGGGAAATGGCTTGTACGAGGGTGACGTTCAACTCTCGCATCGGTGCTGGAGGGTTATTTTATCGAAGGCTGGGTTGGTAAATACCGAGCGAGGGTAAAGTGGAAGGGCTGGGTGCGGGCGCAGCGGAGCGGGCGCTGGCGGTCACACTCCACGGACCATCACTCAGTTACCTGCTCCGTTCTTTTCGGGGGGTTTTTGGTTCTTCTTGTTATCTTCATGCCATCAAGAAGTACACGATTTACTTTGTCTATGATTCTCTGTATTCTCCTCGGATTTTAGAATCTCGAATCTGGTACTGGTAAGGAAGTACTCGTGTATGTATTTACTCACATACCTGGTTGCCTCGAACGATGAATTTTTTTGGTGGTGACAGTGGCGGTAATTATCGAGGGTGGCAATAATCGCCACACCTTGAGGCAACCGCTGCGCCGCCCTGGAAAGTACACACAGACCCTGACCCCTCATGGCCGGATGATAATATGTTGTGTCGTGTTGTGCTCACTCTGTTTGTCGGCTGAAAGCTGGGTGAATGGGTACATACACTGGTACATTGGTGCATACCTGTATCATACTATATAGTAGGTATTAGGGAGGGATTCAATCTACTTGACGATGGCTAGCCCCCAAAGTACACAAGTACCAACATATTTAGGCGTCGAGGCGTTGAGGTGTCGCCGCTTCTCTGCAGCCTCGTTTACCCATTGCTGCGAGTCTGCGACTTTGGAGGCGGTCAGTGTGTAGAATAGAGTAGCAGCACATGATGGCGCCTGGAGATACCTCGAGCCGCGATGTACTTACTAGTAGTTCGGTATTGCATTCGCCGGCCGACCGGAATGGTGGGTTGTGACGATGGGGCTGGCTGGCTCCGACTCCGAGCGACAGACGGACTTCCGGAGATTCCGGAGACGGGGGAGTGGTGCGACGTTTGGTATGTGTGGTACATACACAATTACTTAGGTAAGTACTTTAATGTAAAAAGTACCTACTCTAGCAGCCTCCTAGGAGTCCAACAGTTAGCTTCCCCACTGCCGCTTCCGAACCTGGGCCGTGCAGTAAAGGAAGCCGGTAACTTTGTAAATACTTCTCCCGTCCCGAACAGGGTGCATGCGGCGGGAGATAGCCGTGCTGAAGTCTGATATCGATATTAAGTGCAACAGAATTATGTAGGTATGTACACAACTACATCCGTGAACCACGGCGCTTGGACATCCAACGTCGACCTCGACGCCTACAGAGGCCCGATGGAGGATTCATGTTGACATTTTCCACCGACAGCAGTGGGCGGCGTTCGGGGCACGGGGGTACAGATTATCCGGTCATGCCGGCACCGAAGCCCCCCTGCATTGCCCTGGAGATGTTGTGATGAGAGCTAGGAAGTCAACATACCTGGTATGATACCGGTATTGATACCCAACCGAAAGGAGAGGATACTGAAACGTGCTGACGGACGGCATAACTAGCACCTACATAGGTAGGAAGTAGGCATGTGTTATGCTAACCGGTGGGTGGTCAATGGCCACGACATCGCGATCGAGCGGGATCACTAATGCTCTGCTACCTTACTCTACATACCCAAGCGCATACCGGTACCTGGTAGTTACCACCTAGTACATGCCGATTGTTGTTGTTGTTCTACAGAAGACCGGACATGCGGGACAGCCAGAATCGCATCATAACCGAGTACCCAGTTATGATTTATCGTCCTTGCTTTCGGCGCGACAGGCCTTTCTCGATTGGTATGTCCTGGCGAATTTAGAGTAGATGGGTTACAGGTACTCTAAATACTGACCGAGTGGTCCCGACGGATAGAGGTCTGAGCGACGAGGTTCGCTTCTAGAAAGAAAGGATGTGCCCCTTTGGCGCGCGCACGACGCCGCACCCGCCATCTCTGACAGTGCAGCGGTTACCATGTCTTACACTCGTTGACATCTCGACAACCTGACAAATTGACATCCACAGCATCAACAGTTCCACCGGGAAGTACATACTTTGTAACTACATGTGTCACTGAGTAAATATGTCCATACCAGATTGCGATGGAGATCCAACCGAATCGTGATTCATGCGCCTTCAAACAGCAAACTGCTGGCAAAGGCATCGTCGACGAGTACTATACATTCGGTACCTACTACGTAAACCACCAGTTGCCAGCTGGTCAATCAAAATCCAGGGGCGTTGTGATGACACCCAAGACTCAAGCGGTGCTATGTACCTACATTATACAGGTTATTGTCGCCCTTAATATCACCAGCCCTTGCAGCAATCTCTATCTGACACTGGGACCGACTAAGCGACGAAAAAACCCGCCCACCCCTCCCCTTCGCGCCAAAGAACATTATTTTGCCGGTTAACTCTTGCTAGGAAGCTGTGGTTACCAGACCGCCGGGTGGACCGGTGGCAGTAAATGGGTAGTATCATAGTATGTACTCGGACCTCCCCGCGCGGTAGAGTGCCTACTATACGGTAGCTGCTTGCTGGCTGTATGCGGATGCATGGAAGACGTTTGAAGTTTGGAGACCCGGTAACTAACTCGCGGGCTGGATAATCCCAATCCAATCCCGTCCCTTCTCCTTGGTCGAGGCCGGCTTCTATATAACTTGGCCTTATTGCCCTTCTCTGCTTCTACTTCCTTCTCATCAGCACACTCTCACACACATTCTCTCAGTCTTTCCACCATTCTTGCTTGAGGCAGTCTCTCTTTGAATCTTTCAATCAAACAGTTCACTCTTTTCGCTGTTTTATCCTTCCACTCTTTGGTCAGGTACCTTTACATACAATCTTCAGTAAATCCCAACCCTTAACCTCCCACCACCTTCACCTCATTCATTCAAAATGGTTCAATTCGGAACTCTCCTCCCCATCTTGGCTACCCTCCTCGGTGCCGCCAACGCCCACACCCGTGTCTACTCCCTCTGGGTCAACGGTGTTGACCAGGGTGACGGACGGGGCGTCTACGTCCGCTCGCCTCCCAGCAACAGCCCCGTGAAGGATGGTAAGTTTTTCCGGAGCATCCTTGGGCGAATGTGCAGCTGATGAATATTGTTTTGCAGTCTCCAGCAGTGATATCATCTGTAACGTCAACAACGTTGCCGTGGCCAAGAGCGTCCCCGCCGCCGCCGGTGACGAGGTCACCTTCGAGTGGTACCACGACACCCGTGCCGACGACATCATCGACAGCAGCCACAAGGGCCCCATAACCGTCTACATCGCGGACGCGGCCACCAACGGAGCCGGCGCCGTATGGACCAAGATCGCCGAGTCTGGACTCGAGGGAGGTGTCTGGGCCGTCGACACCCTGATCGCCAACGGCGGAAAGCACTCTGTGACTCTCCCGTCCAGCCTGGCTGCCGGTGACTACCTGCTCCGTGCCGAGATCATCGCTCTCCACGAGTCCGAGACCAACTACCTCACCAACAGCGCCCGTGGTGCCCAGTTCTACCCGTCGTGCTCGCAGGTCACCGTCAGTTCCAGCGGCTCCGTCACCCCCCCGGGTACCTTCAACTTCATCGGTGGCTACACCCCCACCGACCCCGGTATCCTGTTCAACCTGTACAGCAACCCGACCACGTACCCGATCCCCGGCCCGTCTGTCTGGACCGGTGCGGCCGGCTCCGCGGCCACCACCAAGGTCAGCACCACCGCTGCGGCCACCACCAAGGCCTCCACCAAGGCCAGCACCACCGCCGTGGCCACCTCGACCTACGTCGCGCCCGCCGAGGAGACCACCTCGACCTACGTCGCTCCCGTGACCACCTCGACCTACGTCGCCCCGGTCGCCACCTCGACGACCAAGGCCGTCGCCACCACCAAGGCCAGCACCACCACCTACGTCGCCCCGGTCGTCACCCCCACCACCCTGGCGACTCTGACCAAGACCACCAAGCCCGTGACCACCAAGGCCACCATCACCAAGGCCACCTCCACCAAGGCCTCCACCACTAGCTACGTCTACCAGACCCCCGCTACCACCCCCACCGTCAAGACCCCCGAGTCCATCAACAAGTGCCTCGACGAGGTCAACGCTTGCATCTCGCAGGCGCAGAGCTCCATCGGAGGTGCCGTCAACTTCCAGCCTTGCGAGGAGCGTCGCACTTCTTGCTACGCTTAAGTAGCTAGCTAGCTGACCAGCCGGTGTTTGTGTTGAGTCTTTGTTTATCGGCATTGCATGTGTGAGAGTGTGAGAGTGTGTGGTTGTGCATATTGTATAGGCGCGTATATAGATAAAGTGTGGTAGTTAGTAATGGTTGGACTGGTATTCATCCGTGAGTTTGTGTTGCAGAAAATATTATGGAAGTCTTTCTATAATCTTGTGGTCCCGGTGTGCGATGAGTGGTGATTTCCGGTGAAGGTGATGAATTGCGCGGCCTTGTAAAAGCTGTCACAGCCTCGGCTCCGAGTGGGTCTCATATAGATAATGGATGTGCTATGTAACTTTATGCACCACATCTTCCAACCTGTACGAGGGGCATATATTGCTGTTCGCCCCCAACGGGCCCAACCATTGAGGCCGACGGATATTAATTTATCATCGTGCCGAGCATTGGGCATTGGGCATTGAGTTTTGCTGATCGAGTGGTTGATCGGTTCAGCCATCTGAGCCGCTGTCAGCCTTGTGTGTACGAGTACGAGTAGAGTGCAAATTGCACATGTGAAGGATAGATGTCACGAGCAAGTGTCGTAGGAAACTACTAGTAGCTAGACCCTGCAGGATGTGATTCCTCGTGAAGAGTACGGGAATATGTGCCCACACTTGCAGCAGCCGAAACATCCCCATGCGAATACCAAGTCCGAGCCGTCGCTGCCGTCTCGGGGGCGGCGGGGAGTCAGGCGAGAGAGCGAGAGCGAGATGCCGGTGGCATTCATGATGATTCGTAGGGTGATTTGTATCAGTTACCAATAGCAGTTAGTCTGTAGAAGCGCGTGGAAACGAACAGTGACTTGCGATGAGTGTCGGTGAGCATGTTCATGTTCATGTTACACGGGAACCCCGTCACTCACGGAATTCGCCGCAGCCCCTCCACCCACCCCACCATAGTACAAAGCTTCAAACTTCGTCCGATGCAGTCCACCATCACCACCACCAACCACACACGATGGCGACAACCGAAGCGATTCCCGACAATGCCGGCCTCCCCGCCGGCCTCCAGAACACGAACCTCACGCTCGAAGGCATGATCGAAGCAGCGTCGGCCGCGCACTTCGGCCCAGGCGGCAGCATCGGCGCCGCCCTCCCGGACGCGATCGCCTCCGTCAAGTCCACGACGGCGGACGAGTTTATCCGGCAGCTGAACAAGATGCCATTATTCATGACGGAGCTCGACGAGACGGGCTCGGACGACACATCGTCGAACGCGGCTCTGGACGCCATCCGCGCGCTGCAGGAGGAGGGCGAGCCGCACGAGATCGCGCTCAACTTCAAGGCGTCGGGCAACGAGCGCTTCAAGTGGAAGAACTTCGCGGATGCCCGCGAGTTCTACACCAAGGCCATCAACGTCAAGTGCGCGGATCCCGAGATCAACGCCGCCTGCCTCAATAACCGCGCACAGTGCAACCTGGAGCTGCGGAATTACCGCAAGTGCATTACCGATTGCCGCGAGGCCCTGAAATTGAACCCGAACGCGGATAAGTCCTGGTTTAGGAGCGCGAAGGCGCTGCTGGCCATCGACCGCATCGACGAGGCCGAGGCGTGCATCACCAACGCGGTGCTGTTGAATCCGGCGCACGCGCAGATCCAGCAGCTGGCGGAGAAGATCGTGGCGCGGAAGGCGCATCTGGCGAAGCAGGAGGCGATGCGGGCCGAGCGCGAGCGGAAGAAGAAGTGGGACGAGAACGCGATCAAGGTGGCGCTGCAGGCACGGAATATCCCCACGCGATCTACAAAGGCGCCGCCGGAAATGCCCGACGGCATCGAGATTGCGTTCTCCGAGTACGGGAAGTTGGATAGTCACCTCAATTTTCCCGTGCTATTGATATACCACCTGCACCTGCAGACGGACATGATCGCGGGGATGCCGGAGGTCGCAACGGTTGGGGATCAGCTGGTCGAGGTGCTCGCGGAGCCGCAGGCGTGGGACGAGAAGAGGGAGTACACGACGAAGACGGTCGAGTGCTACATGGAGACCAAGACGGGCGGGCTGATCAAGGTCGGGAAGAAAGTGAGTCTGCTGGAGGTGCTGAGCGGGGGGAAAGTCGAGGTTGTCGATGGGCTGGTCAAGATCCTCGTAGTGCCGAAGGCGAGGACGGTAGAGTTTGTAGAGAAGTGGAAGAAGACTATGCGGACGGCGCAATAGAAAGGAAAATTCGTGCATAAGATTTTGGAAAAAAAATTGTACGATACCAATCATAGAATATCACTCTTGTAGATAACCGGCCCCGTTGAGAAATTTGCCACGATGGTGGTTTTGAGACCCCAAGCTCCTCCTATTTCACTTCAAAAAAAAAGTAGGCTCACGTGTACATGAACCCTAAAAATATTACACGAACACTGCACATCACATGACGCTTGAATCGGATAAATGCAAGTCCGTGGCTACCGTATTCCGAACTGATACGATCCACTGACCGTCTTTAGCAACGATCAATACGGCGGGGAGCAGTATGCACGTGAAGCAATAGTTCGATTCAATTCAGTACCACGTACGTGAAAGCCATTACAGTCATAAGGAAGAGGAGAAAAAGAAAAGTAAGAAACCGCCATAGGAAGAAGTATGTACCAGAAACCGGTGACCCTAAGAAATAGACAGATGAAACATGAGCACATTATGGCCACCTAGTGGAGCCCCCTAACTAAAGAAATGCCACGAATAATGTGGTCAGAACAACAGAAAAAAGAAAGACCGATAGGCATCACGGCCGGAAAACAAGACAGCAACCATAGGGAAATCATTTAAGCGCGGGCGACAAGCAAAGCGACGTAAACGGGGCATCTACAACTCGGATGCAACGTGTGCGCTCAATGCGTTGTTGTAGCTGGCATCGAAATCGTTTCTGGACGAGCCCTCTCCGCCAGGCTTGTACGAGCTCTGCCCAAACGCATCGCCCGAGAAGTTGGTGCTCGAAGTCGGCACGAAGATGACCTTAGAGTTGGCCGACTTAGCCATAGCCTGGTAGGCCTCGAGCTGCCGAATCTGCATGGCAGGTGCCGAGCTCAGGATGTCGGCAGCTTGACGCATCAGCTTGGCAGCCTCGACTTCGGCGCGGGCGGCAATTATCTTGCTCTCTCCGATACGCTTGCTCTGCGCAGCCATCGACAGAGAGTCCTGGAGTTCCCGAGAGAAGATGATGTCCTTGATCAACATGCTCTCGACCGCCACACCCCAGCCCTCGGCAACGTCGCCGATTATTTCGCGGATGCTCTGGGCTACCTCCTCACGGCGTTCGATGACATCCTGGAGGACGCGAGCTCCAACGACATGGCGCAGAGTCGTTTGCGTTCTCTATCGTGCAATGTCAGCACCTGCGGAACGAACGAACGAATGGGCAAATAATTGGATCTTACCTCGATCAGCGCCTGGCGCACATTGGAGATTCCGAAAGCGGCCTTGTGTGGGGAGGTGATGTGGTAGTATATGACGGACGTCAGGTGCACCGTGACATTATCCTTGGTCATGCACACCTGCTGGGGCACCTCGCACAGCTGAATCTTGACATCGATCTGGATCAACTTCTCCGAGAGCGGATTGATCTTGACGAGACCGGGGTCAACGGCACGGTAGAAACGGCCAAACTTCGTGACTAGGCCAACATTGCCCTGGGAGACGGGCTTGTACGGGTTCGGGCAGATGATGCAGCACGGGATCGCTCCAAACAAGCCGATGCAGTTGCCGAGAGTGTTGATGAAGGCGCCGTAAATTCCGTCTCCGGCGTCGTCGTCGCGAATTCCAAGGTGCTGGGCATATGAGGGTTGCAACTCGCCGTGTCTCACGGGCTGAACCTGGATCAAGGGCGCATTCGTGTGAGTGCTACGGGCACCATCTGGAACGACGGATGCAGCAGCGAGAAAACCGGCGTTATCCGTCTGCGAGGTAGAGCGGGATTGGGGAGCCTGCTTGACTGGGTCGGTAGAGGACATTGTGGATTGTCTTGTGGTGATGGTTGGTGGTTGGTGGTTGGTGGTTGGTGGTTGGTGGTTGGTGGTTGGTGGTTGGTGGTGATATGGGTTGTGGATGCAATGTGACGGAATAAATCAAAGGCGGGGACCGACTGAGCTTATATAACTGTTCACGTCCGAAGGAGTTGCTTTTATCATTCGAGCAACCATTGAACTGGGTTCCCGCATGCGATGGCACACCCCGACAAGACAATGCAAGACAATACAAGACAGACAAGACAATCGACAGCCTGACTCTCGAGTATGCCTCGCTTCGTCCGCCGCGGAACCCTGTACATAGCCGCAGCTGATCGGCTGAGCGACGAAGGTCTAGCTGAGTTGGTGATAGAGGCCGCCAGACCCTTCTCCTCCCCCTCCCCCACCTTTCCGCCTTCCTCCTCGCCCTGCGCTGCGCACGTCGCCCGGTGGCACCTTTTCATCTCGGAATACGAAGAGCGAGCGATAAAGTTCTCAATTCGCACGCGCTATCTGTTCTCCGTGGACTGGACAGTGGAGATCAATGCTAACCAGTACCTAGGCCCTCGCTGCCGGCCAACAACTACGCCAGATAAAGTTCGTGCAAGACGCGGAGTCGGAGGCCGTGAGGCTGTGCTGGTTGCAACTCGTTGGCTACGGTATCCGGGATCACGGGGGACAATAACTACATCCATACCGCTCCGCTTTCTTCGTTGCATACACGTGCATGGATAGTAGGAGTGAAGAAGAAGAAGAAGAAGAAGAAGAAGAAGAAGAAGAAGAAGAAGAAGAAGAAGAAGAAGAAGAAGAAGAAGACGACGAAGAGCTGTAGCCTTCGAGAAGCTCGCTGGAACTCAGGATGCAGTAGTGGTGGAGCTTTAGGTTGCAGTGTCTAGTACCTACTCCACTCAGTTAGAGTACCCATCTGCAACGGCAGTGGCGTATGTAGGGTAGAAGTCTTGGAGAAGTGACGTGACGAACCCCATTCATGGTGCCGAGCCACCCGGAACGAGTCAGCAGACCCTCTAGAGTAGGTATTCTTCCCTCGGTGACGGTGACGGTGACTGATGCTGTGTGTGACTTCTCGACAGACTTTGGCCACTGGAATTACATTCGACCGGCGACTCCATACCGATAGAGATGGGCCAGTCGGAGTTCTTTGGTTTAGGGCAGATTCTACCTTCTGGCGTGTTGACCACCCAAAGCCCTCCACGGAGATCCAGCACGTCTCAGCACTCGCTTCCCGGTATCCAATGCGTGATATCCCTCATGCATCATTTATCTGACGCACGGCGACGCTGGATTTGGAATCCCCGGTTGATTCCGCTCGGTCGGGCTACTATGACGTCGTACCTCTCGGGTTCGAGGGCTTACATACGCCTCGGCTTAGTCCCCATCGATACCGTACCGTATCGTCCAGTGGTCAGACCGAATCGCGTATGACCATCGCCGTTCAAGTATCTTGGCAACGGCATTGGCACGAATATGTAGCGGCATGTACTAACTTAGTGCCCGTCGGGATTAAGTAAGCTTCGATATTAGCTTGCTTCTCCCTTCGTACTTATGCGCCATGCTTGTTGCTTTGCTCACTGTCGATCATCCAAAGTACTCTATATTGTACATACGTTTCCTTCCACCGGTAAGTAAAATCCCTGACGATCAAGCAGTCCATGTGAAAAGATCATGTGCAACTGAGTGGTAATAACCCCTTCGATCCGTGGAGCAGTTAGAGTAGTCTTGGCAGAATTTCTGCCCTGGAGCGCGCACCTCGGAGCGGTTTCACGGTGCGCGGTAGGCCTGAATCCAATGCTTGAGCCTTGATCCATCACTCGGTGCATACAAGTCTGCCTTGCGGTGCCGTTGGGTCGGGTCGGAACCAGCCCCGCCGGCTACGAGGTGCATGGCTTGATCGATATCCCGGGCAAGTGTTATTCTACTAGAGGTGGTAGGTACAATATAAAGCCAACATTACTACTACTAACCACAATGTGCTCGCACCTGGATACCATCTTAACCAACCAACAATCTCATAACGCAGCCATTGGTGCTGCTTCCGCTTCCCTTGGTGTAAATCAGTATTCTCCATAGTCCAGTCTAGTCCGCCCAAACCATGGACGGGACTGAACTACATACATCCAGTCCGTCCGGAGGTGTCTGTCGGACGGACTAGTCCGCCAGTAAGGTCGGACGGGACGGGCTACTTTTATCCCGTCCCCAAATGGCACGGACGGGGCTGGATCGTGGCAGTCCGTCCCGTCCAGACTATGGAGAATACTAGTGTAAATAGCCGTAAACTTTCATAGCAGTCGACTACAGACCGTCCCGGCTCCCGAGTCCAGCCCGGCACCACCTCAGACCGGACTGCATCATGCACCGTAAAAACATACCTACCTAATGTAATCCAGTCCGGTCCAACCATAAAATCCGGACAAATCGGACGGATCAGACTAGGTATGTAACTGTGTACGCCACTGCGGTCGTCGACTGTTCCCGGGCCGGCACTCTTCCGCAGGCCACGACGCGGGGCAGGCTGCTATGTAGGGGAACTGGTCCGTCCATCAATAGGACTGTCTGTCTGTCTGTCGAGACATAGGAGGTAGGTACGTGGTCGAGGATCTCGGTACCTCTCTGGAGTCTGGAGTGTGTACGTACGCACACAGTGGATTGCGTAGGTACTTGAGCGCACGTTAGGAAGTTTACTTTGTGTATGTATACACAGTACATAGAGTACGTACCTCATACTATGCCCTCCATAGGCGAGCAATATTGGAAATCCTTAGCCCTAGCTAGGTAAATGGGAGTCTACATGTAAACTGGCTGTTAGCACAAAGTGCGGCTAATTTGCACTGGTAATTCAAACTTCTGTTTGTAAAACTGCCTTTTCCTCATAGCGTACAGGTTGCAATGTTTATTTGGGCGACGCCGGGCCAGTAGGCGTTTCAACTTTCGCCTCCACAGCCGGCAGCGTAAGGCATGTCACGTGATACTAGCTACCGAGTGATATCTGCCTACTGCACCCTCCGTCACGCCAAAATAAAAATAAAAATAAAAACCATCACCACCCCCGGCGGGTGGCTTGGAAACCCCAAGAGCTGAATACAAAGTTCCTTCACCTGGGTTGAACCCGGCACTTTCCCTGAACTCCCCTCGCCGATTGCATGGCCTCAGTAGTTGACCACTAGACCACGCGGGGTTTTTCCGTGCTGGAAACATGAATTCGATGCTTATAAAGTGGTGGGTGCCCCCACTCGGATAGAAAAGCTCCGGGAGCCACAACTCTGGCTACGTTGAACGAATCGCCAACAACTTGCCGTGTGCTTCGAATGGATCTAATGCGACGTCTTTCAAGTTTGAACGAACGACAAAGACTGCGCGGTAACGGTGCCGCTGCAAGGAGAGATCCATATCCATAGCAGTACCAGTGCTGTATCCACAGCGACGTTTGCGAGCTATCCACAGCACTGAGACAAACACGGTATCCACGGCGAGGAACTGCAGGGTGTGGCGGAGCGATGGAAGAGCTGTCGGCGGGAGGAAACGAATGTGGTTAGTAGTGGGCATCAACGTCGGCGGGCATGGCGGGTCGACTGCTGAGCGAGGAGGGGGACTTAAGCTGGCACAGTGGCACCCACGGGGTTTCTTCTTCTTCTTCTTCTTCTTCTCCCTCTTGCTCGATCATTGTCTACAGAATAGACGATCAACCCGAACTTCCTCTCTCTCCTTGTGTGTTCTCCTTCTCTTGGCCCGCTTCCCGGTCTCGACTCTCTAGAGGCATCGGCGAAAGAGCCCTCACAAAAGGGGCACACGGCATCCGCGGTAGATCCAGCATGGTATTCATTGCACTAACAATGCCATATCCGTGGTGAGGAGCAGCAGAGGAAGACGCTATCCGCGGTAAGTCCCCCGGCGGGTGATTCGCGGCGAGGCCAGCGGGCTACCTATTCGTCGTCACACAGCTGGCAAGCGTCGTTGTCCTTCGCCGTCCTTCAATGTCTGAAAGCTCCTGGTCTTCTTATAGCCGGTGCGTCTTGTCCTCCTATGCCGCCCTACTATCACTATCAGGCTTGTCTAGCCGCGGATACCACAGTATCTGCGCTTCAAATAGCAAATTGTCGTGCGGGGTAACTATCCCCTGGTTCAGTATTGAACGCTTGAGGGATAGCACGGCGTGGATCCTCAGTTGTTGTGCCGGGGCTGGTGGTTCTGTGGGGGGACTCCATATAAAGGATGGCCAGCCAAGCACCAGGACTGACGACTCTTCGAGGGCTCTGGCCCATGCCCTACAATCTCGCTCTCGTTGCCAATGTTTTGTAATGTTTATCGTCAGGGCGTTGTACATACGGATTACATTTGGTACGATGGCGAGGCGAGTGATACGAAGGCGATTGTAATCATTTCTTTCCATGGCTGCTGCAGAATAAGACTGTTCCCGTGGTCACCCAGCGGTCAGCCGAGAATGATCGACTAAACAAGAGATCCCCATAATGATAATGATTCGCACAAGACCATCTACTTACCTACCTAGCATCCGGAGCTCGACGCCCCTTTATTTCTGCTCCTCTCAGCTGGAAACGACGTAGGTAAGGCACGCTCATTCCGATTTCCCGTCTTCCGATCACCCCACTAGCACATGTAGCCCTGGAATACTTTCATGATATCGGGACTAATCTTGCCGTCGGCGTGAAATCGCCGCCAACTTCAAGGCCAGCGCCAACGCCTCTACGTCGAGCATCCCGAGAGCCGCTCTCGGACGGAAGTCCCAGAGTCTGGTCGCAGTTTGACGGTCCGTTGCTTTACGGCATACGCACTGGTCTGCGTACGGGGAGGTGGGTTTACCAGTAATCCTCCCCCCAGTATGTACATGGCGAGCCGGGCAGGCAGTCACTCCCATCTGCGGTGCTGCCTCTGGCAGCCTCTGGCAGCCTCAGAGTCCGGTCTCCGGGAAGAAATTACTCACCTCCTCCTTTACTTTCACTCCAGCCGGTAGATTTATTTCGACGATGTGCTCTCAGCTTCCATCATGGTCGACTTGCTGTCCGACTCTCTAGACTTGGCAGCGTTTGTGGACTCACGTCGACACTCCCTCGCCCGGCCAGCCGTCTCACTCCGCCGCTGGCTCTTCCCCCTTCTCTTCCTGCCCAACTGCACCTACTTAGGCAATGTAGCTTACTTAGTTGGCATGGTATAGGAGTTATTCATGAAACCAGAACCACCATTCACGGCAACGGTAACGAGAGTGATCTACGGGGGACGTCAAGGCGGCCAATGATATTCTTTCGGGCAACCCCGCGTCAGTCCAAGCAGTATGTAACCAACCACAGCAAATTCACAATTGAACACGACATTGTAAGGCATAGTGGCAAAGTGAACCAGGCCTACCATTATATAGGAGGTCGGGTCTCGAGAGAAATGCCAATTTCGTCGCGCGCAAAATTTATTAGACAATGTCACAGCAGATCCGCGGGCCTAGTGGGATGGTTGGCTTCAAAACACAGGTACCATAGGTAAGCTGGGTCGGGATTTGCTGGATCTAGTCCTGTCCTATACGGCCCTGTCCTGTCCGGTCCCGCGTCCATGGCTATGGCTGGGCGGCCGTGTGATTGCTGTCTGGATTGCTGTCTGGATTGCCGAGACTTTCAGGCCGCCCGGATGACAAGCACTGCAGGCAGATTACTCTGGTTACCGACGCACGAACGGGATATTCACATGGTCTGGTGTTTACGGTGATGTGTATCCGGAGAATAACTAATCGTTAATCCGACGTAATACTCTACTGCAGGGATCGCCCAGTGGAAGTGTAATTGGAATTGAGTGTCCTGCACAATCGATCCCTCCAGTTGATCCCTCCCTCCCGCAGCTGACTGGAGTCCGCAAATAGCGATTCCATCTTTGGATGCTCAGGTTCAGGCTGCTATGCTGTGCTATACTGTGCTATTATATGTTGTGCCTCGGAGACGGATTTGTTTTATTGCTTCAGCTTATTGTCCGTGATGGTTGGCGGGGGGGCCTATGGATGGTTATTGGGTATGGCCGAGAATAATCTTCGAGAATTTTCTAATCGACATTGGTCTGGACGTCGACGACGGGTCGTACTCACTGGGGGCCTTGACGGCGACTGACCATAGCAGCCAGCAAAAGGAGCTGTATATAACATCCTCCTCGGATCCACCAGAGTCCATTCTTCTCTCCTCACCAGCCTCAACCGCATCTTCACAGCATCCTCCAGCTTCTTCTCCAGCTTCTTCAGCTTCTTCTTCATTCACCTCTTCAGCTACACACATACTTTATAATCACCTAATCCACTCTTCACCCTAACCCACCTTCAAAATGCAATTCAAAATCGTCGCCACCCTCTTCCTCGCCTCCGTCGCCTCGGCCGCCGACATCATCGGCTGGACCGGCAGCGGCTGCGGCGGGACCTCCCTAGCCTGCCGCGGGATCCAAGAGAACATCTGCTGCAGTATGCCCCCCGCGTCCCTCCCATTTCCCAATCACTGACCAACCCGCAGACTTCAACATGAACGTGCGCAGCGTGCGGTGGACGCTTCCCGCCTCATCCCGCGGCATCGGCTACGCAGGCAACAGCTGCAGATCGACGTCGTCGACGCCGGTGCAGGGCGCCAAGTCAGCCGCGTGCTTCAACTACGCGTGGAATCTGCGCTCGGCCAAGTGGATTCTTGGGTCTGGTTCGCGCCGCCGCGCGGTGGTCGCCCGCGCCGCTGAGGACGACGAGTGCCAGAAGCCGAACGAGTATTCTTACTACTCGGAGAATAAGAAGCAGATGGTCACCAAGAAGATCCCCGCTGAGAATGCGGATGAGGTCCTGAAGTGGATCGAGGACGGCGAGTGGGTCAAGATTGAGGGGCTTGAGGAGGTTGCTGAGGGGCAGGATTTGTAGAGTGGGAACTCTGCTCTGCGAGGCTCGGGCTTTGAGGGAGGAAGTGACATAAGTTGTATGATGGAACGAGGGCGAGGGAGAGGATAGGTGGAAGGCGGGAATGGGAGACTGATGAGAGAAGGACAAGGGGGAGGGGAGAGTCTGGGTTATGGTGGTGGTATCAGAGTGTTTGCATTTTCAGCGTGGCCACGCTTTGTACTGTTTTGTTTTGTTTTGATCTTATTAATCATTTACTGGAAACGACGCCTATTTGTCCTCAATCTACTCCTTCCGTGATCTCAGTGGTGCCTCGATGGGCGAGTGCTGGTAACGGTTGGACACCTCTCGGTCTGGACGGACGCCGGGGAGACCTGATGGTGAGTGATATATATGATATGGTGGGAGTGGAACGGAGACTCTAAGCCAAGTAAGGAATGGTTACTTCCTAGGCGAATTATTAGCGGACTCGGGTGCTCGTTTATATATCTAGCTCCACCTCAATCTCGACAACTAGCGCAAACCCTCATCTGAACGGCCACATTCCGGCGGCCCTTACTCGCCGGAAAAATGTCGTCCGACGCAGTCCTCACACTCCCTCACTCGCCTGGCCAGTACATAACCGGGGGAGCCGCTAACCCGGGGGGTGTCCCCCAAGCCCCGGATCTGCACCCCGGACCCCTCCATTTCAGCAGCTAGATAACGCGGCGCAGGCGCGTGCAGTTGACCCGAGGTGCAAGCGGGGGTGGGTGGGTGGGTTGGTGGGTCGCACAGGAGGGAGGGAGGGAGAGACCGGACGGGGACGACCGACCGACCGAAGGCGAGGGGAGAGGAGACGTTTATTCGCCCCGTTCCCTTCTCCATCGCGCACACACACACATACACATACACACACTCAGACAGACACACACACACACACACGTGCATGCCCTCGAAAAACAATGCCAGCAACCCGCCTCTTCACCTTCGTCTCGCGCCGCACCAGTGAGTTATGGTCCGTCCCGCGGTGGTACCGTATGCCTCCCCCATTTTCCTCCCCCCGCTCCCTTCCCTTCCCTTCCCTCCCCCCTCCCCCGCTTTTCCGCCCCCACCAACTGACGTGTGGAGGCCGCAGACACGATCGTAGCCGCAGCCGCAGTAGCGTGCACGCAGCAGGCGTACGCGACGCACGCGGCTAGCGCCGAGCAGCGGCAGCTGTGGCACATGGTCGCCGAGAAGGACGGCGTCATCAGCGAGCTCCAGGCGCGCGTGTGGGAGCTGGAAGCTACGTCGCAGGGGAAGGGCGGCTCTAGGTGGTGGGGGAGGGGTGGTAGTGGGGGGAGGTAGATGGGAGGAGTACCTGGGAGGAGGAGGGATTGATGGGGGTTGGTATCGATGGTGAGTGCCCCCGGCTGTACCTGGAATGCCGCCCCGGACTGGTGGGACTGATTGCGTGAGGAGGGTAGGTTCAGGTTGACTTTACTTTGCCAATGCCGCCGTTGCCCGGCGCCCGTTGCCCGTCACTCGTCACTCGGCGCCCGTTGCATACGATCATACATACACATACGTCAAGGAGGGAAGATATCAATCGTGGTCCTGGGCTCAACAGTTCGAGGGTTACATACCACGTCGGCGGCGGCGGTGTGTCCGGCTTATGCACATGTATATATGATAGGACTTTGTGGATGTTGGGCGAATGCAGACGGAAGATCTAATACAAGCTATTACAAGCTACTTGGTTCCATGGAAGTGAAAGCAAATCCGGTATTCAACCCCCAAGGAGTGGTTTGATACCCACCAGGATTCACTGAGTTCATATTACTCGTCATTTTCAACACGGTTCTCTAATCGTCCGTTCGGCCGTCTCGGTCCCCCATCCATGAGCCCGACTTTCAGTAGGTAGTCCGTCCTTGCCTCCCAGCGGCGATCCCCCTTCCGAAAGGACGATCGTGGAGGTTCATAATCGGACATGTTCAAGATCGACAGGACAGACTGTTGAATTCCCAGCCGGCACACCTGTCGATGGAGGGCACAAGGCGGAAGACTTCATACGCAGACCGCCCAGTTCACATGGAAGCTATCTTCCGGTTCACGCCATTTAAAAATCTCACGAACCAACAGGTAGTATTATCAAACAAACGGCACACATGTGCGAACCCAGGTATTTCATTCACCGAACCTTTTCTCAGCAGACTCCACCTCAATTCAGTACCCCGAATGCTACCAAGCTATCTACCAGATCCCGGGAATCATCGACGCCTTCTTCCTGTAGGCACTTCCAAACTCCTTCCTGTACCTACTCTCCTTCTTCTTGGCCCACAGCAACATCTGACCCGTCGACACAGCAAAGAAAATGAGCGTGCTCATATTGCCGCCTCCGAGGACGACTATCGCGAGCCACGCCAGTGACTCGAAAAGATAATTCGGGCAAGTAACGAGATCGAATCCGTAGCCCTTCGGGATCTGTCGCTTAGTTGAGCCATCCTCTGGGCGGAGGTTACGGAGGGTGATGTGGGTAGCGTAGTTCGAGATCTCGGCCCAAGCCCAGAGTGCGATTGCAGCGTAGCGAACGGTGGGGTTGAGGTCGGCGTTGAGCGCGGCGGGCCACCACGATGCGGCGATGGAACCGGGCGCGTAGAGGTAGTACGCCAGGTTCAGACCCGACAGCACCCAGTAGTGCGCGGAGTTCTTGAAGATGTTCGTCGCCGGCATCGTCGCAGCGCTGAAGCGGTGCACGCACACGGTCTCGTACTCACGCTTCAGGAAGTGCAGCGTGCAGAGGGTGCACAGCACCAGCTGCGTGGTCGTCGGCGCGGGGATGAGCGCCGTGGAAGAGGACGCGTTGAACGGGAGGTAGCTAAGCGGGTTGTACGCCGACGCGGAGTAGATGAGCGGGCGGAGGTAGAGGAACAGCGGATGGATCAGCAGCGGGCCGAGGTACTCGACGATGAAGACGGTGCGCCAGGCGATCTGGGGGCCTATCCATATCCACATCCTCAATTAGCGCCCACTTACCCACACACACACATTATCACACCAGTCCCGTAGTAAACCTACCGAGATCCTTAACAAAGATCTGACTGCCATTGCGGAGTCCCGTTTCCTCGATGGTCACGAGCTTTCCGTCGTCCCGCTTGAGCGAAACGGGCCGTCCATCACTGCCCTTGGTGATCCGCAGACGGTTCTGGTTCAGCCGCGTGTGCTTCGCGATCTGCTCGTACAGCGCCGTCGTGCTCGCTGTGGACAGATCGAAGTCCAGCGTCTCCGGAAGATTCTTGAGCGGCCGGCCTGTGGCAGCGTTAATATCGAAACCCTCCCCCACCACCTACTCCTCCGAAACAGAGAGTATAGTTACCTCTAGGCTTGATGTTGAGCGAGATCATTGCCATTGCTGCTGTTGTTGCTGTTATCGTTTTCGTCGTTTTCGTTTTCGTCGTTGGCAAATAAGTATCTCGAAATATGAATTGGGAGTTTCTCAATCCGCAGCGTAAGTAGCCTGAACCTGACGGAAAGATGTCAAAGAAATAGATAGATTGCACGTTGCAATCTCTCAACAAAAACGGCAATTGGGGGCTTGGCACGGGTCGGTACCCCTCCGTCAGTCGTGACTCGTCAGCCGTGACCGCGTCGGCCCAGATATGATACCTTACGCGCGGAATGTGCCATGTGCAGCGAGTGAGAACCGCAGAGATACCTATCAAAGAGTGACAATGCGGTTACATTCGGACTTACTACATACAGGCCAGGCTGGCACGGAATTCATCAAGTACTTTATCCAGTCGAAGCAAAAGCGGAACCAGAAGCAAACAAAAATGGGTACCCACCCTTTGATCCAAGGCGTACCTTCGCAGCCATTATACACGCCCTCAAAATCCCGGAGGAACATTCCTCCATCCAAAAGTTATGGAAAAGTTATGGGACTCGTGTTCGTATGTTCGTAAGTACCGAACCTACATCATTTTTGTTCTTACTTACACAGCCACTTTAGCCAGTCTCGGGCACATCGTTCGAATAGCCATCGTTCAAACCGCCGAGTATCGGAACACAGTAAAAATACAACTTTATGTATCCACAGATCTCACCATCCATGGCCGAGTATAATGTCCAAGATCAAAGGGTCATAGTACAAGCGCAAGTAGTGACACAGAGGGAGAAAAGCAAAGCAAAGCGAATCAATAAGCGAATCAAAGGTCGAGATATATAGTCCACACGCACGCACACGCCAAGAATAAGAATATCCAGCAAAGCAAAGCAAAACAAAAAGCAATGTTCCAATCAATCAATCAGATCAGATCAAGTGAAGAAAAGAAAAGAAAAGAAAAGAAAAGAAAAGAAAAGAAAAGAAAAGAAAAGCCACAGAGCGCCGTATTGGTACGAAACGAAAAAGAACTTATCAAATGAAAAAACCAAAAGCACCTATCCGCTAGTTATCTCAGTTCCTTTTTGTCCACCTCAAGCTGCTCCTCCTCGGCTGCCACTGCCACTGGGACGGCCGTAGACGACGCCTTCTTTTCGCTCATGATGCGCTCCATCATCTCGACACGTTCCTTGAGCACACCGAGGGCCTCCTCAACCTGGAGGTCCTTCATGGCGGCGCCGGCAGTCTTGACGCGGAACGACTTCTCGAAAGCTTTCTGGCGGATATCCTGCTGGCGCATGCTCGGAATACGGTCTAGGCCCGCGCGGTCCTCGAGCCATTCCCACAGGCCCTCCTCCTCGTGTCGCCATCGGTCATCCCATCGGTCTGGTGCGTAGGATCCGCCGGGGCGCGCGAGGCCGGCGGCTGCTGGTGTGCCGCCGCCGCGGAGCCGGGTGGCGACTATCCATGTTACCAGTATCGTGACCACGACCAGACCGAAGTTGGCGGGTAGCAGTGGGCCGAGGATGTCGGTTATAGGACTAAATATTGGCTTGAGTATCTCGAGTGGTCCCCAGGAGTCGTTGGCTGGAGTGGCCGCAGCGGTGGTCGTAGCAGGTCTAGTGGCAGCGCCTCCAGTCCCGGTATCTTTTCTACGCCTGCCCTTGCCTCCCTTCCCTCCCTTCCCTCCTGCGGCAATCGCCCGTTTGGGGACAATCTCCCTCTTCAAGCACATAAGCAGCGTCTTATTGTACGCAATCTGACCGTCGCTGGCACCTTTCTCAATTGGACCTGTTCACGCGTCAGCAATTATCCGTAGTGGGATCTGCAATAGAGGGAGAGCCAAACCCTTAATCCAACTCTTTCCGGTCCATTCGACAGTGCAAGTACAAACGAGCCTCGTCGTATTTCCCTCTGCCCAAGAGAGACAATATCTCGTCTTGACGGAAAACACACCTCCAGATGGAACATCCGGAGTTTGGGTCGATCCAAGGACGCTGACATGATCCTCCAAATCGCAGAACTCGATCGTCTCCGTGATGAGACATCTTGTTTTGCTAGGACCAATACCACCAGCCAGAGGCTTGACGTACGAAAATTTCCTGGTCTTCTTCCCTTCCACGTCATCCCACTCGGCGTTGTTAGGCATATCCAGCTCGAGGATCTTCTCCTCGTCCGTGAGTAAATGACTAATGAAGGGATATGACGCGGGTCCGAAAAGAAGGGAATAAATGCGTCCGAGAGGAGCAGGGAGAACTTCGTCGCATAGTATCTTGTCATAGTGCTTGTCGTCATCCCCACAAGCCGTCGGTGCGTGGGCTTTGGGGCCTGGAAAGTCGACTCCACCGGCAGCAGCTCCGTCGTTACCGGCAGCAGCAGCACCTCCACCACTACCACCACCAAGCGGCAACTGCGAGGCTTTACGACTTGGGCCCTTGGATGAGGATATGACGGGAACATTATCGACGTCTTCGTACTGGCCATCTCCGGCATCGGTAAACGATTCACCGAGATCGTCGTCCGTCTCCTCTTCGTACTCGTCGTCGTCCTCATCCCCGCTATCACCTTCGGCTGGGGCTCCATCGAGATGTGCCTCTCCATTGCCGGCAACTATTTGCGGATGACCGATATTCCACAGACCGAGAATCAGGTCGTAGGTGGAGTCTCGTGATATGAAACTCGCGAAGATATGCCTGGCATGCAGCGTCTGGATGACGATGGCGTTCGGGAACAGTAACGCGGTACTCTTCTTCTCAACGCTCATAACCTCATCGAAGGAGATAACTAGAGTCGTCACCCAACCGAGAATGTTCGAGTGGAAACATATGTGGCCTTCGGACACGTACAGTCTTCCCTGTAGCAAAATCTCCTTTTGCAAGGCGCACCCGTAGTCTTCGATGAGATAGTCATCCTCCGGGACAGACTTGAAGAGATTGTGAAAGTCGCGATTCCGCTTCTTGCTGGCCACAGCGAATCCGGTAGGTCTAGAAACCGGCAGAGCGTAGCTAGGCTGCTGTGACGCCGCCGAACCTCCGCGCCCTCTTTTCGTTGTCGGCGTCTGATTGCCGCTTCGCACACTGCCAGATCTCTTGCGATCACCCTCGTAGTTGCCATCCTCGTCGTCGCCCAGTAGCAAGCTATTCCTGTCGGGAGTAACCTCACCTGCAGAGCTGCGAGCTCCAGCCCCCAGCATAGGCGCGTCCTCAGCGTACGGAGTCCGATGGCTAATCGGGCTGTCGTTGGCCATCTCGAAACTGCCGTGTGCCGTCGCCGCGGAATTTGGGACCGATTGCGCCCCGTCTCCGAATGCATTGTCTCCACTTCGCGGTCCTGACAGTCTGGTCGCGGAAGCTTGCGCACCGTCCATCTGTGTGGTCGGCTGGGGATCCGGAACGATGCCCAAAGTTGCAAGATTCAGTTCGCCCTTCCCCAAAGTTTTGATCGCAGGTTCTCTCTCCGGTACTTGTGCCCCCTCTTGGACCGAAGCTGCCGTGGTTGAAGCGCCTCCTTTCGATCCGTCGGAGTCGCCTGTCGCACTTCGCGGTCGGATACCGGTATTGTTCGCGAGGTTGATGGGGATGGCGTTCGTCAAGCCGGTAGCGGCATTCTGTGCGGCCGAGAACATCGTTTGAAAGAATCCGCCTCCTGCACCGTTGTTGTTGTTGGGGATGTTTCCGTTATAGCTGTCCTGGGTTACGCCGCCCTCGCTGACAATGCTCTGCGAGAGCTTGCTAGGGGTATTGCTAAGCGAGCCTGCGCGACTTCGCCTTCCGTTCGTTCCGTTGACGACAGCACCGACCGGACTCTTCGGCGGGAAGTGAGAGCCACCTTCGGTCGGAGTAGGCGGCGTAACGGTGGTCTGTGGGGCGTTGGCAGGATCATCCTGAACGATAGCTACAGGAGGAAAGTTCAGACCTCCAGACCTTCTGCGATCGTCGCCGACGACGTGGCCCAGAACTGGAACATCGCTGGCGTTCGAAGTACTGACCGACATGCGCCCGGTACGGCGAGTACGATCCTGTGAGGGGCGAGATTCTCCGGCAGAGGTAGCTGGACGTGCGTCTGAGGGGGAGGTGGCGGCGGTAACTTTCTTTCCGGATCGAGCGGCGGGAGGAGGGGCGGCCATAGGAGAGGTACTTCGCCTACTGAAGAGTTTGGGCCTATTGGGACTCTTGGGGGTGCCCGTCGGCATGGATAGGAATGGTTTCGATCGATTGTTTTGCGTACTGTAAGGTTGGTCAACATCAATCAGTATTCTCCCGGAAACGTGGACCCTTCCCACCCCCCCACCCTCCCCCTCGACCTCCTCCATCTCGTCATCCTTCCCTCAGTCCCCACCCTTTGTCCTTATCCCGCTCCCCTCCCTCCCCCCATCTGATACCCAGGATGTAATAACGTCACCGGGGAAAAGCAAGCTACGGGACGATTGTGGTACTTACTCGTGCTCGTCGTCATTGTTGTTACCCTCATCGTCCTCGTACACGTTCCGGGCGGCGTCCACGTCACCATGAGCCCCGTCCTCTCCGCCTAGCTCGTCTATGCTACCTATCGAATTGCTGGAGCTCGGATTCTCGGCCCTGACCGTCTTCCGCCCGAAAACACTCTTAACTCCGGTGGGCTTCCTCGGGTCGCCGGCGGCGGTGAGGCTCTCGACGCTGCCGTTGCCGCCGCTGCCGAGCGACGCCAGGGAGGTGGTCGACGGCGAGCCACCCAGATTGACATTCGATTTCTTCTTGCGACTAAACAGGCCGCGCTTGGCAGTGCTTCCATCTCCTGCCGTTGTTGGCGGCGACTGCGGGATTGTCGGAGTGTTGGTGTAGGCGGATGTTGACTGGTGGAGAACGTCGGCGGATGACATGTCTCAGCCGCTTTAAGTGTCCCTCTCCCGCGCGCGGCTGTCTCTCTCTCTATCTTTCTCTTCTCTTTCTCTCTCCTCTTTTATTTTTCCTGCTTCCTGGCCGCGATCGCGAGCTGGGGAGGGGGCTGGAAGCTCAACGGGATATTGCTGTTCTCGGATACTTCCTCGTTCTCGCGCGATCGATACTGGGATATGCTTGGGATATGAAGTGTGTGCGAACGTGGCAAAGTGGACAGATTGTAAGTTGATTGCAAAGAGTGTGAATGAGTGACGGATTGCTCGATATAGGGATACAGAGGCGGAGTATGGTATGCAGTAGCAGTAGTAGCAGGTGTAGGGAGTACTCGGGCTATGTACTCTATCTAGCAGAACATTGGTGCAGATGAGGTCGAGTAGTGGAGTAGTGGTCGCGAGGATGAGTTGAGGTGAGTGCGCGTAATGCCGGCAGTGCAAGCAATACAGGTAGGCAGCAGCAGCAGGAATCAGGAAAGTATGGAGGTGTAGACGAGGGGGAATACGAGCCCTAAGTCAGCAAGAATAATAGGGAGTGCGATGGTGGTGGAGACGGGGGCGTGCGGAGCGGAAAGCAAGAATATCCCGGGGGTTCGGTGCACTGGTGTCTCCGCTCCGGCCCTCTTTTTCTCCAACACTCTGTTCTATCTTTAAGCCCGGTCGGCTTGCGTTTGTGGCGAGCTGGGACGGTTGGGGAAATGTTCGGTATGGTTCCTAATGAGATGCCACTATTTGGGGTCGGAGAACTCTTGAAGGATATAAAGTGTTTGGGCTAGGCTGGAGACGACTAGCTGCCGCTATGAACTTGGCTGGGGCCACAAAGAAGGGGAAACGAAGGAGACGAAGCGACGACGGAAGAAGCGACGGAAGACGAAGAGAAGCTGAAGACGAAAAGGAAGACGAAGGCGCGAGAGGGCCCGGGATCTGACCGTGTGATTGTTTGTGGCCGAATAAGAACACGAAGGCCACTGACTACTATCTACGAGTATATTGAAGAGACTCCAGCATTGGACACACTTGAATGCCCATTGCCCCGAACCCGCCTGCCGCGGAATATCTACTAGTAGTCCAGACTGCAGAGCTACCGGGTAGAGCTCGATCAACCACCCCCCACCACACCCACAGCCACCGAGCACACCGAGTTTGCAAGGGACAGGAACTCTGCTCTGAAAGGCATCGATACGGATACGCATAATATAGAGTATTCATCCTCCATATTGGGACCCCAACCCGGCATCTCCACATCGCACACAAACCAAACCGAAACGAAAGCCCAGCCAGCTCCACGAACCCTGACCGTGTCCCGTGCTTACTAGCTACCTGCCCCGCACCGTCCCACAGCTCCTACAGCTCGCAACAGCTCGTGGAAAGAGCCCACGGACAAGAGAGAGACGGAAAGACGGCGAGACGGAGAGAGACAAATAGACGGAGAGAGACGGAGAAAAATAGAGCCGAGAAATAGAGATGGAAGGCTCACCGCTGACACTCGTAAGTCCGGCCTGCTCTCTGTCCATTTGCTGCCGGGACGCATGCGAACGGTCCCTTACCTTCCTCGTGCACTCTAGGCCCACCAATACGCGTCGCAAGCCTCGAACATCCTCAGCTCATCGTCGCCGCCCCACAGCTCGCGCACCCTCGCTGATGCCGCCTCCGCACACGCGCTCGCCGCGACCTCGTTCGCGTCGGCCACAAAAGTCACCCGCGACCCGGAGGCACGTCGCACGCTCGAGCTTCTAGTCCGCGAGCACGAGCGGTGGGCGGAACGGTTGCGACGGCAGGCCGAGCTTCCGGCCCCGCTGGAGACGGTCGCCGAGGGCAGCGGGAGTGAGAGCGAATCCACATCCGCCGCCGGCAGCGTCGCTACCGAGGACCACACACGGAGGAGAGATCGGGACAAGGACGCGCCGGCACTGCCATCGTACCCCTTCGCGAACACCTCCGGCACGCCCCACTACCCCGCCCGTCTCCAGAAATCCACCTCCTCCCTCGCCACCAACCTTGCGTCCGCGCGCGGGATCCCGCAGGTTCGGGGTAGCACACCGGGTACGGGCACGCCGGGCACATCATCGCCGTCCGCGAGTTCCCGCCGCCGACGCCCACCAGCACTGCACCCGCCATCGTCCGATTCCGCCAAACCCACCACCAACCCACTGACGCTCCTCCCACCCGACCAGCCCGCTCCCTCCTCCCCCACGAGCGCCGCCTCCCACGACGCATCATTCTCAAAGTTCTACTCCTCGCTCAACTCTCTCATCACCCGCATCGGCAGCCCGTTCACTGCGTCCCTGGCATTCACCGGCCTCCCCGTCGGCACCGGCCCAAACGACAACGAGATCACCCCCGATGTCCTGCCAAAAGGCTGGACGCAAGGGCGGGGGCGCGGCCGCAACCTCCTCGACAACCTCAGCAGCGGCGGCGGCGAGAGCTTCTACGTGGTGCCGTACTCCGGTGGCACGATGTCCTACGCAGGCGTAGTCCGGCGGGACTCGAACGAAGACACGGAGAAAGACAAGCTTCCCCGGCGCTCACGGGTGCCGCCCCCGCCGCAATCCTCATCGCCCACGCCGTCGTCGCGCGACGAGGAAACGGCGCGCTTCGCGGGCCATGACAAGACGCTCGAGGAGCTGCAGCTGGAAAACGTCACGCTGCGCCGCACGCTCGAGCAGCTCTCGCGCAACATGAACAAGTGGCAGCGCAAGACGCGCGAGGGCGAAAAGGAGCTCAAGTCCAGCATCATGGCGCTCTCGCGCACTCCCGCGGGTGCGGACATACTCTCCCAGGCGCAGCGAAGGAGCTGGTTGCATCTGCCCACTACTACTACCAACGTCGCCGCGGATGATGATGATGATGATGCAGATACGGATACGTATAGCGAGGGTAGAAGGATTGGCGAGTTGGAGCTTGTCAAGGAGGAGGCGAGAGAGCGCGTCGAAGAGATGGATGAGCATGTTAGGGCGCTGCAGAGGGAGCTAAGAGAGAGGGACGCGGAGATCGAGAGAGTTGTTAGGGATAATGAGAAGCTCAGGGATGCCGTTGGGAGATACCGTGAGAAGTGGGACACCCTTAAGGAGGGCGCGAAGAAGAGGGAGAGGAACGGGAAGATGGTGGGGAGTGGCGGGAACGAGTGATGATGGTTGCTCGCGGGGGGGCTCATGGACATTATTTTGATTTTGCGCTGTTTCTTTGCTTTGATTCGCTTTGGCCGGTGTTGGGACGACGACATGTTATACGTAGGGCGTTTGTTTCCCGCTGCGAGGTGGTTCACCACGGTGCTCCGCAAGGTGCATTGGTCTCTGGTCGGCCGCACCTGGGCACTCTGTTCATCTTTTGGCATAGAATACACATTCTAGAATTTAGCTGTATGTATTCGACTGCTGAATAAATATGAGATTCACTTGTGGGGGTTCTCTGAGATATAATGAACCCGCCGAGGTATTTACTCGCTCTCCGGGGGGGCCTCTCAACTTATGGAGTCACTCCAGTGGTTTTACTCTGATCAAGACGTCTGCTCTGCAAACCCACACCGCCACACAGTCCCCGAAGTGCTGCCATGTACCAGTCGGGGAGGGGAGGTGGGAATATGGAGAACTTCCATCCAGTCTTCTACATAGGTAGTCCAGTCCAGTCCAGTCCGTCCAGACCCATGGACTACATACCTACCTCATACATACAGTCCGTCCGTCCGGAGGTGTGAGTTGAACGGACTGGTCCAGCGAAACGGCGGACGGGACGGGACGGACGGGACGGACTAGGTAGGTACCTTTATCCCGTCCTCCAAAAGGAACGGACGGGACTGGACGGGACTGGAATTATCCCGTCCAGTCGGTCCGGACTATGTAGAGTACTGCTTCCATCCTCCCCTTCCATCCTCCATCCTCCTCGGGCTGGCTGGGGATGCAGACACCGCCGCCGTGAGTGATCTGCACGTGCATGTGCACGTCCCGGTGCAACAAAGGCCAGTGTTGGGAGGAGGGGCCTCTAGAAATGAGTTTTGATGCGTTACTCTAACGGCTGCAGAGCATCGGTATTGTGCAGCCTCCACTCAGCACTCAGCACTCCAGTCAATCACCGCCGTAGCACTCGCAAGTAAGTAGTGAGTTCACTAGGTGCATACTCCACCGGCACTCCACTCGCCATGCATCCCCTCGTCCGCCCCCTCGTCCGCCTGCGGGGTCGCGGTGCCGCGGCTATGGCCAGCGGCTACTCTACTCTAGCAACCTACTCCGTAGATCCACGCCACCGCCACCGCCAATGATCGGCTTCAGAGTGCGGACGATAGCGGAAACGGAAGCTGGGGCTCGCCACTGCTACTGCTATATACAGCCGCTCGCCCGTCGCACCAGCTGCTGCAGAGTGTACCGGTACCGGTACCGACAACACTATTGTAGGTACTACCTATGTAGATTTCTTGCGTATCTGAGTACCTATGGAGGTTTTTATGCATACAGTGCGGGCAGCTCAGCCACATGCTGAGTCCGCGTATTCTTCCCATCCAGAGTGGAGTAGCAAACACCCCCCCCCCCCCCCCCCCACGCCATCACCTGCACATTCTGAGAAGGCAATCATGTGTCATAGCGAATCCACCGTGCACTGTGGTGGACACCCCAGTGCCCACTTCTTTTTCTTCTTTTTTGATCTGATCATCTTTGCATTCGAGGTAGGTAGTTATCTACAACTTACCAGATGTATCCCGCTTGTCGGGGCGGCTCTTCGTCCACTGGAGGAACTCTACATACCTATTGGCCAGTGAGGGAGTATCCTGTCTCCAGCTGGTACATAGCACTGCGCTCCGTCGACTTTTCTGTTTATTCATTGATTGCATGCGGCCATGATCTAGGAAGATACTAGGTCGTATGCAATCAATGAATGAACAAAAAAGCCGACGGAGCGCCGTTCTATATACCCAGTAGCTAGCATCGTCGAGGAAGAGGGGAAGGAGGAAGAGGAGGAGAAGGCGCCACCCGCGAGTGATTGTCAGTGAAGCGAACGTGCCACCGATCACGCACGCACACCCACAGGCCCGCCCACCCGCACGCGCCAAAGGCCGACGGCCGTTAGATTTCGAAGGATCCTGCCTGTCTGCCTGGCTGCCTGCTCCCGGTGCTCGCTTAGGCAACTGTATCTCCGGAGGGTCCAGGATTTCTCCGTTGACGCCGGACTCCGCTATTATTATAGTATATATAGGGCATCTGGGAGAGGGGCCGAGGTTTGCATGTGCTTTCGTGGGGCGGGAAAGAAATGGATCGTGATGAAGCTCGAGCACGGATCCGACGGTGATGGCGGTTTGCGTGGCTCGAGCACGGATGCTTTGGACGATAGGTAGACAGGCCTCGCTAAAAACGACCTTCCTTAGGTATGATGTGTATTCGCTGCCTGTCGTCGGTTCCTTAGCCGTATATTGACGCATCGTGGGTAGAGTGGTAGTGGCACCCGTGACCGACGACGACGACGATGATGATGATGCAAACAGTTTTTACCCCTCCGGAGTACATAGCTCGCGGTGGAGCGATGTCATAATGAAATGAAACTGGCCCCTCAAACACCCATTTGAATTACTGCACAACTCGTCATCAAAGCTAATGGCCAAGTGAGCATCAGTTGACGATTGTTGGACCACTTTCGCAGTCGCTCCAGTGGGATGCTTTTTGGCATGACCGTATGCAATACCGAAGTAGATACCGTAGCAAGGCCAAATCCACCCTTCAAAGCAACTGCATCCCAAACATCACCACCCACAGTACCGTACTAACTTTCCTATCCGCTGCCTCGGATTCCCTATGTATCAATCTTGACGTCGAAGGTGTCAAAACATGGTATTCAAAGCTTCAAATTTCCTGTCGACTCCTCCGGGCTCTCCGTCAACCTCTCCAAACTGTTTTGTCGAGAGTGGCCACCAAACCTCTCAGCTCCATTTTGATACCCTCGTCCGGAGTCTTCGCAGTAAACATCCCAGCAAAGTCGTTGGATTTATACATGCCCCCGTGGGTAGATATTGCGGCTAATGCCTTGTCAGGTTGTATGTAACAAAGGCTCATCAATCTGTGAGCAGCGGTTGTCACGTCCCGGAACGACCAGAAGGGTTCACATCATCCATACGATGAGACGGATGTTTATCGGTATTCCTTCTCCGAACCATTTAACTACTGCCTGGGTAGCACACGGCCATCATCAAACAATAGCAGTAGACTGAGGATTTACCGGAACGGTTGATCCCGAGTACGTGGTGAAAACGTCCAATAGGGCGGGCCCATTCTGACAAACCGATGTCCGGTGTTATATTTCACCTAGACATGGCCATCTGTTGTATCCAGAAAAGTTGTCAAAGAGCTCCCAACCGCCGCGGGTGTCCGCCTGTCGACTGCGGTGTTGTTTTGGTACCATTCGGTGTCACCATCGTGAGTTTTCGTTCATGGTGGTTTCGTTGAGTGATATGTGCCGGAGTGTGGCCGGTGGGGCGGAGGGAGGGGATAATTTTTCCACGCTGGTGCAAGGGGGGAGGGGAAACGAGAGCCAACCCAAGCCAACCCAAGTCACCCAACCCTTGCTGGCTGGAGATCATCAGTTCCGGCGATGCGTTCGTCCCGTTTTTAGGTAGGAGCACACAAATTGGCCTCATGTTTTTTTTCCTTTCACATGTCAATTGGCCACTGCCAATGCGAATGACGATGCGGCGAGCGGAGCCTCAGAGAAGGAAATGGAGCCGAGTGTTGGTGTAAGCACTTGCGGATTGTAAGAGAAAGAGAGAGGGGGGGGATGATAAGGAACTGCGGAAGCTAAGTTAGAGTAGGTATGATACATGGACTTCCCGTACGGGGGAGGAGGGGGGAAGATCGAGGCAACTGTGACCGATAGACAGATAGCAGAGGACAGGGCTGCCTGTTCTTTTAAAGAGCAGCTCGACGGGGTCTTGAAGTTTGTGGTGTGCTGCACGCGAGCTGCTAGTAGAATAGCAGAGCAGAGCTGCCGACGAGCTTGCAGGACGCAGTGGTCTGGGGGCGAGCATCGAGTAAAGTGCTCTGCATACCGGAACCGTTCTTGGTCCGGCTATCAGAGTCAGCGGAGCCCTCCCGAGTCACGGCTGGGTAGTGGTTACTCACGAACGGACGCGGAGCCTCTGGAGGCTTGCACAGGGCAGATGGGCAGATGAACGGAGTTCTGCGGCAAGAAGAGTCCAATTACCATAGTACCAGGAGATACACCACATACCGGTACACCACATACCGGTACTATCAGAGGTACCTCCTCACAGCTGCTGAGGTACCCAAGCATGTATTCACCTTCTTCACGTCCGTCCGCATCGAAACCCGGCGCGGATGCATGCGGAGTGGGTGCAGAGGCCATTGATAAGGCAAAAAGCAGATGCATCGCGAATTCCCCCACCCATGGCCAGCCAGACGCTCAACGACCACGACGACGATCGATCGCCTATCCACCTATCAAGTCAGCCACGCACACTCGTCGCTTGCGTTATTCTGCTCGATGGGGCTGTTACAACACTGGGCATATGTACCTACAAATACTTCTTAAGCACTTGCTTGGTTACCAGCTAGAATACTAGGCATACCCTACGTCGGACAGGCCGTCTTATATCTATGTTATGGTACTCACCAGAGAGACTGCAGGCCGGCCAGGCCTTTTTTTTCTGCTCGCTCGGTCGTTGTCTAGGCACTCGCTCTCCCACTTTCGCACTTTGACACTTTCACGTGTGAATCTGGTGGTGAACGTGAAGGAGGCGGCGTATCCAATCCAGCTCAGCCCTGCTTTAGGTTCGGTCGAGCAGAGCAGAGCACGCAACGCAGACGTCTCGCAATCTCTTGCCCGCCGGAACTGAACGAGGAGGAGGCAGACCACTGGCTGGCCACCACCAACCCACCACTCACAAGCCAAACCCATAGAGATACCGGAATTCCTACAAATACCCCTCTGTGCCTGATCCCGTTCCGTTCCTCCCCTCCCCTCCCCTCCTCCTCATTCCTTCCACTTATCCTTCCTCCCCTCCCATTAAAAAAAAAAGCGTCGACCATCGTCCATCGTCCCTCCGTATACATTCTCCGTGTACATTGTACTGTATATTCACCCGTCCTCCGTGCTGCCGCTCTGCATATAGCCGTACCTACTACCGGTAAGCTCCTTCTCTCGACACAACCCAAAGTCGAAATAAACATGTGCTGACTTTATCCTTCCCGGCTCGTAGATTTCCCCCCACCATCCACACACCGTCTAGCAATGGCACCGCACGCCGAACCGACCACCACCAGCACAGCCAACGGCACCACCGCGGGCGAACCCAAAGCACCCTCCTCGCCGACCCTCAAATCGATCGAGCACCTGAAATCGTACCCGCTAGTAGCCGACGGCATCACGACCTTCTCGTCGCATCCGATCGGGCAGAAGACGATCGCGCTGTCGACCAGCGCGTACAGCCGGTTCATCGCGCCGCTGTCGCCGTACCTCTCGAAGGCGTACCCGTACGTCAACCGGGCCGACGAGCTCGCCGACTCCAGCCTCGAGAAGCTCGACTCGCGCTTCCCGATCGTCAAGGAGCCGACCGAGAGCCTGCGCTCCGTCGTCGTCGATGCCGTGGGCTACCCCAGGAAGGTCGTCGCCCAGGTGATTGTTCGCGGAAGCGACTTTGCGAAGGAGAAGCAGGAGTACGTGTTCAAGGTCTACGAGGATGAGTTCTCGAAAATGGGCGAGGAGGAGAAGAAGAGCGCCGGTTATATCCCCATGGCGAAGGCGGGTGTCACCACCGGGTTCGTGGTCAGTTCCGAGCTGATGGGTGCTATCGCTACGTACCTGGGAAGCAAGAAGGAGGCCGTCAAGGAAGAGGCGTCGACAACGACGAAGAATTAGACTGCTGGTCGGTCTGCGTTGTTCGTTTATTACTATTACTTCTGCTTCTCCTTCTTCCTTACCTTTGCTTTCGGTGTGAGGTACACACTCCTTCTTGTAATGACTTTCATGAACTGCCTGCTTGCTTGTCTGCTTGCGTGCTTTGGGACCGGCTGCTTCTGACTTATGTACCTCTTTATGCTCGTCGTGGGGGAAAAGTACCGTACGAGTGTTGTTTCGTTCCAGTCTGTTTTTTCTTTTCTTCCTTTTTCTTTCGGCGTCTCCTCTTCTCTTCTCTCTTCTCTCTTCCCTCGCCCTCGCTTTGCGGGGAGGGAGAAGGTTTATAGCAAATATAGAGTCATATGTACATTTCTACAGTGCATCCCACAGTGCATCCCACGTAGATCTCCACACTGCAATGTGCATCCCACGCGCCTCGATCTCTCAATCCGGCGTTGCGATTGCGATCGCGGTTGCGATTATCGCGCCCAGCGAAACACACCGGTATCTATGTCATAGAGTACTCTATCTACATACCGTCGCAAGACAATCCTGCATGCGCATGTGCATGTAACTCCTCTCTTTCTCTCCCGAGTCTCGAAACAGCCGGTGGGGGGAGGGGAAGTCGGGAAATCAGGCTTTTATTAGTGGTCATGGCGGAGATCATGGCGGTAATCATAGTGGTGATCATGGCGGAGATCAGCGGGATGGCTATTACGTTTTTGCTTTTTTGCGGCTGTAGTGGTGGGAGAGTGAGGGGGAGAGTGGTGGTCCGTGAGCTGTGGGCTGATGGACATTGTGGAATTGGGCTTGTGGACTGTAGCCTGGTGGGCATTGGGCTGGTGGACTTATGGGGATCGGGTGTCTCCCAGCGGGAACTTGGAAGGAGGGACCTTGGAAGGAGGGACCTTGGAAGGAGGGACCTTGGAAGGAGGGACCTTGGAAGGAGGGACCTTGGAAGGAGAGGCCGAGTGAGTGGTTGTGCGCATCGCATTCAATTGGCAACGGCAATAGCAACTGGCAGCGGCAACAGCAACAGAAATAGCAATGGCAATAACAACAGCAACTAGCAACTGGCAATTGGTAACTGGTAGCAGTAACAGTAACAGCAACTGGCAATAGCAGCAGTAACAGTAACAGCAGCTGGCAATAGCAGCAGTAACAGTAACAGCAACAGCAATTGGGAATAGCAACAGCAATAGCAATAGGCAACGGTAGTGGGAAAGCTCGCGCGTAATCGTCTAGTGGTTGGGTACCGCAGTAACAACCATAGCGGAGGGTTGCTGTTCCCCAAAACTGCCTGCTCTCATGTCTTCAGTGCCCGTCAAAGTTGGTGGTGGCTCCAACGGGGGGGAGGGAGAATGAGCGTGGGCTGGGTCATACAGGTAATCGTCTCTTGTTTGAATAGGTGGTTCGAGGGGTCACAGTTCATCGTGAAGCCGTTCACAACATGTCATTCGTGCCCGTTCTCGGAAGGGCACACCTATTGAGCACTCGCTTCTAGGATATCAAACGATCTATCACAATCCCCCTACTTCCTCACCTCCTTCAACACCTCCGCCAACCGTTCCAGCAGGGTAGTATTCTCCTCCGGTGTCCCGACTGTCATCCTGAGGCACCCGTTGCAACCATACTCCTTCCCACGGAACCTCACGACCACGCCCCTCGTCTCCGCGAGCATCTCGTATGTCTTCAGCGCGACCTCATTACACGGCTTCCCCGCGGCATCCAGCATCTCAACGAGCAAGAAGTTCGCATCGAACCCGCCGCGGAACTTACCCACACCCTCGATCCCGGGGAGTTCCTTGATCAACCTCTCGCGCTCCTTCACAATAGCCGCGACCTTGACCCTCTGCACCTCCAGCCCCTCGGCACCCATCGCCGCGGTCGCCAGCGCACTCGTCGGACTCGAGATCGAGTACGGCGCCTTAAGCGAATTGAGGATCGTTGCGATCTCGGGGCTCGTGAACGCGACGCCGAGCCTGATACCCGCGAGGCCAAACGCCTTCGAGAGGGTCTGCATAACCACAAGGTTCGGGAACTCGGTGACCCAAGGTGCGAGGGAGCTTCCCTGTGCCGCAAAGTCGACATAGGCCTCATCAACAACAACCACTCCGTTCCATGTAGGATGATCCAGCACGCTCTTTACCGCCGCCGGCTCGATCAGCCGCCCCGTCGGGTTCCCCGGCGAGCACAGGTACAGCAGCTTTATCTCCCTGCCCGCGGGGGAGGCGAGGAGCTCGCAGATCCCCGCGGCGTCGGCGCCGAACTCCGGCACGACTAGGTTGTGCCGTACCACCGCCACGTCGTTCACCTGCGCTGACACTGAATACATCCCGTACGTGGGCGGACACGTCAGGATCTTGTCGCGGCCGGGGACGCAGAAGGCGCGCAGCAGCGCGTCGATGCACTCGTCGGAGCCGACGCCGAGGAAGAGGTTTTCCGGGGTGAGCGGCGTTTGGGGGACGACCGGGAGCGGGGCGCCGACGTTGCGGTGGTTGCAGAATAGCTGCTTCAGCTCGTGCTGGTGCGGGTCTGGGTAGCGGTGCAGCGTGGCGTCGTAGGAGGATGCCGGCAGGCTGGGCCCGAAGGCATTCTCGTTCGCGTCCAGGAGGATGTTGGTGCCGTCGTCTTTGTAGTCACTGGGCGGAGGTCAATGCGAGGAATACCTATGGCGGGATGGGTTGGGCAGTGACTGACTCGCGAGCGCACCGGTACGGTATCAATTGCAGGATGTTGGGGCGCGCGCAGGTCTGGAGGTTGAAGCCTGTCATCTTGGAGGTAGCCGGCTTGCGAATGGAGGAGAAACCGTGGAGGAGGAATGACCGATTTTTAAAGGTCTTGATGTGAGTCAGGTTAACGGTGACACTTGTAAAAGGTCTGGACAACAAGGGACCTAATTAGCAAGGTGGGGCAGATCCAGAGCCTCATAGTGGGGCGGGCATCCCCGACGTCGCCGAGTCGCCGATGACTGGGCTACCATGATCACGTCGGTCCCAGGCACAGAGAGCAATGCCACTAAGCACTCACGAACAAGCGCTCAACTCATTTCGTTCTCAGTCCCTCACGCATTTCCAATAATGTACATACAACACTCAGACAATGCAATGAAAGGACAGTCAGTCACAGAGCCTCCTCGATGCAGCCCACGGAGATCAGACAGAAAACAAAAGCGCCGCTACTGGTCTATCAAAATAACAAGACGGACACCGTATTCGCTCATTCGTATGCCGCCACCTCATCCATGATCTCTGCCACCATGTTGGACTCCAACCCTATTATTTTGGTCAGCAGGAGAAAAAATCACCCACCAAGCCTGCCGTACCTTCGTGTGGCGACTTCCCGTCGTACGTCTGCCGTTTCCACCCATCCCCTTGCTTGATAAACTCCATTGTCGGGAACTATCGAATGGTTAACTAGGAAAACCCGTCGGTAGCGGGACATCTTACATAGTGTTCATTCTTCTTGATAGAGATAACAAAGGGAACATTGTCGAAGGTCATGACCTTCAGTCTGAAATAAGTATTGTCGGGAATCCTCGACACCTCGGCGAGGAAGCTGTCGAGATCCTGTGTCTTGACGCCGTTGACCGCCAAGATGAAGTTTGTCGGGACCAGCTGGTACTGATACGCCGGACTTCCCCTCGTTCGTGCAGAAACGTAGATCTCCGAGTGCATCTTGCTGATCTGCTGTCGGACTGCGTGGTGGGGGCGGTGCAGTACCGCTCCACAGAAGATGACCACACGATCCGTCTCCAGATCGTCCGTAGGGGCGGTGGGGACCCTCAAGTTCATCTCCTCGCAGCCTCGCACGATGACCACATCCAGCTCCTCCTTGTCGTACATAACGTCAAGGTCGGTGATTCGCGTCATGATTTTCCCGTTGATGCTGAGGATCAGATCACCCTCTTGCAGCACCTGTGCACGGCCGCATTCGACTTTGCGGACCATGAACAACTGGTGGCGCTCGGGGTTGTCTTCCTCGACCTTTCGGATCCATTCCTCCGATGCACCCATGATACGGACCTGGCTCATGTGAACCAAGTGCAGTTCAACGTTCAGGTATCTCAGCTGGGGGATTATCCCTTGCTGGATCTGTCGAATGATGGGTAGTACCGAAGGCGTTGCGAGACCCAGATGGTATTCCACATCCTTGCCGCCATGAGCTCGCTCGCCCAGGTATGTCAACCAGAGGGCCCGTACTGTTCCGTCCTCATCCGCAAGAACACCACTTCCACACTGGCTGCTCAAGTTCGTGTCCACAGTAATGGCGTCGATGTTGATTGCACGGTATCGAGGTGCTGTTGAGTTGGGGGGGACGGCAACCGTCGTGATGTCGGTGACCGAAGTCTTCGCCACAACAACCCGCAGATTCTGGTTGAATCCCAAGAAGATAGTTTCCGCTCCTGTGGCGGTTGTGAGCATGTGCGTGTGATTACAGACGTTAAGGACCAACCTTGTCTCATTGACTCTTCGCTGAGCCTGGCGGACTGCACAGGCGCCTGGACAAGCTTCGGGTCATACTGCACAACGGCGTAATTCTGCAGGGGATGCAGGAATAGTACTTTGCCTTCCACGATCACGGACTCGGCGATTGTGACGGACACATCGCACAGATCATACGGCACGATAGCTCTCGACACGATCACCAACCCCTTCTCTGCATCGACGACAAGCCCGAAGCCAGACTTCATAGAATAGGTCAGCTGACGAACCAGTGAAGGATGGGGGGCAGTCCTACCTTGCGGGACTTCGGAAATCCGTCGAGCTTCAGTGGCATCGCACACGACACCCGAACGAAGCAACGAATCAAGTCGGATACACATGGTTGGCTAACATGATCCAATCGAATGAACTGTGCTTTCTGGGGAAGCACTGGTTGTGGTGGTAGGGGATCGGCGATGTCTTCGTAGTCCCACAGACCGGTCGTGTCTAACGCGAAGATTAGCTTGCGTCCTGTGCTTTCTGTGCGGGAATCCCACCATTTCGAATAGCCATTCTCATCTTACTGGTCCAATGGCGATCGATATGCAAGATCGATGTATGCATGGTGTGCAAATCCCTAAGATGCCGATATGTGACAACGATTCTTGCACGATCTACACTCCCGGTGGATTAATTTATGCCATTTTACTAAGTTACATATAAGTGACTTACCTGGAATAGTCTTCATAACTTCGATAAACTCATTGAGTGAGGGCGTCTTTTGATTGTCTACAGACTGCGGAAAAAGTCAGAATTGTCTCCACTGTGCGCGGAAGAGACCTTACCTCGATTATCCAACCCGAGTCTGCGCCACCGTCGAATCTGAAAGATCCAGCGGGCTCGCAGACATACACACCCTTGACTGCAATCGCGTAAAGTCTAGCAGCCTGATAGGAGAGGTTGTGGAAAGCGGCGCCACACACGACCAGGAAACGATCTGGGGATATAGCATGCAGGTCGCCGACGGTAAGCTCCACCTCAATATCCTGTCCACCACGCGAGATCAAGAGTTTGACCGTCTGGCCGACAGAATCATCAAGAATCTCATCCAGGCGGACGAACTTGGTAAGTAGCTCGCCGTTGACCTTGAGCAAGATATCACCTTCCTCGATGTGTTCATGTCCAGGACCTTCGGGCAAGACGGTCTCCGCAACAAGCATGCCGACCTCCTTGGGGAACCCCTTCCGTACAACATCCTCCCAAGCAGGCGTCAACCCCAACCGACGACATTCGTCGAATGGCTTGGTCAGCCACTGCGTTTGGATGGTTCCTCGAGCCACAGGCTTTCCGGCCTGGATACACTGGAGAGCTCTCAAAGGCCGGTCGAGCGGCAAGAAGTAATCTGTTGCAGCTTCGGTGCTACCTCCCGCCTGCAACGCAACCGCGTAGCCGTCGATGTTGACTACAGGACTGCCCGAACTACCACCGCTAGCAGACGCCGCAGCTTGTATGTAGTTGGTGTTGAAGTCGTTGTATCCCTCGCCGTAGTCCGGTGCATTTCGGTCCACCCGACTGATTATACCTGATAGAATGCTGAGCTTCTCTCCGGCATCGTTACCGACGACGCGAATCTCCGTGCCAACTTTGGCAAGATCGGGTCGAAGCTGCAGCGCAGCAACTGGCATGTACTTGATGTCCTTCGGGTTGAATCGTAGGATTCCGAAGTCGTGGATAGGGTCTCGGTAGACGGGATAGGCATCACACTGCGTAGAGAGAGAGAGTTAGTGGCGTTTCTTTCTCCACGGACAGCAGCAGCAGCAGCAGCACAACCAGCGACGAAGCAAGCAAAGAACAAGAACAAGTACCTCCTCGTGGTTATCAAACACGCAGTATCCCCAGAAGGGACCCGACGAGACGACGTGTCGATTCGTCATGATGTATCCCTTCTCCGCGTCCACCACGAAACCCGTCGCCTCACTCGTGCAGGCCGAATCGGTGTCGAACGAACACGTCTGGCAGAACCGGATCGAGACGACGTTCCTCACGACCGACTCTATTGTCCGCTGCCACTCGGCAGAGTCTGCCAGCGCGGTGGCTGGCAGTAACCTCTCGGGCTCGATGCCCAGGGGCAAGGTGAGGGCGGACGCATCTGGGGATATCATGTCTACCTCCAGGTCACTGTCGTCGTCCGAAAAGCTGTCCGTTTCGCGCATGTGTTTCGATGGTCGGTCCTTGAAGGCAGGGGATCCAGAATGTTTGCGTTTGCCCGCTGGAGTGCCTCTGCTAAAATGTTCTCTGTTCAATTCCATGCTCTGGTGGTAAATGGGGTTATGGGTTCGGCGCGAAGGGTCGAAAGAGTTCCTCACTTGCAGCGCGAGAGATCCCTGTAGTTAGTGAGGTTAGATGTATGTGGTTGGTGGAGCGGCTTGGCGCGTTGCTGTTGGTGTTGCCCCGTATTTATAGGGATTGTAGGGGTCGCTGTGATGGACATTAGAGGCTGGAATAGGCTCCGTTGGCTCGCCATATTGTATGTTCCAGCAGCCTGCTATGGTCACGCACAGGTACAGAGAGAAGATACGTTGATTTGGGAGTGAGTATCGCGAGATTGGTATTGTGAAGAGCTTCGTGCTGCCTTCACGAGATGGTACTCGATCTACATAGCGTAAGTACATAACACTTATGCATGGTGCTCCATACAGCACCGATATTTACTTTGGGACATAGATACTTCTTGCCTGTGTAGAGCACGCAACCGCGAGTATGTACTGTACGCTACCCACTCGTACGCAAGCGAAGAAGGTGCGCATGTACTGCAAGTACATAACCACGGATCCTCATCCCACCCCATAGGTAGACCGCGGTCTGCATGCTGGCTGAATCCCACGCATACATACGGCCCGGCAAGCACCTGCAGCCGTATCCGCAGGCACTTTACGTGGCACATTCGAGTTCCCAGTAGCGGAAGAGACAACTATGCAGAATGGCATGTACGCAGAGTTGCAGACACCATCTTGCTATGGTTTGGGGGGAGCTCACCGCCAGCTCGAGCTCGCCATACCCACGTATATACAATCCAAGAGCCGCTCTCGCTCGACTCACAAACATATACCTGTACGGAGTAAGCACGAAGCTTTGGAGGCGTGGAATGGATTGCCTTCAGCAGTGAGTTGTGGGGATGGACGGAATCTGTCATTCTTCAGGTGCGTCCCAGTATGCATCGGACGGTATCAGCGATATATTGCCGGGCCAGGATCTGAATAGCCGATTTGCGGGGTACGCGTACCGGCTGGTCGCTGACATATATGAACAGGGCTGGCGTTGGGCGTGTGCTGGTTAAAGTTACCGTGTCGGTATCACCGAACACTCTATATCGAGGCAGCATGATTCGAAACGTCCTACGTACCGTGATCCCATTCACCCGTCATGCACCCCACCATGGCTGCAGGCGTTTCAGCACCATCATGGACACCTCCAGCTTCACGGAGACTCAGCTCACCGTTCGTGAGGCGATCTCAAAGATTTGCTCCAAGTTTCCTGATGTATGCACATGCAAATGTTCCCCCCGATACTGTGTGAGGAATACGGTTTGACTAGTGTAAAACCTTAGGATTACTGGGCGGAACGTGATGCAACAGAGCAGTATCCTCACGAACTCCATGCGGCGCTGGCGAAGGACGGCTGGATCGGAGTCTGCTTGCCTACCCGTCTGGGAGGTGCGGGCTTGGGCATCTCGGAAGCTACGATGATGCTCCAGACTATCTCGGAGTATGAAGCATCCGCATCTCCTCTCGAAGAAACACAACTGACTAGTCTCAGAAGCGGAGCAGGAATGGCCGGGGCTCAGTCTCTACATGCCAACATCTATGCTACTCAGGTATGATACGTCACTCCACGATGGGATGATCATAAGTTCGCCGCCGTAATAAATGAGCAGCCAGTCAGTAAGTTCGCCACGGAAGAGCAAATGGAACAATGGCTGCCGCCACTGATCTCTGGTCAATCGCGAACCTGTTTCGGCGTGTGAGTGAGACTCATACGGAGCTGCTATATCAACGGGCGTGATTGACATGTCCCCACAGCACAGAGCCAAACGCTGGACTAGAAACCCTCAAACTCCAAACAAAGGCGGTTAAGAAGGGTGATTACTACGAAGTCACTGGGAGCAAAATGTCGGCCACCACCGCCATATTCCATTTCCAGTCGCTGATCTGCTCCAAGCTGGATAACCAATGCCCAGATAGCTGATACCATGGTCCTTCTCGCGCGCACCGCCGAAGCCACTTCTGTCCCCAAACCCATTCAAGCCCTCTCCCTCTTCTACATCCCCTTCGACCGGACACAGCCCGGTCTTGACCTCCGCAAAATCAAAAAGATGGGAGCGCGCTCCGTCGACGCCAACGAAGTCTTCCTCGACTCTTACCGGATCCCCGTGTCCTCGCTCATCGGCGCAGAAGGCTCCGGCTTCAAAATGGTCCTGCACGGAATGAACGCCGAGCGCTGCCTCATCGCGGGGGAAGCACTCGGCCTTGGCTACGCGGCGCTTGAGCGCGCTACGAATTATGCGAGAGAGAGAGAGGTGTTTGGTAGACCCATCGGGAAGAATCAGGCCATTCAGCATGGTATTGCGGAGGCGTTCATGAACCTCGAGGCGGCAAAGCTGGCAACGTATCATGCGGCAAGACTATATGATGCCGTGGCTGCTGGGGAAGCAGATGTGGGCTTGACGGCGGTGGGTGCGGCTTGCAATTCGGCAAAGTATTTGGCCGCCGAGGCGGCGTATAAGGCGTGTGAGAGAGCGGTGTGTACCCATACTCTTGCAGAATGAATGGTGACTAACTAATCCCTATAGGTTTTGACGCTTGGAGGAATGGGATATGCCCAGGAGTTCCATGTCGAGAGATATCTCAGAGAGAGTTGGGTGCCTAGGATCGCGCCGGTTTCGAGGGAGATGATCCTGAATTACATAGGAGAAAAGGTTCTCAGACTGCCCAAGAGCTACTAAAGATATCCATTGAAGAAAGCGGAGTATCTTGGAAGGTTGATATATAGCTTGGAATGGACATCAATGAAGCAACGATAGATCCTGATTAAACGTTGCCACGTTTATCCTCAAAGTCATCACAAACAAGATTTCGAACAGCAGATAAAATATCTACGAATCTGGAGAACATCGCTGCGAGATTCCAAGCGACTAGTTGTGAATAAGAAACGGCCACCCGCATTAGATCAGGCTTAAGGCTGTATGTGCATCACACTTGGCGCGGAGCCTCTGCCCCACTACCCCGCCAAACCCAAACCCTTCCACATCTCACGAAAAAAAAGTTGAACCGAGTGACAAGACACAGAAACGACAATCGAAATGCCGCCACCACGACCAGCAGACGACAATCTGAGCGACTCGGGCTCTGACGCGGCCACCATCGACTCGGAGTCCTCCGCTGGGTACGAGGATGCGCCGGACGCTGACACGGGCGAGGAAACGACCAGCGTTTGCTTGTTCTGTAGCAACTCCTTCCCCACCGCACATGAAGTGTTTGTGCACTGCGCGGTAGACCATGCTTTCGACTGGAAAGATGTAACGGCAGGTGAGTGCGGTTTAGGAGAATCTGGCAAAGTGGAGAAGGCTAATGTTGGGAAATAAGGCATGGACTTCTACTCGCGCATCAAGATGATAAACTACATCCGCACGCTCACCGCCGCCGGAAAGCCGTTCGACCCCGCTGACCAGGGGTTCAAGGACGACAAGTTCATGCAGCCGGTGCTGGAGGATGACCCGCTCTTGTTTTCGCTGGACGAAGAGCAGGGCGATGAGCCGGTGAAACAGAGTCCCGAGCAGATGAGCGGCAAGATGGAGGAGCTGGAGGCAAAGCTTAGGGATTTGTCGTTGCAGTTCCAGGAGTACAAGGACGCTGTCAGCAAGAACTTTGCGAAGCAGCTGGAGGAGAATTCGACCATTCTTGCGGCTACGGCGGCGAAGGAGGAGAAGGACGAGGAGCCCGTCGACGACGATTCGCATTACTTCAACTCCTACGCGGGAAATGGTTGGGTTTCTGAAGTGCTTGAGTTGCTGGGTTGGTGTGCTGATAAGAGCACTTAGATATCCATGAGATTATGCTGAAAGACACTGTCCGGACGGATGCTTACCGGGACTTCATCTACAACAACAAGGACCTTTTCAAGGACAAGGTAGTACTCGACGTCGGTACCGGAACGGGAGTGCTGTCCATGTTCTGTGCGAAGGCTGGCGCCAAGAAGGTTATCTCGGTGGACAACTCTGCCATCATCAACAAGGCGAGGGCGAATATCTTCGAGAATGGGCTTGATCACATTATCACGTGAGTTAGTTTGTTTCGAAATATACGGCCTATGATGGTGTCGGTACTGATGAATTTCGTGCAGATGTGTGCATGGAAAGATCGAAGAGGTCACTTTACCTGTCAAGCAGGTTGATATCATTGTTTCCGAATGGATGGGGTACTGTTTGCTATATGAAGCCATGCTCGATTCCGTGTTGTACGCCCGAGACAAATACCTCGCACCCGACGGATTGAGTATGAAGCCCACTACACCACCATTCATTGGGAAATTGTGCGTGCTGACGATCATCATAGTGGTTCCATCGGAATGCAAGATTCTGATTGCGGCTGTCCACGACCCCGATTACATGAACGACTATGTCAACTTCTGGGATCACATCTACGGATTCAAGATGAGCGCCATGAAAGATAAGAATCGCGAGGATGTCTCCATCACACACTTGCCAGGTGACTCTTTGGCTTCAGAGCCAGTGGCATTCTGTCATCTCCCCCTCCACACCGTTAAGGTTGAGGATCTGGTGTTCACCAAGCCGTTCGAGTTGAAGATCAAGCAAGATATTCCCACACTAGATGCGTTTGTGGTGTACTTCGACAACTTCTTCGCCACCTCTCGGGATCAGGTCATCCCCGATGATGCTAGAGCCGAGTCGTGGAAGGACTCCAAGGGTGGTGTCTCGTTCACGACTGGCTCCGGTCACAAGGAGACTCACTGGCGACAGGGGCTGCTGCTGGTCGAGGAGGGAAAGAATGCGCCGCTGAAGGCAGGGGAGGTCGTCAAGGGTGAAATCACATACCGCAAGAGAGAGTCGAACTCTCGTGAATTGGAGGTGGAGGTTTCCTGGAGTGGAGATAAGAGTGTAGACAAGCAGATGTGGCTCATGCGGTGAGGAAAAGAGGAGATTTGGAATTTCCTAGTGTCTGAACTGTAGAGCAGCTAGGACACAATGGTAAAAACGGGGTATAAATGGGCATTTATACCTCATTTTGCATTTGACAGATCGAGTGATACTATGTGAACGCATAGCGCCGCGGTATATAAGCCAAGAGGATCTGATTGGCATTAGGTTCTTTACGGACTAGCGTTGTTTGGTGGACCCCCGATCCCGATCAAAACAAGTCTCCACATCGCGTACTCCCATCAACCTCCCTCCGCGACACCGACCCTTACATCTCGACGACCCCGACGGCGAACAGAGGGAGAGATAATTCGACATCTCTCTCATTGTACTAATAATCCACCACTCAGAGGAGACACCTTACCCCGACAAGGACGGTCCAGCATTGAACGGCCGTTGCTACGGTTTCCGACGTGTTTGTTTTGATTTCCAACCATGGCCGCACGCAAGATCACCGCTGTTGGCTCGCTCGCCTGGCTTGCAAACGAACGGCAGACCATCAAGCAACTCGAAGAGCAAGATGTTGAGGACATCGCCTATGCTGTCCGTAACGACATGGACTGGCTCAATGAGCACATGGCAAACATCTTCGAGAAAAACATATTGTACGCGATGAACACCGATTTGCAGGAGGAGCACGCGCTGATGTGGTGGGGCGTCTAGTGACATGGCGGAGATAATGAAAACCCCCGGGCGATTACGACTGAAGACCCCAGGGAAAACGCCCCGTACGCTGCTGCGGAGGCCGTTCGTCAACCCCGATGAGGAGGTACTTAATTGTCATTTCGTTGGCTAGACTAGGCTGCATGGCCGGAGTCCTTTGTTAACGCGTTCTTTGATATAGCAACACTCCGACATCTTCAATAGCCGTCCAGCCGCAACACCCTTTGCCAACCGACTCCAGAAGCCCATTCCGGCGTCCGCCAAAAAGCAAAGTGCACCTCCGCCCCCAACCCAACCGACGTTTATCCCGCCTACCCAACTCGAACTTCCAACTCCGGATTCTCCACATCAGCTCTCGCCCACGAGAAGCCCCACTAGGACATCGCCGCGCAAACAACCGAGCCCAACCAAGGTCGATACGCCTGTCAAGAGCCCCATCAAAGACATCGTCATACAGCCCCCGACATCTCCGGGCGCTGATCGTATCTCACGACAAGCACCACCAAACTTCGGCGATAGTGGCTTCTTCACCTCGTCAAATCCTAACTCTCAAGCTGAAGCTTCCCAGAACAGGCCGCGTGATTCCACTATCTCCCAATTGTCCGTCGACACCAATGCAAGGAGGCACAGCGAATTCAATGATGGAAGAAACTCATTTTCTACAGCAAAGGAGGATGTATCTATGCACCCGCCGTCGTCACCTGTCGAGGAGGTCATTCTTCTCGGTGCAAATCCTCCAGAATTGTCTGCCGAGCGGGAGCCATCTGAGGAGACGGACGACGACGATGAGGAGGAGGAGGAGGAGGAGGATGAGGAGGAGGATGAGCAACCAGAGCTATATCACGAAACGCCCATCAGGCCACCACCTCTTTCTACCATGAATATTAAGGCCTCTCCCCTTGAACCTCGCCGTTCAGGACGCTTGGCAGTGACGACAACAGCATCCGAACCGCGGGAGCAAGCACCGCCTGTACCTGAAGCTGTTCCGTCACCACCTAGGGAAACACGTGGAGCAAGTATGACAGATGTCGATGAACCCGCGAGCCCCACGGAACCTATGGAGGACATTGCAGTATACCCAGTACTTCCCGCAGTAAAATCCAAGGCGCCTGAACCGGAACCTATTGAGCCGGAGCCAATTGAACAAGAAACGATGGAAGTTGAGGCGATGGAACCTGAGGCCACCAAACCTGAGACGCTGGAACCAGAGGCAATGCAGATTGAGAGAATTTTGGAGACTCCCTCGCAATCTTGCAACATGGTAGAATCGGAAACCCCTTCAGAGCCCCCCACGCCGGACATTCCCGCAATGCGGAAGAGTAGTATGAGCTTTGCATCCCTCCCGGCCCGCGAGCCATTAACGAGTAAGAAGAGCATGGGAGCAAAGGCGATACGGGAAAGCCAGCTGGAGCAGTTGAAGCAGGACGGGGCACAACAAAGAGCAAGCTGGAAGAAGAGTAATGGGAAGAGTTTGGGTGGAAGTTCGAGGTCGATTATCCGGAAAACTCAGGAAGAAGAGAATGAAGAGGAGGAAGGGACAACCGAGCCGAAGACAGGAGAGAAGCGGAAGAGTAATGATGCTGGTTCGTCCAGATACAGGAAGATATCGAGGGGAGCAGACCTCGTCGGAGTCGTGGTTCAAGAGACAACGAAGATTCCTACCAAGAGTGGAGACGACGGTTCGGATTCTGAGATCCGCAACCACAGCAAGGCATCTACGCAGCGGCTTCACGACAAGATTCAGCTCCTCGGGAAGCACAGTGCCCGCACAGCGCGTTCATTCCCTGCTACAGCTGCTCATGCTCATATTGGATACCCCGACCTCTCCGAACATGACCAAGATGGTTCAGCAACGCAAAAGGAAAAGACCCACCCTGGAGTGGATGAGGCCGGAGAGACTGTTCGCGTAAAGTCACAGTTCCCACGCAGCAAGACTGAAGGCGCCGTCTTTGGCGTCGCACCAGAAGAACCAATTAAACCGGTATCTCCCCGCAGATTGGCGCCACTCAAGACTCGGACACCCGCATCGCCGTCTGTTAATCGCACGGTGGACTTGGCGATCATTGACAAGCCAGGGCAGTCTTCCAGCCGCCCTGCTCTGAGCCCTACCTCTCCCATGAAGACGGTCACCTATGCCTCGATTGCCGATGTGCCCCAATTTGCCGCTAATAGTGGTGCATCGTCAACAAAGAAAACTCCTTCCGCAGACACGACTCTCTCAGCTGTCAAGGCCCAGACATCGAATATGATCAAGAAGGCGAAGGAGATGTGGATGAAGAGCGCCAGTAGTTCAGACAAGCCAGAGCCAGTGGGATCCCCTCCACCTCCCCTCCGGAAATGGCAGGGCGCGGAGTCTCTGCAGGACATCTTCAAGAGAGACGCGAGCCCCATCGTTTCCCAGGACCAGCCAAAGGCCCGACAGGAATCGTACCCGGATCTCGGGTCCGTTCTGTCGTCGAGTGTTGGTAAGGTGATCGAGAGAGAGGAGTTTACTGCGCCATCGCTGTCTGTGGTGGAAACCTTGAGGGAGGAGGGACGGCAGACTAGGAATTCCCGTTCGAGAACCGCAGAAGCAGCCAAGACCGCAACACCCACACCCACGATTGAAGACGCCGACCCTGAGGCAATGCCGGTATCCCCTGGTCGGCAAACTCGTAATTCAAGACCTAAGGAGGATGCTCATCTTGAGGATGCTTCACCTAGGTCTACTAAATCACCAGCACCACGAAAGGCTAAGAAGAGCATCGTTGACCCTGCAGCAGAGGAGGAGCGCAAGAAACGCCTCGCAGAAATTTACAAACAGGCACAAGCAGATAAAGAGAGGATGGAGCGGCAAAAGGAAGAAGAACAGCGGAAACTCAAGGAGCCTAGTCCAATGGTTTCTGAAGAGGAAGAAGAGCCCGTTCCGTCTGAGCCCAGCCGATCACGGTATGGCTCCGCTGAAGCAGAGCGACCTACATCGCGACTTCAGCAGAGAGGATTGCGCTTCCAGAAACTCGAGCCGAAACGCACTGTGAGGACGGCCGCGAAGGAACAACCTACAGTCAAGCCCGCTCCGATACCGATGAAGATCAGCACTGCCAGCCAGCGAGAGATGCACGACCAACGCCTTAAGGGCACCACTAGTTCAGCGATTGTCTCTGCGCTCAAAAGCACATTTGAAGCTTCGCAGCCACCACCTCCCGTGCAACAACCGACCTTGCACACTTCATCGTCGAACGGGAGTCTCCGGAGTCTTGCTTCTACTGGAATAACGAAACAGGTGAGGTCGCTTCAGTCCGCGGCCAGTCAACGAAAGAAGGAGCAGGAAGAGAAGGATAAGAAGAGACGAGAGCAAGAACGGCGAAGGGCAGAAAACCAGAGGAAGCAGGATGAGGAACAGAAGAGAATCCAAGCGCTCAGGCAGAAAGCTACAACGCCGGGTCTTGTTCCCACTGCCAAACCTGGAGCCCGTGCCCAAGGGCAAAATGTTAGTGGCACGCACCTCCGTACCTTCGGGAACCCGGTCACTAACCTACTTACGAATCAGCCCCGTCCGATTTCACAGGAACCCGAGACAACTAGGGTCGTTAAACCTTACGGTTCGCTCAATAAGAACCCGTATGGCCAGGGCAGCATCAAGCGCACTCATCCTCAGGATATGGAGGAGCCGCAAAGTCGACATGTCCCTTCGCGCCCTGGAACAGCTGCTTCTTACCACCAGGACGGCCCCAAAAAGCGTCGGACGAATGATTATGAAGATCGAGCTTATGAGATGCCACCACCAATTCGTGCCTCAATGGTGAAGAAGGTTGATACATCCCAAAAGCCAGGAAGTCTGGTCTCCATGGAACTCCAGCCGCTGACTAAAGAAAAGGATATCGGATCGAAAGGACTCGCCCATGGATACGTTCAGGCAGCAGCCACTGCTGTAGCTTCATCCACCATGAAGGCTCCGGGTTCTAGGGTGCCACAAATTGAGGCCGTCAAGTTTTCCAAGGAGAAGATCAACTTTGCTGGCGGAACTCCCGGACCGTCGTCATCGTCAGGGGCGGGTTTCAAAACACCTGGTACCAAAGTCAACAGTCTCAAGAGCAAGACTCCGGCTTTCAAAGAAAGCCCGTTATATCAACCCGGCGAGTCCATTGTGCTGCCCGATATCCCGACTGAGTATGCACTCCCGATTCCCCTTTTCCAACCAGTTGACTGATTGCAATTCTAGTTCGGAGGATGAGGATGACGATTACCCCAAGAAGAACGACTTTAGTGTACCGCAATGGGCCGAATCGCCAGAACTGCGTGATCTACTGCGTCAACAGCAGGCAGTCGATCCAGCTTCGATCTTTGGACCCATGGCCAAGTTGGACATGGAGGCGATCTTTAAGAACGAGGCCAAGACGGGACGGTTCCGTGCCAGAACATCGAGTGCTAACTGGGGCGGTGCCGATCGTTTAACGCAAGCAGAGATCATTGCCGACCAGGAGGCCAGAAGGAAAATGATGGAGACGGGTAAATGGGTGCCTTCCGGGTTGTAGATGAGGAGGAAGAGGAAAGAAAGGTGGAGGAGTTTGGTCTTGTCTGCGTTCATTCATCCGGGGCTGCGTACATTTTGGTACTTTGTTTATGGCGGACAGAGGAAAGGGGGTGGAGTAGAGCTACATGTTTTTTCATTCTGTTTTTCTCTTCTTTACGGGAAACATTCGTATCGCATCTTGTTGCTTTCGTTTCGGCATTGCTTTTTCTTGTACATCACCACTTGCGAACGCTGGTTTCTTTCTATGTAGAACAAAAAACGTAAGGGGACGTCTATTACTAACTGTTGGTTATGGTTGGCGAAGGGATAGGGGATTGTTATTATTTCGTTTATTATCTGGGCGTTTTCTGCTATTTGTTTTGTATTGTACTCTACTCTATGCGCGACGCTTGTGAGCATGGATTCTGTTACGTCATGACCATAGCTTCACCACTGTGCTACACAACAGCTTCTCTCTACACATCACCACCACACCAATTGAGCAATGCAGCGCCTCACATATCTCCTAGGCCCATCGCTCCGTGCACGTCCCGTCCTGCGGCGGTTGGCTCAGCCAGCCAGTGCCGGGTTCTTCAGAGCTCCCATAAGCACCCACACCGTTCCGACTGTAGAGCTTCCCCACCCGACCCCCGGCCCGCACCGCTCAACTAACGAACACAGCTCAAAGACCCGACACTCCTGAAACCATTCCCCTTCCTGGACAATGAATTCCTTGTGCCCACGGCCTCCCAAAGTACCTTCACGGTCGCCGACCCCGTGTCCGGCCAGACCATCGCGCAAGTCCCTGACCAAGGCGTCGAGGACGTGCGGCGGGCCATCAGCTCCGCGTCCACGGCCTTCAAGTCGTTCCGGCACACGACCGCGCGCGAGCGCGCCAACCTTCTGCGGCGGTGGAACGACCTCGTGCTAGAGAACAAGGAGGACCTCGCCACGATCATAACGTGGGAGAACGGCAAGCCGATCGCCGACGCCCGCGGCGAAGTCTCGTACGCCGCCAGCTTCCTCGAGTGGTTCGCCGAGGAGGCTCCCCGCGTCTATGGCGACACCATCCCCGCCGGCGTGCGCGCGAACCGCATCATCACCCAGCGCCAGCCCATCGGCGTCTGCGGGCTCATCACCCCTTGGAACTTTCCGGCCGCCATGATCACACGCAAGGTGGGGCCTGCGCTGGCAGCCGGGTGCACCGTCGTCATCAAGGCGCCGGGTGAAACGCCGTTGACGAGTTTGGCGTTGGCGGAGCTGGCGAAGAGGGCGGGCATCCCGCCGGGTGTGCTGAATATCGTTACGACTCTCGAGAATACGCCAGAGGTCGGAAGGGAGATGTGTAGCAACTCAACGGTGAAGAAGATTTCGTTTACCGGAAGCACGCCGGTGGGAAAGCTGCTTATGCGGCAGTCAGCCGACACGCTGAAGAAGCTCAGCTTTGAGCTGGGCGGTAACGCACCGTTCATTGTCTTCGACGATGCGGACCTTGACATCGCCGTTGCTGGTGCGGTCATATCGAAATTCCGCAGTTCGGGCCAGACCTGTGTCTGTGCCAACCGTATCTTTGTCCAAGAGGGCGTATATGATGAGTTCGCCGAGAGGCTCTCAGATAAGGTTAAGGAATTCCGGGTCGGCTCGGGTTACAATACGAATACTACTCATGGCCCGCTTATTCATCCCCGCGCGGTAAAGAAGGTGCATGATCATGTTGAGGATGCACGGGAGGCGGGCGCAGAGGTGCTGCTCGGTGGGAAGAAGATGGAGCATCTCGGAATGAACTTTTATGAACCTACTATTCTCACCGGGATGAAGACGGAGATGGTAACTATCCATATTCGCTATGTGTATGATATGCTGATGCTGATGCCTCATGAAGCGTCTCTACCGCGAGGAAACTTTCGGGCCGGTGGCAGCACTGTTCCCTTTCAAGACGGAGAAGGAAGTTGTCGAGCTTGCGAATGATACCGACGTGGGCCTTGCGGCATACTTCTTCTCGAAGGATTATAGTCGGATCTGGCGGGTGGCTGAGGCCCTGGAAGGTACGTAATCATCCCCCGCGCTGTCATTGACTGGCTGACTGGCTCAGTGGGGATGGTCGGGATCAATACCGGGCTGATCTCCGATCCTGCGGCTCCGTTCGGAGGAGTCAAGCAGAGCGGCTTTGGAAGGGAAGGGAGCAAGTACGGGATCGATGAGTACACGGTCGTCAAGATGATGACGTTCGGCGGGATTGGTGATCTGCAGGAGTAGTGTATTATAGCAGAGATGATTGCACCATTCGGTGATGCTCTTGCCATAGAAATAAGCACTCAGCACAACCGGCTACACGGATATCACACACTCCCTACCTACTATGGCAGGCCCTCAATCAATTTTTTGAAATTGTATCTTGAACAGGTGGTTGTGGATGTTTCGGGAAGGCTTTTTTTGTTTCATCCTGGATTGATTGCGGCCTATCTACCCAGATCATGGCGGTACACTCTCTGTTTCTATGTCTACTGTCCAACCCATCTTTCGTCAGACGGCCGGTTACTGGAGTACATACCGGCCGGGGAGGTAGTGCCCACTGGTTTCCGAAAAGCTGTACGGTCTCGCCAAATTACACTGTGCTTACCTATGCACGAGTGCGTGGCTATGGCACCGGTTTCCCGTATTGCAACCGTGTTGTAGCAATGCATCCTTTCCTCATACACGGGCTCAGTCAGCCGGAGAAAGGTCACGGCCTCTGGTCGAAGACTCATTCTCGTAGTATTAGTCAGTGCGGCTGTGATGTGCCTGGAGGTAGACGTTCCTAAGTACTGTGATCCATGAGTACCTACCGTACTATGTATTGTACATCCTTAGGTGACTAATACCTCGATTCATCATCGTAGATATGAGTCTCCAAGATAGTACCGCTTACTCACACAACTGTTTGTTTTTTACCAGCGGTTGACAGCCATGACCGTGTCCTGCCCAAAATGTCGGATATTACCTATACCCATGGTAGAGTACATCTGAAGTCCGGCTAAGCCCTTGCACCCAGCCGATCACCGGGCTTGTATGTGTGGGTGTGTATGCCCAGAGTGGTGCCTGAACTTCCGCAGATATGGATGAGGCGCATGACGTGCAGCAGCACCCTCGACATGCCGAGACAGGCAACTGTTCTAGAAGCGCAAACGAGACGCAGCGCAAGAGCCCCTGGAAACTTTGCGGAAGATGGCAGTGTTCTGCGGATTCACTGCCGGTGCCTGTGGTGACTCACAGATGGGAGGGGGAGGGGGAGGGGGAGAGGGGGGAAGTGGCAGGTGGATGGGCAGACAGATGAACGGGGCTGCCACAGACGCGGTAGCCTCGTTCTCGTCCTCGTCCTCGTCCTTGTCTAACTACCCCGCAGCCGCGGCCGCGGCTTAAGCGCTCGCACACGAGGGAAAAGGCACGTCGGCGGCGTCAAAGGTACCGAGTTCCTCCATCTCGGAATGAAACATTTGCACCCTGGCGCGCTCGCTAGCTACTATAATTTCCGCGACCCAAAGAGCGGAGAAGGAGGAGGAGGCGGAGAACTAATTGCAGCCGCTGTTGTGGCGAAGTAGGTATGCATATGTTTTGGGGATCTGGAATGAGCCCCAGGCCCGCGGGGACTCGGAGAGTACCTAATTACTTACCTACTCTAGTGGGTCAAACTGTCAGCGACTGCTGCCTAGTCAGCGATAAGGGGATGCATATCCTGCAACGGCATACGATATCGCACACTCAGCCGGAATCCAGCAGGGCTGAGACGCTGTAGGTGGTTACACGACATACATTACAAGACGTACAGATGCTTCGGATCCGAGACGAATGACTAGGTCAGATTTATTGTGGGCGGAGCGGTTCATGGACGATGCTTATGGCAGTGGACGGCCGTAGATGTTGGTATATGCCGGTGCTTGTGCTTGTGCTTGTGCTGGTGGTGGCAGTGATCCTGTGACGAGATCATATGACTGGTGGGAATGAGTGGGTGAATATAGTGTCTCGAGGTACCATACATAACATGAGGGCAGTGGATGTGTGTATAAATCCGCCCATTCCCACCCGCCCCAAGACCCTCCCTCACCAAACCATCCAGAAAACGAAGCAAGAACCCAACCCGGAGCCCAAACCAACCAAACCAAACCAACCAGACCAAATCAACCCACAAAAACCCAAGCAATGACCACCATCCCCGCCGTCCGCCTCCTCATGCACGCCGGGACCTCCCAAGAATACACCATGACCGTCCCGACGGCACCACACATCTACACGGCGCCGTCCCCGCGCGCCCCCTCTCCCGCCGGGGTTTTGGTGCCGTACCGGGCACCCACCCCGGTGGCAGCCCCGACCGCCCCGCAGTCCTATAACTCCATGACTACGGCAATGACTTACCGTCCGCCGGCAAACCAGCCGGACCACTGGTCGCTGCGCGTGCCCGATGCTGCCGGCGACGGGTGGCACAAGTGGGAGTACACGCATATGCATGCGCCCGCTGAGTGTGGCTGCAGGGAGTGCGCGAAGGATAGGGAGAGGGAGAGGGAGCGCGAGGAGAGGATGGAGAAGGAGAGGGTGTGGCAGCGCGAGAAGGAGCGGGAGCGGTCGAGGGAGAGGCTTGTTGTTGTTAGAAGGTCCACGAGGTACTGGCGCTGAAGCGTCAGGAGTGATGGGATCTGGTAGCTTGTTTAGTTTTTGTTTTGGGAGGTTTTTGGGATTCGCTGGGAGTTTTCTGTTTGTTATTGTTGTGCCTTTGACTGGATAGGAGTTTTTTGGTTTTATGATGATGTCTGAAGAGACGATGAACTTTATGGTTAACTATGAGCGTTTGCTTTGGTGGATTTGATTTGGTACTCCGAGTATTTAGACAAATGAGATTCTCTGTTGAAGCAATATGTCTGGCCAAAACTCCCTGGATGTGTCAAGGCCTACCATAATGGATGGGCACCCAACGGCCAATTGAACGGTGTCTTCGCCGGGGGAGGGGGGAAGGTTCGTTTCAATAATCGGCGGTGAGATTTCCACAGGCAGCCGGCCCACTGCACCAACGGAAGAAATTAGCAGGGTGTTTCATTATCGGGCGAGACCCACGGCTGATCATCGTGAAACGTTCTTCCGTTTTCCCCCCAGGCCATTGTTGTCCAGCCAGTCATTATACCACGTATGTCGGCTTCCGCATCTCGTATATTCTATTACAGCCGTCTCAGCCGTCTTGCGAAGGCGCTCCGCCGCCTTTTGATCAAAGAGTTACTCGCCTAGGTCCCACAGTCCCGCACGCTATGTACGACTTATTACCGTCCCTATGGTTGCCCCAACTCTAGTTTCCGTGTATGCACAATGATTGCACAATCCAGAGTCCAGACCGCTCTTTATGTGCTGCCCTGTCACCACACGTCACTCGACCTTTCTTCCCGTGAACTGCAGATGAACTGGTAGATCAGGTATTACATGACTTCCCCGCAATCTAGGCCTCAGTCTCCCTACTATCCGGACCGCTGGCTAATATAAAAACTATAGTTACCTGCTTCTAATATCTACTACGTCCTGCCTGATTATCCCCCTTCCTTCCTTCCGCAAGAGAAGACCATTACCCACCCTAATCTACACCATCCCCTGCCCCTCCCACCCCGTCCCCGGCCTGGATCCCGGCCTGGATCCACTAACACTCTCCAACCTCTTACTCGTAATGAAGTTCATATACAGACTGTAGGTACTGCCCCTCTGCTGCTGCCTTGACGCCGGCGCTCCCAGCCTCAGTCTCATCCGCAGGACCACCTTCTTAACCGCGAAGACGAGCGACGTGCAAGCCGGCTGCGTTTTCACCGCGAGCGCCGTGGCGAGGGCGGAGGCTCGGGCTCGAAGGGGGGGAACCATCCCCAAGAGAAGCCGGAGTTCCGCGCGGAACAGGGTGTTCGTCCGTGAGCAGACAAGCTTCACCCGCTTCACCACACCGCCGGAGCGGATACCGAGCTCGAGGATAGCCGCGATGATCCGCGGCTTTACGTGCTGCCGCCAGTGCTCCCGCATCCGCGCCGCGAGTGATTCCGACTTCGAGGCCGCCGCGCCGGTAATGGAGCGAGAGGTGGCGAGGGCTTGCGTGGTGATGGCTCGTGACGCCTCGCTGATCTTGCCAGCGATCTCTCTGCATCCCTCCGCCGCCCGCGAGGCGACGCACTGCAGCAGGTCCGCAGTCCGCCGCACGACCGGCAGCAGCATGCACTCCCCCACTTCCCACGCTTTCGCATCTATCCTCTTCAACGCTGCTCCTGCAGCGCACACGCCTGTCCCTGCCAGCTCCCACGTCTTTCCGGCCACAGACCCCAGCGCACCCACCGTCTTCCGCAGGTAGCGCGCCGATTTACCGTACACACCGATAGCAGCCGCACCAGCCGCGCGGAGACCCGCAAGGATCCTCGCCGCCGTGGATGCAATATCCAGCATCCCCGCCGCTGCTGCCGCTACCGCTGCCTCGTACACCCTCCGGAGCCATGAAGCAGCAGCGTAGATTCGTAGCAACTGCTCGCTGGTCGTGTTCGTGTTCGGAGCGCGCATGACGGTCGGGGTCCATCGGCTCGTGAATAGCCGGCCTTGTCGTACTCGTATCGTAGTTATGGTATCGTACTCGTGTGGTATTGTATCGTGTCGTATCGTATTGTATCCTATTAAAGCGTATCGCAATCCAATCCGTAAATGATCTGTGAATACTCCCGAACTCGGAGTCTGAACTCTGAGCCGCGGACATCACCACGCCTTTAAGACCTCCCACTGCTCATCTCGTATCGTCCCGTATCGTATCCGCAAGAGAAACCCCACCCCACCCAACACACTTATCCGCGACGCAGCATGCCGCAGACCAGCTTCACTTCACCTCAGTTCACTCCAAGTCTTCACGTAATTCATCCGCCTCCACGTCCACGTCATTCATCCGCCGGACAGGATAAGTAGATAAAAGCATCCCTCCCCCCCGCGTCTCGGATGGAGAGTCGTGACGTACCGCCATGTCTCAGCCTGCGGGCCGCTGTCTCAGCCGAGCTCACCGGTGCATGGAGATCATACATAGGTACATATGATAGATATATGGTAGGCATGTAAGCAGGTAAATAGATAGGTATGGCCAAAGGAGTATACATATTCTCCAGTTTCCACGAAGACTCACACATTAACGTATGTACATACAAAGAGCGAGAAGAAGAAGAAGCAGCAGCAAGGTACAATAAACGAAGAACGGAACGGTATGGATGGATGGATGGATGATGTTGATGTTGATGATGAAAGAAACAGATGATCAATTGCAAAACGCCGCCGCCTGCCCACGCTTCCCGGCCTGTTCGAGGAAGCTAAACCCCACCCACCCCACCCTCAATATGAAAAAGAAGGAGAAAGAAAAGAAAAAGAAGAATAAAACAATGGACATATAACTACCGATGAAGATCTAATCGAGAGAGGAGAGGAACCAGGAAGGGATGCAAAACGCAAAACTACCGCTCAAAAGACGCACGACTCATCCCGCCCGGACTCGGCGTGCCAGTATCGATTCTCAGCGTCGGCAGCGTCTGGTTCGTCTCAACTCTCAACACCGGCAGCGTATCGATCCCGCGATTCCTCGTCTCTATAGGGCTGGTATAATCTGGCGGGGGGCCCCATTCGCTGCCATCGTAGTCTCCGGGCGCAAACGGCGGCGGGTGATCACCGTCGGCGACAGGACCCGACTCCCGGTGCGTTTCGGTGCTCGGCCGCGCACTCCCCATACGGATGATCTCCTCGCTCCCCCGGCGTTCCGGCGTGGCGCTGGAGTACGAGATGCCGCTCTCGGAGCGGCCATGGGCGTAGGTGCTCCTGATGCTGCCGCCGCTATTGCCCATGGGCGCGCCAGCGTCCAGCAGCGGTCGGTCGGAATCCATACTCGGTCTCACCCTCGTGCCGTCGTGCCGTGCCACTCCGATCTCGGCATACTGGACCTTTGAGAGGCGTCGCTCGCGCTCGGTGATGCTCGCCAGCGCGGTCATCAATTGCGCCGCGGAAACGGGCGGATCCGGTGTCACGAGCCGCACGCTACTACCCGAGCTCCCCGGCCGCCCCATCGCCGCGGCAGCCGAAAGCTCCCCGCTCTCCCTGGCCGCTGCCCGCTCCAGCTGCCGCGCAAGCCGGATCTCGTACAGCGTCTGCATGTGCTCCTCGCGCCTGTTCTCCTCCTCATCGATCGTTTCGGGGAACTCAATCACGACATCGATGCCACCGCGCTCTCCCTCGCGCGCAATGGTCCTCTCCCTATCCGCCGCCGCAATCGGGCGGTACTCCGGCAGCGTCATGACCGATCTCACACTTGTATTCCTATCGACGCCTGCGCCCATCCCGCCCGCGTTATTGCGCAGGTGGCGATTCCGTGCGGAGTTCCGCGTCGACGGATGCCGCGGCGTGGGCCCCGGCGAGGTGTACGTCCCCGGGTTCCATTCTCGCCAGCGTTTGCGCAGCGTCTCGGGGAGGAACCGCGGTGGCTCGCGTTGGCGTTTGCGGCAGTGCCGCAGAATCATGTAGCCGATGAATAGCACCACTACCAGCGAGACGAAGACGACAGCGATCTGCCAGCGGATGTGTCAGCGCGGAAAGGGGAATGCGAGGAATGCAGCGGAGCCGACGGGATGGGAATGCGGATGGGTGATATACGATTAGTGCTTTGGTCTGCCCATCGCTTCGAGGGGTTCCGCCTGTTTCACTATCACCTCCACCACCACTACCACTACCACCGCCATTGTTATCGGCACCGCCTATAGCTTGTCGTCGTTGTGATTGATGTCGGGTCGCTCGTATGCGCAGCGAGGGTGTCGGTAACCACATGTCTCTCCCTTTGCGAGCCCTCTATCGTATTTTCCGTCCTTCTTTCTTTCCTCCGGTATCGTATCTTTGTTGGAAGTATCGTCGTCGAAGTTAAAGTTGAAGTTGAAATCGATGAATCTTGCCCTCCTCTCTCAGCCTCTCCGAGTGTAGTGTCCGAGTGTCTCTTTCGTGTCCGGTTCGGTTCGTGTGAGGGGAAGGTGAACGTAGGTGGTAGAGGTGCGCGGCGTAATCAATCCCTCTTTCGTATGTATGCTATGTACTGTACTCCGCCTGCTTTGAATGTTGTGCTGTGCTGTGCTGACCGGACAGCTCCAATCCAATCAATTCAATTCGACCCCCCAAGAGAAAACCGCCAGGCAAGCCAGACAAGCCAGACACAGTGCACACACGCAAAAGTGGAATGCCCTTGCTGCACTGCGCTGGGCAGGGTGCTGGGCCTCCGGTAGGTAGGGTATCGATAGTTAGGTTTCTGCACCTGTCGTTCCAGTGTGTATGTAGTGTAGTAGTTATCGACGTCGGAATCCGAGCTGTTGCGAATGGTATGTGTACTTGTGAGCGGGCGGGCGAGTGGACGAACGGTGGATCAATACTTTTTTGCAGACAACTCCTTTCACACCTCGAGAAGGAGAGATGGGTATAGTAGAGTCCGGTAAAGTAGAAGAATTTCCAAAATTAGAGGGGAGCTATGGAGTATGTAATTGTAATGTATCTGCTCTTCTCGGGAAAAGGGCAAGACGGCGGCGCGGACACGCGGCAGGGATCAGGACAGGATCAGGATCAGGATCAGGGTCGGCCCAAATGCTCCGCCTGGTAAGTACATGACAAGTGGACGGGTTCGCACTGCGCAGAAGCAGAAGGGCTGTGAAAAAGCCACAAGGGAAGGGATCAGCCAGCTTTCTTGTTCTTGTCTTGAGACATTCGTGTCCCGACTCCCGTGGGCGGGATCATGGATGCACCCCGCCAAACAGTGACAGCGACACGCGCTTCTGTACGCGGAGTCTAGACGGGTGGTCTGGATGGTATAAATACTCTACATCCCTATTGTACGGTACTATACTCTACAGTGGAATAAACAAAACATATCTACACAAATAAGAGGTCAAAGGTGAAGGTGAAAGTAAAGGGGAAGAAAGAATGAGGGGATAAATGTTACAGAGAACGGATGAAGGAGAACCAGACATGGGGGATAAATGCTCCAGAGAACGGATGAGCGAAAACAAGACATGGAATGTAAAGTAGTAGTCGACCGGAATGAACCCATCCGCCATATCTGTTTACACCTTTGCGACCAACGCCTCCTTCGCCGTCTCCTCAGTCACCAACTCCTTCTCCCCCTCATCTTCCTCCCACAGCTCCTCATCCTCCTCCTGTCCATTTCCCATGACCTTATCCCACACACCCTGCCACAGCCGTGCCTTATGCGCCATGGCGAACACCAGGACCAACGGCAGATGCCAAACACTAGCCCAAAACAACCTCCTCGCACGGCCCCCCTCACCCCCCTTCCTATAGAACCTCCAGGCCTCCCTGACGAGCCATGCGTTGACGACGCTCGAGTCAACGAGGAACCCAACATCCGTGACGCCGACCCACCACAATCCAAAGCAGATGGGAAAGAACAGCAGCGAGTACCGCAGCGCAACGCGCGCATTCATCGCGGGGTACTTCCACGCCGCCATCTGATACCCGGCGGACCGGTACTCCTCGCGGATCGTCCACGAGAGCGAGTTGAAGTGCGGGAACTGCCAGGCGAAGAGGAGGGAGGCGAGGAGCCAGCCGCCCGGGTGGCCGAGCAGCTCCACGAACGTGCCATCGAGTGCCGTGGCACCGGAGGCCGCCGCCCAGCCCATCAATGGTGGGATGCCGCCGACCAACGCGCCCACCCACGTATTGGCGACGGAGAGCCGCTTCATCGGCGTGTATACTCCTGCGTAGAGGATGATGTTGAGCGCGCCGAGGGCGGCGACGGTGGGGTTCACGCCCATGTGTAGAGCTGCAACGCCGATGGTACCGGTGATTCCCGCGAATGTCACTGCTTGTCGAGTGCTGAGGAGGCCGCGGACGAGGGGTCGGTTCTTGGTGCGTGACATCTGCGCGTCGAACTTGGGTTCGTAGGCCATGTTGAGGGCATTGGCCGAGGACGAGGCGAGAGCCGTTCCGGCGGTGAGGTACAGCAGCGTGAGTGCCGAGAGGGTGGGCGCCGCCGGCGACGACAGCAGCGGGTCGACGGGGAATAGTGCGTACGAAGCCATGGTCGTGAGCACGATCAGCGCCGTCAACCGCGGCTTCGTGAGCGAAAGGTATGCCAGAGCGTCCCTACGCAACGCCGAGGTAGACGCTTCCGACGACGATGAGAGTAGCGACGACGCATCTGGTGGTATAACTGCATTGTCCCCCGTCGCTGCTGCCGCCGCCTTCGCTTTCCGTCTCCGGCGATGCGGAGGAACCATGCCATCTTCCCCCGTGACCCCCACCACATCGACCGCCGAGCTTCTCCCCCGCTTTACCAAGAAGCTATTCGCCAGGAAATAGTGCTGCGGCCTCCGCCATGTCCCGCCGGTTGCCACCGCAGGTCCCAGCGCGACACCATTCGCGGCAAAAAATGTACTCGAGAAACACCGCTTGCTCGATGGTGGTGGCGGTGGTGGTGATGGCGGCGTGGTTGTCCGCGAGAGAGTGTTGAGACATTCGCGGCATATCCGCGATCTTGCAATAGTGGGCGGGGATGTGGCCAACCGCTGCAAGGCGATTGTGCTGCGGTGTAGTAACATGTGGAAGAATTCCCCCGCCGCCGGATTTCCTGGGGCCGCACGTCAACCTTTCGAAAAGAGTCCCTCCGTTTGTTTGTTTGTTTCGTACGGGAGGCCAATCGTATTCAGTGATCGAGTTTCGAAGTTCGTGGTTCGGGGTTTCGAGGAGAGACTTCAACTGCGATGCTCGCTCGGGTTTGAACTTCTCTGTGCCGGTTGGTTCTTGGCAATGCAGACACTAAACTGAGTTTCGTGTTGCATGGCCACTCACTCACGCGTTTCTTTCTCCGCTCCCCGTCAAGAGCGATACACATGATGACGGATCGGCTTGGTCTAGATAGGCTCGTATGTACGTGATTATTGAGGAAATAAAATGTGTAAACTATGACGATAATGGGACTTGTCTTATTATCGTTCTGGAACTCGGTGATCCTCTCATCCCAATTCAACGTACCCTAGTCCTACCTACTATGTACAATACACACAATTACACACGACAACCATACAAATCAGACGAAAGTCAGCGCAGCACAGCACAGCACAGGATCGGTCTCTCGCACAAGAGATAAAGCAAGCAAGCAGAATCAATAGCAGAGAAAGTTGAACACCTGCGCAAGATAAAATAAAGAACGAGTAAACAACCAACATCCCAATTGAGGGTAAGAAGTATGCAACAGAACCGAGAGACCCCCCAATCCACACCCTGTAATGCTTTCAAGCAAATAACGGCAAAGAAAATACAATCATCCCTGCGGTCCAGGTGGCACAGCTCTAATCAGAACCCTCACGTTGTCGATGAATCCCTTGACCAGATCCTCATAGCTGTTCGGCTTCTTGTCCTTCGCCATCAGACCTTGCTTGCGAATCTCCGCTCCATCCACCTCGACTTCGAGTTCATGCTCCTTCTTGGTTGATTTCTATTCCGTGTTAGGTCCGAAATTTAGGGAAAACACCGAGAAAAGAAGAACTTACGCCCGTAACCTGGGTTAGGTCCACTTGATAGATCGTCTGGCGATAGCTTACGCGATCCTTGGTTCGGCTCCCCTCGGCGACTGGGTTGAGCTTCTCATGATCGCCAGCGAACGGCATTTCCATGTTCACGCTCACTCTCCAGTCGAACATGGTAAGAGGTGAGTACACGTTCATGTCGGCAATCCTAGTCTTGATGATTTTTCTGATCACTTGTCCCACAGAATCGGTAGTAACCCTAACGCGGACCCCGTGGCGGGGGTTACGTGTTTGCCGGATCGAGGGAGGAAGGATGTGATGCATATCGGCGGGAAGGTCGTAGAAGGAATCGCGTTCGCGTGTATGTACATAAGTCAAAGGCATGCGGGCCGGCGCCTCGTGTTCCGCGTTGGGGCCTCTCTGGGATTCATGCAAGACCCGGTTGAGGAAGGTATTCAAATGCCTGTGTTGGACCTTCATTTTTTCTTCGGCATTAGCATTCTTCTGTGATCTGCGCGCGAGAGAGGACACGTACATCGGTCATGCTGCTCTTGAATTGCACTTGCCAACCTGGATCGGTATGATCGAATATCGTCTCCGTTCGTACTGGCAGGCGCAGTCTCTCCCCCGTAGCTCTATTCACCAGTTGGCCGAGCTTCGCCTCGATCTCTATGACAGCACCCTTTGGACCGTCGTTCACCAGCGCAGGATCGGTCTGCATCACGACATTTTGAAACAAGAAATCCGCGATTTGCATCGTGATCTCTTCGTACTGCTCTGTGTTGATGATGTTGGGCTCCCACGGCCCGAATCCCGGAAGCAAGCGCGGCCCGGTCGCGTGGGGGGAAGGCCCAGGCTGCGTCGGCTGCGTCGGAAGGGGTCGAGACTGCGGCTGTTCGATGGGAATGGGAGGCGGAGGCGGTGGCGGTGGCACAGAAGGGGTCGAGTGTTGTGGGGGTTGTGACGGATGGGTGGAAGGGGGAGGTTGTCGCCTATTGGACATGACGGGGCTACTGCTGGAGCTGCGACTGGCTTTCCGAGCCCATATCGGCGCCTCGCCTCCCCGCTGCCGTTTTCTCGGGGGAGCGGATAAACTGGAGCTATTACTATGTCCATCAGCGGGATGGTCGCGTTGGGTTGGTTTCGCGGATAGCTGTCGAGGTGGCTGGGATTTGGGGCTTGATGACGACGTGGACGATGCGGATGATGATATAGGTTGCCTTGGAATTAGGGAGTTTGGGTTTGGGGGTTGAGCTGACCTTGGTGCAGGTGGAGGTGGTGGTGGAGGCCGAGACTGGGGCTGTTCGGTAGCAGTAGGAGGTGGTTGTGGCCCAGGAGGAGGAGGAGGGCAAGGTGGTGGACCAGTACTATCTTTTGATGGCGACGACATTTGGTAATAATGAGGTGTGTGAGGGTTGGGGGCGATGTTTTTTTTATGGTTATTATGCGATGAAGGTTGTGGAGTAGTGGAGTGGGCTTGGTGTTGGCGGTCATCCTTTCGTTCATCGCCAGAACCGTTGAGCTTAATTCTGTCTGAAACGGGGCTGTTCCACTTTCGTTCGTCAGGGGGGGCACTATCCACTTCCATCGCGTCGTTTCGTCGGTCTTGCCCCATTGCTGACGAACTACGATAGTCAGGCTGATGATGATGCTGCTGCACTTGTTGATGTTGCTGCTGCTGCAGCAACTGCTGTTGTTGCTGTTGTTGCTGTTGCTGTTGTTGCTGCTGATGTACCTGCTGATGTACTTGCTGGTGCTGCTGCTGTGAATGTTGCGGATGCTGTTGATGGTGTTGCCCTTGTTGTTGTTGTGGTACTGGCGAATGGGGAGGAGGTGGCGGTGGTTTGTGCGGGTGATGAGCTGGTCGCGCCATTCCGCGGTGCGCAATTGAATCGCCCGGTTCTTTGTTGATCCCTGAAGAAAAGTCTTCGCCGGGTAGATATGGTACTTCGGTTTTGGGGTTGATGCTGACATCGCGTTCGCGTTGCCGTTGGATTGACCTCTCTCTTTCGTCACGCGGAGTAAGTGCCCCTATAGAAGGAGGCGCTCTGTCGGGGCCCATAGTATGGGGGGATCTGTCAGTCACAGGTGGCATGGAACTCATTCTACCCTCCACGGGCGAGGTAATCGGTGATGGTTGCGGGTAGACATGCTGGTGGTGCGGGTGATGATGATGATGCGGAGAGTGTGCAGGATAGAGGGAAAGCGGTGAACGAGGAGGTTGCTGCTGCTGCTGAAGCTGATGTTGCTGCTGCTGTAGAGGGGAGTATTGGCGTGACGGGCTTGGTTGCCGTATGGGCGCCGGTGGCGGCGGCGGCGGAGGTGGTGGTGGGAAGTGACTATGCGGCGATGGCGACACGGCGCTTGTGGGTGTATTGCTGTGCGCAGTGGAGTGCGCACTCAAAGGATGCGGAGTATGGGGAGTTCCGTGTGGGGTAACGATCGGTGACGATGCATAGCCCTGCTGTGGCTGCTGTTGGTGATGGGGGTTATGATTGTGGTGGTGGTGGTGGTGTTGCTGCGAGAGCGGGGATGCGGGCGGGCCCGAGGGGTATGGGTATTGCGACGACGACGGCGAAGAAAACCTGGTGCCCGGCCCTGGTTTCGACGATGGGGAGTAGGGTGAATGTGGAGGGTACTGGGGAGGGACGTATCGACCGTGGCTGGACGAGGGAAACGGCGAGCGAGGAGGCTGTAGAGGCGGAGGAGGAGCTGGTCGGCGATGTTGTGGTTGCTGAGGCTGAGGCTGAGGCTGCTGCTGTTGTTGCTGCTGCTGTTGCTGTTGTTGCATGGACGGCAGTAGTGAAGGAGACTGAGCCGTAGTGGGTGCGGGTACGTCATTGTTGTTGAGCATGGCCCGGAGATCCATCTTGCGGTGAGCGCGCGCGCCGGCAATAACAGCACAGGTTCGGGAGTTGAGGTTCGCCCGCGTCTGTTCGGCGGAGGGTTGTTGCCGACGGTCTAGACAGCAGTGGGAGGGGGGGAACGATCGGGAGATGTGGCAGGGACGTATTCGGGGCACAAATTGGGCGGTGTTTGCGCGGCTTCGGCGAGCGATATGATTGAGGGAAGATTCGATGGGGGGCGGATGGACGATTGATTGAGTACAGGTATTGTTTTAGGGTGTCGGTTAGTTTGTTGGTTGTTGTTGTTCGCTCGCTCGTCAGGGTTGGGTAGCGAGTGTGAGCAGGCGGTTGATGGGGCGATTGGTCTTGTCAATATCGGGAGGCAGCCAGACGAATGGATAGAGTGGGCTTCGCGGGTTGGCCAAGTGCGGGTTTCAATAGGAAAACGACGAGGCGCAGAGGCAAGGCAGCATGGTCATTTAATCGCGAGGAGACGGAGATGGAGACTGGAGACTGGGCGATGGGGATGGAGACCTGAGGGAGGAAGAAGGCAGGTGGTGGACGTGGGAACAGGAAGGGTGATCGTACAAGAGAAGCGACGACGACGACGACGACGACAGAGAGAAGCGCGTTGAGTGATACAGGAGGGGACAAGAGAGGGAGAGGGAGAGGGAGAAGGAGAGGGAGAGAGAGATTTCATGAGAAGGTTATTTTTCTGCTTTCCGGATTGGCGTGAACCAAAGAGCAGTTTTGCGGAATGGATTATGTTGCTGTTATTGTTATAGCCGCGCCTGATCAATCGTCTTCCGCTGCTTTTCTTTTCGCCCAGGCAGTGCACGCGTTTCTGATTCGGAAGATTTCCGGAAGGCTGTTCGCGGCGGGCTGTGGAGAGACTCCTCGTGGAAATCCCGACAGAGAGGGGAGACAATCGAAGGGCATAAAGAAGCTTTTAAGCAAAAGAAGAACGTCAACGAAGGGGGGGAGGCACAAGGTTATTGAGGCTCTCTCTCCTCTCCCCACAATCTGAAACCGTGGCACACAGTGTTTCTCAAGACAAACAGATAGCCGAGACCTACCAGTACCAGCACCACCATTATCGCTGAGCTTATTATGACTGTTTGTCTTGCGGGCTGGCGTGGTTGCGTGACTCCAGCCATGTCAACCGAACGCACCATGGTGAAGTAAGCGTAGCCGCGCGCTTATTGGGGATTGAGAGCCATGGCAATCACTTCGCCATGTGCATGGACTCTGATTGACAGCCATCGATGAGCATCACTTCGCCAATCAATCCCACGTACGTAAGGGGAAGCGTGACCATCTATCTTGTCACACTTCGGCCAATTACCACTGTCCTCCCTCATCAATCCTCTAACGCAGCCATTCATAGGTACAGACATAGGCATCGAAAGCCCGTAGGTACTCTATCCCATCCCACGTGATTCCACATGTAGAGTACTATCCAGAGCGCAGCCGGAGAAGCGGATTTACCGCGGTAGACTTTCGGGCGCCCCACCGGGAATACGGAGCTCCATCCTTCACACATGTCTCAGGCTCTCAGCAGTACTGCCCAATCCATCGCGGCGGCCGCGACGATCCCATACGCATGTAGGGTGGAAACCGGTGCGTCATGCGATTGACATTGCCAGTCTCAAAGCCGTCGATACCACCGGCCCTATGTATGTAGATAAATGTGTGTAAGAAGGGGTTGTGGTAAGGGGGGGTTATAGTGGTTAGCCGGATGTGTCCTCGGTGGGGGGTTGTGGAGAGAAAAATTAGGTGCTGAGCTGGGGGAGGGGGGAGGGGGCTTTCCCACGTTAACCATGATCTTCGTTAAGCGAACGAATGGTAGTGGCACACTACTCTAATAACCTCCGTCTCTGTCTCCGTCTCTGATTCTTGGCCTTATATAGCATTGTAACGACCCTTTGTCCCATCATCGGGTCTTTCTTTTGTTTGAGCCGTCCGTCAATTCCAAGAGCCTTTCGGCAGGCCTTCTGAATCCAAGAGGATTCTCCGGCTCCTACAAGCTTTTCCCCCGAACACGTTATCCAACTGCCACGAGCTTTCAGATACTTACCGGTAGGTCTGTCTGAACCTACCACTTACATCTCGACAAGCGTTGAACGTCTCCACGTGCTGAATTCCCACCTCGAGACTTCACCTTCGCTTCCACTCATCCTTAATCAACTGCCCGAGAAGCAACAAGGCTTGGAAGGCGGATTAAGCGTAAGGATGGTCGTCCGTTTATTTCTGACAATGTAGAAAGGAAGAAATTTACTTACGTATGATACAGAAGAGCTGGAGCACACAGCTAGCCAAACCAACCAATCCGCTCAGACAAACACGACAGAGACGCAGTCTTCCGTCCTCAATCAACGTCACCACACCCCATTGGAAGCAAATACAACAGTGATATTCCGAACAAAAATACCTTGATAAGTATTCTACACTAACCAAACCAATATCTCCCATGGCTCGCAAAAGAAACAAGCCCCTACAGGGCAAAAAAAAAGGTGATCGCCCCCTCCATCCATCCATCCATCAACCCAAAAAAACGCCGGCGCCGATCATAGAAACATGCTCTCCATGGGTACTTCATGAAACTTAGAAGGAAAAAAACAAAAAACAAAACCCCAGTCCAGCCCAGAATCCGCCACTCTAATGCGTTGCTACATCTTCCGGCTGGGACGCCGACGCCGACGCCGCCTCACCGTCATCAGCCGCAATCTCATTTCCTTGAACCGACATCTCCATTTCCCGTCCTTTGGCCGCACTCTGCGCCGAGTGCAACTGTAGTGGCAATGCATTCACGTAGTTCATCTTGAACAGATGCCAGCAGCTAGACAATCCCGTTAGCTCTTTGTCATCACCAGATAGGAGCGGGACCACAAACCTCGGTGCTTCCAACACATATCTCTCCATAGCCTCACGGAACCTATGCTTATATTCCTTCGGACTGGTAATGGTGGGCTTATTCCTTCCACCGCCGGCAAAGCCCTTCTCCTTGACCCAGCTCTCCAACTTCTTATCCAAGGTGAAGGTGCGAATGCAGTCGATGATGCCCACACACAGCTCTTTGCGGTTTTCATCGATGCCGATCATGAGGGAGTAATCCATCACGTCTTGCTTCTGGAGGAATAACGTGTCGTTGTGCAGACTGACTCGGAGGAGCTTCTTCGAGTGCTCGCGGACGAAAAGTGGCGATTCGTAGATAAACTCCACCATGTTCTCGTCCAGGAGGACTTCGTTCTGCTCCCCCGTCGATTGCATGTAGCGGTTGCGCATCGAGCCTTTAAGATCAAATATCTACGAAAATCAGTGCTGCCCAGTATCAAATATAAAAGGGAATGTGTGGTATCACCCGTGTGGTTTTGCGGTCATAGAAGAGGTTCTCCATGACTAGTATATCCCACTTGATCTCGGTGCCGGTGCTGGGGTTCTTGATCATGATCTGATAGAACCCCAACATTTTCGCGATAACCGTGGGCAACTGCTGAACATTAGCAATCATGACGAGACTGCCCGGCGAAGGGAGTGCTTACCTCATGGAAGAAAGCTTCGCTCATAAACTGGAAGTACGCCGGTGCGAACTTGATGAAAGCTGCAGTCTCCACTGGACTCAAGCTCTTGAGGACTATCCGCTCATCCTGTGTCTTCAAGAAGACACTTCTCGTCTTCCCTCCCTTACTATCCCATTTGATGCAACGACTCAGACTCTCGACATATCTATCCGCGACACCACAGTTCCTCCTCAGCGCGTCGAACTGCTCAGCATAGAATATCTTGCAGAACATCTTCGCGGTGCCTTCCTGGAACTGATACTTGAGATGTGTCCCAGTGGTCTTGAGAAGACTTCGCTCGAGCTCGGGGTGCTCCTGAAGGTTGAAAGAATGGCTGTGAACTTGTTCCTCCGAGCTCGTCGGTCTCTCGTTGCCGATGTGTGAATAATCAGAGTGACGAATGTCCTTGAGTTTCTGAACATAATCGCTGCAGTTGAGCGTGAACGCGATAAGTGAACTGGGTTCATCCTCGCGCACGATGATATCCGAATCGTTAAAGACATGATCGGTTGGATGGAGGGGGTATTCCAGAGACGTCCAACCACTTGCAGATCGTTCGGCCCAGAAGTTACTCAACATCTTCATCCAAGCCGAACGATGCTGCTGGGGAAGCCCAAGCTTCAGATCCAATTGGGCCGACTCCACAACCAACTGCGCTGACTCCACATCCGTATCCACTGTGGGCGGCAATACATCACTGATAGAAGGTACCACCATTGTTTCCTGGTCACTAACCATAGACATCTCACCATCACTAGCATCAGCATCGGCTTCGCCGTCCACGTCCGCATCAACATCTGACTGGGATTGGCTAAGAGGAGCCATATGACCGGGAAGTTCGGACAGTGTATCGGGAGTTGAGGCCAGGTGATTTACATCCGGCTCAGGCGTTAACATTGATTCTTCTGGAGAAAGAACGGGGGATACCGTTTTGAAGGTCGAGCTAGAATTTGCGCTTAGGTTGCTCACTTCTTTGGTGGCCAATCCAGGTGGCTGTTCTTCGTCGGAGCCCTCCTCGACTGCTTCCCTGACATTTTTGTAGACTTCAACGATGGGACGAGAAGTGGCAACGGGCAGGGCCCGAGCTCGTTTTGCTGCAAGCTGACGTTTCTCCCTAGCTCTCTCCCTTTCAAACTCTTTACTCAGCTGCTCGAAGTGCTTTGCCAGGTTCGAGACTCTGGTAGGCGGCGTTGCTATCGGACGCTTGAGACCAATGTTCGTGGCGGGAATGGATCGGGGAATCTGAGATTGCGTCTCTTTTTCCTTTGGCTTCTTCGCGAGAGAAGACAGCCGGGACTTTTCAAGCTTCTTCTCGTTTCTGATCTTCTCGGTGGTCTTACCAACGATAGTCCCCTTCTTCATTGGCATAGTTGGAGATCGACGCCCAATGCCTGCACTTGCAGGACCGGCCAAGTCCTTTCGTCGAGGAACCTCTGGCACTGAGACGGTTCTCGAGAAAGACGGGGGTGGCCTACGGCGTGAGTTATCGAGCCGAGGGATTGCAGAGACCTGAGGCAGACGAGAGATATCAGACAGGCTTGGTCGCTTCGCATGGCGAGTGGATGATTCGCTCTCCGATCTGTCCGTCTCTACAAAAGACGGAATACTGCTCGGTTTCTCTGGTGTGGGCGGTTGGAAAACAGTTTCCTGGCCAGCTGGAGCGTCTGCATCGGAAGCAATAATTTCGATACTCTTCTCTTGCTTCGGGATCACATTGCTATCGGAAATGCTCAAATCTCCTGTAGCCATATCGTCTGCCATAATTTTGTCGAGTCTGGATTCCCCCGATGGAGCTGGACTCTTTGAGGTAACTTCATCGTCCCTCTCATTGGTCTGTTCCTCCTCTTCAACGGTGGACACAAGGACATCGGGGGTCGACTCGGAGGGAAATTGGGGCAAAGCGTTGGTATCTGAAGGGTTGGCCCCGTCTATTGAATTGGCTCTTGTCCCTTCTTCCTTCTCCTGCATTGGAGTAGGCTCGTTTTCTGACTGAAGCGATGTGGTCGAAGTATTATCGAGAAAGATCTTCTTGAGATACTGCGTTGCAAGGCGTCTGATATCCTTTTCGGAAGGGAAATACTGGCTGTCGAATGCGCTGAAATTGGCATCCCAATCGACAACCTTCTCTTGAAGTGCACGGAGCGCGCGGTTCAACGGTATGATCTCGTAGTACTTCGACTTGTTGTACTTCTCCTGCAGCTTCGCAACCAACCAGTCCTCGTCGTCCCGGGCTTGATTTATCAGATACTCGATTTCTGCCTTGCAGGCTTCGACCTTGCTGGGGCTGGCTGACTCGACGTTGATGCCCCTCAAACGAGCTTGAACTGAAGCAAAGAAGCGCTTGATCTTAGCTTCGTTCTGTGTGTATTGCTCGTTTTTGACCCGTAAATCGATCTCCGGTTTGAAAGTTATCTTCGTCCGAGGCACGACGATTTCCAGTAGGTCGATTAGGTCGTGTTGAAAGAGAACAGTCAAACCCCGATATCCGAAACATCTGACGTGATCCCTATTGACATCGTGCGGACAATTCCCGGCTCTAATCTTCATTTCTGAGCTCCAGAAGGCCAGTTCGAGGTACTTGCCAAACGAATACTTCCAAGAACTCTCAGACATCGGTATTGCTGGCGTATTAGTGTTGGGGCATTTCTTGCAATAGCTCCACATGAGAATTGTATTCTGCATCCCCTCTATCGGACAGGCGATCTGATCACTGACTAACACGCTCACTCGGGCTTGGCCGTGAACATAAGAACGATGATGCTGGATCATCCGTCTGTCGCAAGATGAGCGGCACGTTACGTCGGCTGTATCGCACAGATATTCAATATATTGTCCGAGGGTGCAATCCGACCTCATGAACTCGCATTCGTGATCCTGATAGTAGAATTCGAGCTGTCGGATATCGGGTCCCTCACAAGGGACCGTGGTCTCAGTGCACACCATACTATACAAGACAGTAATACTCTGATGCGCGAAAGGGTCGAATAAATCGTCGTACTGGGCGAGATAATTCTCCCACTGCTTCTTCTGAGTCTCATACACGTGGAGTGCCTTGTCGTACTCAGCGTCATAGATGGCCCGAAGAACTTCGTTGGCTTTCTTGCTCGTTCCACGTTTGACTTCGCCTTCACCATGGACAGCCTCCGGGTCAACCAGCAGGAAATTATCCTGGGGCTTCGGCTTGCCTTCGAGGGCGGCCTTTTCCGGGTCGAGTGTGTCTGGCCTTTCGGAATTGGCGCCTTCTTTGTCCGAGTCCTCTCCGTCATCGTCGTCTTCTGGGATTACAAGGCTGTCTCTGAGACGGCGTAGATACACAAGCTTTCGCTCGAGTTCCCGCGCGCGAGTAAGAAGATAGGGTTGCATATAACTGACGAACGGAGAAGCAGATAGAATCTTTGCCTCGTGTATGCGGACCATATCTTCGTAGTATGTTGGATTTGGGATGTCATCCGGCAACTGGTCAACCGAAAGGGGTGCCTTCGGTATCGTTGCAGTCGGTTCCTTCGGTTCCTCGCTCGGGGACTGTTGCGGGCCTTCAGGTGTGTCTCTTTCGGCGTTTTCGGGCGTAGCCTCTCCGTCTACCGTTTGGCCTTCAGCGTCCGTTCTTCGAGCCGTATCCTCAGATCCTTCCACGTCCGCCGTAGCTGATTCGTTTGGTTCGGATGTCAATTCGTAGATCCCAGATTCATGTCTCAAGGCGACGGTTGGAGCGACCGGTCCAGTCGGAGAAGAGGGGATAAGAACAAACTCATCCCTCATCAAGCATGTCTCCAGTTTTAAGTTGTACACGACGTAAACCATGAGCTCGGTAATCTGCTTGATAATGGCCAACGTATTGTTGTCAGCACCCCTCAGAACAATGGTGCATCCCAGCTCCCTCTGACAACCCGATAGATACATGAACGTCTTCTTCTTCCCCGGAATGTCGTTGTGAACAAATGTTTTGACATCGAAGCTGGCGCAACGTCCGAGACGGAAGTTCGAAAGTGCCAACTTGTCGATGGAAGAGAAGATATCCGCCTCGGCACACCGAGCAACAGCCTCAATGACCGAGGGTTTGACAAGATATGCGGTTGCAACATTCGCCTGAGCCAATAATGCCAGAGCCAACCCGGAAACGTTCTTTTCAACGAGGAGGAGAGTCGGACGTAGGGCAACGATCCTGTTGATCATGTTCTGGAGGAATTCTTTTTCCTGCTCTATGACCGGCTGCAGGCTCATGAGCTGTTGCTGATGTCGGGAATATTCGATAGGGAACGTCAAGATCGCAATTCTCGGCTGCGAGATGTTTCGCGACATGCTCTTCAGCGCCAGATTCTTGCTGAAGACCACGCCCGAAATGTAGCTCGTATCGCCCGGCTTCGCACCAGGAATCTTCTTGACCTTGACGTAATGCCGGATGTCGATGTCATCCCCAGCACGAATGTCCGGGTTGAGATCATCGGTGCACTTCAGAAGGATCGGGATGAGCGCCTTCTCCCATTGTTCCACATTCGGGATTTCAGCGTCGGAGAGAAGCTGCTTGAGAAGTTTCTTGACGTGCTCCAAACTAGCAGTGTTGAGCTCAACGTTTGGTGCGAGTGGTCCACGCATTGATGTACCCCTTGCTACTCCTCTGGGGGCTGGTGCGACTGGGGCTCCGGGTAGAGGATTACTGGTCTGACCAGCGACACCTTCCGCCAAAGACCGCATGAGTCCTCGAGTTTTGCCTCTTGTCACAGGGCGTTGCTGTAGCGGCGCAATGAAACTCGACCCGCGGCGTCTGGAAGTGCGTTTGGCTGGGATTCCCGTCTTGTCGTTGCCTACGCCGGGACTCTCGCTACCGGTCAAAACTGCTCCCAACCCACTGATGCTGCCGCGGCTCTTGGATCTCCGTCTCACTCGCCCGATGCTACCACCGGGTGGGATTTCCTTGGCGCTTAGGACTGGGATGGACTCCCCGGTGTTGTCGGCGCCACTAGGCGCGGCCACGGTTTCGGTGACTTTTGGCGCGATGGTGGCGAATACGCTTATTTGCTGTTCGTCGCTCGCGTCTTCGTCGCTCATGTACGGGGCAAGGTCCGGATCCAGGATACTATCGGCGTGAGTTGGAAGTAACCTTTGCCGGCGCTTTTCGTCTGCTGTGCTACGGTGGAACGGTGCCCTCTCATCTGCAAAAGGTGTTCCGGACAAGCGATGGCTAGAGCGAGTGTGCTTATGGTGATGTGGGTGACTAGAGTGTGAGTGAGGGTGGGAGTGGAGTAATGAAGTTCCAAATAAACCCTTTGTTGAACCTGCGGTGACCGGTCTCGGAAACGATTTGATAGAGCGTGCTGAGGTCGGTCTTGGCGGAGAAGGGATGTCATTAAACTCAAGGATTTGTGAACGGCGATTAGGATTGCTACCAGCGGTGGTACGTGTCGCAGGCATGGCCATCAACGGGGTTTGGCCAGGACGGAGGTTCTGTGGCATTTTGTAGCCTGTTGATGAAGATCCCTCGACCGGAGTCGATATTGCTTTAGGGTTATCTACGGTAGGTCGACGGAACACAGCAGAGGGAGAGAAATCGTCCGAATCCGAATCGTCATGATAGTCATTTACAATGTCCAGACACGGGCTACAAACTCGCATGGAGCCTTGGTGACCAAACTTGTCTCCAGATATCAGGTTGGTGCATTTCGAACAAAATATTTGGCCGCAAAGTCCTAGATAAGTCAGTAGATGCGCTGACAAGCTCCACGACAGTGACGACTTACGACAATGATGCTTTCTTCTCCAGGCAGAAAAGGTAGCCCCGCAAAGGAAGCAATCCTTGCATACTTCGTCTTTCATCCAGAAATCCCGCGTCAAATTGCCCATCCTTAGTTGCCTCAACGCTTGACTGACTGCCTCAGTGCTACCTGTTACCCCACCGGCGTTGACGTAATTCACCATCTTGCCCGACCCAAGATCACTGAATGCCCCTTGTCTGTACACAGATGACGTTGCTTCCCCTTTCTGATCGGTGCCGGTCATTGAGGTGCCGGCTGGACTAGAATCGGCATCGGAGCTGCGGTCACCAGTGATTTTGAACCCTGGTAAAAGCAAAGACTGATCGGTGGACCTCTTCTTTCGATGATGGGCATCTTTGCGACCATCCCGCCCCATAGATGGGGGCCGCAGATTGACCCGACTTGGGGCCTTGGATTGTAGATTGAGTGCGGAGAGTTGAGGTAGATTCGAGTCTGCTTTAACCGGCATAGGTGGAGAAGTAATGCTTATTGGCGGATGGGAGACATTAGGCATCAGCATGTTTGAATCGGGAGAAGTGGCAGAATTAGATGTTGCTGGCGGGGGAAGGTGAGTTTCAGAACTGGACCCTCTCCTTGCAGCCGACGTTGTCGACGCCCGAGTTTTCGGCTTCAGGTTCGATTCTCTTGTATTTCTGTCTCTGCTTTCCTGGGGCGGCCTTCCGCGCGCGGCTCCTGCTGGAAGCTTGGAGTGAAGCAGTACCACGTCATCATCGCTGCTGTCACTAAGGGTTTCGTCTGAGGCCGAGTCGTCAAAATATTCATCTGCGTCCATAAAGTCGCCATTACGAGATGCATTTGTGCCACTATCCAGAGTCTGCGCGGGGTTCCCAGAGGCTCCCGAACCAAACCCTGCTGTGGGGCTGATTACGCTTTCCACCGCACCAACCAAGGCTCCTACGGTGGAGTGATTAGACGTTCCGATGTTCATGTTGCTGCCGTTGTTGCCCAGATTCTGAAGGTTGTTGATGCTGCTGTTCCTGCTCGCCCCCGCACTGCCCCCGCCGTCATACATCGCTTCGGAGCCGTCGCGAAACACGGTCACTTGTGCCACCGCAGGGGTTGTCAAACGAGGAGTCACAGTAAATTTCCGGAGAGCGGCAGGCTGGGCATAGTCTGTTGTGCTTGCTATCGAAGCGTTGCTGGAAACACGTGAACTACTTCGGCTGTGCTTCGACGTAAAAGAGTAGTTTCGAAGGTGGCTCTTCGAAAACACGGAAGTCTTAGTCGGGGAGCGAAAGGAAGCATTGTCGTCCGACGCCGTCGTGTTGCTCATGAAAGAGTCCCTACTGGCCGACTGCTGGTAATATTGGTCGCTACCGAATTTTGCAGACAACGGGGATTTGCGTGAGCCAGAGCTTGATGATCCCACGACACCTCTGACAACCCCAGCGATACTCTTGACTCGCGAGTAAAGCTTGTTCAGCGACAACTGCTCGGTATTGCCCGCTGGAGGCGACCCTAGCGAAAAAGATGTTAAGCCCGGGGCTTGAGAAGAGGATGCATGTATCTGTTCTAAGTCGGCTGGTGGTGGTGGCGGGGGAGCCCAGTCAAGCGAGAGCGTCTGAGTGAGCGACAGCGATCCTCGCCGGGCCAAGTTCACGGTGGGCGGGGTATCCCCCATCGTCGAAAGGTAGCCCAACCCTCAGCTCGCGAAGCTGCGATACGGTACGTCAAGTGCGAGGACCGAGAGAAACAGATCGTGGGTGTAAGATGCACGTACGCCGTTACTAGAAGAGGTCGCGCTCGCGCAACGGGACGGTCTCTCGCGCCGTGTAGCTGTAGCTAATACGACGTGGGACTAAGAGGAGGGCGCGCGTATGTGCGGTGGTTCGTCTTGCGCGATGGGCGTCAGTCCTGAGCACTTGTCGTCTGCGGAAGAAGTAGGGAAGCAGGGACAGGGCAAGGTGATATGATATATACAGGTAAGTACCGTACTTAAGGTTGATAGTGCGTGGCAGATGCCAGCACGGTAGATAGAAAAGTGTATGCGCTAGCACCTTCTGTAGCTCTCAGTTCTCGAGCTTCACAGCATGTCGCGGTGGTGAGGTCGGCCAGTAAGCGTGTCGCCAGACGTTTCGAAGAGATAGCTGTAGGAGGCGCGTGGTTGATAGAGGTTGGCGACGTAGGTAATCCCGGCGGAGGGGGTAGATATGATGAGGCGTTGGGGGTTGGTTGGCTGGTAATTGATCGCCGCCCCGCGTTTTTCCGTTGAACCCTGGCGCCAGACAAACAGCAGAGATGAGGGAGCAAGGCAGCTCCTGCAATCAAGATGTGAGGTGTGCGAAGAAGCAAAAAGAGGGCAAGCAAGGGCCAAGCCTCGTGACGCAGTGCCTGCAGGAGGATGTAGAGTACAAGCGAGGACGCTTCCGTGTTGCCGTTGCCAGGCAACCGCCGTGCATCTAATTCTATGTAGAGTATCGATTAACCAGATACCGTAGACACATACAGTCCCTACGTCACTGACCTTTAATCATCATGATCCTCCAGGAGGGAGAGGCCCGACTACCTGTCCACACGAAGAACTGCAGGAGCGCGCTTTCTGCTCTTTGCCAACGCCAAAGGAACGGCTCTGCTAGCAATTCAATGCCTACTGGAGCGGCATCCCGAAGGACTGAACCTGCGCGGCAGAAATTGCCCGTCGTACACACCGCCATGTCGGGATTGACTGTCGAACCGGCGGATTATGCACGAGATACCTGTGCAACTCCACTCTCAGAGCCTCTTGTCAGGGACCTCGGCACTTGGCGTCTGACGGCATTCGGCTTTGCGGTTCGGTGAGCAACTTCACGGCTACGACATCTAACCGGAACAACATGGTGGTTTAATCGGTCTTCACATAAACCAAAGGCATCCACCCGGCCTCTCACTTTGTAGAAACGTCAGGATCAGTAACAAACACCATCTGACTTATCGGGCCATCACCACAGTTGATCTCGTTCTGCTTGTCATCAAACTCCAGGTCCTAACCGACACCAAGCGTGCCATAAAGCAAGGCGGGGGCGCAGGGGTTTCACGCGCAGTGGACGGGAGATGTGCACAAGGATTGGTCCATTAGACCTTGACCTATCCCTCAAGGTGTTGCCACATTTCATGTACGGTTCTCTCGATGCTCCGGCTTGAGGTGCTATTAAAATTCACAGATCAATGAATCAATCTGGACACTCCTCTTACGATTGATGGAACAATAGAGTTGTGGGTGTTCCATCAGAATTCATGGGAGTGGGCTATGTTTACTTATAATTCTTGCCCCATACAACCGCAATATCGGGAGAAGATGCTACTCAGGGATTATTTCATTATTTACCGGCCAAACAAACTTTGGGCACAGGCGGGATTGTCTTCAAGGCAAAGTATATGCGGAGATCTCTTGTACGGTTGGCGGGGAGTATTGAAGTTTGAGTCTGATCGGTTTTTGGTAGGAGTTCTGAAGTGGTTTATATCACGTGGGTTTGCCGAGACACAGTAAACCCTAATTCTCGTTGAAGCATCAATGAGCATTGAGAGTATTTGCGTTTTGTGTGCCGGAGTCTCAATAGCACTTGTTTATATCACTCTGGTCAGCTAGCCGGGTGGTCTTGGCGGGGTCATTTCTCGACGCATCTAAGTCGCGTTCTCCCAACCACACCACCACTACCAACCAACCGACACTTCTTACCAGCAACATAGGAACACCCCGTGAACGCGTAAAGTGGTTTTTCAACGACACAGAATACTCCGCACTTACACCCCCGGGTTTCGACGAATCAATCCGACACTTTCCGAAGCGTTTGATGCACCGCGAAAAATATGGAACTACTCAGGAGGCCATGGATGGTGGACACGCTGAAGGCTGCCATTGAAGGTCGCCCACAAGACAAGATATTAACGTCCAACGGAGAATTCGCAATTTCAAGGGCGGGGAAGAAAAAATTCGTACAGCTAATCGAGGTGAGTTTTGGAGACTGCTTTCTCCCATGCCGACGGCGCTGATTTGTCTGCACAGGTGATATCTCTCGACCCAGTGGTTGCCGTACTTGCCGACAGAAATGTTTATGTGACCGCCGAATTCACGGACTCGTGCATCTCTCGGCTCAATAAGGAGCGCGGAAAGGCATTGACACAGTACTGCAAAGCTGTGTTTCAATTGGAGCACTACGTGTTCGTCTTTCGTGGCAGTGATGCGGCATTATTCGAGAATGGTACCACATTTCAGGACCAGCTGGAAGGGGGGAAATTTACCGGCGGAGGAGAACAACACGACGAGCCATCGCGACCATCACCAAAATCCGCGGTAAAACTACGGTTAATCGTGGACTCAATGTTTTATCAGAGTGGAGAAGGGAATCCAATTATTGGGTCGCTGAAGAGTTTGAGAGACGATCCGTTTGTCCGAGAACTGAGGAAACGCTTGCCTGTGAAGGAACACCTCCTTCCTGCTCGTCGCCCGCCGATGGCTGCCAACCCGAAGCCACCTCCCACCAGCCAGAAGAAAAGTGCAAAAACGGATTGCGGCGACACAGAGTCTACCAGTGACGTACTATCGCAACCAATCGCTACGCAAGCGGCGGAGATGTTACACTTTTCCGAAGACAATGCCCAAGACGAGGACGAAGAGGACGAGGATGTTGAGGATGATCAGGATGATGAGGATGATAGTGAGGACGACAATGACGATGAGTCCTCACTAGCGTCACAACAGATAGAGAGTGAAAGCGACGCAAGTGATAGCGATGGCTCAGAACTAGATTTCGCTACACAGGCCCATCAGCTTCCCACTAGAAACCCCTACAGAGCACCTCCGTCCTCCTCAGCTCCTAGCTCGAGTATTCCAAATCAGATCGCTGCGGACCGAACAAACATAGCGAGGGGCAAGCCACGCAAAACCGTTTCTGACGACGAAGACCACGACGATCCAGACTCTGGAACAGACTCTGCTAATATGGGATCGGCGCGGAAAGCAATGTCTCACTCGTCCTTACACCCGGGCTGGAAAGGAATTTTAGAGATACCCGCCGAGTTCGCGGCAATACCTAAGGATCAGTGGAAAATACTCAACGAACCTGGATGTAAGTGATTGATGCTACGATTAAACCGATGTCCGTCGAGTGAAATGAAAGCTAACTTTTTCAAATAGCGTGGTGGCCTTCTCAGGATGCGCTTAGTGGGCCATATGTCCAGACGTACTCCAGATTGCATCCGCTCAGAGTCAGAACAGTCATAACGACTGAGACCGAATCACCGAGACAGTTGCACGTCGCATCTGTGAGACAACCACAATCAGAGAGCGAATCTTCCGACGACGACAACGAAATAGCCGAGTGGCCGACAAGCCCTCCCGAGGTACGGGAAACGGCTCCTAACCTGGACAGTCCCCCGCGAAGCAGTCCCGCCGCCTCAAGCTCGCCCCTTCGTCCACACGACTCCGACAGTGGCTCGGACTCGCCCTCACGTCAACCATCAGAATCACCGGTTCCGCAATCATCCAGACTGCCGGCCGAGATTGAAGAGTCTGACAACAAATTCGCTGAGGCGGTGATCAACGGTGATGGGTTAACAGGTGATGGGACTGACGATGGCGAATTGTCAATTGATGACAGGTCGACAGTTAGCCCAGACCCCGACACCGCCACCAGATCAGAAGATGGTGCTAGCCAGCCAGCAGTGGAAGGCAGGCCGATGAGTGGCAGTGAATCAGAATCCGAATATGAATCAGCACCTGAAGATAAAGCAGAATCGGATGATGAAGCCGATGTCAAACAGAGAACCCCGGCCCCTGTTAAAGCCGAAGCCGCTGACGAGCTCAGCGCCAGACAGGATGCAAGGAAACAAGCATACTCTGGGGCGAGAAGTGAATCGGTCAAAGAGACCTTAGGTTCCGGGGATAAGCAGGCTACACCACGACGACGGATAACAAGGTCGATGAATAGGATCATCAAGCCCCGCAAGTTCGACAAACCACAGGTACGCCCATATTTTTACCCATGCAGAGGAGGCTCAACTAACCTCTAGTAGACACCCTTGAAGCCTACGGTGAAACGTGTGACGAAACGTGCGGCAAAACGTGCGGTAGGATCTGTGGCTCGCGCTCTGGCTCGAGAATCGAGCGCGGAGCCGAGGATCCCTATGAGGGATCCTTTTGGCATGACTCCCGTCGTCAAGTATGGCATCCTCGGCGCCCAGGAAAGGATAGCGTGGAGGAAAAAGAGGAACCTAGAGAAACTGAAAGCGTATCTGGGGGACAGGTACACCTGGGACAGCGACTCGGCAGGTGAATCTGTTAAAGATTCCGAGAGTGAATGCGATTCGGATGGCGGCGACGATACAGATGGCGGCGACGATACCGACAGCGAAGATAAATCGCAGCAAAACGCGCCATTCACTCCTTCTGCCTTCGAGGTGGCCGTGCCGTCTGCCGCCACTGTATGCAGTTTCCGGCAACCGGCCCATGATGACAGTGACGAAGAGGAAGATATTCCATCTGCTCCAGCTATTCCCTTAGGGCAGCGAACCACTACCCAACAAATCGGAGCAAAGAAGGGCACAGAGGTCAACGGAGCTCCACCGTTAACTGCACCTGGCCTTGGGCCAGTTGTACAAGTTCAAGAGACACCATACCGACGCCCCAGCAGCATGTCAGATACAACAGTCCAGAGAAAGGCTCTTATGCCCGAGCTTCAGAATCCGAATGAAGAGATGATTCCGGCAACGCATGATCGACACAGCTCTATGGAGATCAGGGAGGACGAACCAGAACGACAGCCTGTGAGCTTTAGACGGTCCACTTCCATGGACTCTATTGCCAACCAGCAGAGCATCCAAAATAAGGCCTCCAATGAAAAACTAGAAAAGGCGAACGACAGCGATCACAGTGTCGCACCCGTTATCGAGGTTCCTAGGACCCAGTTCGGCAGTAGCACCAAGCCTCAAAGCCCCTCGGAGATCCCCTCAAAACGAAAGTTCAAGAAGGTACTTAAATCCGCCGCCTTTGACACCCAGGAGATCCGCACTGCATCGTACGACGTCGAAATCGACGTCTCGGTGCTCTTGGCGGAGCAGCGTCGCCTGTACATGGAAGCAGAGGCTACAATTGAAGATCGTGTGAGCAAGCCATCACCATCACCTACCGTCGGCAAGCCGTCTGCCATGGCCAAGTTGGCAACGTCCACCGATCTACCGCGGAAGCGAAAATCACCATCCGCGCCGCCAGTAGTCCCGAAGAAAGCGCGTATGGACACCATACTCACTTTGGACCGCCGTTTTGCCATTTTACATTCCCCACCACCCCCTCCACAGACCATGCCTGGCACCACTAACAGGCCGGAATCCCCCCTGCCGAACGATATAGGTCTAGATGCAGGCACCGACATCGCCATGGCGGCCGAGCCGGTTTCGTCACCTGCCCCCGCACAGAAGTCGCCCCCTCCGGCCTCAAAAGCAGAGATGTACGCCGGCTTCAGGCCGAGAGTCATTGCCGTGCCGGGATACGAGACCTTGACCGAGGAGATGAAGCTGAAGCTGGAGGAGCGGCGGCGGCGCTTTTTCGGCACTCATCGCTCTGTCGCGCCCTTCGTGGCTACTCCCAAGGAGAAGGAGGAGAGCGCGGACACGAAGAAGAGAAAGCGGAGTGGTGAGGACGGTGGCAGTGACAAATGGTGGCTGGATGAGGACACGCCGATGAGGAAGTTTGTCAAGCAGTACAAGGACCTAAAAAAGGTGAAGCGGGAGCGCGGGAAGGAGTAGTATGGGGCGTGGTACATCTGCTTGGGGGGGGATTATTTTTTTTTTGCTTGCTAACTTTTTGGCATTGTATCGGGTTGGCAATTTCTTTTTTTTTTTTTGATTTTTACTTTATACTTTTTCTTTTCTTTTCTTCTATGGAGTTCGGCGATTAGATGGATTGATCTCATGTGGGACGGCGCCTGTGGCGTTTTGACATTACCGGTAGTATGCCTCTTTGATTATTGTTTTTTCTCCTAGTATTGGATACCTGTAATGTGGAGGACTGAATTCTATGGGACCGAGGAAGTTTGTGTGATTGAGTAGAACATTTTCTTGAGGTCCGTTCCCCTCAGTTGCACATGGTGACTACATCACGAACGGAGATGCATGGGAGAAGGGGTTTCAAGTCGTTGAGATTCCAGCCCAAGCCACCGCTGATTTACAGAGGACCTATCCTCTTCCCCCACCTGCCCGCCCAGCATCTAGACCACAGCAAAAGCACTAGCATAGCTAACACTGCTATCCGTCGGGTCACAAACCTTGCTGCTCTGTTCATACCTGACAAACTTAAACCTCGCGCCCCCCTTCTGTTCGCTTTCCTTCGCCACCTCTTCGATAGCCGCCATCATCACGCCGATCGGGTGTCGTCCGCAGATGGTATTGCGCGTCGCCTGGAGATACTCTGCGAACCGATCATGCGAACCAGTCTCGATAGTGCTCATGCCGAGCTTGTCGAGGATCTCGATCGACTCGTGGATCTGGTGCGGCCCTGTGGGCGTCCTTGTGCGGTGGTCGAGCTTTGTGCTTGGCGACTCGGGTGTGGGGTTCGTGGGAAGCGCGGTGTAGTAGTGTGTGTACGAGAAACGGGAGCCCCTACGACGACGACGACACCCTCTTCAGCGAACGCCCGCCTCCTCCTTCCGCGCATTACGGAGCCACTTCCTTCCCGGTAAGCACTCACCAGTGACAAAAGTCAGACGAAATGACAAAGACGTTCTCTGGATCCTTCAGATACTTTGCGAGCACTTTGCCGTACACCTTCTCCTTCTGGGTATTGATAGCGCCGACCAAGATGGGCACCACCTTGACGGAATCCACCTTGCCCGCAAGATCGAGGACCTTGTAGATGTACGGCAGATGCATCTCGATCGAGTGCTCGTCCTCGTCGGTGCTCTGCGTCATCCACCCGAAGTTCTCACCGCACTCGTGCAGCTCCCGCAAAGTCTCTGTGTCTACGGCGAGGTTGCCGAGTGGCGTCGCATAGTATTTGCACGCCGAGAGGTCGCAGTGGTCAAGATACACGTGGTGTGACGGGCCGAGGATGAATACCCGTTTCCTGCGATGCACTATGAGCCACTGCCACCACCACTACCGCCACCACCGCTGCCATCATCATCACGGAGGGATAAATCACACACGCAGTAGAGACATCCAGCGACTTGTAAGCCCACGCGGCCGCAGGTCCGGAGTAGGAGTAACCTGCATGCCTACGATGCCCCACCCTTTAGCCAAGCACGTTCCATGAGGAGTAGTAACAAGGTCGGGTCATCTCACGGAGCGATGATGACCCTTGCGCCATCGGGCGGAAGCTCGCCCACGCCCTCGATCGAGGTTCCGACCGCGGCGAGCCAGCTCTCCAGCTGGCTGTTGAGCTTGCTCTTGTTGCCCGTGTACCACGAGTTTGCGTGGGTCGCTGCGCGGGTGGACATAGCTTCGAGGGGTTTGGTTGTGGTTGTGGGTGAGCGATGGGCGGCTTGATAGTGGGTAGTGGGCACGTTGTAGGGCTGCGGTGCCGCGCGGGGAAGGTATGAGGTAACCAGGTGCCGTGGCACGGTGGTAGTTAGAGCTTACTGCATGCATGCATGTGAGCTCATGCTCGTTAACTAGCGCTATTCGCTTCTTCAGCGAGCTAGAATAGAGTGCGGAGTTACGGAGTGAAGCGAAACTTGGAGTCTCCATTCAAGGAGAATGCAGATGGATGTTCCAAGCGATACCCAAGTCGTCAAAAAGAAAGGCCGAATGTATGTACATTCAACCATTCGGGCAACAATAGCTGCCAACGGATGTGGTCGTCAATAGGGCTTACAAGGCAAAAAGTCAACCTTCCAAGCGTCGTCGCAATACTACACCCAACTGCCGTACCATCGCGCGCTTCACCACCACCATGCAATGGATAAACCAAATCGGCTGACTCTTATATACCGATACCCGATAAGCCGTAAAGTGGCTCGCAATTGGACGGGCACATATGGATGTAAACCGAGGGACTTGTGATACTAAACCTCCTCCCTCCAGGAGGGATGGGACGGATGGGACGGATGAGACGGACTGTTGACAAGCGTTTCTGCGGCCGGAGACACCCGCCACACTCATGTCACTCGGTCGTATCGACAATCACTCGGCGTAACTACGGCGCACATATATGTACCTATCATCCACATTGCGATCCCAGCCCGCACAATCCACCTCAGGTATGTACATCACCACCCGCGCACCCCGCATCCCTTAAGTATGCAACAAAACGGCCCTCACACGGCTATCGAAAACATAGTACCCCGCAACTCTACTCTGCCCATCGACGCGCATCGTGCACGCCTTAATAATCATCTCCGCGGCAAGCGCCATTGATCCGCACTTGACACTCCACCAGGGCTCGCCGCACAGCGCGATCCTTGCGGTTCCATACGCCACAAACCCGGTGCAATAGCTCCCGCCGAAGTTCGTCTGCCGGCACGGTTGCTGCGAGAAGCCCTTCAGGTGGTTGGCGCCTACCTGCACGTGCTTCGACAGCGGACTGTCCCAGCTCGTCGTGCAGACTATGTACGCGCCGGTTGAGCCGACTTCGATTCTGTGGGATACGGCTGGTTCGGAGGCTACGGCATCGGAGGCTACACTGCTGGGTAGATCGAACGGCGTGGGGATCATCGCTGTGGTTTTGGGCGCCGCGCGAGCTTCGCAGAAGACGCGGCTGCTAGCGAGGATGAGACACATCGTGATGAGGAGGGAGCTGAAGAAGTTCATCGCTGTTTGCTGGGAGTGCCGAATAGTCTTTGTACGGTGTCAGTCTCGTAAAGGTCGATTAGTAGTTGTTAGTTTCGGTAACAGGTGGGACATGCTACACACTTCTTATATCAAAACACGCCATGAGATCCGAGGTGTTCAATTTTCAATGGTCATGCGGTAAATTAAAGTGTTCGTCGCGGTTGCTTGCGTTCTATAATCCAACACGTAGCCCCCGAGCTCACCGGCATGCATGTTAATCGTCCGCCCGGGCTATAGTTTACTATGATAGTCCGTCCTGGCGCACTTCTCTGCCGTGCCGGCGATGGCACGTTCCAAGTTCTAACGGTGAAGGATTATCAGTGGTGATGGGTGAAGTGTAAGGTTCAAAGTTCAGAGTGTGATCGATACGAGAGAAAGAATGGAGAAGCATCCAAGGCAAGATTGCCACACAGTTCCAAGCCGTGCAGGCAATCAAGCAATAGACCAAGTCATCACTCAATCCCAACTTCCAACTACCAACATGCCGTCGTCGCCCGCCGGGTTGCAGCGGCGCCAGCTATGACACTATTTTTGGTAGCAATTCGACGCATACCTGCAACCGGTGAGGGAGGTGGAGGATCTGCAGCACCGAATGGTGACCGAGTTGCTTCGAACTCGGACAATGGGCAGTTCTGATAGTGGGAACTGGAAGCGGCGCGATGCATAGCATCGCACTTGTTTTTGTGGTGATACAATGCCGTGTTGGTCGTACGACTTTAAGCTTATAAGTTTATTCCCAACCCCTGGGCGAAAGTTAAACCAGGCCGTTGGCACCACAGTCTGGACACCAATGCCCATTAGCCGATTAGACAATGGATAGAGATATCATCGTAGATATGCCTGTCTAGCAAAGATGCAATCGTAATACGGACTGATGGCAAGCTTCCGAGAACCAGGCATCTCCTGAGGCACGGGTACTCACTCGTTTATTCCGAGTGATCTTCGATGGTCGATTGATAGCCTCAGTGTTCCCCAGACCGTACCAGCCGACTAAAGTGTGGGAATACTCAATTAGCTCCCTTAGATCTTGAAGGCCAAGCATCGTGAGCATCCGGTGTATAACGCTATGGCAGGGGTAGGGGCAAGGCATCGAAGCCTACCCATCCCGCCACGAGAGCCCTTCCTCCGGCAGTTCATGCAACCGGATACCTGTTGCAAACACTACACTCACCGGCCGGGGAAAAGTACCGCACTGGCGAATTCGGCCAGAGCCTAGAGGACGCATGGTGAGCATGCTGAAATCTTCTCGTCGAGTCCACGTATGTCGGTATGTAGGAGAAAAAGTGGTGAAGAGCAATTGCTCCGCTCCGGAGGTGATTCGCCGTGAGTTTGGTGGTGGCTATCGAGATCCAGACACAGCAATCGCTAACTGTCTGCCCAGCCAGCTGCCAGCCAGCTGCCAGCCAGCCAGCCAGCCAAGCAAGCTTTCCGGAATCCGCCTGTCTGCTCAACAACACCGCTCACCAAGCACCTTCCCCGCCTGGACGATCCGCAGGCCCGTAGCAGCTGTCCCGTGGTCCCCCTCAGATACCTACGTACAGTGCAGACACCGTATGTACGAACGACTGGTAATTTCCACGAAGCTCCACGAAGCTCTACATAGCAGCGACGAGGACGGCGATAAGGCCGGTTGTCTGCGGAGTAGGCGAGACCTAGGATCCCCAGTGGATCAATCATCAGTTCAGCACATAAATTCTGCTCAGGGTGGGTTGGTGACCACGACTCCATGCGGTGCCCATGTACTCTGGTCGAGCCCGCATTCTCGGTACGCACTCTCACTGGTGGCAATGGCGAATCCTCCTGCACGCTGCATGTACCTAACGTCCTCGGCCCCTGTATATATGCGTGCTTTTCTTGATTTTGATTTCGAATGAATGGACGGTAGTGCTGGTGATTGTGATGCTGGTGGTGAGAGTTACCAGCAGAATCGTCGGACGCATGCCATGCAGAGGCTGGTTGTCGTTTTCGACGGTTGTGGAGTGGTGAGATTGAGAACCGTTTGGAGCGGACATTGCAGTCCGAATCTTCCCCGTCATCGTCCACCGTCATCGTAGAGTAGGATACGTTCCGATGGCCTGCTTACAGCCAAAACGACCAAGGAAAATCAACCATCCATCCACCATCCACCCGCATACATACATACAGGAAAGTCACACCCGCGGAAGGAGGGTAAGAACGACCTTCCCGCACCCCATCCCGTCCGGCCACCGGGAAACTTCACACCGCCGGTCCGCCGCCGGCGCAGCTGTGATGTCCAGTTCACGCTACGGCCATATGTTTGTGCGCGAGGCACCCACGGCCGCCATCCAGGCCGGCCGGCGAAGGCTGCTGAGATTCGTTCAGACGATCCTCCGGGGGCACACAGGTGAAACATCAATTCGCGCGTCGCACCCCCGACTCGCTCGCAGGGCGTGGTACATGAGCTCCGCAAGCTGGAAGTCTGGGGGTTTCGTGAGCCCGTATGGGGGGCCGCCTCGTATGTATGCAAGTGCGGTATGTGCGTCCTGTGAGTGGGATTCCCAGCGCACAAACGCGATCTGGCCTTCCCACTGCTGCAATGCCGCTTGGCAGCTGGAGTGGAGTGGATATGACTACCTACCTGCCCAGGTAGGTAGGTACTCTACTGGTTGGTCGGACCGGGAGATTGGACTTGGTTGTGTGCGCAGTTGGAACTTGGAGGAGGGCTGCATGCATAGTAGCGCGAGGACATAACGAACGTACTCATCATGATTTTGAGGGGGGGAGATGTTCCATTCCCTCTACTAGGTAGTAGAGTATACAGCCATGGATGGCGGACTCTAGATACGAGTGACACTTCTTAGTTAGCGATAGTAGAATACATTCGGTGTGGGAAGGCACACCGGCCGGCGGGGCGCGGATGCACTCCGAAGGGCACTCCTGCCAGCTCTGCTCAGGACAGCTATGTATCATCATCTACGAAGTGATCATCACAAAAATCGCAAAAGTAAAAGCCGAACTTAGCAGATTGATAGGCGGACACACACGCATGGTCGAACCCACATCCACATCCGCAATTTTCCTTTGCTCTCACGCGACAAGTGCTCAGCAGTGCAGCCATCTCCGTACCTAATGTATGTACCCACCAACTAGATACTCGTCGCTCGTATACCGTATAAGCGGGTGATGATCTGCCACCGTCGGCCAAGAAGCGAGTGCGGGAAGGCCATTCTCCCGGACATGTCTGCTCGTCCGCAGACCGGAATCCGTGGATGGGGGTTTCACGGCCTGTTAGTGAAGGAGGTTTCCAGACGGAGAAGGCTAACTTTGCCCGCTTCGATCCGACCCGGACGATCTGGGCCCGCGATCAACTGCGGAGGGACTAGCGTAGGTAGGTAGGTATGTGCATACCTGCCACACCGACGAACCGAAGGAGCAGTGGCCTTGGATCGATGCTTCCAGGCCGACTTGAAAGCCAGTAGTAGGATATGAGTTGGGACACTCCATGGATCACGCCGTTCTCTGCATCTCTGTGGGCTTGTATGTACATACGCATACAAAACACGCAGTATGATACATACACCTGCCGTCGGGCTCGTGTTGAGCCGGTGATGTATTTCGCAGGTTCGCGGACTCGCAAGTCACGACCTCACGAACCGGACAGGCCGGCGTAGCAACACAGTTCGCCAACCGGAGAGAATAAATTCCACAGGAGTGTCCAGACTTTTCGGCCAAACCACGGATAGAAGGGAGAGAGAGAGAGTCGAAGGGTTGGCGCATACGCGGGGACTGCGTGAGAAAGTAATCTTTTGCATATCGCGGATGCGCTGCCAATCACTAGGGGCTTCAATTCCAACGGCATCCCTATTGTTTTTTTTTCTCAGGCACAACCAACCAACCGGTACGTACCCAGTCCCTCAAGATGAGTTTCTGGCCAGATGCTCCCTAGTCTAAGCCCCCGCTTCATCGCCAATGCATCCACCCTTCCAAGTGATTTCGGACCGAACGATGAGGGATGGTATCAGTGCTGGTGCACCCTATTCGAGCACTCAATCACATTTCCACAAGGGCGACTGCACACCACTCCACACATCGCCATGCAAGCAAGAAATCCATTTTTATTTGGGTGGTTGAGCGGAAATGGCTGCAGCGGTGGATGTCTCTGCTTGTCCTACAGGGCCTCGCTGATGATGACATGGAGTCGTAGGGAGGTGAAGGTTGAGAGTGAGATTTTTTTTATGGGGGGAGGGGTTAACAAGCGGCATTCAGCTGGCGAGTAAGACTCTGACCGGGTGAGGGAAGGCGAGGGGGGGTGGGATGGGACGGGAGGTTGAGATTTCTTCGGGGTTCTGAAACACGTCTATCGTGATCGTGATTGTGATCGGGGAGAATGGCCATCAAGATAGTGGTGCTGGCAGCATGACTCCGAGACGGTGGGGGATGCAAGCCGATGGAGAATGGGATGGAAGGTGTGCAAGCCCAGCGCTGCCGCCCGTATGATTGCGGTTAAAGTGTGTAGCGGGGAGATGTGCCGTCCCGGGCATTGCAACTGTCCGGCACATACGGTGGCGGCAGTGTGCGCAACATGTGCCGTTTGTACTGAGCACATCCGATCAACGTGCAACGCTCCACGCTCCACGCTCCACGCAAAGCTGCCGAGCAGCCCAATCGCCAGGGGGGCAAGGAGGCGTTATCCGCAGAACACCGTCCGCAAGCAGGTTTTCAATTCCGCTCTCGTCATCGTCGTGCCATCGTCATCGCCGTCGGTATCGAGCGTCGTCTTCCACTTGCTCGTCTCCTCGACCAGTCGTGGCGTCAAAGGAGCGTCGTGTCGTCGAGCGAGCAGCGGGCGAGGAGGGTTCGAGAACCAGCCATCGATGACTCCACATTGCGGATCAACATGAGGGATTCCGGATGGGATGAGACGAATCGCGGCAACCATGGTATGTTGGTACATATGTTGGTTTGTTGGTTTGTTGGTCTCATGCATCCGGTTCAAAGTTGCAGAGTCTGCATACTCGGCAGTCCGGTCGGGCCGAAAGGATGGTTCCTACCTAGATCCGAATGGAGAAAGTCATGTTGGCGAAACAGTATAACAAGCGAATCGTATCAGCGCGCTCGCCCTCCTCATGCTGAGGCCCCCCGTGTCGATTTCTCGTATCTTTCCGGGCTCCACTTCTCCTCGACAGCCATGTCTGCGGATACCATGGTGTCTTGGTCGAAGCACAGCGCTCGTGTCGTGTCGGAAGGCGCATGGCCGATTGTCCTGAGGAGTCCAACCATCCTCTGGAACGAGGCACTTCCGTGGGGAATCAAACAAGTGGGGCGAGCTCAGCGACAATGAAACTGCCTCGTTCCGATAGCTCCTCGGGCCCTGATGTCCCCCTGAAACAGCGACATCCACGACACCGGGCTCCCGACGGTAGCGCTTGTGACCACTGGTCTGTAGAGGCCGCGAGAAAGTATTGGTCGTCACTTCGTACCGAGACTTCTGTTGGGGCGGAGCACTTCAGCCACTCCTCCCTCCATCGCAGCTCATTGCACCAATCGAGAGCTTCCGGAAGGTCGCTGAGTCTGGGCCCGTTTCGATGCGTAAAAAGCCGCACGGCTGTGGCTGGAACGGACTCTTTCTGCCTTAGTTTAGGGCTACCGCTTCCATGTATGAGTAGGTAGGCGTACATTCCGGGAGTGTGAAACGAGGCCCACGGCTGGCTCCACCGCCACCCCATCGAGTGGTCGTCATTGAGTGGCCAGAACGGTATCATCACTACATTGGATGGTGAATGAATGAAGGACGAGCTTCAAGTCTTCAACCAAGCAACACATTCCGCAGTGGGCAATCGGTGCCCACCCACCACCCCTTCCCCCACACACGCACATATCTCGGTGTGCACCCCGCTGTGAGTAATTCCATCTTCGTACCGACCCCGTCTATCTGCATCTGCATCTTCACGTCTCCGCTGGTGAAGTAGTACAGGATCCATACCGAATCAAAGGAGCCCAACAGCATGCCATAGGCCCCCCATGCATGTTCGGAGGTGATGGAGATGAAATTTTTCTTTACCGTAGGAGCGGCCAGTGCTTGGCTTTCGACAGGGCGTGGGAGCAACAGATTGCTTTCGTCCCTCTCGTGGTTGGATGAGACACCGTCCTAACGATCTCGAACGGAAGAATCCTAGAGACATAGCCTTGTGCGCAACAGTCTTTGCGCACAGCAACAACGCCATCCACCACAGTACAGCACAGAAGCGGCACAGATAGTTGTCGCCTAGGTTATCCGCTCCCGTATAGCAACACCCACCAAATGGATTGGATGGTAGAGGATATCGTATTCGCCACCGTCTTCGTCTCCCGCCACCTGCGAACACCCACGATCTTGAAAACTCAAAGAATACGAGGTCAGCAACTATAACTATTAGCACATATCTATGTCCCCGCAGCACGCTCGGGCCTCTACCTAAGGAGCGGGGGAGGAGGGGAGCAATGGTGACGGCCATGCCCTATCTCGAGCCCGTCCAATATCTCTTCGTCCCCGTACACCTCCACCTTGGATGGTGATGCACGCATTTGGATCGATACAGGTGACCCTCGATTCCTGAGAGCATCCGGTACAGAGGGGACTCAGTTTGAGTATAAGTACCCGCGCAGCTTTCCATGGGATTCTCCTCAACCACAAGCTGGCCACCGCACCGACATCATTCCTATCCATCTCGGATCATCAGCTTTGACTCCTCGGCCCTCTCAACCCATACATACCTATCCGAAGCCCCTTCGGACCTTCAACTCGAACGTCCGTCTGCTGCAAGAGCAAAAAGTGTTGACTTCGCTTCGGGCCGCTGCCAAGCCCGCGATTCCACGCCGCCGCCGCCGGCCGCCTGCCCCGCCGCCTGCCCGCGTTTCCCCGCACTTCCCCGCATTTCCCCCGCATTTCCCCGCCCCGCCCCACAATGCCGCCGACCCAACCCGTCCCCAAACCAGTGGTGATCAACTCATCCCGCACCCGTCCGGTGCCATATTATTATGCGGAGAGCACTAGCGTACCAGGCGAAAGCAGCCAGGGCACCGACACCACCACCACCACCACCACCACCACGGCTAACGCACTATCGAATGCTCCCCACTCGCCCGAGCCGCACCACTGGATGAAAAGTCGCTTTGTACCTCCCTCGCACTTCGATCCCGAGGCAGACGAGCTGGAAAGTCTTAGCACGACGCAACCAGCTGTTCTCCGGGAATACGACGCGGCTGGCAGCCTGTTGATAGCATATGTTCGCACGGGAATGGAGCACGGCGGTCTGCCCAACGGCGGTCCACCCGACGACCCTCACGGCTACGAAACCAGAGAGCGTGGGCACACCGTCGTGCATAACCGAGGGCAACAGAGCATCGACGGCACATTCGTGGACCTCGGACCTGCGTTTGGAAATGGACCTGCGCACTCTCCAGGCTGCAGACAGCAATCGAGGCGGTCTCCCTACCAAAGCACATGCTTCTGCAAGCCTCGTCTGGCGCCCAAGCCCAGTGAAACGAACTGAGGCGACACACAACCTAAGGTATCAGCCATGCATTCAACGACGTCGTTAAACGCTCCCCTTCCCCCGATTCGCTAGTTTACCGCCGCCCCCGCTGGCCCGACGTCCCTCCATCCCTCCGTCCTGCCGTCCCGCCCTCCGTCCCTGAATCTTCCGGCGCAATTACTTTGCTCGGTTCTCTCCTTGGAAGCCCTCCAAGCAGCCTTTTCTTTGCTTTTTCCGGTGGCTTGTTGTTCTTGTATATCCGCTTTTGTACGAGGAGGCGTTCCGTCGTGCTGTTGTAGACCGTGTTAATCCGGGCTTCTGTTGTTGGTTGGTTCGTTCGATTATCGAGAGCAAGCTCTTGCAGTCCTCGACATATTAGATATGTACTTTTTCTTGCCCCGTCATGCCCGTCATGCCTCCATATGTTCAGCTCGACGTTTCTTTCTTTCTTGCATCTTGTCGGTGAAGAATCAATTGGTCAAGTCAACCAAGTACCGGTATGTGGAGCACATACGCTTCATGAAGTCACTCCTGCGTAGGTAGTAATGTCTCTCTCTGTCTGTCTCTCTCTCTCATCCACACGTCATTCGGCGGTTACGTTTTTGAAAATGCTCAACCACCATTTTGCTTTTTGCTTTTTGCTTTTTGCTTTTGCTTTTGCTTTTGCTTTTGCTTTTTTTTGTTTTTCCGCGTGGCCTACCAGGTACCTAGAGTAGAGATATTCCTAGAGTAGATACATAGAGTTGGCCTCGATGTGTATCAACCGTTAGGTCGTTGACTGACATGTGCTGCTGACATCGGATGGGTGGGGTCGCCGCAAGTGTGGCGCTGCTGTAGCCACGGGCCAGCAAGGATGCCGAGGACGTGCCAGGGCAAAGAGTGGCGGCGGAAGCAGGCGGGCAGGTAGGCCGGCAACCGTATCAGGCCGACATCTGTGCCACACAGCTGCGGCCCTACGGGAATCTGCCATGCGCTGTGGCAGGTGCGAGGGGGCCGGCAATGGCCGCGGTATGTGCCAGAGTCGAGTTGAGTCGGATAGGTAGAGTATGTAGAGTCGAGGACTCAAGTAGAGTAGGTAGGTGGATAGAGTACTGAGTAGAGTAGGTGGAGTAGCTGTGGGGTAGAGTAGAATAGAGTACTATACGTACCGCAGTACTAAGACGCCCTCGATCTGGCGATGGTCACCCTCTGCTCAGGATTCCCGCACCCGTTCTGGAGGTTCTGGGGGTTCTGAGGGGGGGGGTTCTGCGGGGGGGTGAGCGTCGTTGCATCCATCCATGTCTTGGTACATATAGAGCATGTACCCTGGGACTTACCTCCTCTGGGTACTTATTACTCTAGATGTATGTATAGTAATAGTAATGCATACTGAGCTCTACTATTCCACAGGACACCTGCCAGCTGCCAGGCCAGCATACATATTGCAGCCTGCACGTACCGCTCGGGAGCCGGCAGAGAGACGCTGTCAGCTGCTGTATGTATGATATGTACTGCACAGAGCTCCACTCCCCGCGCGCGCCCACACAACGTCGCCGTTGCAGCGTTGCGACGTTGCAACGTTCCTGCAACTCTCCCTCGCTCCTTCCATCCCTCCCTCCCACGCTCTCCCCTTATCTCGCGCGTGGTCCTGATAATTACTTCGGGGAGTGCCCAGGTAACTAATACTAGGACTAATGCTATAGTTCAGTCGCAGAGGTATCGACTGGCGTTTGAAATTTCCCACCGGGCTGCTTTTTTTTGCTTTCGGACATTGTGCCGGGGTCTAACTGCTGAACGGAGCCTAGTTAATCCGAGCTATCCGTTCGCCGCTCCGAAGGAAGCAGTAGTCAGGTATCTACAGAGGTAACTTATGTAGCTCGCCATATCATAGCACACAAATCCAGACCTATAACTCCAGCGACGATCCGGGGAAATGGAGAAAGATACCGTGCGTATGGAGGTCTGGAGCCACAAAAGCCAAAGTCCAAACGTGGAGCTTGGGGCCGGGGGGGGGCGGGGAGGCCGGGGGGGAAGAGGGAAGGGGGAAATCGAAAGCCGCTGATTCTCCATCCGGGGAAAGATGGCGAAACTCTGTTTTTTTTTTGCTTTGGCTCGAGCTCGTGCTGAAGCGCTCGGTGATCGACGATTCCGCCATCCGGGGACCATCATGGACCATGGTTCGCCCGTCAGCACCTCGCACACCAAACTGGGGGGCTTCTCCCCAGATATGTACCGGTACTCTGCCTATGTTGATACCTAGAATATCCAAACCAACCACCGAACTTGAGGCAGGAGGGGGGCGGGGAATGCAATCTCCTGCAATTCCGCACGGGATAACGTTCTTCATCTCCACGGACTGTTGGGCCACTACCATAGGTACATACATCCACCCGGCGACGCCGTTCCGTCTTCGTACCCGCCTCTAGACATAGCGTGCGGATAGTTAGGTAACTACTCACATATATACTCTAAAATCTGTCAAGGCCTCCTCCACGAAGGACTTGATATCTATGTACTAGTAACCTCCGCTTCACCGGCGCCAATCAGAGAGTCGTGCAAGCCCAGGGTGCGGAGCGAAACAACCTCCCACCCCCCTGATCTCGTTACCATAGCTGTCGTGTGCCCAGCGCGTGCAAAGTGTCACTGGTACCGAAGCGGAGTAGGCAGTTGAGTAATGGCGGACGAAAGGGAGCGCAACCGTTTTCTGGTGGTTGAAGTCAGCCGCGATTGCAAACTTGGTGTGGCGATCATCGCTCGCCACTCTTGGCAACTGATGTAAACTAGTGACGCAACCAGCAACACAGTGCAGTTCCTGGAGTGTGGGACCACACTGGAGAAGCCGTAACTCCGTCTAGAAACAGGGTTGGAAAGAATAGCCGGTAAAACAGGGAGTGGGGAAGGCTGCTAGCCGAGCTGATGGATGACCGGAGCTAAAGAATCCCTCTCCACATTTTGGTTAGTTTGTCTCTGCCACTTCGCCGGTACTCTAGGTATCTAGGTAAGTAGGGGGGGCGGGGAATGGGGGGGGGCGGCCCTGGATTAGCTCTCCCCGGACTTGCTGGTCTCTGTAGAGAAGGATGGTGGGAATAGAGTCTCGAAAGCTGGTTATATACCAGGCCGTCCATCCCTCTTGTTTGAACTGTGTCGAGCTCATCAATCCCCTCCCCCAACGTCTATCAGTCAATCAAACCCGCACCGCACCGAACCTTCTCCACATTTCGGCAAGAACAACCTCCCAAGCGACGCAATGTCTTCGTACACAAACTCCGAGAAGGTCGATGTTGAGTCTGGCCACCCTTCGGCCACTCACGTTGCCTACCACAACGCAAATGTTGCCAATGGTGTTCCCAACGGTGCTCCCCTCGATAGACAGCAAACCGCCATGCTTCCCGCTTGGGGGGGTGCCTTCCAGCCCGCACCCTACAAGCCTAGCTTCCGGAAGTTCGCCAACCCTGCTCCCCTCGGTCTCTGCGCTTTCGCTCTCACGACCTTCGTCTTGAGTTTGATCAATGCCAGCACCCGCGGCGTCACGAGCCCTTCCGTTGTGGTTGGCGCCGCTTACGCCTACGGTGGTTTCATCCAGTTGTTGGCGGGAATGTGGGAGATGGCTGTCGGAAGTGAGATTGATCCACGCTTCCCATGATCGGCGATGAGTAATATACTGACCAAACCCAACAAAGACACTTTCGGTGCCACCGCTCTGTCTTCGTACGGTGGTTTCTGGATCGCCTGGGCCCTGATCGAGACCGATGGTCTGGGGCTTATTTCGTCGTACGAGTCGAAGCTTGATGCCACCCACGCCGTTGGTTTCTTTCTTGCTGGGTATGTCGTGCAATGATCCGTGGCGATCCGTAGGGCTTGACGCTGACTTGGATCTAGATGGTTCATCTTTACCTTCCTCTGTCTCCTGTGCACTTTCAAGTCGACCGTTGCCTTCTTCTCCCTCTTCTTCTTCCTCGATATCACTTTCCTCCTCCTCACGGTCGCCCACTTCACTGGAGGCGCTGACGGCTCCGTTCACCCTCAAATCACCAAGGCTGCTGGAATCTTGGGGCTGATCACGGCGTTTATCGCCTGGTGGAACGCTGCCGCCGGTATGCTCGAGTCGTCGAACAGCTTCTTCACTGTCCCGGTAAGTTGTCATTCCGATTACCCCCAATTACTTGTGCCACCCACGGCAAATATATAGAACCAAAAACTAACGGTTATAACCAAGGTTATGCACTTCCCTTGGAGCGAGAAGGTGAAGAGCGAGAAAGCCGCTCGTTCCGACTAAGCGATTGCGCCGATGATCACTCGGTGAACGATGCCGTTCGAGCCGGTCGGCGTTGCTGCAGAGATTTCGGAGTTTCCGGAAGAACCTTTATTTCTTTCTTTCCTAGCTCAATTTAGTGTGGAAGGATGATTTTACCGGTGCCGCTTCGATTTAGCCTTATGCGTTCAAGTACATATTGACTTGCAGTGTGTGATTGCGTCATGCTCTTTTAGTGTCTTTATGAGCGGGCATTGTTTTTTTTCCTTATGTCGTTTCGATTCTCACTATGTCTACCTGTACATTTCCGTCAGATGATATCTTTTCTTTATTTTTTTACGATTATCACGCCTTTAATTGAATATGAACTCACAAATATAAATTTGTTGAATGAGATTGCGCTCAGAACCTTCCGTAGATACTCGCGCGATGACTAAAACTCGAAGACCAGCTTCGAACTCCTGAGTCCTGGCTCGACGCCGCGACGCTAAGCTTTTGACGATTGCAACCAGAGCACGGCCAAAGCCGAGACCATAGTTAGCCTTCCAGACTCCCAGTCGATAAATCTGCCATCGATCCATCGTGCGAGGCCCTCCCCGAGCTCCCCACCCCCTGTGCCTTAGAGTAGGTGCACACACGCACAAGCTCTGAGTCCCAGGCTCGGCACGTTTTTGCCGTTTAGATAGATCAAATACTGGTCGGACCGGGACCGGGACCGGTCCCGCCTGGGGTATCTAGATTCTACCATCTAGATTAGGGACCCCCAGCAACGCAGCGAAATCTGGCTCGCATAGAGTACAAGAGAAACCCCGCTGACAGATCTAGAACAGATCGCGGAGTTGAATCTGGCAGCTCAACGCCGGCAGGCCGACCGGTGGTCTGAGATGTTAGAGTTAAGTTGAGTGGATTACTTTATCTGGCATCGAATTAGTGCTCTACGCGCAATGGCTGGGGGAGGCGGGGGGAGAAGTCTTTACTCATCGGTCATTTGTGGCCATGTGGCCGGCGGTCTGTGCGAACCGGGTTCCGATGTCGTATTAGGTGAGCGTGCTACCTACCTGGTCGTGTGTACGTATAGGTAAGGATAGGATAGCAACCGATCGGATTGTTGACAAATTGCTCTGACAGGATCTGCCAGTAATTGCGGGAGGGTTTTTTTTTTTGCTGGCTCCCTCGTGGCTTCTGTCGGCCGTGCGAGCGGGGGGCGGTAAAAGTGTTCCGCCGTGTGAGACGCGCGGAGCGCCTCCGGACTCAATCGCGCCCGAACGGCCCGCCGCGGCCACGGGCAGGCGAGAGACGCCGATTGGCTAGTCTCGCGGCGGTGGCTCTATTTGGTGTGGACGTCGTGATCTACTTAGGTCCATAGATACGTCAATAAAATGATTTCCTCCCTCCCCCCCCCGCCCTCCGCGGCCATGGTTGTGGTCATGGTCACTCACTCGCTACCGTAACTTTATTGTCGTCGATGATTCACGTGAGCGCCTAATTTTCGGGTCAGATAAAATGGTCAAGGGAATCAAAGGATTTCAAAAAGCGATCCGGCGTTCCACAGCGGTTATATATGTGTCTGTCGGGGCGTGGTCATTTCGGGTGAATGGGGTTATTGCAGACGCGACGATGCGGCCAAGTGATTGCTAGACCGCGATTGTCTGAATTAAAGCCACATGCGCATGCAGGCCGATATTTTGTGCGACATAGAATATCGTCAGACAACAGCCGTGTAAAGAGGCGATTTCGGCCAAGATGGACATGATCGGAAGGCAGAACGGTCGATATGGCGCCCGAAAAAAGAAAAGAAGAAAAAAGAAAGGCCCACGGACCGGTCTCCAACTCGCGCGGGCCCGTTTGCATCGATCCAAAGTACCGTGGAGTAACCGAAAGACAACACTCCACGTTGCATAATTGCTCACTCGTCCGTTTCGACCAACAAACGAAACACTTTAGGATCCTTGTGCGATTTCATTTGTTTTCTTTGGTAGGCAGCGGCGCCACATCGTGCTGGCTGGTAACGGGGTTCTAACTCCCGGCCGGCCAGAGTGGGCAGGAAAGGAGTGTGTTGGTTCGCCATAGTCTAGATAGGCTGTATGCGAAATAAAACAGGAATATCTCTCTCTCTATCCTTGGCGCTGATATCGCGGGCCAGAGTATGGTACAATTAATGCTCCGTACGGCAGTGCACTTTGTGTTGGATAACAGAATAGCCGTCCTTGGCGCTGATGGCCAATCACTGTTTGAGCACTCGTTTGCAGAACCATCCCTCCCGTTTCTTCGAAACATCATCTGCCGGCGTTGCGTTGACGCGGGTATCCCGTCCCGTCCCGCATCGATGGGTCTTCGGCTTCACGCAGTCCTGCCGTGCAACCGAAACGACTTTCGGACGCGGCTTCCCAGTGTTATCGCGATCGAACGTGTTTCCTCCTTGGCGGCCTGGCCCTCCCGCGAGAGATCAGTCAGAACAGCAGTGCAAAAGCGTTCGATCCTTACTCCATCATCCCGTTGGGGGGGTTATTTACCCCCTTCCGTTGGACGGAAACAAAAATAAAAAAGCCACAAGGTTACTCGTCGAGGGACCGCTTCATCCGAAACGATGTCGGCCGCCCCAACATAGCATGTGGTTACTGGTTACGGTTGTTGCGGCCGATTTAAGCCTTTTATCTTCCCCGTCTCCCATCACCTGCTGTTTTTACGAGGTGCCAATGCCTCTCCAGGCCGGAAAGCGGCGGGTCAAGACTCGATAGAAGGAGAACACACAATGAGAAAGAGGAGATAGTGGTTGATCGTGTAGGTATTATGTAGATGATGATCAAGAAAGATGGAGATGAAGAAAAAGAAGAAACCCCCTCCTCGCTCAGTAGTCAACCCCGCCATGTCCGCCAACGTTGATGCCCACTACTAACCGCATTCGCTTTCTCCCGCCGACAGGAGTCCTCCTTCACTTCATCCTCTCACCGACAGCTCCTCCATCCCCGACAGCTCCTGCATTGCTCTGCCCCTCCCATACCCCCCTCTCGATCAGGCGCGCGGGCGTGATGTCGATCCCAACAATGTTCTGGGATCCCCCCCAAGCTCCCTGCCAACTGTAGAGTAAACCCGCTCGTCGAACGGTTTCAACCGCGACAGTGAGGGTTTGTCGGTAAAACAATATCGGCCCGCCGTAAAATTGCATCGTGTCCACTTCTGTCTCATCGGTCCTGGATGTAGTTACCTAGCCCGTAGAAGGATTCGATGCAGCGACCACCGATGTCCCTTCAGGAGCAGGTGTGATACACATTGAGTTGTACATATCACGGTTGGGGGTGGAGAGTCGGGTTGTTGCCATTGAGCGGAGGAAGAATATGCTGCTAAGGGCTTATCATGACTCGTGAGGCTTGTGGTGTGTCATGAATGGGATGAATGACGGCTGAGATTTCCCATACATTTTCATTACCATCACTCGGTAGCCATCTCAACCATACTTCTAACGATTCCATACATGCTCTATCACTCGAAAAGTGGCGTCTGGAGGACGGACGCTACAGGTTGTTGTGCACGAGTGGTGCCTTGCTGGGCTGCTCCCGACAAGTTATCTCTGCTATTCGCAACGGAAATGCATATTATTCGAGACAGTTTCCTAATCCATTCATTCTAACCACCCACCCCTCAAGCACTGGCCATTTATTAGATCGATTCCTCGCGAAACATCGGCCATGGACGCCTACGAGATGGTTGTAGGCCAAAATATGGAGTGTCCGGGCTCACCCGTCAAAAGACGTCGCTCCCGAACCGATACCAGAAGCTACTGGCAGGAGACGGGTCGATCCGCCCCCGTGTCTGTCGTCGGGCAGCAGCGCACCCCCACAAGTTATCACTCGCATTCCTATCCGCCACCGCGCGCAAGCGAAAATAAGCGCCACAGCACCAATTCCGGCATTTCTCTAATTCACTTCATTTCCTTCATCGGGGAGAAAGAGTCCGCTACTTAATGTAGCGTAAGTACTCTAAATCCCCACGTCATCTCCCGCTGCCCTCCGGCCGCAGCCGCATGGCGAGATCTTATCCCATCCCATCCATCCCTCCCATCCCTCCTATCCCTCCCATCCCTTCCCATCCCTCCCCTATGTGTTGCATGCATCCGAGTTGCGCTAGTGAACTCTACTACATGCCACGAATCATTCCAATTTCCCCGCCCGCTGCCTGCGGATTTCTGCCAGCCAGTGATCGCGCAACCCGTAGGTGACAAGTACTTAGTTGACGATGTACCGGTATGCTTGCGTGCGTACAACACGCGGCGAACAGGCATCAATGGCCGGTACGTACCTGCATATCCACATTGGCAAAAAGGTACTCTACGTACCGTATGTAGGTAACCATAGCGCGCCCCCCAGGAACCCCCGGAGCTGAGAGCCCTCACTTCAGGCGTGTACTTCAGCCTTCAGGTGTGTGTGTTCCTGGCACGACCGAACCCAGCAACAATACGCCAACACCGCCAGCCCGCCGAAAAAAGTACTCCCCATCCGTATCCGTCGGTACATAACATGCCAACATGCCAACATGCCAACATTCCTTCCCCCACGAGGGGGATGTATGCAGGTAGCGCAATCTTAGTTCTTTCCTCTCCCTGCCTACGACCTGCCGGCCCCGCAGACGCGACATGCGCCTCTTCTCTCTCGAGCAGACTCGAGCATCCCAGCCCCCCCCCCCGCCTGCGTCGTGCGACGTGCGACGTTTCTAAAAGAGAAAACTCTGGCAATAAACTGAGCTGTGATTCGTCTATCAACTACCTGTGAAACCTGCGCGGGGGGACGACGAGACGAGACGAGAGACGAGGCCGAGATATAAATTCGTGTGCTGCCGCGGCGCCGCCTGCGGGTAGGTAGCATACCTATATAGGTGCTCGAGAGTAGAGCAATCAAGGCTCACTATGTATGTAGTACCTATGACGGCGGTAGTTGTTCCTCACCACGGCGAGATGTTACGCCGCCGTGCTTGATACGTTATGTACATTCTCTGCGGAGCGGTGATAGCGGGCACTCGAGTGACGGGCAATGACCACTCGCCCATCCTCGCCCATCCTATCCCATCCGAGCACGAGCATAAGCATGAGCTCGATCGTGAGCTCGACCATGAACTCTGAGGCTAAGGGCCCGTTTGGATGGCCTCAGTTTTGGCGAAAACTGTCAGTTTTTCGAGAAACTGAGCAAATGGAACTAAGACCCCGTTTGGATGGCACAAAAAAATTAAAATTCAAAAACCGAAACTGTGCGGCTCCAGCGACAAAACTGGTACCGACCTCGAGAGGTCAGTTCTTTGCCGCCACTCAGTATCGCATTTTAACTTCAACCATGGACTCCCTTTGCGGGGAAGAGAAAAAAGCGGGGCTACAATGTGTCCACTATTAAAGTTCTGGTGAAGCCTATTATTCAGACTTATGGCTGGGTAATCTGAGAACTGCCAAACACTCTGTTCACCTCACAGTTCTCCGGAAACTGAAACTGGACAGAATTCGGTGTCCCGTCGGGGAACTGAATTTCGCTCTAAAACTGCAATTGAAAACTGAGGCCATCCAAACGGGCCCTAAATAAGTAGCGTGCCACCTCGACTGTTATCTTCATTTTCGCCGACCGCGCGCTTGCTGAAATGTGAATGCATAAAACCCCGCCGTCCCCCGTTCCCCGTCCCCGTCCCCGTCCCCCGTCCTCTCGCACAACTGTCTCCCGCGCAACTGTCTCCCAGCCTCCCGCCTCCAGGACGCCGCATGCTCCGGTTCATATGGCTCTGGCCCCCCCACATAATTGATTGCGCACCGGACACAGCGCATGACAACCAGCCACTTGCACTGCACTGCACCACTGCACTGCACTGCATGCCACCACCGGGCCCAGACCCGCCAAAACGGGCATCGGTATGCGGCGTGTAACGTGCGACCAGCGACCGCAGCAGCCGCCGTCTTAACCGCCGCTCGCCGCCGCCGCCAGGCACACAGCGATGCGGTGCCATCATGTCACAACCAAAGACCTTTTTTTTAGTCTCCAGCCCAGTGCACACTCTCTTTGCAGCGATATGGTATCATACCAGTAAGAACCCCACGCGGAGTACCAAGTTTTTGGGAAAGCATGGAAAGCATGGAAGCGAAGCAAAAAGAAAAGCATTTCAAAGCAGCAAGATCAAAAAAAAAAACACACATACAGAAGGCATCTCATCTCAGCAACCACCAACCAAGTAGATAGACAGACCCATTAACCCTCCCGTATATATATCGTTCTCCTGCCCTTTCGTCACAGCATCATCACTGACAAATGAAAGAAAAAAAAAAGCTTCATCCACATCTCCCTACACATCTCCTCTCACCCACTCCCCACTCCCCCTACCCCCTCCTCTTCTCATCCACAGTCTATCAAAAAGCGGTATAAGGTATAAATAAACAGACAGAAGAAGAGACAAAGGGAACAAGAGTAAAAGCGAGGAAAGCATAGGTAGGTAGGTTAGGTAGGTAGCAAAGCAAACAACAGCCAGAAAGCCAGCCAAGCAAAGCAGCGAGACGGAAGAGCAAATGCGCGCAGCAGGATCGAATGTGCATTCAATTGTCTCCTTCCCACCACAACACCACCCCCAACCGCCTACTTCGAACAACAGTCTGTCTGCTCCACTCAACACCACACCAACTCAACTGCCCCATCACCAACACAACCGCACTCCGCCTCCGCCATGGCGTAAAAAAACATTCTTGTGCCTTTTCCTCTCTCAGCATGGTTGCATCCAAAAGCTCACTCCCAAAACCGCCTCCTCAGCTCGCCACTCCACATCTTCCGCCCAAAAAGGAGAAAAACATCCACCACCACCACCGGAGACCATAGAAAAAAGAAAGTCAACCATCCCCGGGTCTGTGTAAGTATAACACGATGAAAAAGGAGAGAACAAGGACTAAAACTCGCTAGAACGACAAAAAAAGACACTATGCCCAACTTGATGCAAAAAGACAGGGTGTAGAATAAACAAAACGTGCAGCAAGCGACAGAAGTCGCATCGGTGACAAGGAAGAAGAGTAATAAGAAGAAGAAGAGTTTTGCTCGCAAAATAGGCAAGAATATTTTTTCACATTGTATTGATTGATTTGGGATAAAAAAAAGCCAAAGCCAATTTGAGCGGAAGCAGACGCGGCGAAAACTCCTCCTCCGTTGTATCGAATTCCATTGGTTGACGAGAGACTGAATGCACGGCAAACAATTCGGGGGGAATGGGCTGGATGAACGGTGACAATCTGGCTTGAAAGAAATCGATCTCGTGAAGTGGAGAACAGTTTACTGTACGTAGTAAACTTGGTTGGGCGGTGTCGGGGTGACGGGCATCCGCTGGGATGGGCATGAATCATCGACATAGTATCCGGCGTTAGGCGTAACTGGAGGTGTTATGTATCCTGCGGTCGCTGGGTATCCCGAGGACGCCTGCTTCTGAGGAGTCATGCAGCCGTCGAACTTCTCCGAGGTTTCCCGCTGACTACCGTACACTTCCGAAGGGGGCGTAGGGGGCGACCGCTGACGCGCGATTGCTGCCTGCTGTGCCATAAAGTCCTCCAGCATGGTGGACACACCCGCGAATTCGGGACTCGCGTATTTCTGAACGAGAATCTCCGACGGGTTGTGCAACTGCTGGGAAAGGAGCACCAGAACATTCGTGTCAAATTTCTCGGCCCACTCAGAATGTGTCGGCATGGGACGGCTAAGGATGTGACGGGCAAGGGCCAACGAGGTGCGAGCCATGACGGACGGGCGGGTGCTGACGAACTCCTTGTGGAAGAGTGCGATTTCGGAAAGGTACCTGGCCATCGCCTCGACCTCGGGGTCGTAGTGAACCTCCTGCAACACCATCTGGAGGAAGCTCTCGACCGTGGGATGACCAACCACCCAGCCCAACGTCTGCAGAACATGCCACTCCATCTGGATGAACATGTCCTCGTCGTAGAGGTTGCAACACATGGACTTGAGCTCCCGAATGGTCGGCACGCGATCCTTCTTGTCCCCGTACTTAGCAGCGATGAGCATGGCCGCACAGCCGACGAGCTGATAGTGACGCTTGTATACAACCCTGCGCGAGCAGTATCGATCGAGCAAGTTGACGGTCAGGTGGAGGGTTTCCGGAAGGAGCGAGAAGGCAGTGTGGGCCTCGATGAGAAAGTCGAGCAGGTAGGGACGCATGAACCATTGGATCTCGGTCTGGATGTCTATGCTGGCGACGTCGGGAAGAGTGATATTCTGTATACCTATGTAAGCAAGACCGAACAACCCGAGGGAGGGGGCGGGAGGGGAGATTGGATGTAGCGCGAACCTCCATGTACTCCATGTGGTCAAGAACATCCTCGAGGTACTCCTCGGCCACGGTGCGCGACAGCTCCTCCGCAATATCCATCTGAGTTTCGGCGTGCATGCGTGCAAGCTCCTGCTTCGACCTCTGGGCGACAAAGATACCGTCATTGTCATCCCGATCCATGGACTCGACAAAGTAGGAGTCGCAAACAGGGCGCTGCTGATGAGGCTGCGCGGGACCGGTGGGCTCGTACTCCATGATTGCGATGGGTGTTGGTGTTTATTAATGAGCGGACGTTGGAACTTCGGGTAAAAGTTGGACTGACAGGACCGCCGAAAAAATGCACGAGTGGAAAAAAAACAAAAAACAAAAGTATTAAACAATTAGGAGTAATTCGCTGAAGGGTATTGAAAAAGCGAATAACGATCGAAAAAAATGTGTAGCTGAATAAACAATGTCTAGGGAGTGACTGTGAAAGCGAAAATGAAAGACGGGATGTCTTTGAAGATCCGAATATCGGGAGAGGGTGTGGGGGGAGTAGATCGGTTTATGGACTATGGGTGCTATTACGAACTCTCAGCGAACGTTCTCCATGAGTTACGATAGCGAGAGGAATGGGTTGGGTGTGGCAGAGGCTTTCAGGATGTCTACATACCTCGCACACTAACTGCAGTAGCGTGGCAGGGCAGCGATGGGAATCCAGAATATCAGGAGTGTTGCCGTGATGTCTGGTCTCCGCAATGAGCCCCTTATTGAAATGGTCCGTCTACCAGTGTCAAATCCGAGGGAGAGCAACTTGGCCAAAGCACAAAGCACTATGACGCTCGAGGATGGTGTGGCGGTGGGGTTGACCAAGTATAATCGGAGAGGGGTTGGATTCCGATTGTGCCTGTGGACAACAAAGAATACTCTCGGAGAATGACTTCCTTAACTCAGAAGAAGAACGAGCTAACGTCTCTGAGAAGAAGGAGAGCCAAAGGGGGTATCGAAAGCCGACGGAAGCCAAAGTTGACGGGGGGGGGCCGTAACCGACGACCGTGCGAAACCACGAAGACGAGTGGGCGACAGTGTTGTGTGCTTTGTGAGTTGTCCTGGACCAAAAGCGCTCTCCAGAGATGCGAGGGGTTCTCGAGGACGGGTGGTGGATGGGATGGGTGGTAAAGGGGTGGAGCAAGTTGGTAAAGGGAAATGCAGGATATGAAGGAGCGTGGTCAACCTGGGCGACAAGGGATCGTTATGTTAGTCAGAAAAACACGGACATGGTTTCGGAACTAAACCGGAGGGAGCACAGAGACAGAAAAAAAAAGAGGGAATTCAGTTGCGGGGACAACGAAAGGAAACGACGTTTAGACAAGACGAGACGCGACGAGAAAAGCATAAATTGATACCAGAGGGGGGAGGAATATGGCCAGAAGGGGGTAGTTTGGAGGACAGTCTGGCTGGTTTTTTGTACATAGTCTGGTATGAGATATCCAGGGTAGTTAACGTGTTGGGGGGAAGGGGGTATATGGGCCGGTTATGTGAGCGAATAGAGCAAGTGTGAAGCAGGTAGGTATGAGGCTGGGGGCGGTGTTTCCTTGTCTCTTTCCCTTCAACTTTCTTGCTTTGGGGAGCAGAAGAAGGAGAACACGTAGCGAGCCGGCAGGCCTCTTCCCGTAGATGTTCAATCGTGGCCGGAAGGCACTGACTCGGACGGGCGGCGGGCCGGCCAACTGGCATGCAGTGGTGAGCCACGGGGGAGGTCCGAGCGCGAGGAGATAGATATTTCTCTTGGCGGGGGCTCCTCTTCACCTCCTTCACCTCTCTTTCCTCTTCCCTCTCCTCCCGGCTCTACCAACTGGCATCCGGCACTGACAAGGAGAGGGAGTGGTGGTGGTGGTGGTGATGGTGATGGTGATGGTGATGGTGATGGTGGTGGTGGTGGTGGTGGTGGTGGCCGGTGGCCGTCTATCGGAATGCACGAATACATCCGACGGCATCCCGCACCTTCCTCTCCATCCCTCCTATGCTGGCACTCTTCCAAACAGAGCAGTTGCTGCGAGTTGAAAGGAACAGATAGAAAGAGAGATGGGGGAGGGGGCAGGAGAGAGAAGCTGAGTCCGACAAACAGTTGATGCATGTGGAACCGACGCTACCCAAAGGTTGCCATCTCATCGTCAAGCTCATCGCCACCCTCGGATACGACGCAGTACATGGCGCGCTCTTCAAGGAAGCCTGATGATACATCTCCGGGGAAGGGAAACAAGATCCCCGGCGGCGACGACGAGCGCGCGCGGCGCACAAGGCGGGGAAGTGAAGAGGGAGGGAGGGGAGGGCCCGCGCGACGCGAGCCATTGGAGGGAGTTAGGTAAAGGCATGATGGTTTTGTTTCTCACAAGAACGAACGAAATGAAAGCGAAAAGAAAAAGAACGATAATAATTGACAGGTCGGACGAAGAAGATGGGTTCCACTAACAGTTGGAGGTTGATGGTTTTTTTGAGATCACCCGAGCTTTCGTTCACACAGACACAGTACCCGGCTTCGGCTTTAGCTTCCACGGAATGACGAGGCCTTTTTTATCGCAGTCTTTCCAATCGTCGCGCTGAACGGTCCCGACCGTGACTCGCGGAGAGTATGTTGAGAGCGGAGGGTGATAGCGGGAGGTGATAGCGGGAGGTAGTGTGTGGGTGTGGGGGGTGGGGGAGGTACGAGCGAGAGGATCGACCCGACGGATGGACGACTCGAAGGCTTACGAGGGGCGTCGGAGGAGGTCTGTTCTCGGGAAGAGCAAGGTCCAACTCCGTCTCGGATGCGCAATCGGTTGGCGATTCCTATCGGGCGATATGGGAGGACAGGGAGGTAGGGAGGAGGAGGAGGAGGAGGGAGGAGGAGGAGGAGAGGAGGAGAGGAGAGGGAGGTTTGGGGAGAAGAGAGAGTGTGTAGGGAGAGGTGAAGTAAGAAAGAAAAGAAGGAGAGCCCAAACGAGGATGGAGATGCAAAGGAAGGTAAAGTCTTCTGTGTGAGGACTGACCAGGGGTGGGCTGGGGAAGCTGTGCCTGGCTTTTTTTGCTGTGTGAGCGTGGGTGTGTATGAGGGTGTGTGTGAGATGTGTGTGTCGAAGGGGACATGTATGATATGTGCTTTATTTACTCCTCCGCCTCCTCCTCCAACTCTCCAGCATGTAGAGTATGTATATAGGGAGGAAGTAAGGAACCGGTATCACCAGTCGATGGACTCGGATCGGCTGTAGGTAAATTGGCGCTGCTGCGACGCCTTTTTTCTTTTCTTTCCGCCCGACAAGACCTCAAAATGAATATACGGCATCTACTCAAGCGCGGCGGCGTCTTTCGGCGTCATTTACGCGTGCACATTCGTGCACTATTTAGATACTCCTCTACGCACTGTGTAGATACTTCTCTACACATCAAAGTACGGGTACGGGTAGTGGAGTGGAGTGTAGCGTAGCTACTGCCCGCAGCCATGCCTCACGGATCGATGTGTTGGTTCGGTACACAGCACAGCACAGCACAGCCATGGCCGCCGCCCGTGACCCAGTGCCCACCCATCCGTGGACCGTCGTCCGTCCTCTTATCTACTCGAGTACCTGGAATGGCAGAGTACCTATGGCCGCCAGCCCGAGTGGCTTGCACTTGCTCGCGCCTCACCGCCTCACCGCTCCTCCCTCTCCTCCCTCTCCCCCCCTGCACGCGGTCGGTTTCCTCGCGAGCCAAACGATGATGATCATCATCAGCATCGTCATCATCATCGTGTTGATGGCGACGATCGCATGAGCGGGAGGAAACAACAACATCTGAACACGCACTCTCCTGTTTGCCCCCTCCCCTTTGTGTTTAACTAAAGCTGAACTAGGGCTTCGCTGGCTGGCTACCGTATTTGTACGGTACTCTACTAACCGCCCCGTGGGTAGTGGGCCATGGATGGATGATGGTTCGACGGAACAGATGGGATGGTTCGCCCTCAACCTTCAGTCAGCCAGCCAGCCAACCCTTGCTTCTTGTCTGCTTGCCTGCTTCGTGAGGATGGCTTCTCTCTCTGGCCAACCAGAGAACTGTTTCGCTTTTTCCCTGTCAGCCGGCGGTGTTTTGTATGTGTGTATGCAGAGTACATACGAGCAAATGGTCTGGCGAGTAGGATTGCTGGATGGGTGGATTGTTCGATTCCGAGAAGGAAAGTGGTCGCCGCTTCCTGGCTGGCTTGCTGGCTTTCTGGCTGGCTGGCTGCACCGCGAAAAAAGGATGGGACAAGGAGCTCGTTGCTGCTGCTGCTGGTTCGGGCGAATGACAGCGCCAGAGGCCAGAAGTCCATCCACCCATCCATCCATCCCTAACTTAGTTGACACTGGCGTTATGCGAGATACATACTCTGGAAACCCCCGTCGAGTCGTCGACCAATGGAAGACGACGCCGGACCCTGAGAGTTTCGCTTCCTTCTCTTCTCTGCTTCTTTGAAGTTCTTCCACTTGACACCTTCATCCCCACTTCCCCCTTCATGCGTACGTGCGTGCCTGCGGCGGATGTCCAGTCACTATCATTCGGTCGACTGTTCAGAGTTCAAGCGTTCCGTCTGCTTGCTTGCTTGTTGACAGAGCTGCATCCCAGGTACCTATTCCTACCCATTATTTGCGCAGATTCCTCCCGAGCGAGCTCCCGAGCGAATGCAAGGCGTTTCTAGAGGACTCCGGGTTTTCCGTCGGTAACGCAATACGTGTCCCACCTTATGTACCTTGTACTCTACCGTAGGGAGCGGTGCGGCAAGTTCAGTATGTATAGAGAAACTCGGGTGCTAGAGAACACATGCAAGGACCGGAAATGCACATCTCGAGCAGATTGAAGTCGGTGACTGGTCGGTACTGGTGGCTGTATCTAGATTCTATGTAGATTCTAGAGCGTGCTGTATGGTACTTACTCGGATATGTAGTAGATGCTGGATATGCACACCGGTCCACATGGCTGGCCTCTGCCGTTGGTTTGCAAGTGGTCGACCGGTAGAGTACGGTATGTACGGCACTATAATCGCAGCAGTGCTGGCCGCTGGGGACGCAGTTGGAGTTACTACCATGCCCATATATACCCGCAGGCCGCAGGCCGCAGCTCCGCATACATAGCGGAGGCATGGCGATATCGAATCCCTTCTTCTTCGCGTCTGTTGGTATGTATATAACCAAGTAGCCAGTAGTGTCATAACCGAACAACTTGCTCGAAGACGGCGGCCATAGGCGCGGCAAGCCGATTCAACCGAACCCCCTCCCCTGGGTCCCACTGCCCAGCAGCTTGGATTCATGGCGATCACTCGCTCAGCTAAGACGCGGCTTCGATCTTCAGGAGTAGGTACCTTCTCAATACCCACCGGTGGAACCGAAACCGATGGCGACGACGACGACGATTTGTTGGGGGGCATTAACCACCAAAGAAGTATCCGCCTATGTGCCTATTGCGCGGACAATCGCAAGCTCCAGGAGCCCAAACACCGAGCCAAGTACTCTACATACTCTAGGTAGAGTCTCCAGCAGCCAGCAGCCTGCAATTAATCCCTCCACACAAC